GCAGCAGCAGCAACACCAGCACCATAGACAAACCAACGAACGAACGCCATCAGAAGAGACCAGACAAAGACCAAAGAAGTAACCGCCAGACATGGTAAACCAAAGAAGCAGATAGCAGAGATAGCAAAGAAGTAATGACAGCAACATCCATGTCAAACAGGCAAAAAAAATTATCAAAACATAATAAACAAATTCGATTAGTGCTGATTTTACACCTTCCAATCCTCGTTATAGAATGGTACCTACTATATTCCACCTCAAAGAAGCAGTATCAAGTACTTTTGACTGTGCAAGGCCGTGTTATCAGAAGCTAGAGTGTTATTTTCAATCAAAAGGACTCCAAAACAAACATGGTTTGATAATAAACGCGTTTTGCAAAAAGGATAAAAAACGGTGCTATAGAAAAATGAGAGGACACCCTAACCGACGTCACGGCCAGTAGATTTGGTCTCAGTCTTATACCATAGCAACGGTAGTTGCGGCAATTTAATTTGAAATTGTGCAGCAGTATTTTCGTGTTTAAACTTGACTTGATTTCACATCCTTCAAACGTTTTTGCTAAATTTGACTATGAAAACTGTCGTTATAACACCCAACTTTCTAATACTTCTCTAGAGAACTAAAAAAAGTCGCATCGAATGGTGCTGATTATATGCAGCTTTTAGACAGAAAATAATCAGTAATTTGCAAAAATATGAAAACAGGTTTTCTGTGAGTATATCAAAATTTAGCATATGAAAGTCTCATAGAAAGAGTTTCCAATGTTGCATTTCATCTTTACGGTCAATTTGATTCAATATATATCACAGAAAAAGTCTTCATTTTTGGGGTGAAAAACGCGATCATTTGATTTTCAAGAATTTTCCCTTGCTAATACTCATGGAAAAACGATGATTTTCATGAGTTTGCAACGACCCAAAAAAAATTGAGATAAAGCATCAGGGAGTAAAGCGTGGCCAAGATAAGGCATGTGATGCTATTCCAAGCGCTCAAAACACTTTGTGGCATGAGTTATTCGTGCTTGAAAATGGCTAGATTTGAACAGAATTCGACCTAAAACGAAGGTGTGATGGGTTGCGTTGCCAGAAGAGTGAGTTAATTACTTTTCTGTCTGATGACCCAGGTGTTCTGCATTGTACAGAGCTCTATTTCCAAGTAATAATAGGCATTTTTATTCTAATTCCAAGGTGATGTATCATTTCTAAACCGGATCTCCAAATGTGTAGAAACAATCAGTTCAAGCACAGATCACATCAGATCATAAACTTTGACATTGTAATGAAATAGCCACCCAAACGCAACTTAATTGTAAACCAAAGTTCATCAAATAGCACTCATTCAAATTCATGCTATTTGGATCTATTAATGAAAGCGCTCAAATGTACATCAAAAACCCATTTAAAAATACTAAAGTAATAAAGATACACGCTTATATCGCACATCGTGTGAATGAATCACTCCTGATCACAGTGTATTCAATCACACCCATGATGGTCGTAATAAGTGATGGTATCTTTATCCAAAAAGAATCAAATCAGTAACAAGCATATTCAAATATGACAACTATGCCCTGCTGCCATAGTTGCACAATATCCCAGATAAAGGATTCCATGCTTCAATAACAAACATCACACTTTAAACCATCAAGGTTACATTAAATCATGCTATGACGATAGCTCACCCAAGCCCATCAAGGTTACTCAAATCGACCCTTATGGCCAGTGCTCCTGCATTGATTACCACTTTAAATCAAACATCAACAACATTTGCCAGATATCGCAATAGCAGCACCTATTGCTCTCTATCATCACTAATCCTACAAGCCAGATGCAAATGTATAAATACTCTTCTTTTTTTTTACTCAATTCCAGGATCTTCAGTTCATTTTATACACAAAATAAAATACAGTTGATTTCTATTATATTTTACCTTTGCTTTATTTTTTTTGTGAAATCTATTTAAACCTGATTTCACTGCAGACATGAAACAGGATCCAGTTACGATTCGCATCATGGCATGTTCAGGATAATAGATCCAATCTATTATCCTATCACCCAAATCAACCCATCTAATACCTTATCCTCACATCAAATCCCTCAATTCGAATAGTATATAAACCCTCTTATTTCCAATGTAATAAACGATATTCTTTACCAGATTAATTTCATACTCTTTTTATAAATAATTCATTTCTGATAAATTACAAGGCTCAAACCTTGCTTTTTGAAATGCGCGATTACAGTAATCTTTGACACTTGAGTGTCAAAAATATTATGCAAATTTGAAGCTAATGGCTTGCTCGGATTGAATTAGATGCTCATCAGGTTAGCAGGATATTTTTGATGGTCATCCACAATAGAGGTACCATATCTAGCCGTAAAACTAGGCTTAAAGAACCGTATTCACAATGTTGGACACTCGTAATTATTCAGGAGAATAGGCTGATACCTGGCACGCTGAGTCGTTGTCAACACAATAAGGGAGAAGGAGGGGGGAGCAAACAACGCAGTTTTGTATCGAAGTTGAGAAAATAGAAATTCATTGCTGTATTTGCACATACAACTGTACCTGAATCACAAATATTGTAGTTTGAATAAAGCAATAATAAACTATGTACATATGGAGCATATTTAAATAAACTTTATCAATAGGTAAGTGATTATAACCATAATATTCACACTAGCTAGGTTCTAGTAAGCTATTCTTCATAAATCAAAGATAGCAAAATAAACAAGAAATGTACGTAGTCAATATTGCGAAGAGCATGTAAAGATATCTAGATTGACCATCATGTATATTCGAAATAATTATCGTTCAGCGAAAGTGATGGGGATTGATACTAAAATTTGGCATGAAAGCACTATTCTAAATGGATGCGGAAGCAATCCCTTATTTGTACATACAGGTTTAGTAGCAGCAGACGACATTCATCCTTCGTTGGTTTTTCGCCATCCGGTTCTTTACGGAAATAAACTGCCATTCATTCTCATTTATTTGAGAAATTGATATTTTTTTTTGAAATGTGTCAATTTTGAGTAATGAGCATCATATAAAAATCCGGGTAGTTACAAGCAATTACAAGTAATAGAACAATAGACGAGGTGTTACCAAACGTTGTTGTACTATAAACCGCTTGGTAATAACTTGCTTTGTTGTGTTGTGGCCAAGGTTTAGAGCTGTGCTGCGCATTTTACGAAAAAGGGAGAACAGTTATTCCAAGCTCTACGTTGATGCTAGGGCCACTTATATTAGAAGCGTTATATATTCACTTCGAGGAGTTGCTAAATGTATAAACGGATTTTCAGTCGCTACATTAGTTGTTAAATAATCAAGCGAGGAAAGTGTAAAGTAGCCAGTGTATAAAAAGAACAGTGTTTGGACGCTATTTCTTTACCAACTGTTAACTCAACATGGCTTTTACATTAATTAAATTTTGTTCCTCTTTGTTTACTCTATAAAATAAGACCTTGTTGGGGGCATCTACGATGCTTCTTTGTAAAAAATCGTTTTTTCCACCCTCAAATTGGAGTTTATAATGGCAAAAACACGTTTTTTTCTAATGATACCACGAAAACATCTATGTGGTGCTCAACTCTATGAAATAAATCTAGGGCGTGTTATGACTAGTAGCAATGCGCAAAAAGAATTTTATATGCACCATTGTAGCAAAAGTTGGCCTTGAGCGATCGTTTTCTGACAATTTGCGGGGGATGACCTATTGGTTGCTGCAGATCCATGAAAACTGATACTGCAACTTTGGCCAAGGTCTCAAAGAATAGATGGTTATTGAGTCCGAGCAATGAGTATTACTACAGGTAATTTGGTACAGATACAGTACATGCTTTCTTTTGAATACCTTCAAAATATCTGAGAAACAGGTTTGTCTGCATACCAGTCGTATCATGCCTTCCAAGATTGCTACCATTCGATGCGTATTTACATTCTTTTCAAACTTACTATGAGTTAGGAGCGATAGCGTCTATTGAGAAAAAAATATGTTTGCGTGATGGAAAGGTGCTCGAGGATGCTAGCACAGCCAAATATGTGTTCGACGTCAATCTCGTGGCATGCCATAACTTTCATAATAAGTTGCTTATTTCAAGTTTAGGCGAGAAATGACAACGGTCATTTTATTTATGACTTTATGGATCATCTTGTAGGACTATTGGTCATAAGCATACTTCAGACAGACAGCATACTACGCTATGCTGTATTATTGTATAATATCTGTTGTGTATGGTGGTTGTGGGATAGTATGAGATCATTAACCAACTGTTGGCCACTAATGTGCGCATCTTGAATTACACACTGATTGCTTCTGCTAAAAGAGATGGCAAGGTTGGCTGTAAATCTAGATCTGAAAGGACGTTTCATGAAACCAACCTGTTTGATCTGCTACGTAACTCGGGAATACATCCTTTATTTGTGCATCTCGTTTGTCACGAAAGTGTATTTCCCACAGTCATCTATGGACACCAAGGTCTATCGACATCAACAGACCTTCTTGTAAGTACGTGAGCAAATGCTAAAAAGACCGGAGTGCATAGCGGGAAATCGAGTTACCATCAACGTGTTGTACATTTGAATCGCATCACGCTTCAGCAAAGGGCAAAATAAGAGGCTCCAATGTGGCATGTGGTACTGTTTGGTTTGTGCATTTTCTGTAACTGTTGATCCGTCGACTGATGAACCCCTTAACATCAGCATGAGACCTTCTGCAGTACCATTTTCTTCGGCAGCCAATGTCTTATCTTTATGACCAGAGATAGCGTTGTACGGTATGCAGCCTACCTCTTGATGATTTACTCAATTCATGCTTTGGACGCTATTGGATCAATCGTGATAGAGTCGTGACGAGTCACATGTGCATTTCAAAGGGCTTTATCATGATTTTGATGTTCCCAAGTAGAGGAGCTTTTTGTTGCCGTTCTTATTTCCGTAGTTTGTATAAATACCCCACTTTCAATCGACTTACGTTTGTTTTTTTTTGCTTATCTGCCATGTTTGATTCATTAAAAGTAAAGAAAGGAGGGACGGAGGAGGAAAGTGCACGCTTGATAGCAGCAAGATCAATCCAAATAGACGATGATGGATTAGAGGACAAGTACAAGCTTGTGTATTGGGTAAGTAGCACCGGAAATGCAGACGAGAAGAGAGCATAATTGAGTTATTTGCTAGATTTATTTCATCTATGGTATCGCCATGTTGTTGCCATGGAATGGTAACTATACGCCATACACTGCTTAGTCATTGGATATTCAACGCAATCATAGTATTTATCACTGCATCCGAATACTTTGCAAGGCGATTTGCAGAGACTCCATATGAAGAGAAGTTCCAAAATTACTTTTCTACGTATTTTACGATAACAAATCTGTTGACGTTTGTACTCATTCTGTACATGCAAAACAAGGTAAATAAAGCGTGTGTGTGTGTGTGTGTGTTTGTGTGTTTGTGGAAAAGCATCCCTCTAATCCATTACCCGGAAACCTGCAAGTCAGCATATCATGTGGACTCTTTTATATCTATTCTCATTAATACCATCGTGTTTGGCACATTAGCTATAACAGTAGAAACTCAAATAGAAGGACCAGTGTACTTTTGGTGTATCATGGCATTGATCGTGCTGACTGGTGCAACTACAAGTTTCTTTCAAAATTCTGTATTTAGTGAGGCGAGCCAATTGCCACCCATGTACATGCAAGCAGTGTTAAGGTATGTTGAGTTGAGGGGTTGTTCTTGTAATTGGGATTATACTGATAGATTGGAATAGTGGCCAAGGTATTGCAGGTGTGATTGTGGCTGTATCATCAATCCTAAGCGCACTCGCTGGCAATACAAGCGAGACTCCTGACGAATCATCCATCAGTCGATCTGCATTTTTGTACTTTCTATCCGCTTTCTTGATCACAGCAGCCGCATTGGTAGGTCGCATCGTCGTTGTTCGCCTACCATTCTATCGCCGTCAAATGAGCGCTCGGAATGAAGTGCTCCGCGTAGAGGAAGACGTCTTGGAGGAACAACACCATCCCCTAGACAGAGAGCCTATCAGCATCATGTCGATTGTTCGCAAATCGAGTGGATTGATCTTTACAGTTGGATACATCTTTATCATCACACTCATGCTGTTCCCCTCAATTACAGCATTGATCAAGTCAGTCAGGAGGCCCGAGAGCAACGTTTCAAAGAAAGGAGGCCGCTTTTTCGATGATGACATCTTTGTGGCGTTCCACTTTCTACTGTTCAATGTAGGCGACTGGGTGGGTCGGATGATGCCAGTATCCAGCATGTTCCAGATATTCCAGGTCAAGTATCTTGTGCTGTTGAGTATACTGCGTTCAGTGTTTATTCCACTCTTTTTGGTGTGCAACGTAATTGTGTCGGAACAACGTCGACTGTTGGTGCTCATCAACAGCGATTTTGTTTACTTTATTCTGATCTGGATATTTGCTGTCAGTAATGGATGGATCTGTAGTTTGGCTATGATGGCGGCACCACAGCTCGAATCGATCAAGTCAGCACACGAAAAGTCTCTTGTTGGCAGTGTGATGAGCTTCTCGCTTGTGCTGGGATTAGCTATTGGTGGATCACTGAGTTTTATCGCTAGATGGATGGTCTGAACAATTGTACATACAACAAATAAATATATTTACAACAGAACGGGGGTAATAGGTTTATTTCGATGCATAGGGATATCAATCGTCGTTTTGTTAGCCTAGCGCATTATAAAGTTGTTCTCGGGAAATCCCTCCCCTCCCCTTTTTTCATCCTTTCTTTTGCACTTGCAATCATGTCTCATTACAAGCATGTTCCATTCACCAGCAATCTCCAAATGTGGTCGCCCTCGTCGTCTCTGATATCACTGGACTTCAACATGACAATGCACCCACACTCCACAGCAGCATCGACACACACAGAAGCGCCAAAATACTATCATCATGAGCCGCTCTTCTATCCAGCAGCATGCATCATATGCGGATTATTTCACCACCCTGTATCCCATACTATGATGAACTCCGCAACAGAGCAGTATCCATCTTCGACAGCAGTAGCAACAGCAACCTTAATTGCATTAGTCACGCCAGCTCCTTCTTCCAGCTCTCTGCCGACTATTCCATTAGAACGACGAAAAAGAAGGAAATATGGCAAAACAACAAGGAAAATGAAGATCAAACTTTTGACATGTATCCAATCTGTATACTTTAAACTGATGTCCACATTCATAATACCATTTAGGAAAAGACACAACGTCTATCCTTTGAAACGGCATGTCGATTGAATAAATTTATGCGGAAAGCTCTCTGGAAGACTGAATGTTTAGGGAGATTTTTGATTCGTTCTTTAAGCCATGTCGCATGAACAAATCCCATATATGGGGAGGTATTGACACACTTGACACCAATTAAACTTTGATGAAATTAATGCGGGATCTTTAATGTGGGATGGAAAATGAAATGTGAAAAAGAAATAGATCAGGAAGGAGAGTGCGATGCGCATGGCAAATATATACAGGCTATACCTATGTGTCCATGGGCAGCCATGTATTTCCATAGATCCTTCTTTTCCAAGCAAAATGAAAAAAGCAAATCATACTATTAAATTCATCTTCTTCCCGGGTTTCTGTCAGGCATATATTACCACCTGGCTTTGAATAAAAGTCTCCTGATGAAACGTGCTGTTGTTTGTTCCACTAAATTACTCGAATATGAAATAGAAAACCCTCTGTTAAAATTACCCACACTGCTAAACGAAATTCAATATAAATATGCCATGCTTCTCAACTCGACCTCTTTTTTTCTCTCTGTTGGAAACGCTTCCTATCTTTATCAATAAATACTTTTACAGCAATGCCTCTTGTTCGACGTGAATCGTCCTCTTCTACCTCATCCACCTCCTCCTCTTGTTCATCCAAATCTGTCAGTTTTGGAGACCATACCACTGTATTTTACACTCATCACTCTCGTGATTATGATCGCTCTGCCACAAGTGAGCCGTATCAAATGTCTGCTTCATTGGGCCGCATTTTCTTGACTGAACCTGAACAAGCCATCATTGGCAATCCTCAGCAAGATAGAATTGTTGAGAGAAATACATTTGCCAATGCTAGAAGAGGCCTTGAAGGTTATGCTGTTATGCGTCAAATTCGATCTCAATGATTGTATGCTTCCAATCTTTATACCCCCCCCCCCCATTTGTATTGTATTTCTTTCTTCTTGCATATATGTCTATATTTAAATAAAACCAACTCTGTTTATAACTTTCAAATCAACTTGATAAAGTGGATAGTTTATTGTGTAAAAGATGTAATGTACAATCAAATGGGCAATGTGGGTAAAATTTAGATATAGCTTAGTTGTTATGCGGTGTGGCGTTTATCGGGTCTCGACAAATTTCACTGGCAATTATATTAATAATTGCTCTGATTCGTTTTGTTACAAGGTACTTACTTTTAAATAATTTGGTTTGTCGCTTTTGAAGGGGTCTCTTCTTATATACATAGTCGGGTGTATTTAATAAATTATCATCAATAGGCTGAAGAGCTGCTTCCAGGCTCTGTAGTTTTAGAGAGGTCAGAAGAGGCAAAAATGCAGACTTTCATACTTTTTTTTTTTTTTTTTTTTTCACTTACATGTGGGTTATTAATATTATGAAGATTGATAAACTGTCGAATTTCCTCTGCCAGCTCGTCCTCTATGGCTTGATTTTCCTCTGTTAGTTCGCCCAATGTGCCCTTTTCTATTTTTCTTAGGATTCTGTCTCTTCGAGAAGGTTCGTTGAGGATGGGCACCATGTAGGATGTACAGGCTTTTGCACTACCGAAGAAACCAGGGCCGACAGAAAAGGAGGGATCATCCCAGTGGAATAAGGATGGGTCATAGTTTCTGAATGGATTTTCCTCGTGATTCACTACTTGTATGCCATTCATATCATCATTCTCGTCATCTGAAATATCCATTTGGGAGGCAGCTTGTTGAGAGAATGGCATGAGAGAGGGCTGTCTTTGTGGTTGAGAGTGTAGTTGTGCTTGCTCCTCTGCTTCCACAATTTGCTTGGATTGCTGCTGCTGAGCAAGTCTCTGTCTACGATGGAACGGATTGCTTTTTGATATTCTTTGGCTCTTTTTAGACTGTGATCCTCCCAATTTGAGACGAGGCGGTTGTGTGGAAGAGGAGGGCGATGTGGGCGATGCAACTTGTTCGTGATGGACACTAGGCAATGGCTGTGACGCACTGGTGGGCGTAAGTTCAAGCCAAAATGCCTCGTCCTCAGCTAGCACTCGATTACCGTAAGGGCTTGCAATGGTGGTTGTTGAACTGGATGTTGCTATGGCCATCTTCAAGCCCTCCACTTCAGACAGCCGCCTTACCTTTAAGCGATCTTCACGGTTCTCATGATGAAAGTATTGATTGACTCTTGTTCCAGATGAGCTTGGTGATTTTATGTATTCAACTGAGTTTCTGCGTTGCTGCGATGATGACGGTGATGATGTTGTAGAAGCGGCATCTTGACTGTCAGCAAAGACAGGACATGATGAGAGCTGGCTGGAGACATCCTCCATCTGATTTGCCTCCATTGCCTTCTTCAAATCCCTTTTTAGATGATTGTATTTCTTGTAAAACTTTTCTGATGGCCATAAAAGATCAGTCATGAGCTATTCTCGCATCAATGCATCTGGGAAAAACTAACCGATGTTGGGCCTCGCTTTAATATCGTCAATGGTCGCTGGTCTGCCATGCTTTTGAGAAAAAATGCCTTCCCATTTGCGAAGATCTTTCTTTGTACGCAAGACTCTTTTCTGCAACTCTTTGAGCTCGTCTTGTTCCATACTGCAGTGTAAGGTGAGAACAGGTTAAATCCAAGAGAAAGAATGATAAATTAAGTGGTATTACAGTAAATTGTTTATGTGTATTGCTACAGTCACAAATGAAATCAAACACGTTGCATGCATGGTTCATGGACGTGAAAAAGCGCGAATGGCCATTCAGCGCAGAATTGGGTTCATTTTAGAGGTGCAAGCTATAGATGCCTGCCATTTTGCTATACGGTTGAACACTTGCAAACACCTCTTTCAACATTAAATCGTGTGGCTCTCATGATGGCATTTATTACAAGTATTCATTCACTTTATCTCCTGCAGTATCGATGAGTTCCTCAATCTTTTGCTCGCTAGAAACAAATACTTGTTAGTTGCCTTCCTTTTTTGCACGCATAAACAGACAACGTACTGGGGGAGATAAGTTCGGTTTGGATAAAATACGTAATCCATGTCAATTCTATCCAGATTAGTGACATTTGACATGTAAATATCTGCAAACTTTCTAATCTTGTTGGCAAAGAAGGATGGATTTTGATGTGTTCGAAACACACTTCCAAATGAATGATTAAATGCTGTCTTTAGCTTGATTCTCACTTGCTTTCTTTCTGCTCTCCACTCGGAAATGAGGGAATCTAAGTCATCAATGTGATAGTCTTTGCGCCATGATTGGGCTTCATTCAATAGTTTCTCTAGCTGCAATAGCCATGATAGCGTGTGTCTATAAGAGGGTTGATTTCTGATCTCGATCTCCTCTGCCAGCTCGTGGATAATAGCTCCCTATGGATTCAAAAAGATCATGAGTCTTGAAATCCATGCCTATCTCAATCATGTCGCTTTACTGTGTGCCAGCCATGCTGCATCGATGCCTCCACAAGATCAGAGAATACATGATCGCCAAAGTAAAGCACTTTACCGCTGTAAATTCCAGTCAAATTAGCACTCACTCTCAAAAGCATAGTATTGATCTTACCCAGTCCAGCCTGTTAATTTAGCAAAATCCTTCATATTGCCTCCTTGATACACTTCTCCTGGCTCAAATGAGTTGACTTTGTCCCAGTTTGGTTCTTGCACTCTTCGAAAAGGGCGATGTGAGTTATAGAATTCGGGTTTCCTCGCTGACACAATCACACAATCAAACAGATCTCTCCAATCGTCACTTGATGTCAAGTAGCTCATTCCCTTTGATATAAATGCATTGGTGCTGTTTGTCAACAGAAATGTCTTTTTTCCTCTTTTGCGTAAATTCTCGAGATAGCCAACCAATTTCGGTGCTCTTTCCAGGTAACAAGACAGGTCCTTCATAACGTCAATGTGGAGTGTACCTCCAATACCATGCGCACCTGTGTGAAGGATACGAGCAGCCGTACTGACATCATCAGACAAATAGCGAGGATGGAAGCTTTTTGTTTGCAATAGAATGAGCTTTTTTTGTTTCATTCATTCCACAAGCCAGACTTACTTCATATTGTGGTCTCGAAAGTACTGTACCACATCACTCAACAGACATGCTTGTGGTATCGAGAATAAATCGTTTAGTTGAAACATGTTGCTCCTCAGATACTCTGGCGAAATATGTCTTCCCTTGTGAACTTGCATGATTTCGTCAATGTTGCTGATAGGTTCTCTTCCCACTGTCATTTGATATGCGTGTGTGTCAATCAGAAAACGTCATAGTTTGATAGTTCAAAAATATACCATGCACCGTGTTTAGTTGTATATTTGCCGTGTTATCAATCTTCATCAGCCAACCATTGTTGAAGTCTGTCAAGGTCTAAAGTTTTCTAGCACTCACAATTTCACACACTAGATGATATTCTTACCGTAATGGAGACCTCGAATAGCAAAATCTGGGTCAAATTGGAGATCTATGCAGGATCCAAAGAGTTGTATTAGTTGTTATTGATGGTAGTGCACCAAGAAATAAAATACCCTTGATGTGTTTTGGGTATCGCATGACATCGACAATGATATCTCGCAACGAATTATAGATTGTCAATGACAGATTCTCGGTGTAATTAGCCAGCGTGTACTGTACAGACTATCGTTAGTTTGCACGGCTAGATTTCGTATTGTAGAGCGTGATAGTATACTTGCGTCGTAATCAAAACCGTACACTTTGATATCACTGAGGTTCAGTTCATTGTTGATAAAACTAGATGTCCATTATCAATCAGTGAATAGCCAAAATGCATAATAATGGTCTTACACTTCATTTGGTGAGGTATAGCCAAATCCACAAATGTCTTCAGCTTGAGCATTCTTGATCGCCTTAGCATCCCATTTATGTTGCTTCAACGTGTTCATTGACAGAATGGTTGCCTTGTCTTTCTCGGCTGCGTCGATATGCTGTAGTTTCTTTTGTTCGTATCTCTTTCGCAACAGATCTACCACCCGTCTACCGTCAGCAATACCCGTGTAATTGTGGCGATGATAGTTGCGTTTGACGATCAGTTTTCGGAACATTTCTTCTGTAATGCTTATAGATTGTGTAAAGAAGGACGTATAAAAGAAAACTCCAAGTGCATATATATATATATATATATATATTTACGGTAAGTTGTTTGTTTCGTGCAATGTCACAAATGGAGGTGTTACAAATACGCAATTCATGCGATCATCAGTGTACCTTTTTGTTTGAATGTAGCTCCAATTGGTTTAGACATCACAAAGAAAACGTGATGACTGGTATCTGTCATTGGTTTGAAATGACTTGATTTGTAGTAGAGTGAGACCATTTGAAAGTGCCATGTAGGTATTCACTGACAGGGTCTCCATTCGCTACAATGATCTTTCAAAAACGCTTTCGACGGGATACCATTCGATTAGAAGCCACCTTGCAAGAAAGGCATTTGCAGCCAAAGAGCATTCTTTACAAACTTGAAATGCGGTCCCAGTCATGAAGTAATATCAAATGAAGCGGATACTCGTAAAGGGTCAAAGCTCACATACATGTTGTAATTGTTACTCATTCGGATCAACTATTCAAGCCATGGATGTACTCGAGTCACGGATAATCTGATTAGTCATTCTACTAGTTGAATCATGAATGCGTCGTTACACCATCTTGTATCGTGGAGTAGAGGACTTGCAAAATGCTTGATCTATACAAAATGTCAAATCATAAAAAGCTTTTCATACTTTCCTTCAAAGAGTGTAATCATCATTGAGAGTTTTCCTGAAGAGGTACTGAAGCAAATGTATATATGCACTAGCAGTAGATGCATGAAATTGAAGAATGCTAATTTTTGCTATCAACAAGCAATGCATTTATCAGGTGAATGTACGTTTAGGTCAAGTACAGTAGATGGACATTTGCAGGATCTGATCAATGCCCTACTTGCATGCGATGCATCTCAGTGCTGATCCTGCGTAACTACTCTATTGAGCACTAACATTTGCCTCTATGCAATTCACAATTCTATTGTACGAGCCCTTGGAAGAGCCTGGGAAAAAACGTCATTTTACGCACCTTGATATAGTAGCACAGTCGTCCTCCAGGCGACAATGATACCATGTTGGTCCTATCTCTCGGCCGTCTCATTTGAAACTGAGCACTAAAAAGGTAATGGTTTATAGGCGAAGCTTCGGATTTAAGCAAAAGACGGGATGGAAGGGGATAAGTAGATTGATAATCTCACTTTAGATAAAAAAAAAAAAAAAAAAAAAAAAAAAAACTATATAAAGGCTAATCATTCCAGTTTCTTAACATCTCTTTTCCCGCTTTAATTTTTCATCAGAGAACCAGCATCAATTATAACCCCACATGGATTACTCAAAGCATATCAGTGAGCACAGCAAGGCCAGAAACCCCTCAGCCAGTAAGTTGCAGCATAAACCACGCATCATGCCAGGTGCTGACATAATATCATTCTAGTTCGTGCTTTGATGCCCTATATGAACTGCAAGAAGATGGTAAGCCAAAGTTGGACAAGCTGACTAGCAACGCATGTGCTCATGCACTATGTGTAGATTTCCTTGGGTGCTGGTCAACCCAATCCTGCTACATTCCCTTTTGCCAGCATGACTGTAACTCTCAAGACTGGTGAAAAGATCGAAATTGATGACAATCTGTTCAACAGATCTTTGTCCTACGATTTGACTGTAAGTTATTTCTCCCACGATAAGAGTACAAACATCTCACATTGACGCATAGTCTGGTCAACCTCTCTTAAATGAATGGCTCTGTGAGCTCCAGAGATTGGAACACAAGCCTCCCGTTGACTTTGATCTCTCCATTGGTTCTGGTTCTCAAGATCTCTTGACAAAGGTGTTTACCATAACGCATGTTCTTGTAGTGTTGTCTATATATATACTGACATGGCTATATGATATTAGGCACTTGAAATGATGATCAACGAAGGTGACTCTGTCTTGGTTGAAAATCCTACCTACACCGGTGCCTTGTCTTTCCTTGAGACCATGAAGTGCGATCTCGCTGACATTGCCACTGATGACTTTGGCATTGTCCCTGAATCGTTGGAGAACATGCTCGCCAATTGGCCCGAGAGCAATCCTAGCGGAAAGAAGGATCAACCTAGACCTCACTGTTTGTACACCATCCCTACTGGTGGTAATCCCACTGGCTTGAGTTCCACATTGGAACGCAAGCAAGCCGTGTATAAGATTTGCTCCAAATACGACATTCTTATCTTGGAAGATGATGCTTACTACTATTTGCAATTTGGAGAGAAGCGCACTCCTTCTTATCTCTCTATGGATGTGGATGGCCGTGTCTTGCGTTGTGACAGTATGAGCAAGATTCTGTCTTCTGGTCTTCGTTTAGGCTGGATCACAGGCCCCAAGCCCTTGATTGAGCGTATCAACATGCACACCATGGTCACCAATTTGCAGCCATCGGGTGTTCCTCAGGCAATGACCTTTGGTTTGTTGGAGAAATGGGGTCACAAGGGCTTCTTGGAACATGTAGACCGTGTGGCTGATTTTTACCGTGAGAAACGAGATGAGTTCCTAGAGTGCCTAAATCGTAGAATGGCTGGCCGCGCTGAATGGGTTGTTCCTAACGCTGGTATGTTTGTCTGGCTCCGTTTGTTGGGTGGTATTACCGATTCTTACGATTTGGTCATGACCAAGGCTTTGAAGGAGAATGTCCTTGCCATCCCTGGTTTGGCCTTCATGCCTCAACAAAACAAGAATAACTTTATCCGTGTCTCTTATAGTAATGTTACCAAGGAAGATATGGATGAAGCTCTCCGTAGATTGGCTGCCGTTATCGATAAGGAAGCTGCTCTCAACGGCGTTAAGATCAACGCTTAAATTCGATGTGTTACACATCTATCCCATTTGTAAAGAAAAAACTTATTCCCTGCTTCTAGCAACCAAGCGTACATCTACTCTTTTTATATATTTAAATAAACTTATACAAGCAAATGTATGAAACACAATCAAATTTGACAGCTTTCAAGCCTTCGTATCTTGACATGTAAACCTTTCTGAGCCACCGAAATGGCGCCAAACAATTGTACTTGAGTAGTAGTAACTTCCTGACACCTTTGCTCAACTTTTTAGGTCTAAAAAAAACATGGCAAAAAATCGACCAAAAAGCATGAGGGGTACCTCATGGTTTTCATCGAAAATCAAACGATCGCGTTTTTCACCTTGAAAACGGAGACTTTTACTATGGTATCTATTAAATCAAAATGTTTCTCTCGATCCACAGCAACCTCTGAAATTACTTTTATGAAGCTTTCATATGCAAAATACGGCTATTTTTGCTAAAAACCTCATTTCAAATTTTATAAAATTGCTCTGTAAGTTTAGTCAAAACACCTATTACAATTAGCACCATTGGAAGCGCCTCGAAAAGTACTTCAAGAATGTATTAGGAAGCGTAGGGTGATCATCACAATTTATATAGTCGAATATCATAAAATAGATGAAAGAAGTCGAAAAAAGACAAAAACTGTCCAATCGTGAACAGAAATAAATACTCTGAGTTTGAACTGAATTCGGTGCTGCTGTTTGGCCAAAATGCCTCTCTGATGATGACAATGACGATTGGGATGCTAATTAAATGAGGACCATAAATTCAAAAGGACTACCGCTTAGCTTGAATTATTTCGTTTGTTTTTGTTGGGTATTTTCATATCTGACAATGCCAACCATCCTGGCTCATCATCAAATATATGTGATCGCAACTTCCTAATCATGATTTGCAGCATTTCAGCATGGTATGTCGGCAGCATGCGTTTCATTATTGATTCGTTTAAAGGAGACTATTGACATTGTCTGAAGAGCTATTTCCATATGTGATCAGGATATTTCTGAAATACGAATCAGCAATTTTGTTGACAGTTGGAGGATTTTGAGTGCGCCAGTCTTCTTAACAATTATTTCCAATCCCAGTTGAGGGTTGAGACGAATGTGGGCATTCTCGTTGATAAGGTTATCGTTCTTCTTCTTTACTCAGGATCTCGTGAGCATTCTTGTAAATGCGAACAAAAGTTTTTTTTAAGCTTTGCCTAGTGCTCGATGTTTTAAACTTCGTATAGTTTCTGAGTATATTATAGACTAGCCGATCTATCTCGCTACGCTCGATGTCGGCGTCGCTCTGTGAGCTCTCGCCAAAGACATTTTAAATCAGATATTATAGCATTTTGGTATATCAAATAGATGTTAAACAACTAATTATTAGTTAGTAAAAGAAAGGCTATATCAGAGCCAGGAGGAGAGGAGGTAGCTCCCTCAGCATCCTTTTTGCTTACACTGATATCAAACAAAGCCTATTATTGGGACAATGTGAAAGAAAATTCAAATTTTATGCAGTATTTGTACATCACAATCGCCATTTTCTGATAATAAAATTGTCATATCATTCACTACTGCTGATGCCCTTAATGAGATGGCGACATAAAGCTGGCTATGTGTAAAGTACAGGACTTGTGTAAGATCTACAGCAACTTTTTTCAGATATTGTCATTGCAAAAGGCACTTTTATAAGGAAAATCCCAAAAAAAAAAGGATTTAGGCTAAGTAATTGTCTTTTCAATTCCATGATCTCTATTTAATCATTGTCATCATCAAAAAGGCATTTGGATCAGCCAGCAGCAAACTGCCGCCAAAATTAATTCAAATTCAGCCTATTTTTTCTGTTCACGATTGGATAGTTTTTGTCTTTTTTCGACTTTTTTCATCTATTTTATGATATTCGACTATATAAATTGTGATGATCACCCTACGCTTCCTAATACATTCTTGAAGTACTTTTCGAGGCGCTTCCAATGGTGCTAATTGCAACAGATGTTCTAAATGAAATTATTGGGCAATCTGGTAAAGTATTAAATGAGGTTTTTAGCGAAAATAGCCATATTTTGCATATGGAAGCTTCATAAAAGTAGTTTCGGAGATTGCTGTGGATCGAGAGAAACATTTTGATTTAATAGATACCATAGTAAAAGTCTTCATTTTCAAGGTGAAAAACGCGATCGTTTGATTTTCGATGAAAGCCATGAGGTGCCCCTCATGCTTTTTGGTCGATTTTTTGCCATGTTTTTCTTTAGACCTAAAAAGTTAAGCAAAGGTGTCAGGAAGTTACTACTACTCAAGTACAATTGTTTGGCGCCATTTCGGTGGCTCAGAAAGGTTTACATGTCAAGATACGAAGGCTTGGAAGCTGTCAAATTTGGTTATGTTTTTGCTCCGTAGCTTTTATTTACACGGCATGAATCACATCTTTGGTAGCTGTAATTTACTAGAAAGGCAGCTATGTAGCCTGTGCAATTTTCATTTAAATAGGAGGCATATTGATTTTTGTAAAGCTAATTCATGCAAATTTTGAGGCGTTATGTTGTTGGTAAGATAATTAATAGTGAAAATGAGAAGCCAAGTTTACTGCTTGAATACTATGGTTTTGCACTTTTGCTTCGCTACGGTAAAACCCCCTTATAAATCAATGCTACCCAATGTTGGATTAGATGCATTATTATATTCTTGGTGGGCTGAGTGTATTATAGAGTTATCATCCAATCATCCTTATTATTAAAAACCACAAGATTAAGCTGCTAAAAGCGATACTAATTGCAGACGGCGTTCATCAATGATAGCTCAAGCATGGCACCCAGGCATAGAGTCAATACACGTGAATACAGTGCAACACTAAAGTCTGGTATTGCTCTCATTAGACATACAGCCAATGGAAAGATGGCAACCTTAATAACGAAATTTATATTTGGAGTGACATTTCAAAATTAGGAACAGACAATCCTTTCTCTCCAGCATCTTCTTGTCTTTTATGAATTGCAATATGGAGCTAAACCGTCCTCCTGCTAGACTGCAAGGCACCAGATCCACGCCCACATCGTCACGAAACCCCCTGAGACAACAGACAGTGCCATTGCCTCCCTTACCAAAGCGACAGCAATCCATCCTATCGCCGCCGGTGAAAGCTCGACCAAAGACGCACATTGCCATCAACACAAGGGCAGCATCCGCACCAACATTGGTTCCTCGAGTCAATGTGCTGCGTGAATCTCGTCTCCACCAGACATTTCAGTACAATGCAAACTCAACAGGACGCCTTCGTTCACACAGAGTGGGATATGCTGTGTATGGACCTATTCATGGCCATCCGGTGTTTGTCATTGGAGGCTATGGATGCACACGCATGGTTGGTATCATGTTTGAAGAACTAGCGTTTCGTTATGGTCTGAGAATGATTTGGCCCGAGCGTCCAGGGTAAGCAATGTAATGGAGGCATCTTCATCACTGCGCGTATGGGTCGATGACTAAGAATGTACGCATTAGGTATGGCTTGAGCGAAGAATGCGGATCGCAGGAAATCACAGCACTTGGATGGGCTGATGTAGTGATACAGCTTGCCAATGACCTACATATTCAACAATTCTGTATTATTGCACAGTCGGTAGGCACCGTGTTTGCATTAGCCATTGCTCGAAAATATCCCGGTCATGTGCTGGGCCCTATTTACCTGATATCACCTTGGGTTTCAACACAAGTAGCAAATACGTTCAAATGGACTCGACGGCTACCAGCTCCCCTTGTTGCCAAGACAATCTCGCTGGCATTGGATGTGATGTGGATATTTAATAAAGGAGGAAACGATAGCTCAGCGACATTGGATTCAGAAGAAGAGGATGCAGCGATTCAGGATACCCAACGACCAAGGAAAAATGCTCGACACACGATGGTTGCTTTTGAAGAGGATGAGCTATTGGCATCGTTGGAGGACGAAGTGTTTGATCTGCCTACAGATTTCCCTACAAATAGACCACTTCGGCATTTTGTGCGGCCTAAGCACATGTCTCTTTACTTGGCCATGAATAAACGCAGAATGTCAGAGCACTACAGCCAAGGCCAATTATGTGATGTGATGGTTGCCTTGGAGAAATACCACCTATTTGGATTCAACTATGCGGACATAAAAATTCCAATTTCTGCAGTCTGGGGTGACAAGGATGGTCTGATCCCACCAAAAGCCATTGATATCTTGGCGACAAGTTTACATGATGTGCGGTTGAAAATACTAGAGAGCGAAGGGCATGATCTGGTCTGGAAGGAAGGTGTCATGGAATGGGCGATGCGTGGCATAGCAGAACGCTGGAGACAAAAGTAGATGATGGTAGTAACAAGATCACACAACCACAGTCTTGTTTTTTTTTTTTTTTTTTTTTTTTCTTCAATATGTGATACACAATCACATATTCTCGTATACAAAAAGCCTTTTAATTTACACTTAAACCACTAATTCTTATCATCAATTAATCCCTAATAAACGCCATTTATGAGTACCTTTGACGGACGCATCAGAGAGTACCCGGCTGTAGCTATTGACAATTTTGAACCAAACAATTTTGCGAAATATTTTATACTAAGTCATGTCCATTCTGGTAATCACATACACAAAGGTCTCTACCATTGTGGTTTGCTGATAAACAATCCAAAATAGACCACATGAAAGGATTAACAGACTGCAACTTTAACAAAAAAGTATACTGCACAGAAGAATCAGCTAAAATTTTGCCTCATATCGTAGTGCGGTACAATAAGCAACCTAAATATCGACATTTGCAGAATTTATTGATACCCGTCAAGTACAAGCAAGTAGTGCGGTTGGAGACACCTGAATACGGCACTTTATCATTTCAGTTCCTCCCTGCAAATCACTGTATTGGATCAGCCATGTAAATACCATGACAATTGATATATCGAGGCATTGCGTTGACCCACATCGTCGCTTTGTAGGATATTGCTGGAAGGCGCAAATGGCAGTGTTTTGTACACTGGTGATACTCGAGCAGAGCCCCGTTTTTATGAGGAGAACTTGAGTATCATTAGAAGATATCGCATTCAAAACTTGTACATGGATACCACATGCGTGAGAGAGAACGCCGAGAAGTTTATCTCCAAGGTGAGTGTTTCATCAGAACATTTGGGATCCATTGTAAGCTCACAGCAGTGTATGTCAATGTAGCAACGTTCATGCATGCTCCTCACCAATCTCATACGGAAACAGGACAAACACCATCACATCTACATTGACTGCTGGACATTTGGATATGAAGAGTGTTGGGCCGAGATTTATGACACCTTTAAGCAAAAAGTGCATGTTTCCAAACTGAAATACAACACATACGTGGAAGCAGATCCAATCTACAAAGAATACTTGACCACAGACCCATCAACAACTCGTTTTCATTCCTGCAATTGGGACCTGAATTGTAAGCCCTATGAACACGGTTTGGTCGCAATTCACTTTAAGCCAAACATGGACGATCAACCAAGACTCTATATTCCTTCAGAAAAGTCAAATCATCTACTATCAACAGACTTGAGATACGATTGCAAGCCTCAATCCAGACATGTAAGCAAAATGCGCGAGAGAAACGAAAGCATGGTTACTCATTGTATATATCATCTATAGATACTACCATTTTCTTTTCATTCGTCCTTGGAAGAGATTATAGGGTTTGTCAACTATGTCAATGCGAAAACGCTCACCATGTGTGTAGCTCGTGGGGGCTATACAGGCATGGATGAAATGAGAAAGCTCTTGATTAAACGAGGTTGCAAGCTGGGTGAAATCAGTCATTCATCAGACTATTCATCAAACGGGAGCAGCACTGGTCAACAAAAGCGAAGAAGAACATCAGGCTTATCATTTAAGAAGGTGATGTCGAATACAGCTGAAGATCCAGATGAGCATACACCAGATGGAAGTGGCTCTGGCAGTTCGTGGACATCCAGAAAGACTGCGTCTCAACCTGTTGCCTCAAGCTCCAGACTAAACTCCACACGAGAAAAAGAAGAGCAAAAACCATCCTCTCATTCATCTGTGCTATCCAAAGCAGGCAGCAAGAGCCAGCTAAAATCCAGTTCACAGCCTCATTCATGTCCTGCAGCCACACAGCCTTTGATTGATCGTACAAACTTACCCAAAATATCTGCTAAAGAAGGCACTGAGAAGGAAATACACAGTGTCCAAGAAAGAGAACATGTTGTCCAAGAGGTTGTCGAGACTGCTGCATCTGTCACTGAAGAACACACATCCAATTTAGAGAGATCCTTGTCCTGGGAGATCATCGCCATTGTCCCCAACACACCTCCTCCACCTCCCTCTCCCAAACCCCAAGATGATGTGATTGTAATCAGTTCAGACGACGAAGATACCAAACCATTCATGACAAGACTTGAAACGAGACGATTTTTCAGAGCATTGAGAAAGTGTCATATGAAAAACGACGAGTATATTGCAAAAGCTTGAGCTAAACCCTAATCTAAACGTAATAGCCCTAACCCTAATGTTGCCATCTATAATACTACTAATAATAAACCGTATACCCCTATTTTTGTCATAACATCAGAAATCATGTTTAAATCTTGAGTTGAATTCAGCTTCCATATCGCTACGGAATCATATTCGCCTTTTATATATCATTCATCATCTGTTATACAACTTGAGGATGAGAGACACTCGACTGCATAGGATCCACCTGATTGCACTCTAACCTCCTTGTGAAAAGGGCTTCAGATTGAAAACTACATTAGTTTTGGCTTACATGTATCGAGTTCAAGCCGAACAAGAAAATTTGTCTTCATATGCAAATAGAGATACAACAAGCATAGTGATCCTGCATGCCGCCTGGTTTCTATCCCCCCCTCTAGTACTTACATACATCAGACATACCTCCATCTTCAGCCCCCATCTCTTTCAATGAAACTCGAGTGCTTGCTGCTTTTTCTATCAATTTCTCTCTGATCTCCGTTCTTACAATATATGGAATTCCTTCATAATTGTTCCTTTCTACAAGAGGAGGAAACTCGGTTAAATCCTCAACGCGAATTTATCTTCAACGAGATCATGAAAAAAGAAAAGCAAATTCCTTTGAAAAAAGGCGCAAGAATGGTTACATTTAGAAAGATGTCAAGGCGATGTGGTTTTGTCGAGTGATGAGTACAAAGAAAAAGAAGGATATCGAAAACAACACGCGAAATTTCCATTTTATAGCAACAGTCCTGAGTCACGTCATTGGTGGATCTCATCACGCACAGCTACCATCACAGATCCATTGACTATCAGCTTTTATTCAGCAATGATTGCACATACTACATTACGTTCATCACGGATTGAAAGCCGAATTACTCGTTACTGACTTTGTGGGGATATTGGGGTTGACAGCACACCTGTTGAGCAAACACATCAATGTCCATTAGCTACAATCACTGCAATCACTTACATCCATATACGGGTCTTGTAAATCTTGAACAGCTCTCTGACCAGCTCACGAAAATCAATTCTTCTTTCAGCAATAAAGTAAAACGTTAATTTACGACGATCCCTGGAATGATGCGTGTGATGAGCAAATGCGTGTGTGTTGAATAGGCAAAAGCATATATGACAATTACCACTGAAACTCGGCATCTACCACTTCCATTGACAACTTTCTGTGCTTGATCTTTTGCAAACACACTGCCAACGCCCTCTGCTCGTCCTCCTCCTTGTTAAGCAATAAACTGATCTCTTCAGAAGCTGCTTTTCTATAAATCTTCTTTACGAAGGAATCTGCTGTCGAGTTCTTTTTGGTATCTTGAGTTTTATCTTCATCATCAATGACCAATCTGTTGCTGCTGTTGTTGTGCTTTTGCTGTTGCTGCAACAACAAGACTTGGCTCACTGTTAACACATCTGTAGCTGCCTTGCCGAGGTCCTTCCCACGATCTGCTTCCACCAATACTAAATCGCCCACTTGTATCTGGAGTGAAGGGTCAGAAACATAGTAAAAGTCGGTGCGGCCTGATTTGAATTCAACCATAAAGAGCGGAATGTGCGGTGGTAGTCTCTGCAATGATAATCCTTTGCCGCTACTGATACTATCTTGTTGCTGTTGTTGCTGTTGTTGCTGCTGCTGCTGTTGTTGTTGTTGTTGTTGTTGTTGTTGTTGGCTGGATATGACAGTGACATTGGTAGACGTCTCTGGGATAATCTGACAGGGTAATATAGACGATGAACTTGATCTATGGTTATCTAGGTAGTCTGATAATGGCTGAATAGATGATGCAGAGGAAGCAGACAGAAATGGGGTTGGACTACTAGTGCTACCACCACTGCTGGCGCTGGTGATGCCACTACATGAGAATATAAGTATATACAATTCCTGCAATTCCCTTGCTGTTGATTTATCAGAAGACACTATTTGTATTTGTACTACTTACTGGGTTGGTCCTCCATTGGGAATTATTTCTGGGAACGAGTACTCTTGAATGTTATTGAGCGGTGGTGGTGGTGGTGCTGGCTGAGACATGCGTCTTTGTGAGAGCAGCAGTAAATCCTTATGAGACGAACTCTCCATGAAAGAGCTCAAAGAGCTTCGTCGGTGTGTGTGCATCCAATGACCACTAGGATACATGCCAAATGCTGCGTTGGAAGACTGTGATCGAGAGCGAAGATAGGCGTCGTCAAATGCATCATCTTCCTCCTCCTCTTCCATAGTAGGCGTCAACAAGGCGTTGCTGTTGCCTCTTGCATTGTGGTAGTCATCGTAGCCAAAAAATGCGGGATCCTGGCCCATTGAAAAAGAGAGACTGCGCTGTTGTCGATAGATGGGCTCCACAGATACATGGGGCAACATGGGTGTGGATAAGATGGCATTGGGATCAAAATACTGCTCAGACGGCGTATGAGGGGGCAAAGGGGTTCTGGGCGCAGGAGCAATACTGCTGTTGTCTTCATCAAAAATAGACGGCCCCTCCCACTGCAATCCACCAAACGAGCCCCATTGCTTTTCTGAACATGCAGATCCTCTTCGCCTGAGCTCTGGATATGGTTGATTTATCAATGAAGAAGATGCCTGGGATAACGAAGTGGTTGCATGATTGTTGTGATGATTCGGAGTCGCACCATCGAAAACACGACCTACTGAAAAGCTTCCTTTTCTAGATCGATTTCCCACTACCTTCCAGTCTGCCTCCGAGCCAGCTTTCATTGCCAAGTCTATAGCCTTTTGGATCTCTCTTGTCAATGGATGTGGACAGCATGTCACTTGTGTACTTACTTCGTCCTGGTTATCCTTCCACTCTGATGGCTGTGTTTAAATCATGTCAACTCTGTATGCTCGCCGCATTGTCCACCCTACTTACCAATGTCATGCTTGTGAGATAATGCTTTGCGGTTGTGTACAGAGTATGAATAAACGAGTTGTGAAAACAAATAAAGAAAGAAACGGATGAAAAAAAAAAGGGAGTTTATTTTATAATATTAAAAGGGAAGAAAAAATCCCTCCATCTAGATTTGGGTGGGATTTTGGTAACCGCTTTATTTACTATTCTCATCTTCTTGTTCAACCTCTTTCATTGCTTCTAAAATGGCTTTCTCCTGGTCTTGCTCTTGCTGTTGTTCTTGCACTGGCTCATTGACCTCTTCTTGCTCGATAATCTCTACTTGCTCATAGTCGTCTTGCTTGCTCAAGATTTCTTGCTGCAAATTGGCTTCTTCCTCCTTTTGTCTCAAAAGAGCCTCTTCTTGTGCAATTCTCTCTTGCTCTTCCTTGGCTTTTCTCTGGTTTTCCTTTCTGATTTCCTCTCTCTCTCTTTCTTCACGGGCAAGACGTTCTGCCTCTTCCTTCTCAAGTCTCGCCTTCTCTTTGGCAACCTCTTCTCTTCTGGATGATTCCTTCTTCGTCTTACCATTAGCAACGTCCAGTCTGCGGAAGAGGCCTTCAATGGACTCGATCACTGTGCGCTTCTTTGTCTTGATATTGGCAACAAGGTTGCGCTCAAATTCATTAGGCTCGGCTTCAGTCTCGCCCCCCATGACAACTGTTAATGGTCTGATCGCGTCCAGCTTCTCCATGAGTCTCAGTAACAACTCGTTGGAATGAGCCAAGGTATATTCTTTTTGCTTGAAAGCCTTATCATCGCAGGCTTGATCCTCCAAGTTTCCTTCGACCTTTTCAATCTCGAGTTCGATGGCTTGTTGTTCCTCCTTGATTTGGTGTAAGAGACGCAAGGTAGTTCGCTCTGCACGGCGACCAGCTCTTCTACGCTTTGCTTTCTTGTCATCTTCGAGAATATAGTAAGTAATGCCAGATCCTGCAAGAGCCAAAGAAAGAGCGGCAGCACCATAAAGCCAAATGGTACGATTATTTTGCGAATTTGACATGGGTTGAAAAAATAAATAAGTGGAGAAAGAGAAGTGCTAAAATGTCAAACTAGCACCCACTTTAAATCCAGAAATGGCTGCCATTTTCAAGCATCGCAACATTAGAAAGCTGCCAAGGACGGATACGATGCCTAGGAAACAATGAGCATAGTCCCTCTTGTTTAAAACAGCTTGCAAGTGGAAGAAATGGTACTCGAAGATAGCCAGACCTTGCTAAATTTTGGCATTTGGTCTGCTTTACAACCAGCATACAACATTTACTCTCAATGAACAAAAGCAGTACATTTAAGCAGAGTTTCTTTATTTACAAATAGTCATAACCAGCACCACTTCTAACCTTGACATGCTTCTTTCCCTTCTTATGCTTCTTTGACTTTGCATCACCCACATCGGCCAAATTAGCTTGCACCATAGCCATGCGAGCCTTTCGGCTCATAGGCAGAGGTGTGCCGTCATCCGCAAGGACTCGTTGGTGAGGATATAATGTAACACGGCCGCCCGTCATGGAAGAAGCTGCTGATGCCTTTCCACTCACTCGGGGTTGTGAAATTTGCTTTTCAAAGAATGCTTTGTCGACTGCATCGGTTTTTGATCCAGATTGGTTTTTTGTGCCGTCAGAAGGTGCAACGTAATTCAGGGCGGTGGATGGCACACGAGTGGTAGGTGCCAGCTTTTTGAATACTTTGAGTGCTGCTTCATTGGTTTCTTTGTTGAATTCTTGGGCATCAATGCCAGGAGGAGGATGACAGAAAAGAAGTTTACCCTACACAATGCTGGTTAGTTTCACAGTTGATGGCTATAATACTTGTATACTCACATTAACATAATCCTTCAAGATGTATCTAGCAGCACGAGCTTCATCAGGATTACCTTGACTGGAGCGAACATAACCACGAGCAATAGCATATGTAGAACAGAATTCAGCGCTGGTAGGGATACCAGTGCCGCCGTCTTCGATAGGCACTGTGCGGATACGAATACCGTAGGTGCTCTCGAGCACAGCCTTGGGAATACGCTTGGCAACCAATGTACAGGGACCAGTGTGCTCACGGAGCTGATCAATGGGTAACACACCATTACAGACTTGATCTGCCTTAGTTGTAGAGAACGTAGGGAATACTAAACCGGGACAATCACAGAGAACAAGACTCTCATTCAAATGGATAGTCTGAAAGTGCTTGGTCTTACCAGGAGTGGAAGAGACGGACACACGCTTCTCACCAATAATGGCATTGATAGTACTCGATTTACCGACATTAGGATAACCCACCAAACCAATCGTCATTTTTTCAATCTCGCCATTCTCGTTCTTGATGACAGGTGTCTGCTCAATCAAAAGATCCAACAAATCAGTAGTAGTGCGTACACGCGTGCGCTCGTCGTCTTTTTCTTCGCTCTCAACGCCGAGAGAGGCCTTGGACAAAAAGTCGGTAATGTGTTCAACCTCTTCCTTCTTTTCCTCAATATCTACTGCTTTTTCAACAACATTCTCTTCTTCATCGTCAGTCTCTTGGTCGCTACTGTCTCTCTTTGCTTGCTGGGCCTTCAAGGATGCCTCCAATTCTTGACGCTGTCTTTCCTCCTCTTCTTCCTGCAATGTTTTTGCGGCAATAGCAGCAGAGAAGAAGGTGTATTTGATGCCTTGAGCATCAAAGTAATCAGCCCAGGCCTTTCTTTGCTTTGCAGTCAAGAAATCGGCCTTATTGATCAACAGCAAATTGGCCTTGCTCTCATCCACTTCCTTGACGTATTTTTCCAAATCGGCAGATCTAAACAGCATGGGATTACGAGCATCCACAATTTGCACAATCAACTGAGATCGCTCGATGACTCTCCACAATTGACGCCAGACTTCGAGATTCTTTTCAAAAGGCGTCAGCAATAAACCCTCTTCATCTTCCAGTGTAGCCATATCGCGACGCCAGTTCAAGAAGCTTTCACGTTCATTGCGTTGTACTTGCTCAGCTGTCATGGATTTCTCCCAGTGAGGTCTACGAGGTACTGATAATTTGTCGACATTTGCTTCCTGTTTTTCAATGCGAGTGATTTCCTCTTGTTCAGAGATCAAAAATGGGTTTTGGTAGTCGTTTTGGATCACTTTGACGTTCAATCTTTCTACATGAAATAAACCATGTCAATTACAGTTTCAAAAGGTAAGTGCAAGTTGCCATGTTTACCAGCAGTGAAATCTGTTTCAGCAAGAGCAGCAGTACTAAGAAAAGCATCTAAATCGTTTTCTTGGGTGATACTCTGCATCTTGACCCACTTGGGACCTTCATTGACTTCAGTGGTGTGCTAAATTGCAATGGTAAATGAGTGAGTTGGTGCATTGACATGAGGCAGAAAACTTACAAGCTTGCCTTCATCAAGAGCAATGGCTTTCTGTCCCTGGAAACGAGACTTGATGACAGCTCTGCCAAGAGAACTCGTCTGCTTTTTCTTTGCTGGAGGCATAATTTATTTAATAAAAGAGTTGTTGCAGTTCAAAAAAGATTTTGAGCATTTGGATGTGCTAAAAAGGGATTGAATTCTCGGATAGTAAAAGCCGTCCGCAAGCCACTAGAGTTTGTAAGCATGCTCTGCTGACTCAGTCCGCAATGTGGAGTGATATGGTTGTCATTGTATTGGTAATAAACATCTATAGTTACTGCGCCAGCATGCATTAGTAGAACCAAGTGCTTCGCGTTGTCTGATTTCTAGCAATTCCTTTGGGATCAAGGGTATCTAATGATGACTATCTGCGTTGCATGAATAATGATAGATCAGAATATTCGCATCCCCTATTTGGAGCTCCTTAGGCACTTGAACGAAAGCATAATGTACTGCTCAATTGCTCTTGAAATTGTTATTTGCAGCTGCTCGACTTTTATCAGCAATGACGTTGATAACTTGCTATTAACAAAAAAAAACAAGCTTGGAGTGAGTAGACATTTTCGAAGTCTTAGGAAATTTAAGTTTGCAGTAGTAAGTAGGTTTTATTAAATATGGAGCACGTTCGTTGATCTAAGCGATAGAGCTTTTTCAATACCCAATTCTCATTCTATGAGCTTCCAAAGGCAATGGTTACGTTGTAATAAGAATGGTATTGGCTTTGCCATCAACCAGCAAGCAGCCAAACCCATTTAAGCTCAGATTTACTTCTGCTTCAGATTGGACAGAATTGATCAAATTTCGACTCGATTGATCTATTTTGCCAGATCCGACTACATGAATCGTAATAATCATCCCATACTCTCTTCATCTTTCTTGAAGTACTTTTCAAGGCGCATCTAATGGTGCCTATTAAAATAGTTGTTTTGAACAAACTTATTGTGTAATTTGAGAAAGTATGAAAAGAGGTTTATGGCAAAAATGTCGAGATTTTGCATATCAAGATTCCATAAAAGCGATTTCAGGGACTGCATTGGATCGAGAGAAGCATTTTGATATAATACATACTATAGTAAAAGTCTTCGTTTTCAAGGTAAAAAAATGCTATCGTTTGATTTTTGTGATTTTTCATGAGGGGTAACTCATGCTTTTGAGTCGATTTTTGACGAAATTTTTTAGGTCCCCAAAAAATTGAGCGAAGATGTCGGTAAGTAAGTGCTAGACGAGAGCAACGGTTTGGCACTATTCTGGCAACTTGAAACGACTTCCAACAACAGAAGTCACTGCTCAAAGGCATCTAAATTTCGCTGTATTTTGCATGATTTTGGGTAATAAGAGGTCTTGCCACTACGATGCGTACCTATACATGAGTTGCTTAGATTAATACATACCTTAAATATCGCCGTGAAGTCGGATCCAAAGTTACGGAAGTTTCCTGCTTGCTAGTATTCAGAAAAAACAAAGACTGAAGTAGTAAGATTCGATAGAGTTCGCAGCATCGTCATGAGATGGGGGGGAAGGCGAGCCGCTGCCGTGTAGATTGGTTCTTACTAAAGCAACGCAAAGATGGAGAATTACCTGAAACGTAAAAACACTCGTAATATATAATGAATCAAGTTTCTCTTCATCGTATTTGAAATAATGTTTCCCGCAATATCAGACAAAGAAGACATTAGAAAGCTGGTGAAAGCCATGTACCATCTAAACTGCTGCTGCTTGCCAACATGTCTATGATGTCATTTTCATTGACGATTCAGCATGGTCCTTAGTCTTGGATACTCTGTGACAGATGAAGGCATCATATGCTTGACAACCACATTACCTTCCATAGTAAGCACGGCTTCAACCTTCAACCAAAAAGACAATAGCATTCCAATTGAGCACATGGAAGCCTAGTGTTGAGTTGCAATCAACAACTTCTTAATTAGGACAAATGAACGCGTTTCCCATGCCATCTCAAAAGCTTGACTTCAACCTCAAAACAACACGCGACACCTGTTTAAATTCCTTTTTGTGTCTAAAGGGAAATAAAACCCCTCTTTCCCTCTTATTTCTCTCTTCTCACACACACACACACACACACCCACATAAATCCTTCTTTTTGTTTAAATAACTGGAAATGTCAGCTGGAAAAGTGTACTCTGCAGTATACTCTGGTGTTCAGGTTTACGAAATGATGATTCATGGCATTGCCACCATGGTGCGAGGAGAAGACTCGTATTTAAATGCGACACAAATCTTGAAAGTAGCAGGATTCGAAAAGACCAGAAGATCCAAGATATTAGAGAGAGAAGTGCTAATAGGGGAGCACGAAAAAGTGCAAGGAGGTTATGGCAAATATCAAGGCACATGGTAAGGCTATACTATTACCTACATCTGCGCATCATGCTTACATCCAAACCTTAGGATTCCGTTTGAAAAGGGAAAGGAATTGGCAGAGAAATATGAGGTGCTCGATAGGATGATGCCTCTGCTGAATTTTGACCCCAATCAACTCTCGTCATCAGAAGAAATCCCAACAAAAGAGGAAGCTCAGTTACAGGCCAAGAAAGAGAACAATCGAGCATCTTCTTCGCCAAGAATGGCGCCACTTGCATTGCCAGCACCGCCACAAACTTCATCACAATCATCCACTACGCCCTCCTCGTCCAACAACAACAACAACAGCAGCAGCAGTAGCAAACGAAAACAATCATCTTCATCTGCACAGAATCGAAAAAAGCTCAAGCTCATGGGCGTATCTCCCGAGCCAGTTTTGGTGGACGATGCCTTTTATGAGCACCATCGCAGTCTTTTAATGAACCTGTTTCTCTCTGATGACCCTAATGCAACACCCTCTCTTTCAGCACTCTTAACAAAGGACATGAGCATTGATCTCGTCATTGATGAGCAAGGCCATACAGCACTTCACTGGGCAGCTGCATTGGGAAGATTGCATATAGTCTCCTTGCTGATTGAGCATGGCGCCAATGTGTGTCGAGTCAACTACAAGGGCGAGACACCATTAATGCGGGCGGCTATGATTACCTGCTGTTACGAGAACAAGAATTTTGCAGAGATGGTGGAAATCATGGCCGACGCTATCCCAATAACAGACCAACGAGGCAGAACTGTCCTGCATCACATTGCGCTTACAGCTGCGGTGGAAGGCTACACAGACGCTGCTATTTATTACATGAAACGATTGGTCAAAGGTGTACCCAAGAAGAGCATTCTCAAAAACATCCTCAACATCCGAGACACACACTATTACGAATCAGCATTAGCGATCGCACTCAGAGTGGAATGCCAAGATATTGTGGATATTCTGATTAAACATGGGGCTTTAGACCCTCTAATGAGTGGCATAGATGAAGACGAAGAAGTTGATTTTGAACCCATAGAATATGAGGCTAATCCTAAAGGAAAGGACATTATGAATTGTAAGTTGATCTGCTATCACTCCAAAACCAAGTGTACTCATGTGTCCCATAGCGCTTCAATACATGATTGACAAGCTCGAGGAGGATTACATTGAAAAGCTCAAAAAGCGAGACGCTGAAGCACACGCTCTGAAAAAGGAGATGAATATGCTCAAATACGAGCTACGAGAAGCTCATCGACGATTAGAACTACCAGTGTCTATGCAACTTGCAGAAGCCAGAAAGAAAATTCATCAATTGGAAAACAAAGTAGCCTACGATGAAACAACCATTGGTGATCTACGCATTGAGCAACAAGAAGCCATGGATGCATCTGAAGATCCTACCGACAAATCGACCAAGGAACGAAAATTAGAAAAGAAGCTCAAGACGCTCCAAAATCAAGTAGAGTCTGGAAACAAGACGATTGAAAAACTGCAGGCTGAATTAGCAGCTGAAAAGGCGAGAGCAAATGAAAAGGAAATGGAATACAGACGATTAATTGCAGCAAGTTGTGGCTTACCGATTGAAAGAGTGGATCGCTTGATTAAACCATTGACACTAGCGATTGAAAGCGATCCGCCTGATCTTGATATGGCTCGTGTCATAGGGTTCATGGAAAGGTTGCGTCGACAAGGCAGCCATGCCAACGGTACTGGCAGTAGCAGTAATATGAATTCACCTCGTGATCCCAATGCTGCCACCACGCCTGTCTAGACAGCCTACCGGGCCTCATCATCTCATCTTTGTATATACCGTATATATCTCTTTTCTATTCATCGCATATAACTTTTTAATTATCTAATTCATATCAATATTTTGCCGTTTGCACACACACTCCAGATAGCATATATCTCTTCCTTTTTTGTAAAACAAATTCTATGCTTTATTTTCATCAATAAATATACGTCTGAAAGCATGCTCCTCTTCATGTCAACTTGTCCTTCCAGCCCCAATCTTGTTCAGCACGATTAGTCACCATTTCACCAATAGCAAATGAAGCTGTGCAGGCAGGACTTGGTGCATTTCTAACGTTCAAGATTAAGCCGTCCATGACATTTGTCTCTACAATGAAATCGCCAGCAGCAACACCGCCCTTTTCGAATACCTGTGCCATGACACCAGCAAAACTAGGTTCTACCATATCACCTGTCAAACAGGGCACGTACTTTTGGCCGCTCTTGAGAAATGCCGTCTTGTTCAAATCTTTGTACAATTCCTCCAACGATAAACTGAAATTCTTGAGCGCAAATGCCCAAAATGCGCTATTCATGACATTGTCCCACACATCCTTGATCTTAACGTCAAAGAAACGATAGCCTTCGCGAGAAAATGTGATACAGGCACCGGGACCTACAATTGTTTGATGGCCACGACGAACGTCTACAGTAGGAGTAAAGTGCACGCCAACAGGGATACCACTATTATTAGGCACAGGGTAAATGTTGCGTTTAACCAAGGTACGGTACTCGGGCTTCAATTGGTAATAGGTACCACGGAATGTAACGACTTTGTGCTTGCTAGCATCACCTCCTGTAAGACCAGCGATACGATCTGAATAGAGACCACCGCATGTGATGACCTTGTTGGCAGTGATTTCCAAATGAGGGCCGTCCATGATGGGCTCGCCACCAGTAATTTTGACCTTGCCATCGCTTGTCTTTTCAAATTTCTTAGCTTCGAATGAGGTCTTGATGTCAGCACGTCTATATTAAATAGGTGAGACAACTATCAACTTGAGCTGGTCCACTAGCATCTTACCCTGATTTTCGAAGCTCATTTGCAATGCATTGACTGACAAGCCAGTAGTTGACGATACCCGTGTTCGGTGAGTACAGGGCACTGTATGCTCTGACATTGGGTTCTAATTCCGTAATCTAGAGTTTCTGCAATTAGATCAAGAACCAGGATAAGAGAAAAGCTTCTCATTACGGTACCTCTTTGCTGTAGATAATCTTCAGCCCCTGAACTCCATTGGCAGTGCCCTGGCGGTATAGTTTTTCTACTTGTTCATGTTCCTTTTCATTGCAAGCGACTACCATTTTACCACAACGTTCAACAGGCAGTTGATGTTCCTCACAGTACTTGTACATGAGATCGGCACCACGAACACAAGTGTGAGCCATTTGAGATCCCGGTTCGTAATACAATCCAGCGTGAATCTAACAACACCTTGGTGAATATCCCGTAAATGAAAAGCAAACAGTTTATACTTCATACGACACCACTGTTATGTCCAGTTTGTTGTCCTGCTACTTCTGCCTCCTTTTCCAAAACGGTCAATGTGACATGTGGATATCGTTTCAAGATCTCTCTAGCAGTGGCTAAGCCAACAATACCGCCACCAACAATAGCAATGTCAAAGTGATCATGTCCTACAGTTTGTCGAGGATCTGGAATGGCAAACTTCTCTGCTCTCAGGGGACCCAAGAGTTCTTCTAGACCTTTCTTTTTGGAGCCGCCTTCGCCTGGAAGCTGATCCCACAGCTTGACATTGCTATGCGACAAAGAAGGCATTGCTCGGTGCAAATGTCGAAGTGCAACGCATGTCGATAATCGTTGTGAGTGTTTCAGAGTTAATTTTGTGAGTAAATTGTGAGGAATCATGTTAGGTATGGAAAAAAGAAGACAAAAAAGAAACAAGTTGAATCGAACCGGCTTCTTTTTATCTCAAAAAAAATCAAGAGATGAAAACCCTAGTTTTCCATTTTAAGGTTTCCCGCATGAATTCCACTTTTGATGGCCATGATCCCATTTGTATCAACAAGTTACAAGCGATAAAATGAAAGAGTGTATACGTTTAGGCGCAACTAGTGGGCTACTAGTGTAACCGCTTGCTAAATTATGTCATTTTTGATCTCTGACATTACAGAATATCATAGCAACACCCCTTATCCCTTATCAAAAATACCATAAATGGTCTTATTTAGGCTGTTGCCCTGCACCGCGGAATATGGCATGGAATCAGAATGTTATCATTATTCACCAATTTCAAGCTAATTTGGCTGATATACCTCCTTTTGATACACTCGGATCTTTGCAATGGTACAGGGATTAAGAGTACCCTTGGTCATGGTAACATTAGAGCTCAATGCTACATGTTGGAAGACACCATTGATGATCTGTGATTAGATATTACAGCATATACAGATAATCACATTTACTGTTAATTCATTTACATGACACTTGAGCCACTCCTCCACATCCCAGTTACCGTGCTTGACAATTCATGTCATTTTTTATTCTTTTTTTTTTTTTTTTTTTTTCTTTTTTGCAAAGCCTACTTAAACACCACCCTTCTTGACATTGAAAAAGTTCTTGACCACAAAGACTTGCAAACAAGCCATTGAGATGATGGCAAGACTTTCCATGAAAGCAAACCAAAAGATTCTGCTTTCGGTTGAAGTGACGGTAGCTGAATTGCGGTTCTCTCTTGTACGGAAATACTTTTGTGTGCGAGCAATGTTGGTCAATGATCCTGACAGGCGAAATAATGATTCTTCCATTTCACTGAGTTTAGCGGGTTGCTCATTGCCATAGGCATCCTTTTGGAAGTTGGGTCGAACTTCATTTTCAACAGTAATCTCGAAATCCACCAATTTTTCAGCAAATGTAGACATGTCATTAGAGAAACAGAAAGAGTACTCTCCATAAGCATTAGCAGTGAATACATAATCGCCTTGACGCTCGTGTTCTCCGTTTAAAATGGATACACCATCAGGTCCCTTTACATCATAATCGATATCAAATGAGCCACCTTGTTGAACCTATCTCATAGCTTTGAGCATGATGTTTGAGTATATCCGTAAAGCCAACTTACAGCAAAATAGAAACCGAGCTTCTTGCCTGGTTTGTCAGCCCAAATGTAAAAGCAGGCGTTCTCGTTTGCTGCAAGGTTATATGTTAATGCTGTTGCATCTGAGCCTTGAGGTCCGAGCAAGAGTGTAAATAAAAGAGCTACACATAAATAGATCAAAGAGTGTTTCGCCATATTGGACAGAACGCGTGTATATGTTGGTAAAGAGAGTAGTAAGGGAAAAAAAAAAAAAAGAAGGGATGTATAAATAGGAAACTCCATCCAATATAAGTTGGCGAGATTCCATTGGAGAGTTTTAAAATTTTTGCTTTGGAAGCAAGGAAAGGTACAACAATATCAACATGGCTGTGTAGTACGCTGCTGCCGCTTGCTAGAGAGTTGTGCCTGGTTGCTAGGGCCCTCGATAACTTGATCCACAGATAAAAAGAGGACTTTTTCGATTTGATACAACCCAAAAGGCCTCATCTAGTATTTGCATTCAACGACATGTGAGCATCTATTAGTCAATTTAGTGCAAGAATCGTGGTTTCAAACACTGTTTATTGGCATTTTGCTGATTTTGGAACGACAAAGCATGGTTTGAATCAAGGAAAACAAGAGACATTCAAAATTTGATAAAACGGTATAATAGATGTATTGTTTAATAAGCAGAAATATAAGTTTAGTTTGACAAAACGATAGTGACAAAGTCTGCAGGATAGAGAATGAGTTGCGCGTAATGTACAAACAATTTGAAATCAACTTACCAACATAGTTGATACGACCGTCTTTGCCAACTTCAACATCCTTCAAAAGTTCATCAACTTCGCTTTCATCCAATTTCTCACCAAGGTTGGTCAAAACTTGAACGGCAAAATCAATAATCAAAACCTCTCCCACAGCAAGGCATCAAACAACTTACCATAACGTAATTCACCAGCAGAAATGTAACCATCACCTTCCTTATCAAAGACTTGGAAGCCTTGAATGAATTCTTGAGACGAGCCAGCAGGCTTGAAACCATCAGGTCGCGTGAGGATAGACAAAAATGTACCGAAATCAATATCAAATTCTATGTATTTTGTTTAAGCCCTGAAATGTAGTGTGTGATGTGTTGTACTATAAACAAACCTTGGGTTTCGGGCACGTTCTTGGATCTGGCAGTATCCTTGACGAGTTCAGCAACCTCAGCCTGAGTGGGGTTTTGACCAAGGCCTCTCAAGAGATCGCCAAGGTTGACAGAAGAGACGGTGCTGTTACCCTTCTTATCGTATAAAGAAAAGGCCTCCTTCCATTCTTTTTTTTTTTTTGTTTACATTTTATTAGAACAAAAAAAAAAGGCAGCCAAAGCGAAACATTTATAATACTATACCATCGAGTTGTTCTTGAGTAGGCTATGAAACGGGTAAAGTTAGTATGGTTGTCTACTGTAATAGCCTGTATAATACATACTGCTTTGCTCATTTTTATAATCTTTTGTGAAAATATGTGTGGAAAAGAAAAAGAAAAGGGGAAAAAGACGCAAGGTGAAATGGGAATCTGTGTTTATTTCTCTTTCAATCAAAGCGGAGGTGCAAAGCCCTCTTTACTAAATGGCAACAACATGGATGTGGTTGAAGGAAAATGTGTTTATTATTGAAATCTAACAAGTATACTGTATACCAAAGCTTAGGGCTTAGAGAAATCACCAAAGCTATCCATGTAGTAAGTAGATTTGATCTTGTTCGAAGGGCTTAACAACTCATCCTTTGTGGTGATACCTACATGATACAAATTAATGAACAACCACGAGCCACACAGTAATCTTAAATCCTCCCCATTACCTGTCAATACACACAAAGTGTCAAGACCGCCATTCAAGCCAAATTCGATATCAGTGTTCAATCTGTCACCGATCATGACAGTCTTCTTGGGATCAAGGCCATATCTACAGGTCATCATCAATCAATAGCTAGGCATTGAAAATTTTACATCGAATCTTACTCGGCATAAATGGCTTCCAACATGTTTGGAGCAGGTTTACCTAATACAGCATCAGGACGTCTACCAAGAGCAGTGATAATAGGAGCTGCAATTGATCCAGCACCTGAAACAAAGGACTAAGGTTTAATCACATATTATATAATCAACAACGTCCCTTTCTCCATGTTCTTACCAGGGTAAAATCCACCGTGTTGAGGATAAGTAGAGTCTTCGTTGGTAACAATGAAATGGCAGCCCTCGTTTCTGGTCAAATAAGTGAATGCCTTTGCATATTTCTTGTAATTGACCTGGGTATCAAGGCCAATGACAACAGCGCCGACTTCCTTGTCATCAGGGACAGCATCATTGTCTGTCAAGCCAGTGTCCTCCTCACCACCGCAGCTGCGAATACCCTCAGCAGCTAACTCGTCTTTAATACCTGCCATACCAATGATATAAACCTTCTTTTCCTCGGGAAACTTTAATACATGCTTGAGATAAGATGCAGTGGCAAAAGCTGAACTGAAAACTTCTTCCTGATGTCATTGTGAGCACATTATTCACCTAGATCTTCATGTATACATACTTTGGTAGCCTTGACATTGAATCCCTTGAACTTTTGTAAAAAGGCTTCACGGGATTTAGTGCTGTTGTTGGTAACAAAGAACACACGCTTCCCTAAAATCGAATTGCCTGTCAATCACAACATGAAATGAAGGTTTTGCCTTGCTATACCTTTTGAGCGTAATAATTCCATGGCTTCAGGGACGCCATCAAACATATGAGTACCTTCCCACAAGACACCTAACATAGGGATATATTACAAAATGAAGATTAATTGACATGCATATATATATATATATATACAACATACCATCACAATCGAACAAAAAGTTATCATATTGATCGATGAAAGCATCGCGCTCAGCTTTGGTCTCCAAGTAATCAAGCATTTTCTCACTATTTCGAGGAAAAAGAAGTCTAGTAGTAACAGATAATAAGATAACAGTAAGCACTTTTTTATATCAGAAAAACGGCGAAGGATCTTGAATTAGGTAGGAATATCTCCCTCCAATCATCACATCTACCTTGTTACGAAAACATGTCGCACTTGTAAATTCCATGATGATCAGCCAAAAGAGCCATAGTTGAAGTGCTATTTCTCGGGAGCGCAAGGGTATCGTGCGCCTAAAAGTGCGCTGTCGTAAAGCATAGCACTCAAGGTACACAAAACTACTACTTGATCTACAAACCATTGCTCCAAGAGCCAGACATTGGCATGCAAAACTACTGTTTTTTTTTCCTGAAAGTGCTACATCTTCGCTCAGTCAAGGCCGCTTTCCTGTTCCCATGTAATTAGCTTTATGTTCTCATTGTTCCAACCTCGACTGAGCCAGCGAATATGCTCCTATTTCACAGACATAAAAGGCTTGCTAATCATCGTTTACTCGAATTTAAATTGGGGAAGCTAATTTGTGTCTAAATGGTGTAACGAAGCTCACATTGCCTTTCCTCCTCAAATTCAATTTTCTCCGCTTCTTTTCGTTTTTGTATTCTTGGCCCCTTTATCATCATCTTTTTTGAAAAAATAAATAAATAAGCTCTCCTTTTCTCTTTAGCTTTTCTTTTTCTCTTTCTTTCCACACTCAAGACAAAGATAAAATGAAGGAAACAAGCCCTTTGAGACAAGTGTCGGGGTCTGTTTATTCATCATCCACCAGGTTTGTTTCAAAAAGCATTCATCTAGAGACGACCTTCTTTTAACACGAGAAATCATAGAGACTTGGACATGATTTTTGAAGAAAATGACCATCATCATCATATGATGCGTCAACAAGCACCTCAGCCTCAGCAACAGCAGTATCAATCCTCACCCTCTTTAAACTTCCTGAGACCCAAACCAACGTATTCAACACCTTATTCAGCTACAGACACACCTGCCTCATCTTCATCTGCTGGTGTTGTCTCTCCCGCTACTGTCAGACGTCCTCGGGCAGGTACAATGCCCTCGTTCGTACATCCTGACATGAGATCCCCTATTACTGGCAATAATACACCAACCTCGTCTGCAGCTCTCTTATTGAACACCATTGAAGCTGGCCGCCATCGATCAGGTTCTCTCAATTTGCCACCGCCACCTGTTGACAGTTTCTGGCTTAATGGTCATGACGGACCTCTGTCTCCTTCTTCAGAGCAACTACTTCAGAATGACAGTGATTTCTCTATTGCTCGTACAATGAGATCGCTGGGGTTGGAAGAAGAAGAGCAAAAGAAGGAGCCTATGGCTGGATTGTTCCATCAGCAATCACCACCCGAATTTCATATGCCTAGTAGATCACTTTTGTCGGGAAACAATAGAAACAGATCTTACTCTGTTAATGCAACTGCCAGATATGAGGAGCCACCATTCAAGCTTCCTAATGCCCTGGAGGGATTCACGAGACAGCAGATAGCAAGACCAAGAGCTTCGAGTATGGGCAGAGCAGACGCTGGTCATTTGCCTCCTCCCTTGGGATTTTGGAATAACCGAGGTTCGCCATTGGTATCCATGCGAGAAGAAGATTATGAAACGAGTAGCACCACTAGCAGTAATCAGCAACCATTGTCTTTGGGCGACTCTGAACTACTCGCTAATATTCTTGGTAAAGAAGAGGAAAACTATGATGAGGAAGCTGTAATGTATCTGCATAGTTGGGGGTTTACTATGCGTATCTACTAATTTGAATGATAGAAGCCATATTTGCATTTCAGTCAATCCACACCTACTACGTTCTCCAACAACGCTTCTCCTATCCAGCATCAGCAGCAACAATTGCAACAACAACAACAACAGCAGCAGCAGCAACAACAACAACAACAGCAGCAGCAGCAGCAACAGCAACAGCAACAGCAACAACAACAACAACAACAACAACAACAACAACAACAACAAGCAGCAACTCGATCTCTCTGGGTGGGTAATATTGATCATACTGTCACCATTGATCTCTTGACGCAAGTATTCTCGAATTTTGGAGCCATTGAAAGTGTTCGTCTGCTGGTTGAAAAGGAGTGTGGATTCGTCAACTTCTTCCAAATTGAGGATGCCGTTCGAGCCAAGGAAGAGGTATTGGGACGCATGGGAGGACGTATTGGCCAGTGTATTGTCCGTATCGGCTACGGGAAAGCAGATGCTGCTGTGACAGAAACTAATGTCTTACAACCCACTCGAGCTTTATGTAAGTTTATATCATTTCACCAGTCCAAAAATAGATCATATTAATTAATTGCAAATATCAAACAGGGCTGGGTAATATTCCAGGCAATACAACGCCGACTTCACTTCAAAGCATATTCGCAGTGTTTGGCCAGATTGAGTCTGTTCGTGTTTTATCACACAAAAACTGTGGATTCATCAATTTTGAGTCTGTAAATAGTGCTGTGAAAGCAAGAGATGCATTGATGGCAAATGAAATTGGCGCCCAAGGGTTTACAGGGGCTCGTGTGGGTTTTGCAAAGATCCCTCCTCCCAGTGCCACAATCACGACAGCAAAGCCCGAATTAGAGGATGCAGACTATCACCACCATCAGACGGCAGCAGCACCGATGCCAGCTTCCTCGAGCGCCGTCAATGGTCAATCAGCAGCGACCGAGAATGGATCCAGCTTAGTGCAGGATGCTACCATTGCATGGCAAAACGACTTATTCAGCATTATGTGTCAGTTCAACGTGGATAGTACCGTTGCTCACAACTTTGTGAAGGGTAAGATTTCATGGTGGATGTACCTCTGTGTGTTCTAACTGGGTTATTTGTCTAGACCTGAAAACATCCAGCCATTATTTCGATGCCATACCTGCTGTACCTGAACTGGGCCCTAATCGGAAATTTGATGCAGTGCGTCTTCGTGAGATGAGAAAGCGCATGGACAGTGCAACGGACACTCAAGAAGAAGCAGAACTAGTGGCGCTTGAATGTATGGACGACATTGCAGAAATCAGCAGTGGTAAGTAAAGGCTGTCTATGAGTAGAGCAAGCCAAGATGCTAATCCAATTTAGACTACATCGGCAACACTGTGGTTCAGCGCCTTTTCGAAAAATGTACAGAAGAAACCAAAACAAAGATGCTTGAACGTATTGCACCACATTTAGCAGCCATCAGCATTCACAAGAACGGTACCTGGGCCACTCAAAAAATCATTGATTTAGCTAGAACACCAGAACAAATTCATCTCATCAGCCAATACCTCAAACCCTATATCCCTCCATTACTGCTTGATCAATTTGGTAACTACGCCGTGCAGTGCTGTCTTCGACTGGGATCAGACAAGACTCAGTTCATTTTTGATTCCATGGTGGAAAAGCTGATGAACATTGCTCAAGGCCGCTTCGGAGCGAGATCTATGCGTGGCATACTGGAAAGCGAATTCGTTACTGAAAACCAAAGAAAATTTGCAGCATCTGCTTTGGTTCAAAATGCACTAGCATTGTCAACAAATACCAACGGTGCCTTACTCTTATCCTGGTTGATAGAGTCTACAGACATTGGCCATCGTATACAAAGCATTGCAAACAGACTATTACCACATCTGTCACAACTATGCATTCATAAACTCGGATTACAGATTATTTACAAGCTTGTGAATCAAACCTCAGAGAAGCAAGCACAACAGTCTATTATGCAGCGATTATTGAGCGACCAACAAGGCAACGTTTTGGCAGACATTTTATCTGACCAAGTACGCGGATTGGTGTTTATTCAAAAGCTTATTGTTTGTCCCTCACTGACTGATGAGCAAAAGAAGCAGCTTTCTCGCAAGGTTTGTGCAGAACTCGAAAACTTGAGTGGCCCTGGTCATAAAAAGTTACTATGTCTGCTCTTAGAAACTAATACTAACAGCAATGATAATCATGCTGCTTAATACCCCCCCCACACACACACACACACATAGCTATTTACATACATGTATAATGTACGCACTCACACCCACCATTCAATGTTTGCCTTTGCACTTTCTTTCTTTCTTTCCAAATAAAAATATAACAAAAAGTAGTTTTTATTCTTTTGCCGTTGCCTCCTGATCTACTTTATCGCTTGTGTCTTTGGAGGCCCTGATCTCTTTTTCCTCTCCATCAGATTCATACTCTGAAAAACGACGATCATTGACATCTCTCTCTGTCTCTTTTGCCTTTTCATTTTCCTTTCTCTCTTCCTCGTTGTCTGTTAGAGGATCGTCGTTGCAATTTTCCCCATCAAAATTTCTCTTTGCTCCTGATGCTTGCTCTTTTTGCTGGTTTATCTTGCTTTGCATGCTGTCTGTTAACTTTTGGGGTAGGTAGTATAATGCAGGTTGAGTTGTCGTCTTCAAAAAGTTTGCTAATAGCTCTTCTTGTTGTAATCGTGATCGCTCCTATGAAATTTTGTCAAAACTTGTCGAAATCTATCATTGTTTTTAGCATTTTTACCTTCTTTTCTTGCCATAACTGCTTTTCTTTTTCTAGTTTCTCTTCTGCCTGTCTCATTTTTTCCTCTCTACGTTCTCTTAGAGACTCCTGGAGCTGTGCTCTCTCCCTTTCCAATTTTTCGTGCAGTTTCTCGTTGATAGCTTGTCGTTTCTTATCCTAAATGTCATGTTAATAATTTCGTTCGTGAGAGCGTTTTCTCTAGAAAGCATTACTATTTCACTGTTTTTTTCAGTTTCGTCCTTGAATTTATTCAATGTGCCGAGTAATGCGCCAAACAGTCTTTTGTTGCGCTTCTGTCCTGCTTCGCTTTCTTGGATACGAGGCCTTTTTATCTATGTCAATAATAGATTAGCCTACTGGGCCTTGTAGAGAAACAAGAAGATTAACATTACCTCTTCAGGAGATTGGGTATTGCTTGCCTCCTCATCATTTGTACGTTTCTGACTTGTTGTAGGTACGACGATGCTTGATTGAACCATTGAATGGGATGAACAAAGAGTGAAAAACAAAGAAGAATTTGACAAAATTGTATCTTTTATCGACTTGGAAATTAGACGTGAACCTTTGACTTTCGCCCAGTCACAAAGCTAGGAGGTAAAGGCATGATCTGCGTTGATGGATATTAAGCACTTCCTCAATATGCTACAAACTTTGAGGCAATTTCGTAGAACCCCTACTTGCTTTGCGCCCAAAGGGTCACCTTTGATTCGATGATTTATGAGTCTACAGTCTGTAGGGCTCATGGTCGTCATGATGATTTCTGATCGCTACTAAAATTTAAGGTGTTCGGATACCATTTTCTGATCTGGCAAAACTTTGAATCATCACCATCAAGCAACCTTACAAATCCCAGAACCCAACTGTGGAGGCAAATTTTGCTTGGTTCTCCACGGTCGGTTTGCGTTTGCACAGCAGTAGTGCAGTCGTATCAATGTAAATGTTGGACTATTCGAACTGAATCTAAGAATAAAGTTGGCATTTAAAAGTAATCCCTAATGTTAATTCTTTAAATCTGCTGAACGATGCTAAAGCATAAATAAACTGCACATAACCAGCTAAACGCCTTCAAGTGACAATTACAGAGAGTACTGTATAAAGACAAAAAAAAACAAAAGAGCTACATACACCTACATTCAAATAGGTACCAAAAAGAGGGCTTCTCCGGGAATCGAACCCGGGACCTCTCGCACCCTAAGCGAGAATTATACCACTAAACCAAGAAACCTTAGATGATTTTGTCAAATGCTAATACATAAGGATAGTATATGCAATTTGAGATCTGATCGAAATATAAACGGAAGTAGATATGGAGAGTGTGCAGGAAGATGTTATAGCCTTTTAGTTGAATGGATAAAAAGGTACTTTATTAATATTAGATTTGAACATTGATTTTATCCAATATAGTTTGTGTAATGTTGTGTGCTATCCAGGTTAATCGCTGTTTAATGTTCCTGGTAGCTGGCGCTCTAGGTTTATTAAACCTGTGATTCTTATTCTTGTCTGTGTTTAGTCTGTCAATGATATCCTGCAGATCTAAATCACTGTCAGAATACCCTTCAACCCTGGCAATTTTTGTTGTCTTATAAGATGAATCCAATAGGTAGAGCTAGCAAAGACATAGAGTGTAACTAATACTTAGTGATTATGTTGAAAGATGCTGTTTATTGAATGCGTGGTGTTGTGCCAGAAGGGCTACAACTGTCTATAAAGATTAAGGTATTCTTGATGAGTAGATATGTCTGTGTTGTGCAACAACATGGACAAGCTATGATAATTGAAGTGCATCTCAGCTATCTAAATACTGAGGCTCACCAGATGTGATAAGCGTTGTACAAGATAAATTGCTACTTTGGCATTCAGAACTTATTATAAATAGAATAACTCTTGTCTTCATCAATAAATCTTTAGTTTTTGTGTCTGATCTTATTCAAATAAGTCTTTTCTTGTTTTTATAATATCGAACATTTTTTATAAGCTACAAATAATAATCCTTTTATTCTTTGTGCTTAACAAAGTGATTACGAGTGATCGATAGATCAATGAAGTAGAAGGTGTTGGAAAAGGTTATTGTGAAGACGGCTTGGTGATATTTTGCTTTGGAGTGATTTGGTAAAGGTTTGAAGCAGTGCTGCGCAGTATGTAAGCAAAAGGAGGATGGAGATTGCTTTTTCAGGTCGGCCCCATGTTGATGCTAGAGATTTCAAAACAAAACAAAACAAAACAAAACAAAACAAAACAAAACAAAACAAAACAAAACAAAACAAAACGATTATGGTATATGCCCACTTTGAGGGGGTTGGTTGCTAAGGATATAAACGGATTTTTTAGTCGCTGCATTGGTCGTCAAATGATTAAGCGACGAGTAAAGTGTAAAGTAATAACCAATACAAATAACCAGCAGTGTTTTGACGTTTCGATGTTTCGACGTTTCGACACTAGTAGTAGTATCTTTATAACTACCACCAATTCAACCAGGCTTCTTTTCTATTAGTTAAATGTTTTTTTCATGTGTTTGTTCTACAAAATGAGACCTTGTTAGGATACCTACTGTGATGCATTCTTTCAAAAATGGAGTTTGCCAAGGCAAAAGTACTTTTTTCTTTCATACCAGCAGCAGAGAAGCGTCTATAAGGTGCTCAAGCCTATAAAATAAATCCAGGGCGTATATTGACTAATGTTGGCGCACAACAGATATATAGAAAACTTATATGCGCCACTACTATAGCAAAAAATAGCGTTTGAGTGATTGATTTTGGATAATTTGCCTTTTCGGCAGTGTAGCTCTATGAAGCCATTCCAACCTGATTTTAATACAGTCTGTGGATGTCGTCTTCTCTTGTATCATAGGAATTGTACATATCACGGGTCTCTATTCGCTCAGATTTGATACAAGATTGCGTTGTTTTTTGCTCCCCCTCATTCTCCCCCATTGTGTTAACAACGACTCAGCGTGTCAGGCATCAGCTATTTCTCCTGAATTATGAACGTCCACCACTGTGAATAGACTCTAATTCTATTTTTACGGCTAGATATGGCATCTTTGTTGTGGACGGCCATCAAAAGTATTCTGCTAACCTGGTGAGCATCTTATTCAATCCGAGCAAGTCATTAGCTTCAAATTTGCATAATGTTATTGACGCCCAAGTGTCAAAGATTACTGTAATCGCGCATTTCAAAAAGCAAGGCCAGAGCCTTGGAATTAGAATAAAAGCGCCTATTACCTGAAAATTGAGTTCTGTACAATGCAGAACATTTGGGCCATCAGACAGAAGTGTAATTCACTGACTCTTTTGGCAATGCAACCCACTACACCGTCGTTTTAGGTCGAATTTTGTTCAAATATAGCCATTTTCAAGCACGAATAACTCATGCCACAAAGCGTTTTGAGCGCTTGGAATAGCACCACACGCCTCCTCTTGGCCACGCTTTACTTCCTGATGCTTTATCTCAATTTTTTTTTGGGTCGTTGCAAATTCATGAAAATCATCGTTTTTCCATGAGTATTAGCAAGGGAAAATTCTTGAAAATCAAATGATCGCGTTTTTCACCCCAAAATGAAGACTTTTTCTATGGTACATACTAGATCAAATAGATCGTAAAGATGAAATGCAACATTGGAGACTCTTTCTATGAGACTTACATATTATGCTAAATTTTGACATAATCACAGAAAACCTGTTTTCATGTTTTTGGAAATTGCTCATTATTTTTGGTCTGAAAGCTAGAAGTAATCAGCACCATTCGATGCGGCTTTTTTAGTTCTCTAGAGATGTATTAGAAAGTTGAGTGTTATAACGACAGTTTTCATAGTCAAATTTAGCAAAAACGTTTGAAGGATGTGAAATCAAGTCAAGTTTAAACACGAAAGTACTGCTGCACAATTTCAAATTAAATTGCCGCAATTTCCGCTGCTACGGTACAATACTGAGATTAAATCTACAGACGGTGACGTCGGATAGGGTGCCCTCTCGTCTTTTCATACCCTCATTTTTTTTCCTTTTTTTTGCAAAACGCGTTTAGCATCAAACCATGGTCGTTTTCGAAACCGTTCGATTGATAATAACACTCTAGCATCCAATAACTCTGTCTTGTACTGTTGGAAAAACTTGATACTGCTTCTTTGAAGTGGAATATATTAGGTACCATTCGATAACGAGCACTGGAAGGCGTAGAATTGACACTAATAATTGTATTTGTTTATTATTAGCTTTTGGATAATATTACTCTTTTGCCTTTTTGACGTGGGTGCTGCTGCCATGACTCCTCTACTATTATTTATGATGTCTGCTCCTTTGGTTTATCAACTGTGGTGGTTATTTCTTTGGTCCATCTCTGGTCTATCTGTGGTGATTGCGTATTCTATGGTCTATCCGTAGTCTGTCTTTGGTCTGTCTCTGGTCTACCTGTGGTCTATCTGTCGCGATTTCTTATTCTATGGTCTATCTGTGGTGATTGCGTATTGTCTGGTCTGTCTCTGGTAATTGCGTATTCTATGGTGTATCTGTGGCTGTCGTAAGTGGTAAGTATCTTCTTTCTTCTGGTGGCAATAATATAAAACTTCTTTGAACGTTTATATTATTGTTTCTTTTCTCGTGATGATGCATTCATAATGTTTGCCTTGTTGCGCTTTTTTTCTTCTTCTTTTTCTTTTGTTGGTAGTGTTTCCTCTGTAGTTTTTCATGAAACAACATTAGTCATTATGTTGTATTGCAAACTTATAATACCACTGTTGCTTTTGCAGTCTTGTGTATTTGTGCCTTGTTGCTTTACATCCGACTATTACTACCATGCACGTTGCTCATGTATATATTGTTATTGCAACAACAACGAGCTTTTTTGAACACCTTTATGTTATGTTGGTTATGCTTTTCTTTAACTCGCTTTGTGTGAGTATCCCTTTTTTGCCTACATACTACTATATTTCCATAGTACAGTAGTATTTTTCTTTTCTTCTTTCTTTTATTACTATGATGTTTCTTTGAAGCATACCTTTTTTACGTTGTGTGGATGTGCCTATCCCTGAAGCTCAACAAGACTTTATCCGAGGCTAGGAGGTAGATAGGCTGCCTCCACTTGGTTATCACTACTTACTTTAGTGATGATTGAGGGTCTCAACGCCAGAATCTAAAGCTAGGTGGTGTAAGTAAGGCATGCTCTAGCGCCTGGGGGAAGTTTGATGATAGCAGCGGCTATATTGCTATATATAGCGGCGCTTAAAATTTTGCCTCACATCAAAACAGGGGGAAACCCTCGCAAAAATTTTTTTAGGTCAGCGGAGTCTTCAAGCAATCTGATTGGCTAAGAGGTTGAAGCAGCGAAGGGTAACAACTAGTTGATTTCCTATTGATCTGTCATTTATTATGCTATAATTTTTGTAATAAAAGGGTATCCAAATAGTTAAAATTTATATTCTTGTTCTGCCAGAAGGGCTACAACTGTCTATAAAGATTAAGGTATTCTTAATGGGTAGATATGTCTGTGTTGTGCAACAACATGGACAAGCTATGATAATTGAAGTGCATCTCAGCTATCTAAATACTGAAGTTCACCAGATGTGATAAGCGTTGTACAAGATAAATTGCTACTTTGGCAATCAAAACTTAGTATAAATAGAATAACTCTTGTTGTCTTCATCAATAAATCTTTAGTTTTTGTGTCTGATCTTATTCAAATAAGTCTTTTCTTGTTTTTATAATATCGAACATTTTTTATAAGCTACAAATAATAATCCTTTTATTCTTTGTGCTTAACAACCCGCAATAGGTCTAGAGCAAGCTTTGTTTATCCCGTGTCTAACCGAAGTTTGACTTTATACATATTGCTCGAGCATTAGCTAATTTGCCTCGAGTTCTTGGAAATGTAAATCGATCTATATACCATGTAGCCTTTGGTTATTTGGTTTACTAGCGCAGATAATTATGCATAAGGGAGTGATTCGATAATTGATAAAATTACATTTGGATAAAATTTTTAATGATAGCTGTTGCTGCTATGAAAAGATATAGGTTACAGTCTTGAACAAGAGCAGTTGTGCACTTTTATACTATATTCTTAATGTATAGACCTTTGAAGGCATACAGCATAGTGTCAAAATGAGCCTCAATATACAAGGCTAAAATCTGGTGAAGCACATGATACAAAAACGCAGCATCATTTCGCATTACTTATTGTAAGCAAATGTGTATTATTATTTTGCAGGTTGAGTTAAAGTAAGAGTGTAAGGCTGGTGGCTCAACAAAAGTAAGCTCGCCAGTAATGCATTCAATTTACAATGTGAAATCTTGTACATAAGAAATGCAAGCCATACCAAATTTTTGATTCGTAGTAAGATTTTAGTTTTTTTTTGCCTTTATGATTCATTCGCCCTCATTAAAGATCAAGCTATAGGACGAGAACTGCTACGCTATCATTGTAAGCATTGATTTGGAAATACATGAGTTAGAGATTGTTAGCGCTTTTGATGTATTAGCACAAATCTTTGCAACATTTTACATGCGCTACATTAGATTGTGCAGCATAGTGAAAATGAATGATATTGCGAGGACAATCAGACTCCATGTAGCAAATAAAACATTTGGATGTGCTCAAAAGGAGACAAATGTGCAATGGTAAGCAAATCCAATGAACAACGACAGCATGGAATACAGCCAATCTTGTGATTAAAGGCACCAATGCTGTGTTCCCTCAACAATCAAAACCAAATTGGGGACGATCGACAGGATTTAAACAAAAAAGATGTGGGATGCTCTTGAATATTCCATGTTACACTGTGGGATTTCAGAAAGCTATTGTACACGTACATGCAAATTGACCTAGAAGCAAACCATAGAACATTTTGTAAGGATGTGTTCAATTGGCTTTCTTAGAGAATGCTTATGTGAGCAGTTGGGTGATATCATGATGTTTACTGCCGCTGCGTGATTTACGTCGTTTGCTACTGTCTGAGAAAGTTTTCCATAGCTCCATCTGCTGATTGGTTTAAACACTAAAACATGTATCTCTTTTCTTTTGTGTGGTTAATGTCCCAGTGTTTGGAGTGTCCGTATCATGGAAGTTTGGTATAAATTGCAGTGGTAAATATAATTTTTATGTACCAAATTAGGGTATTCCCCATTCACCTTCCTTTTACCCTTCTCATTATCTTTTCTTTCTTCTAAAAATATACATATCGACATATACATAACTATGAACTTGTCTGACCTTGTTCATAGAACTGCTGGTGACAATAATAATAAAAACAAAGTGTTGACACCAAATGGTAGCAGCAACAGAGATATTACCAACAACCTACGGTTATCGCAGTCGATGAATGGATACAGCAATTCGCATTTATTTCAGCCAGATGTAATTGACCCAGCTGTTTCGCCATCAAATATGTTTACAAATTTCGCTAGGCAAGATCAGCAGTTTCTGTTCTCTATGCCAAATGTAAGATAACGGTAGCATGAACGAGACAAGACATACTCATCAATGTAAATAGACTGACTGGGTGAATAACAACTTGTTCTTTAACAGCAATGGTCTTATGAGTGGACAAGATCCTCTTATCGAGCCAATGAACCAGTCGACATCTAACAGCGATACGAACAACTCGTATATGAAGCAGAACTTTATGCCAGCGAATATCAATCACAACACATCATCACCAACGACAATAACAGCTACAGCAACTAATGCTACTCCTACGATTGATAATAATAATAACAACTATACCCAACACACGCCCACGCAGCAGCAACAACAACATCAGCATCATCAGCATCAGCATCAGCAACAACAGCAAGCCAAGGGCTATCCTTTGATAGCTCCATTTCAACGCAGTATATTTCAAAACTTTGACTTGAACAATGGTCCGTCAGCACAACCCCCTCAAAACTTAACGACTCATTTTCATAAAAATGATCATGTACAATTTAATACAAATAAATTCGTTACTACGACAACACCTGCATCAGAGATGATCAGCGCATCAGTGGCGACAGCGGCGCAACCAGCGATAGGCTTGCCAAATACGCAAACACTCACAACATCAAATAGTGGCACAACAGCAGAAACAACAACAGCAACAGCAGCAACAGATGGTCTGCAAACACCGAAGTCAATATCGGAACAACTACAAACTCTGATACCCAAGCCCACGGTCAAAATTACAGGCGACAATGTCACAGCTGCCAACATAGAAGACGGATATATTCAGTTTGTCTTAATGCATGATGCCTCTTACATTAGCGACGGTATCGATAGCTTGGTCTATGCGAAACGTAAGTTTCAATCCGTACCTAAAACGGGCGACATTTCCTATACAACATGGGACATTTACCAACTCGTGTTGAAGTTACATAAGCAAGAGGTAGGCAAACAAGTTTTGCAACTGAGCTAAATTGACTCACGTATCGAATGGTAGATCAAGAATTGGTCGCAGTTAGTAGGACAATTGGGTCTGCATGACATGGCTGGTCGACCGCAATTTGCGCAACGAGTGAAACGATGGATGAACCGATACAAAATCGACTGTTATTTCGACTATTTGTTGGGCAATGAATATCAGTTTGATGCACCCGAGGGAAAGTACTCGACGTGCTTGATGATTGGCAACTACAAGAAGCGTAAATCCGACAACAGTAGTAATCACGTTAATGCAGCAGCAAATGACTCGGATGAGGAGGAATTGGAGGAGGATCAGGAAGATAAAGAGCAACGCATTCCAGTCTTGCTTGCTGGCAGCAGAAAGCGCATGAGGGATGGTAGTCATAATAGCTTGCAGATGATTGAAAATGCTCAAAAGTTCTTGAGGCCACACCAATCCGAAACTGAAGAAGAAGAGGAAGACGAGAAAGAAGGAGACGAGGAGGATGCGGAAGGCGAGGAATTACAGGGATCAGATGCCGAGGATGACTCAGATATGAAAACCAATGCCAATACTGACGAGGATGTTGAAATGGCAGAAGATATTGGTCAAGACGACGACAACATGGAGGAAGAGGAAGAGGAAGAGCTTGCGGAAGAGGAAGAAGATGAACTCGCTTCTTCAACATCGTCACCCATCTCTCCAGCGAGGATCATCATACCAGCACCTGTCGTGAATTCCTCGCCGCCAACATCGCCTGCCAAATCCAAGATACCTTCACCCATTATCAGAGAACCAACCACTGCTTCTCCCAATATTGCAAATGTATCCCCCGCAGCATCTTCTTTGACAAAATCCAGCGCCGCAGCCTCACCTTCCTTTATGCATCGACCCATGGTTGCCACATCACCAGCAATCTCTAACTTTTCCATGTCATCCTTCTCACCTGGAACCGCAAAGCTACCTTCATCGCCGCCAAGACAACCTCCCCCACCACTCTCTCTGTTATCTATACCGCCACTGTCTTCTTGCTCGAATTGCATGGCAAACGATGAAAAGGTGGCTAGCATGGAAAGCGAGTTATCTGATCTACGGGCTCATGTGGCTCAATTGGAATCACAGTTGGAAAAGCGGAATACGCAAGTTAACAAACTGCTTCGTCTAAGGGACAGAACTGAAAGATGGAGAAAACAGATTATCTCTGACTTGGCAAGAGGGCCCCAAATAGCCTCTGATAACGATGACGATGATGATGATGAAGACGATGATGATGACGATGACGAAGACGATGGTGACGATGGAGAAAACCATGCTAGTATGAGCCATAGTAATAATAGACCCTGATATGTGTATTTTTTAATTCTTAATTTCTGTAAATATATACTTATTCCCCTTTTCTTGTTTAAATAAATGATGTGTCGCATAAACCTGTATTTTGATCTTAATTTCAACATGAACCGAATCACTGTGCAGCAGTAATCTTGATCAATAGACTATTGGTTTTATTTTTCCGTCAAGCCAAGTGGAAGCTACCCCAATTCGGGTGAAAAGTTTCTAAATTGAGTTGTGTATCTCTCAAATACAAACACACACAACTCATCACATTGTTTATCAAGTGTAATGAAAAGCGGCTATTAAATCACAAACATCATTAACATTCGAATAAACTTTTGGACAATTCAATTAGAACCAAGTGTCAAATAATTATCCTTGTTTCGTTCTCTTTCCTCTCTCTTCTCTCTTCTCTCTTCTCTTTTTTTGCCCTCCAATTTTGTGTCAGTTATGAACATTCACTCATTCTGCTTGTCAGCACATCATAACCATCAGATCAAAAAACTGGATGTCAACCAATTAAATCAACATTTTTCCAATAATGAGACCCAAGTGCAATTTGTCCCTCTGTATGACAGCAGTAGTGCGTTGAATGTTTTAATCAAAGGCCAGCATGTCACAGCCTGCATGAAAGCTAAAAGTGCCATATTGCGAAACAACCCAGTCAAGGTAGATTTTGATCCGAGCAAACAGATTTCTGTTTATAATAGCCTGACGATTGCATATAGGCCATCTTGTCCGTAGAATCACCTACTATGGATGCCTTGTATCATCCGGAAATTAAAGGTTCTCTCACCGACATTGCTCAAGAGTTTGAGGTAGAGGTCAAGGTCCATGCAACTTCGGAAGCCCAAATTCACATGGTTGGATCAATTGATTCAGTTGAATTGGCACGCGTGAAGATCCTCGTGCTATTAGATCAATTGGTAATATATTGATCAACAAGGTTTGGTTTGCTTTTAATCATCTAGTTGTAGGCTGGATTAAATGTAGACACTCTGCCAGATATACCACATCACTTGCACTTCCTGATAGCAGGCCGCAAACATGTGCAATTGCAGGCGATCATGGAGGAGACATCGACCAACATTTACTTGCAATCACCTCTTTGCAACTTGCTTGAAGAAAATTCTCGCAATGGCATGATATATTTAACTGGGGAATCGCCATCTGATTTAGCTAGAGCCAAAGATTTACTGAAGAAATTGGCAGCTCAAAAAGTATACATGATAACATTGGCATCCTTATAGAAGAAAGAACTAAATTTGTTTGTAATTCAGATCAAGTCGATGCATCGCAAAGATTCCAATATGGATTCTAAGAAGTTGGACTGGATTCTATTGAACAAAAGAGACCAACTTCGAAAAATCATGAGAGATAATGGTACGTTCGATGTATGTCAGCTGGAAATTTGCATACTAAAATTTCCGTTCTAGGCTCGTATTTCAAGTTTCCCATATTAGGTTCTGGTAGCAGCTCAATTTCCATTTTTGCGGAAAATAGAATCTATGTTGAGCGATCCATTCGCTTGCTGAACCATCTGGTAAATTGTAATATATTGTGCTATGATGAATCCTTAAACTCATGATACGTATATTTAGACTTCCAACATTTACGAGGCTTCATTTGACCTGATCAATCCTATACAGATCCAAGATCTGCCATGTGTTTTGTCACAGCTGTCTCAATCGTCCGGCGTGGATATCACGTATCAACCGCAGGCTAGCACGGTGGCACTGTTTGGTACCGAAGCCCAAGTATGTACCGCCTACAGATTGCTAGGTGATATGCCGTTTGTCAAGGGGAACCATCAATTCACCATGTTTTCGCTGGAACTCGCAACGGACCAACGTGAATTTGTGAGCGGCAAAAAGAATGGCAAGATTAACAAGATCATGAAGACCTGCGCTGTTACTATTCGTTTTACTGTTTCAAATGAATATAACTCTTACATCATTGTGGAAAGCACGAATCACAGCAAAGCCCTGGAGGGTCTCACCATGCTCCAGGATGAACTTCCTGCCGAAACCTCGTTTTACGTTCCCGAAATCTACCATCGTCGCATTATTGGTGTTGCTGGCAAAAACATCCAAAAGGTCATGAAAAAGTATGGCGTCTATGTCAAGTTTTCAGGCGCTGAAGAGTTTGCCTCGCTTGGTGGGTATTTTGAAAACGAGGATAATGTGGTAGCCCGCACACCCATGAAAAACCAAATGAACCTGGAGCATTTGAAACTCTCTGTTACTGAATTTATTGGATTTCAAAAGGACAAGGATTTCGTGTCGACTGTCATTGCTGTTCCATATGATTTACAACGCATTCTGCCTTCCAAGTATGGCGGTCAGTTGCGTGATATGTGTCGCACAAACAATGCAAAGATTTGGTGGCCTGAGCGTCTGGGCTCTGACAATGTGGTGATCTATGGTCCTCAAACACAAATCTCTTCTGTGGCAGCCTATTTAGCTCAATTTGTATCTAGAGAGAATCATATTGCTATTGCCTTGTCTGGAGATATGGAAGTGGTGCTCTCTGACCCAAATTTTGTCTCCAATATCCAAATGAAGATCCACACAGCACTGCAAGACATTGAACTACTTCAAGCTGTCGTTGTTGAGCAACCAAACTACAAAAATAGCGTGCTTGAATGGAATTCAGGCTATTTGATTGACAGCAGCAAAGTCATGGTGTTCAGGCTGCTATGCCATGATGCGAACCATATCAATCAAGACATGGAGCAAGCCAGAGATATTATCAGAGCCCTGATTGAATCAAAGAAATTCCAGTTTAAAGAGCTTAGCCCTATTGAACAAGAGCCAGCTTACATATCTCAAGGTAGCCATTCTACCGCTGTATATAAGCAATCATGCATTAACTCTGTATCAGATGTACAAAACCATCTTTTGCCCTCTTCTATTTTAGCCAACACACCAGCCATGTCTGAAGATCCCATGTTTGATATGCTTGATTCCACTATACCAAGCCCTCCATTATCTGAATCTTTTGCGACTCCATACCATCCTCATGACAAGTCAATGCCATTCATTGCATCATCCTTACTTTCAGCGCCATTCCCTACTGCCAGGAATATTTGGGCATCACCACGTATCCAGAATAATAACGTAAGGTTGATAAATATTGCAAATGTATGCTAGTGTATTCATCTCTGAACTATAGACTGTGCCTCCTCTAGTTCAAAGTGGTGAACAAATGTATCGCACGAGTCAGTACCCCCCTGGTATTCAACCACCTCTCTCACCACCACCTCAGCAGCCTTCATATCACCATGCATTCTCCGTAGTACACCAAGGATCATCGCTGTTGAGTCAACAAAGAAACCTTCATATAAGGCCCTCTCATAGTGCGCCCACCATTGGTACAAGACATCAACCACAGCATGACCAGCAGCTGCAACAGCAACCTCACCACAAATCTTGGCCAGATGTCTTTTTTGGCGGTCGTGATTTATTTGATAACCTACCATCTAGAAGAGCATCTGCTAGCACGCAATATGCATTTGAACTTTACCCTAATAGCACGACCACAAGCTCAACTTCATCACCATCTATGCATCAACAGCAGCAACAGCAGCAACAGCAAGGATACCAGCATAGCAAACCATTACCCATGATGAGCAGTAAGTTATTATATAGGCTTAACATGTGCTTTTTAGGCTCTCCTTCTAACTACTTTTGATCCATAGAATATCAACAGCAATTCGAGATGCTTGCACAAAATTCGCCTTTTGTTTATTCCAATGCTCCCCAATTTTCACATTCGTCTATCAATGGACCTCCATTCAACAACATGGATGGCCATTATCAGGACGCATCATACACTAATTTCAATCCTCATTAATACATAAAAGCATAAGATAATAGCATGTCAAAAATAAATGTAATCATTGCGAAAAAAAAGGGTCAAATGGTGATTGCACAAGAAAGCAATGTGAATTTATTGCTCTGTTGTCTCGATTACGTCAATATCAGGCATCACAAAGGACATAAATTCCTATATATAATAAAAAATACATTGTAAATCATTCAACTACATCAAAGCTTCTAAAATGGAGACACACGCTTTTGTCAAAATCGCAAATCTGCCAGCGTATGAAAAGGTGCTTCTCAAAAGCTCCACCATCAATGAAGCAAGCACAAAATTAGGCATCGCAATAGGCACCACCATCAAAATGGAGGCTGTTACAATCAATACAATCAGTATGAGCAGAGAATGGTGTAAAAGGAAAAGCAATTCAATGGAAACATTGTACAAGATTGGCCCTGATCATGAGCCCAGATCTGTCTATGCGGTCTATCAACTAAGCTATCCATTGCTCTCGAGCAATTCCACATATTCTACCCGCACACAATGTAAAGAAATCATCAGATATGTAGCTTATAGAAAGCCCTTTGGCAAGCACACCGCCTTCGCCGCAACTGCATTTGTGTTCTACGCCTGTGCTTCGAAAGAGGAGGACGGCATGCAACGCCCAAAACAGTTTTTGGTCACAGAACCACGTGTGGAACTCGATCATTTGCAATGTGATCTGAACTCATGGCAATGCTTACACGCTGAAAGCACACGCACTAGCAACAAGACAGCTTACGTTCAATTCGATACGACACAGCAGCAACTGCATCCCTACAATCATGGCACCATCTACAGTTGCGCTTACTTGAACGCCCCCAAACGAAGATTATGCAATCAATGCCGGCATGAATGAAGTTTCCAGCAATTAAAAGACACGGTCGCTTGCTCCATCAAGGTACCAAAAGAAGGGAGCAGTTTAAGCAAGCGTATCAAGGTATTGGAATCAACGCATATGACATGTGGTCTATGGCAGCTTTACTTTCCCTCTGAACACAAAACCCATCTAAATGAAGCAAACAAGGCTTCACAGGCAATGCAATTTAAAGTAAAACACGTTTTATTCATACTACTCTGTGCTTTGATCTATCATATATACTTGGCCAAATAAACCATTTGCTGGCCCTAAAAGAACAAGACCCATTTTTTTTTCCATCTTGTCGGCTCTTTGCTGTATTCTTCGTACTAGCCGATCAATCTTGCTACGCTCGATGGCGGCATCGCCTTGCGGGCTCTTGACAGAGATATCCCAAATCAGAGATAATAAAAACCTTGTATATCAAGTAGATTTTAAACAATCAATTAATAGTAGAGACAAAAAAAGGCTATATCAGAGTCTGGAGGGGGAGGTATCTATTCGCTGATGTTGCTCCTGAGATGGTAACATAAAGCCGACTGTAAGTAAATACAGGACTTGTTGCGTAAGATCTATAGCGACTGTTGTAAAATATTATCATTGCAAAAGACGCCTTTATAGGGAAACCCCCACCCCCCCCCAGGAAAAAAAGATTTAGACCAAGTAATTGTCCTTTCAATTTCATGATCCCCATTTAAACATTGTCATCATCATTATCATCATCCAAAAGGCATTTGGGTCAGCCAGCAGCAATCCGCCACTAAAACTGACTCAAACTCAGTTTATTCTTTCTGTTCAAGATTGGACAAATTCTGTTTTTTTTCGACTTCTTTCTTCTATTTTGTGATATTCGACTATATGAACTGTGGGTATCACCCAATGCTTCCTAATGCATTCTTGGAGTGCTTTTCAAGGCGCTTCCAATGGTACAAAGTAAAATATATGTTTTGAATGAATGTATTGAGCAATTCCAAAAAAGATGAAATGAGGTTTTTGGCCTAAATGTCGAAATTTTGCATATGAAGACCTCATAAAAGTGGTTTCAGAGGTTGCTTTGGATCGAGAGAAACATTTTGATTCAATGTATACCATAGTAAAAATGTTCATTTTCAAGATGAAAAATGCGATCGTTTGATTTTCGATAAAAACCATGAGGGGTCCCTCATGCTTTTTGGTCGATTTTTGGCCATGTTTTTAGGGTCTTCAAAAAGTTGAGCAAAGGTGTCAGAAAATTACTGCTACTCGAGTACAATTGTTTGGTGTTATTCCGGAGGTTCAGAAAGGTCTACATGTCAAGATATGAAGGCTTGAAAGCTGTCCAATTTGGTTATGTTTTGCATGTAATTAGATATAACAACAGTGCCTAAATGTAATTTAACTGAATGTGTACCTCTTGATGTGTGCAGCTTTCCAGGCATTCTATCAATTCGAGCTCAAGCAAAATTCGTCAAATAGAGGAACAAACACGATACAAGATATACTCATGGTATGGACCAGCTGCGATAAATATCTCCTTTATTTTATCTTTTAAATATTGCTCAAATAATCCAGGACCTCCAATGTATCCAGATGAACATGACTGTAGCTGGGAGGTGTCCACATCAGCTTTGTAGGGTCGATGCGCAATTTTATCTTTGATTCGATCTCTTCTAATTGTCGCTCAATGTCTTGTTGATTGATATGTAATTCGTACTGACCATCGCTCAATCTTAATAGGCTGTTTCTCTGTAAAGCAGCAACGATATCGTCAGGAGTCATCCCTGTTTTCGTTGAAATATCTACGAATCATCAGCTACCTGTTTATAGTAACTCACAACAGCGAATTGCTTACCATCTATGCTTTGGCATTGCTCATGTTCTTCAAACGTAAGGTGCTTTAAAACAGTGTAATCCCAGTAGCGTTGATATCCTAGCGAGCCTAAAGCTGACAATGGTTTCTCAGGCGTGCCGACTTTGCTCTCACGTTTTGTCAACAGGTAACTGAAATCAATCAAATATTGCCCATAACCTTTTCGCTGATGTGTTGGTAGTATTAGAATGCAAGACACATTGTAGTTCATTACAGATCGCTTTTCTTTTGAAAAATAACCTACAAAATGACAGCCGTTTTGATCTGTCTCTGTCATGATGTAGAATAAAAAAGGCTCTACATCGTAGAATAGCGTCTTGTGATCAAGGAATAGCTTGGCTAATAGGCATAAATTCAAACAGTACATCTATGAATGACTAGTGAGTATCCTACTTGGAGCACATCGCATTGATCTACATACCTTATTTTTGTGGCCATCCACCTCAAATATGGATATATTCCCTTGCCTGTAAATTTCATTTCCAGGAGGACATTTTATGCAGCATTTGTCCTTGTGTCTTTTAGCCATAGCAACCGTTTTGATAGAAACAAAGCAAAACTCGCAAACAAAGAACTTGGATTGCGCATACACCTCTGCTGGATAAGGAGATGTAAACCAAGTGTCTATCAGATAGTTGCCAAATTGTATCTTGTGGCGACTTTCCTTCTTCTTCCTGTTTGATCTCAACGACTGAGAGACCGTCAGCTTCTTACAGGCAAACTCATATCGTAGCGAGTCAATAGGCTTTGGCTGTGTTTTGAGACATTGCGGCAATCGTCGCTTAGACACAGCTTTCTTTTTGATCTTTCGCATTGGCTTTTCGCGACATGTCTTTTCTACTGCGAATCGACACCAGCTTTTGAATGCCTGAATTGCACCTCTTTTGCTAGCTGCCCTTGCTGATTTCCTACCAACAATCTTCATCACAGGATGCTCAATGGCAATGGTGTGTCTCAGCCTTCTGGGCATGATGATTTGAATGAGAAAAAAGAAGAAAGAAATGCAAAATGGTAAATATGCAAGAGTAGACGACCTATCAGATATTTATTGTGCCACAAAAATGATATCACATGGATTAAATCACTCTATTTGCATCCGACATACATATACACACACACACACACACTTTGAATAACTAGGAAATAGATGGGTATATTAAACAATTTTATACAGAAAAATTTAGTTCCATAGATATTACAGAACAGAGAAAATCTGATTATCTCCGGATGTGAGGATTTGCTATTTTGTGTCATTAGAAGCAGAGCTATGAAGGCACGTTTTTTGAGTATTTTTTCGACCTCTCCATGTTCTCCGCTGAATGGTTCTAACTGCTTTTTCCCTTAGCAAGTATTTGATTGAAAAATAGAATGTTTAGATGCAATTAGATCAAGCCAGACGAACAGCGTTTGCCAGTGGTAGACACTCATAGCCTCTTTTCTTCTACAAAGCGTCATCTATAGCATTGATTTAGAGGCATCTCTCATTGCCGTGATCGAAGATCTCATACTAGCAAATACATGAAATGAAAAGAAATTCGGTCTTTAGATTGGTGTCGTTTTTGTACCTGGTACCACTCAGGATATTGATATAAAAAGCTTTTCTCTTTAGGGATCTCGGGTTTCAATAAAAAGCTTTTCACTCTTTCTCTCTCTCTCTCTCTCTCTCTCCTCTTTTTTTTTAGATATTCATTCATCATAAGGTTCCTCTCTTTCCTTGACATTGTATCGATTTCATCTTCACCTCGTTGATTCAATACAGCCATTCCTTTAAACTCAACAACCCACCTAAAGAGAGAACTCGAGAGAATTACATCATATACAAACAGTAAACAAACACACTTCAAACGATGCAGCACCAAGACGATATTTCAGAGAGAATAGCAGCAGCTCGTCGAGATGCAGATCTATTAAAAGAAAGAATCAAGCAAAGAAAAGAAGCATTAGCTGACACAACATGTAAGCCCTGAATTTATAGGATGACTACTCCTTCCTTTACCCCACACAGACACTGAAACAAGATCCTCTTATTTTGTATAGTGAGAAAAATGGCTCAGGATGTCGAGCCACTGCCTCGAGTTGTCATGAAAGTGCGTAGAAATCTCAGAGGCCATTTAGCCAAAATTTATGCCATGCATTGGGCAAACGACAGCCAGCATCTGGTATCTGCTTCTCAGGACGGTAAATTGATTGTATGGAATGCCTACACCACCAACAAATTGCACGCCATCCCGCTTCGTTCTGCTTGGGTCATGACAGCTGCCTACGCCCCCTCCGGCAATTTTGTTGCTTGTGGTGGTCTGGATAACATTTGCTCCATCTACAACCTCACTTCTCGTGATGGCCCTGTTCGACCTGCCCGAGAGTTATCTGCTCATGTTGGCTATTTGAGTTGTTGTCGATTTTTGGATGATCGTCGAATCTTGACAAGTTCTGGTGATATGACTTGCTTCCTTTGGGATATTGATGCAGGCGTCAAGACTCATGAATTCGCTGATCATATGGGCGATGTGATGAGTGTGTCCATCAATCCCAATGATCCCAACATGTTTGTCTCGGGTGCCTGTGACTCCACTGCTAAAATCTGGGACATAAGAACGAGATCTTGCGTGCAGACATTCACTGGACACGAAAGCGATATCAATTCTGTGCAGTAAGTTTCTTTTTTCAACTTGATAGGGCTCTCAATGGATACAAGAACACATAGGCTAAATTGTTAAATTAGATTCTTCCCAAGTGGTACAGCTATTGGCACTGGTTCAGACGATGCTAGTTGTCGCTTATTTGATCTTCGAGCTGATCGTGAATTGAACAACTATACTGATGCAGACATTTTATATGGTATCACATCAATTGCCTTTTCTGCTTCAGGCAGATTATTGTTTGCAGGCTATGATGATTTCAGTAGTCATGTATGGGATACTCTCAAGGGCGAACGTGTTGGTATTTTGACAGGTCATGAAAATAGAGTGTCATGTCTTGGTGTATCAAATGATGGCATGGCTCTATGTACCGGTAGTTGGGATAGTTATCTCAAGATTTGGGCATAATTACTCCTCAGGCACTTTCTTAATATCTCTATTTTATATATACCTTTTACACTATTTTCTTTTTCAATCTTCTACATCTTCTATGAGTGCAATCTCTGTAGGGGGTTTGACATCTAGTCTATAGAGATCATTCGCCGTCTTTCTACTTCTTCTCCATCTCGCTCTCTCTCACTCTCTCTCTCACTGTCTCATTCACTCTCTCTCTCTCTCATTCAGTACCGCCCCTCACTTATCTTTCTCCTAGCTCATTCTCTCTACCTTTGTACCTGGATCCTACCAAATTTTGAAATAAAACCTATATGTAATTTATTCCGCTAACTATTGCTTGCAAGATGTGATATTGGTTTAGTAATATCTTATCCATTTTTCATAGAAATTGAGTCTTGCTAGGGTATTTTCCCAGCTGAGGTTGAGCCCTTCATACTAAATTCATGCTCTCGCTGTCTCCTACTACACTTCAATGTGTCAAATCAAGCTTCAGTGCTCTGTATCGCAAGTACACCCGACTGAAAGAGAAATACACGCTACTAAAATATGCCTCCTTGAGCCAATCATATCAAATCATCTCCATAGACTCATTTGTATACATCAAAATAGTGGTATAAAAACCTTAACTTTCAATTCAATTCTTTTGTTTCTTTATCTCTTTTCTGAATATCTAAAAAATGTCTTTGGCCCGTGTTCGTAAGTAAAGCCAGCAAAAAATTAACTAAAAAAAATGGCCCCTGAACGCTAAAACGTCAAATTGCAGACACTGATTCTGCTCCTGCCGCTGTTGGCCCTTATGGTAAGTTGATAGAATGACACAACCGCGTTTCTATACTGACATTCTATATTGATTAGCTCAAGCTATCAAGGCTAACGGTTTCGTCTACACCTCTGGTCAAGTTGCTTTGAACCCTGCCACTGGTAAATTGATGGTTATGTGATTTGGTAATGGGCGTGTGTTAATATCGGCCTGTAGGTAAGGTCGTCGAGGGTGATGTTAAGGAACAAACCAAGCAAGTTTTCCTCAACTTGACTGAGGTTCTCAAGGCTGCTGGTTCTAGCCTTGAAAAGGTTGTCAAGACCACTGTTTTCCTCAAAGATATGAATGATTTCGCTGCCATGAACGAGGTCTATGCTTCTGTAAGTGTTCAAAAACAACACCTGTTAAATATACCTAGATACTAACACTATACTGCTATAGTTCTTCCCCTCTCATCAACCTGCTCGTTCTGCTGTCCAAGTTGCTCGTCTTCCTTTGGATGTTGCTGTCGAAATTGAATGTGTCGCTTTGACTGATTGACTTGGACACCATAAATTGTAAAGATCAAAAACATTAAAACAGCATTACTTTATTACATGATATTACATTTGTCTCGTTTTTTGCCTTGGATTTCATCCAGTTGTTCTATTCTTTTCTGAGCATCTTTACCGATAGAACCTCCTTGAGAGGCAGCTTTTTCTAGCCATGCGCGAGCCTCATCCAGATCACTTTTTACGCCTCTTCCTTCAGAATACATGCCGGCGAGGTTCACCTGAGCCAACTGAAAGCCTTGCACTGCTGCCATGCGAAAGAATTCGGCAGCGTTAAAGCTATTCGCCTCTACACCATGCCCCTTGAGGAATCTCAGTCCAACATTGTATTGCGCCTCGGCCATACCCTTGACAGCTGCCTTTTGAAAGTGTTTGAATGCCTTTTTCTGATCTGGTTCTCGTTCATCATTACCAAGACCAGAGGAGCAGTACACGCCGAGCATGAAATTGCATTGAGGGTTTCCAGATTGTGCGCCCTTTGTAAAGTACTCGATTGCCTTTTTATGATCTTGATGTACACCATAACCCAAGCGATACATACGACCTAATTCACTGTAGGCATTGTCTAATCCAGCTTGTCCTGCAAGCTCATATAGTTTGATAGCTGCTGATACTCTATCTGGCTGAGTGCGCATCAAGATAGCCGCCAGGTTCATTTGTGCGTAAGGATGTCCCTTTTGCGCTAGCTGTGACATGATACGAATGCCTTCGTCTTCGTTTTTGGGTGTGCCATTATATCCTCTGTATACCATGTTGGCATAACTGAATGCACCACGATCATCTCCCTCATCCATGGCATATTTGTACAGTTCCAGTGCTAATGGAGCACCGTCTAATACATAATTCTCAAAAGTCAATACTATATAGTTGTATGCTGTATGCACCTATCTCTTACATTTTGAACTTCTAAGTAAGATATTGCCGAATGCTGTAAGCTCAGTTGCCTTGTTATCCACCACTGTCAAATGAACATATTAATTCAAATCCTGTTTCTATTGGCATTGGATATTTTACGCTTGAGAATCTGCTCTGCGTCATGCTTTTCATTCTTGACCAGATCCAATACTGCAGATGCCAGTTCCTTTTGCTTTTCAATGGGCAATACCGTTTGTTTGTGCTCCAAAGAGAGCTTCAGCACATCATCGTCTGGTAACAGGTCTGCGTTTACAGAGATAAGATTACATCGTCCAGACTACGAATGTGTGTATGTGTATGTTTTCTTACCTTTCACAGTTGCTCTTCCAAGCAGCTCTTGAGCTGATATAGGCTCTTCTTCCTTGATCAGTTTCTTGTCTCTATCAATGCTGTATTAGCTCTTGTAATTCCTCTTTATACGGCTGTCTCCATACATTTTATCATTAAGAAATGGTTCAAAGATGCCTCCCATGGATGCTTCCAGTTTCTTGGGGCGGCTTGCATAGTACCTTTTAGGCATCGCCACAGTGTATCTCGTCTTGGGGACAATCACGGCCCCGAGACGTAAAAGAACTCTTTTATTTGACATAATGCAACAACAGTAAAAGACCCCTTCCACCCCCCTCTAACATACTCCAAATTTGTAGTGCACTTTGGAGTCTTAAAATTATTCGCCGAGCAAATAAAAGCAGGTGGTCATTGTGCAACGGGTCTCAATGTAAGGTATTGTCATGGCAACGAACAAGCATTGTAAGAGGAAGATTGACTCGAGCGACATTAAAATGCACGCAAAACCAAGAAACGATGCCGTCGTTTTGAAAAGAGCACCATATATTGAGATGACTCGTATTATACGTTGCGGTTCTTCAGGACCAAGAACATTCCATTTGTAGTGAGATCATGTATCTTTCAGCTCAAAAATCGACTGTTCAGACTCTACCATATTACTTTTTTTTTTTTTTTTCAAAAGAGGAGTGCAAAGCGAGCTTTATTTAAGAAATTTGACTAAGAGTATACGGAGGATACTTTGTTTGAGCAAATGTCATTAAACGTTTCACAGATTGAATCCATTTTCTGGAAGCTTCATCATTGAGTACATGTGCAACTTGCGAAGAAGAAATCTTTTCACGGGCAGAACGTTCGTGAATACTATCGGCAAAAAGAAATTAGTCATGATCACCATCAGCGGCTCCACCAAGCATCCTGAATATTTACCCAACCATAGTAACACCAATAGGCCAAGGTGCATTGCCAATGGATAATTGAAGATAGGCATCTTGAGCGTCTCTGTAAAGTCTCACTTGCATTCTCTGAGCAATCTCTGCAACACGAGCTAGCACATCTGGTTCCAATGTCTTCTTTTTCAGTTGACGCATCAAAGGTTTAATGTATTCTGCTGCTTGTTTTTGTAATACGGCTGCTCTTTTGCCTGGACCAGTTCTCTTTTCCTCCTCTGGACGTGCTGCCATATACTCCTCCCATTCTTCTAGTGTATGCTATTATGTGTGGAAAAAAAAAATACAGCCATAAATACCCAAGTCTTTTGTCATGAACATCCCATGTAGTATCACTTACAGCAAAGTAGGCGTAGATTTGAGAATAAAGTCTATCAATATCCTTCGAGATCAATTCCAATTGAATAGGCTCTACGGCAAGCGCTGGCTTTTTTACTTTCTTTTCTTCGCTGACACCACCCTTTTGCTTCAGTTCATCGAGACGCATGCTTGTTTCCATTTCTTCCAAAGTCTTCATAAACTCATTGCGGCCTTGCTCCTAATCATTGCATAGAGCTTAGATGCTGTATACCTCGGTTTCCTCAACCACTGCAAGAAAAAACTTACCCCTGCTTCTTCATTCATCAACTCTAATGCACGAAGACGAACCTTACATTGCTTATCTGTTTCCGCAAACAATCGAATAGGTTGGCCCATAGCTCTGAGACGACGCACACATTCCTCTCTTGAGATGTTGAATGCTTCAATGACTTGCTCCTATACATGATGTTTAATCGAACCATCCAGCAGTGCATCATTTACTTTATTCTAATTGAACCTACATTTTCTTCAGCATTGGATCCTTCCTCTGCCTTTGCACTCTGCTTTTCTGATTCCTTTCTCTTGGCCTGTAAATAGGTAATGAGTTGATTGCAATTATGCGCTAAATGAGCTCAACTATACCTCTTCTTCTGCTAAACGAGCTTTTTTCTGTTGTATGACAGTCAGCAATCAAGGCGTCAGAGAGCAGCACTATGTATAACTTACCTGTCTTTCTTTTTCCTCTCTCTCCTGCTCTTTACGTCTGTATTCCTCTTCACGAATTCGCTCCAATTCGGCTCTACTAACGTACTTTAACTTTTTGTCAGAGCCGCTTTCTTTACTAACAGCGTCTAAAACTTTACGTTTTTTAGACACTTCTTCTTGGATAATGCTATCGAGGAAGCTCATGTTTGATTAGATGTATGTGTGCGTATGGACAAAAGATTGCTTGGAAAGCAAAAGAAAAAATCAAGAAACTCAAAAGCCTCCCATTTGTTTGTCCAATCACACTACAAATCCAAGCAAGCGAATCAATCAAACTAAAAAGCTTGGCTCACTACTGTATGCTTATAAAATGTAACCAGCACATATATCAGCTGTTTAGTTAATACCTATGCGTATTTCTCTCTGTATCTCGGATTTGAGTGCTCCGTCGTGCAAACTACGTCAATAAATAAATGGATTTCTGGGGGGTTTCTTTTATGATGAACCACTGTATTGTGTATATTAAACTCATGAAGCCCTGGTCTAGACGGGTAAATAGACATGTACAGAATGGCACTCTACATGCTGCATTTTAGCATGATTTAGGATTGCGTTTACTATCATCAGCAATCGAATTGCAATATTCAAATGCTGTGCATTTTATGCCATGTATTGGATTGTCATAAACATACAGCAATGTCAAAAAACTGTTGTGGTACCATCGTTAGCTTAAGTGGCATGATATTGCCCATCTCCCTATATGATGAGTATATGAAATTGCTTGGCTTCATTGTCGTATGCCGCCGTATATCAAGGGGATTTTAATTAAAAAGCATCAAATCTTCGATGCATATATTTCATTTCTATTGATTGCTCATTACTCATCAATAAAAGATCATCTACAGTTTGGATGTTTAGTGGATGCCTGAGCAATAACGCCATCTAATGGCAATATCTCTATACATCTGCATTATTAATGTACCAACCATCCCGAGCATCTTGTTGTTTTATAGCGTAACAATAGTATGTGTTTATATTTTATTCTGTTGCATATATATATATATATGAAAAATTAGAGTGAATGTGTGTTTTTGATGTATATATAAGTAAGATATGATGATAAGATATAGAAATGAGTAGGAAATGTACAAATGAGTAGTGAATAGTAAGGGAAAGGAGAGGGTATATGGTGTGTGTATGTGATGTCTTAAATCATAGATCCATCAAGTTCATAGGTACCAACAATCTTTCGGTTGCTATCTCTAATGCGCACCATCCAGTTTCCATTTGGTAGCTTGATGTAAAAGTTTGAGTATCCTTTACCAGAATAGTCCATAGGGGGATTCACTGGGGAATCTGAGGGAGTCGTAATTGCAGTCTCCAGATCAACGGATGATACAGTGGAAGATCTGTGCTGGTAGGCGTCGTAGGTAGGCGATGTGTTAGATGTAGGTGTCTCGGGACCATCTTCATCTGTGGTCATGCTTGAGCTTGTCATGGCAGTGTTGGCTCTGGAAAGATGAGTCGATTCCTTGACTGTAGATGGGATCACCAATTTCAGTTCAGGCTTTTTTTGGCGTCCAAAGATACTGACTTTTCTGCCCATTAGGCTAGGTCTCTTTTGTAACAATGTAGAAAATGAGAGTCTACGCTGAGGCTTCTCTTGTGGTAGAGTCAAATGATGGTATGAAAATTGTTCATTGCCATAAAAATTGCTGTATAATTCTGTCATTTTTCGTTGCAAATGTAATGTAAAAAAAGATGAAGAGATGAAAGAAAAACAGGGAAATGCTGAATGAAATCAAGGCACTTTTTATAATGGGGAAAATCCAAGTTTTGGAAACGTCTCTGATAACGGCAAACTAAGAAATTTGTGTGTGTGTGTGTGTGTGGGGAGGGGGGGGGGGAGGATGCTGCGGAAAAAGGGCATTTCGATCGTTTCATCACTATGATCCTAATGAGCGACGCTAAGCCAAAACTATAATTGCTTAGTTGTCTATCACCCCAAAGGCGGGATCTCTTTCTGCGCGCATTGCTCGCATATCAATTTCTTAATTCATCACAGAATGTATATCATATAGATGAGTCAAATATCCGGTAGATCAAGGCCATGATTTCTATTTTCAGCAATACTCGTAATAGTTGCTTTCCATCTTTTACCTTATTTAGCTGCGGTCCGAGTGCCCGAATGAAAAATGTATACAAAGACATTGCAAATAAACAAGACAGCAGTAGAAGTAAAAGCCAAGCAGATTCTGACGAGATCCAGCACAGGGCCTTTGGTCATTTGCTCATGCTGATCAAACCTGCTTTATCTAATGTTTAGTGTGGGCGAAGAGCCCTTTTTTGAAGACATTTTGACATCATCTTCATACTCTCGCTTTATCTTTCACACACTCAGAATTACACACTTTATATGCATAGGACATTTAGAAACAAACAGATCAAATTTCATTGTATAATACAAACAAACAACTCATACCGTAATGAGTCTATTTTTCTAACGATTACGGAAACCTAAGCGCGCCTTTTCAGGATATTACATGTAGCACAGAATGAAAACAAGATGGAACGATGAGTAAGATGCCATATGCTACAGAACGCCCCGATTTGTGGCCAACTGGCTCAGCATATCACACAAGATGTTGGTATAAATGTAGAACATGCACATGGCCCTTTTTTTATCCATCATTGTAATGTGTGTTGTCAAATGTGATATGCCATCTCAAATCAAGCATTATTGTAGAAAAAAAAAAAAAAAAAAAGATGGATTGCTTGTAAACCAAAGATAATCAAAGAGCCAAGAAATACAAGACAAACAAAACGCTGCTCCCTTTTGTTTATCATATTTAGACTTTTAAAGAAATGTGGTGCTTGGCTAAGCTATATACCGTAGTGATATGGCGCAGCTGCGGCGAAAGCGGGAAAACTCACGGCTAAGGGTGGTGGTGGTTGTCCATCAAATGAAAAAGCTTTTGCAAGAAATGTTGCTCATTCCAGTTCGGTTTATTGGGTGGACCCTAATGTAGATTGGATAAGAAACTGATTGACATCGTGCCTTGAGAGGGCGAATGAACATGGACATGACTATTCAGTGCTGATTCCAGATGCCAATGAGCATTTGGTATTTGGATTGATGCTTCATGAGTGGCATGTATGGCCAACATTTGCTTGCCACTGCATCTGCAATTCTTTGGCAGCTCTGTCTCTATCTCCACAAACAATGGCAAATGCCTGTTTTCCATGATAACATTTGTCTATCGTCAGTAGCCTCCACAGAGGCTACATGGTGCTCATCTCTCACATGTGTAGAGCCTGCAGATGGGGCCATTTGCTTTTTTGAATTGATCCAACACGGCATACTATTGCCTCAAATACATGTCGCTACAAATGAGGCACTTTTGATTCGACTTTAACGGTTGGACGTGCATGATGGATACGGTACTTGTAGCTTAGCCATTCTTCTTGAAGTGGTATTAATGCAAGTCAACTGATATACAGACGACGGAACGCAACTTTTTCGCTCACCATGCACGGCCTAAACCAGTTTTGTAGGAGAAAATCAACAGAGACACCCGGAATAAATGTTTCCACATTGACACATGCAAAAGGATCGACATTCTGAGGCAAGTCGGCTCTCTACCATCGTGTGGTTTGAACTCTAAATGTCCATGTTATTACATGTAATCTCATTGTTTCCTAGGATATTAGACGCGTATCTTTTTATTGTTACATAATAAGAGAAAAAACAATAGGAATTAAGTACATTTGGCGCGGAAAGCAGCTATTTTTCAATGGGTAGAGGGTTCGGATGGTTGAGAGAGCATTTGATATTTAGAATGATGATGGTAAGGATGAGAGTAGGTGGAGGGTGAGAGTATTTACATCGCTATACGAACAGATTTCTTTTTCTTTTCGGTGGGAGGGGGAGTATATGTACTGCAGGAGCATTCGACGGGTTCATGCTTGCTGCTAACGTGAGTGTTGCTGGTATCATTGTCCAATTGACAGACACATAATTCACGGTCTTTGGTAATCAGTAAATCGTCTATTGAGTGATGGTTTAACTCCATATCATTATCAGATCCATCTTCAGCTTCCAGATCTTGCTCCGACACTGGAGATTCAACAAAACTGAACCCTTCATCATCGTCGTCGACGTCGTCTTCAAAGATTTCATCATCGTCACACTCCATGTCTTGATCAGAGTCCTCATCACCAGAGTCCTCCTCTTCAGAGTCGTCTTCATCTTGCACCCAATCGACAAATTTGGTGGTAATCTTGCGAATCTTGTTTGAAATATCGTTTTTAAACGGGTGCTGCCACCATGCTATCACTGCTTCATCGTCCACCACATGGTACTTGTAGAGCATGAGAATGAGGCGATCAAAATGATCGACAATGGCTGTCCCAAAGGCAACATGGTCAAGTTCAGTTTCAATGTGGTTTAAAAGCTGGATCTGGCTTTCATCGTCTGTTGTATAATACTGCAGGATGGATTCCCAGAACTCGACAATTCCAGCTTGAATCTTGGTGGTAAACACCTTGGTGGCAGTGGTAGGTTGAGCAGCTGATTTATCCACAAACTTGACCAACAAAGAGCACATCCATTGGACAAACGAATGAGCCAAAACGGAGGCGATGGTATCTGATGAGGGTTCATGCTTGAGAATCAAGTCATCAAATTCCAGTCGAACACGCGCACTGGATAACTTGGATAGAATGGCCTGGTGTATGTAAGATGCAGCTACTTGGTCAAATGTGAGTTGCTCTTCTTGCTCATCTTCGTCATCGTCGTCATCGTCATCGTCATGAGCAAAGTGGTTTGTTGTTTCATCATCTCCATCCATGAAACGCTTGTGAAAATAATCATTGACTTCCTGATCATCTTGTGTCTTAAGTTCATCCATTTTGACATTGATTTCGGGCAAGGCGCTTTCATGCGCTACAGGTTGGCAGGACATGTTGTCGTTTTCATCTTCTTCAAATTCGTAGCAGCCCCAAATGTTTGAGTTTTTGCGTTTAAAGTAGGCTGCATCGTGCAAGGTCAAGCCGCCATTACCATTGGCATTGCTGGCATTGGTGCTACTGGTGCTACTTGAAGAGGCAGAAGCAGCAGAGGCAGCGGCAGCGGCAGACTCCAAAGAGAGCTTCAAATCTTCAATCTGCTGCTTCAGATGTGTGATTTCATCATCTCGGTCCATCAAATCGATTTCCAGTTGAGTGTTTTTATCCAGGTATTCATCATAGAATCGTTTATGGGATGCATCGGTGTCTTGGCGAGAAAGGGTGATATCGCGCAGATCGTTCTTGAGCACAGAGACGCTAGTACGTAAGGATGAGTTTTCTCCTCGCAATCGACGAATTTCACGCAACAGCATATGATACGATCTCTTTTTGGTGGAATGACGTTTGGGTTCAGGAGAGTCTGAACGAGAGGAGCATGTGGATTCGCCCAATGTAGAGCAGCTGGAAGCATCTTCGGCTTTTTTCTTGTGTTTGTAGCTCTCCCATGGTGATTCGTTTCTCTGATATCCGTTCAATTGAAGTAGTTTGCCGTTCAGGTGTGATTGAGAGCCTGTATCTATAATACAGTATTAGCACCAAATGCCTACCAAATACAACAGCAGATGCTTACATGGCATGCAATTCCCAGCCGACATTCTGTAGACAGCAGCAGCAATGCAGACAGGCACTTTCCTAAGCGGCGCTAAGCTTTTATCGTTCAGGTAATAATCCATTTCAGATGTGTCTAATAAATCAATGATGTTTTGTTGAATAGTGTTGTATTCGTCGTTGGGACAGGTTTGCACTTTGTTGAAAGAATTCATCTTTCTGTTTCTCTTGTGTAGAATAATTAAATCGATAATGTTTTGTATGTCAGGAGTTAGTAGATGAAAATAAGGATGGATTTAAAAATCATGCTATGATGTGTATGTGTGTGATGTAAGAAGTATGGTTGTTGTTGTATGACAAATCACTTGAGTGAGAAAGCAAGAGGAGAAAGAAGAGGAAAAAAGAAATCAAACATTCGGGATTTATTAAATAACTCGCCTTCCATATGTTCAGCGATTTGTTTCAAAAAAAGAAAGTGAGTGAGTCATCCTACTTGTTTTGGGTGGCTTTCAGTCTGCCTGGCGTTTGTCATGTATATATGCGCGGTATAATTATTTGTCTCAGCTTGGGTGAATGGAACACACACACATACACACACACACACACTACACCCCTCGTCCGATCCCCTTTCCTCTATGCCATCCCCTGGCATATGTGAGGCTCCTTTCTTATTTTATCAAGCCAAAAAAGCATGGCATTGAGAGCGTAGTAATATCACAAGATGTTAACAGACACTCAACGGAACAAGTTATTTTTCTTTAAACTAATCCCTATTTAGACGATGATGGTAACATATCCATTTATAAAAGGCATCTGCAATCCTCCTCCTCCCCACACCCCCCCCCCCCACACTATACAAATGAACAAATGAAATCATGACATCGTAACTGGAAAAAGCGAGTTTTGTCTTCTTTATGAATAAGCAAGATCAACAACAATGAGGATCAAATTATTCTTCATTCTACAGCGCATGAGCCATATGATGCATGTAAATAGCATTCAACAATGGTAACATTTTTAGTAACAGAAAAAGCGAGTAATCATGACGGCACATGCATAATACAATTACAAAAGAGCATACGAACAGACCACCCTTTGCTCTGATTTCGTACACAGAAATCATCATTCGTCTTCTTGACTGATCCAGTGCTTTCTAGCAATCGTAGTTACATCCAATGACGATTGCATGTCGTTAAAGTCCTTTACTGCTGCCAAGATGCTCAATTTTCTATGTTCAATCTTACATTGGCAAAGTATACAAGCATGTCACGTATGTCACTTACTTGTCCAAGAGTCGATCCAAGGTTTTGCTAGTCTTTTCGATGGAGTTTTTTGTATTTTTAGACAGTGAGTCTACCTGGGTAAATAGTTTTGCAGTCTTCAATGTATCGTCGTGTACTTGGGATGTCTTGAAGAGAGCCTTTATCACATACTCCCAATCATCAAATGACTTGCTTGTCTTGAGATGGCATTCCTCTTTGGAAGCAAAGAATGGCTGTTGATCTTCATGGATAGAACTGGCTCGAGAGCTGCTTACGCCTGTGGATAGCCATCGATTATTCTGCATTTCTTTTACAAACGGCGGACAAAAACAAGTTGCGTAAATATAAACTCTTTGTGTCGTAAAAGACACCACAGAAAAAAAAAAAAAAAATCTCACGCCTCATTGGTAACCATTTGTACTTCACCCATGCATTAACAAAAATCGCATGCTACTCGAACATTTTCAATCATACACACATGCATAACTGATATGGTGGCATGATGGCAATCTATCGCAATATGACTTGCGATTTCATTGACTTTTTGTATATATCATTTATTGATGGTGTCTATTCTGAATTCAAATGAACCTTAAATTAGTCGTACTAAAATAATACTCAGGGCAGTCTAAACAGCAACGATCTCTTGCGTATCTGTGATTGCATTAAAATCAAGATTCAACGATTCAGGAATACTAAATCGAGAATAGACCATGGCTTAAAGATTTAAACTATTCTGCTGGCCTGAACGATAGCACTCGGGATCAACAAAGAAATACCCAAATGAGATAGATTTGAATCTCTTCCCCAAAATTATCAGCTTACCGTTGATGGACTCCTTTCTCATCAGATTGAAGACAGAATATCATTAAACTGTCATTGAGCAAACTGCAACCTTGATTTGCCTATTAAAATGACGCTCATCGTGGAGTTCCCTGAAAGTTTAATCTGTCGATGCTTGTTCCACTGACGCCATGTACGAGGCTTCGATGAGCCTTTCATGGCCATTCTTAGGACTAGTATATGCTGTCCTGCGTATAACTACCTGTAATCACTTTTTTGAGCAGTTGCTAGTGCATCAAAACAAGCAGCTTCCATGTCTTTAGTCTCGTAAAGAGTTCCACTAGGTTAGGTATCAGTGTTTGTCTGTGAAATACATCGAGGCAACCTTTTGCTGCTCAAAAGCTGTCTAAATCACAGCCTATAATACGCGCCAATATCTCGACTTACAGGCTGATTCTGACTCTCAGAATGATATCAAACGAGTGCTGTCGCTTCCAAGATACTTCTTGACACTTTATCTCAAATTTTTAGGATTATGAACAAATTAGTTCTTGTGAGGGGTAGTAAGGCAAAATCATTAAAAATCAATTAATTGCAATTTTTTTTTTACCTGCAAAACGACATATTTTAACTATAACGTGTAATAATTCAAATAAAAGGTATTTAAGCAGTGCATCGCATGATAGAATAAATTCTGATGTTTATTAAGACAAATTTAGAGTTTTCGACTAAAAACGTAAATTTAAAAATTATTAAATCCTCGAAAACTTTCAGTTGAAAAAAAATTCATAAAAATACTACCGTTAAATAGGCCGTCTAAAATAGCATGAACAATTATTATAATACTAAATCGACTATCTATTGCTATTCTTGAGAAATCGTCAAAAGAATACATTTTTTTGCTCCAAATCCATTCAGATTCAACAAGGAGGTTATGGCACGCTACGAAATCAACGCCGACCGCACGCTTGGCTGCATAACATTCCCAAACTGTCATTAAACCAATTTGAGATCCACCGAGATCCGCGAGCTCTATAGGCTGGACACCAACGTAATGCATACCTGTACCTTTACACTGATCAAATGAACACTTTTCAATAGTAGCCACGGCTTTTAGTCGTTAGCAATTTTGTACAGAGTAAATACGCTCGTCGAATGGTACCACTCTTGATAGTCATTGGAGAGTTTGTATTATTCATGCAAGCCTGTTTATCTCCAAATATTTTCGAGGATTGTCAAAAGACAGCCTGTACTGAACCTGTGCCAATCTACTTGTACCAGTACTTATTGCGTAGATCTAAGAATTACCTATCGCTTGAGGTCTTACTCAAATCTGTAGCATCAATTCTCATGGATCCACAGTGGTCAGTAGGTCAGCCTTAGCCAAATTGTTCAAAAATCGATCGCTCAAATTAGCCTTTACTATAGTGTCGTATAACATTTTCCTGTGCACGCCAGCATTACTCAATGCGCGCCCTAGACTTATTTTATAGACTTGAGCGTCATATAAATGATGCATCTGTGCTGTTATTAAACAAAACCGTGTCTTTGTCACTGTAAACTTCAGATTTGGGGGGGGGGGCTGAAAACTCCATTTTTGAAAGAATGCATCACAGTAGGTATCCTAACAAGGTCTCATTTTGTAGAACAAACACATGAAAAAAACATTTAACTAATAGAAAAGAAGCCTGGTTAAATTGGTGGTAGTTGTAAAGATACTACTACTAGTGTCGAAACGTCGAAACGTCGAAACGTCGAAACACTGCTGGTTATTTGTATTGGTTATTACTTTACACTTTACTCGTCGCTTAATCATTTGACGACCAATGCAGCGACTAAAAAATCCGTTTATATCCTTAGCAACCAACCCCCTCAAAATGGGCATATACCATAATCGTTTCGTTTTGTTTTGTTTTGTTTTGTTTTGTTTTGAAATCTCTAGCATCAACATGGGGCCGGCCTGAAAAAGCAATCTCCATCCTCCTTTTGCTTACATGCTGCGCAGCACTGCTTCAAACCTTTACCAAATCACTCCAAAGCAAAATATCACCAAGCCTTCTTCACAATAACCTTTTCCAACACCTACTACTTCATTGATCTATCCATCACTCGTAATCACTTGTAATAATAAACTGCTTTCAATAGCTTTTATACATAGTTCGTTGCTCAAAATGCCTCTATTTTGAATCTCAAAATCCATTTTCAAAATCGAGTTTCAAAGAGAATTAAAAGAGAAAAAAAGAGAAAAGGGGGAGAAATAGAGAAAAATATTGCGTGAGATGCTTCCAAGGTATACCCCTCTGTGTTGGAGGGGAAGAGTCAGTCATGTTAGGCGAATTTTGTTTTAGATACATGAGCTGATCTTATAGACTTCTATCCAAAAAAGCCACAATGGCTACTGTATATGAATGATCTGCCAAATTCAAGTTTATTCATAATACATGTATTGTCTTCTTGTATATCGCAGATAGCTTTTTGTCTAAAACAAGTGCAAATCATAAGGTTGTCTAATGAGATCCCACTACTCGTCATCTTATTCAGCGCAGAGAGACCACCCAAGCTCCTTTTAACAATATAGTGCGACAGTCCAAGCCTTGCTAATATTCTTAACAGTGTCAGCAATGAAAGATGCTTCAGAGATATACTTTTGAACAAATTTGAGAGCAGAAGCAGGATATCCAGTCTTCCCATTACACTTGACTCTGATAAGCGAAATAGGCTATTACAAAGGTTGTTTTTTTTTTCTCCAGTGCATAGGAGAAAATCCATCTGGGGCTATTATATATATGCAAAAACACATTCTTATCGCTTTTTTAATGGCTCAAACTCGAAGCTATATAACTTTTGGTAACGAAAATCATATTATAGCCATGTTCAGTATGCTTGCCTGATCTAGGATCCGGTTAGGTGCCTGACGAAATCTTGGGATACTTTGGATAGATTGAGCTGGCAAGAGTGTGCTACAGAATATCAAATATGGTCAACATGTTGAAGGGACTTGTGTAATACGCTCTTGCGCTGCGTGATCATCAGGCTTTATCTTTTGTGAGAGATTAAGGATATATCTACTACACATATCTCGAGAGCGTTAATACATCGCTCTATCTTTTTGCATATTCCAGAGGATCATGTGATGTGGCATCATACGTATATTGTGTGGACAGCCGCCATTTTCTCCCTCTCTCTCTCTCTTTCATTCTCTGATCATTTCTCTTTTATATTTCCTAGCAACGCATACAATCTTTCGTAAAATGGATTCAGAATGTCACTCCATGGTCATGGAGTATCTCATGCATAACTGCTTCAAGAACACAGCAAGAGCATTGTTGAAAGAGACAAAAAGACTTGAACAGTGCAGCAAATCTAGTAGTAGACCAAGCAAAAGTAAGGGAATATTTCTCCATATGTCCACAAACGACGGAAATATTAAACCATTTTTCACATTAGTCGCCTTTCAGCATCAAGAAGATGGTACATCAGAGGAGCACATTTGTAGTTAAAATCCACACAATATTCATCCATTTCCTTTTAGAAAATCAATGGACACTATTAGATGCAAGAAAGAGTAGGTTGCAAAACAAAATAATCCGCCTCTTGGTATGTTTAATCATTCAAACATATAGGTTTAATTGATGCCATTGAACAAGGAGACATTGTGTTGGCATTTGATTTAATAAAGAGGCATTTTCCTGTTCTAGCAGTTCAAGACTTGATCCCAAATGGCATACCACCGCCCAACAACAGAGCAGAAACCGCTGAACTACAGGATATACTGTTTCAATTGAAATGTCAACGATTTATTGAAATTATCCGAACTTCTTCCTCCACAATTGATGCTATCCGCTATGCACAAACTCATCTGAAGCCCACCAATAGCAGATCCAAAGAGCAAGTCAAGGAAGTAACTGCACTCATTGCGTACGCAGATCCACGTCAATCACAATCCAGTCATTTACTTGGACAGCAAAGAAGAGAAGAATTGGCTAGTCGAGTTAATCAGATCTTGTTAGGTAACGGCTGTGATTCCCCTTTTTTTAAAAAAAAGAACAACACTGAAATCCTGATCCTGATCTCTCCTTCCTAGCTCAATGCCATCTGCCAGTACAAACTTCCATCGAAAAGATTACCAGACAGTATTCTCTAGTCGAAGAAGAGTTACAAAAGAGCAACACAGCTCCATCTCCGGTACGTACTCACAGAGAGAAAGTAGCCATATAAACCACCAGTACCATCATCACCATTACTACATATCCTTCCACATCATGTAAATAAAGATACTAGACAATTTTATATTAAAAGAATCATAAGGAACACGTTCCTTACTATCTTTTATTATACAGTATGTATTGCTTTAATTTTTTAACTTGAATATTCCTTTTTTGTTGTTTATGGCGCAAAAAACGAACACACTAAATCAAGATGAAAATCAACCTATTTAAATCTCGTTGACGACGAGAGCTACAACCATATAAAGTTAATACAACATCTAGAGAGCAAACGCTACTTCAAACTTACCAGGAGGGAGAGATTGTCTGAGCTTGTTGGCCTTGGACTTGTCCTTGACAACAAGAGTGTAGAGGTAGCGAGAACATCTAACCTTGAACTTGACAGAGTCAGCGTTCTTCTTGATGCGAGCGGCTATAATGCAAGCGTTAATACACTATCTGAATTGTTGATTTCACTCATCAGCTTACATTGGGCATCCTTTCTGCGGGCAATTTCGAGGAATTGCTTAATATCCTTAATTTGTTGAGGCTACAATGATAGGTAACATGTTAATGATCTGCTGCAAATGTGTATGCGTTGAGCTATTCTATGAAAGATAGAGATGAAGAGCGAGCTGATATGAACACGATGGTGACAGTGCAAGTGAAGATGGTCGTAGCATACTGTTGCTTGGAACTATCGCTTTCAGGCTGATGGTGGTGGGCATCCATTTTTTTTTCTCAACATCCATCGATCCATCCATTTGCTTCATATCGTTTCACTTCCATCTCTCTCTGTTCACATGCATACATCCATTCACATCTGTCATGATGGATGGCTCAACTGATTCGTATAGCTTACCATCGCGCTACGGTATGTTCGGAAAGAGAAAGATTCTAATTCAAGTGCTTTGAGCTCTAGTCTTTAGCCATCTGGCTCTCTGTTGCTCCCACTTAATTTGAGTAGCAATTCAGGTTTTTGTTTCGGTAAATGTCCGGTAGTCCATTCATTGGTCGATATCAGGTATCAATAACATTGAGGGTTATTCCAAGTACGAGTCAATCCAGGAAACCAAGATGACGATGCTATGTACATAGTACAGCTCCAATTTCTGAATGGCATACGTAGTAATGCATTCGCATTTGAAGACATTCAAGATTCACATCACTCAACTAAGCAACCAACCAGCATTGGGCTCTGATGTTGGGAGCAAATGATAGTGATCTGTGAATAGACATTTTCTAGGTTGATGAATAAGACTCCATCATTCCAGCCAAGCTAATATAAGAGCTTATTTCGGCACATATATGTACTCGCTTAATATGCAAGTTTTAAAACCACAAGAATCAATGTTAGTGATTTTAACGGATTTTCCATTTTTCGCCTCCTTTATCAAAGAGTGGCGGACGGTTACTTTGTTTGTAATTTAAGATTTTGGATTACATGCTCATAAACAGGCTGCATGAAAAAGAGCAAACCATATAAACAGCTCAAGCAAATCATAGAAGAGAAGATCAAAAGTGGACGCATTGGCATGCCAGAAGGGAATAGAGTTTCAATTACACTACATGACAACAAACCCCATTTCTCATGTTGAGATGCTCGTGTGGTTGCTTGCGTGGATCTTTTGTCGTATTCTTTATTCTCAAGTTGGATGCTTGACCAAGAAACAGGTTTGTAAGCTCATTCTTCGATCATCCAAACACACTACTATGATACTACGTAAGCAGAGAGTGTCTAGACGGTTTTGCATACAGCCACTGCTGAGAGATTACTCATTGTCATATGCCAAAAGTGTTGTTCTATTATGGAACATCTATTGAAGAATGTCCAATAGTTGGCTAACCTCGAATCCGTAAGAAGAAACAGAGCCAATGTGTAGCACGGTATAGTGTTGTGTGCCTGAAAACGAACCGCTGTAGTATCAATGCAAACAACCTGTTATGTTCTTGGTACACAATGCATGTCAATGATGAGAAACAGTTTAGATTTCGGACAGAATGATACACCTACTGGTTTCTGGTTCCTAAGCATTCATTGATTTGCTATACACAAAATGTCGCCAAGCAATATATGCCAAATAGTGGAAGGCACGAGAACTTTCAAGTACATTGATGCTAACAAGAGCATAGTTTCAGCATATGATTTGTGGCGCCTCTCTCTTCAAAATCACTAAATCATCTCGAGCTGCATAAATTGTCAGCAAACACACTGTACGGAAGCATCTGATCAAGGAGTTGTGGGCGTGCTCATTCAATCAAAAGAGGTAATACAACCTGAGTAAGCTACTGGCTAGCCTGAGATACAGGTAGTCTTACCTACTATGTATATACAGGACACCAGTGTCTGTGATGATTTACAATTTGAATTCGCCATCATGACTCCTGCCGCCCTCTCCTCTTTATGAACCGACTATTCTCTCTCCATCTTCGGTACATGTGCTGGGAAATATGGACACTTACTGTTGCCGACAAACCATTGATTGCTCTAATGACGTTAACATGAAGCCACAATCGACCCATTTTATCATGCTGAAGGAAATCGATGCAGCTGATTTGGAACAATAGCGACGCTTCTCTTCCAATTTAAGGTTTTTTTGTCCCTGTTTATTCATTGTGCGAGTAACGTCCGAGGTGAATTACAACAATCTGTATGCTTTTTTTGATAACCGGACCAGCGATTCAATGATACAAACGATGATCGGGAGATTTCACTCTGATTATAAATAACTTATTTTACAATCATATGTGCAATCGCAGCATCTCTTTTTCTTTTTCTTTTTCTTTTTTATTTTTATTTTCTTGAATCCACAGCACTGATAAAATGACTCTTTTACTAAAAGGACTTCATTTCATCATCACCTATATATCCTTCATTGTGCAATCCTGTCTGTTGCTGATAGGAAGCTTACTAGTGCTGATCCCAGTCTATCACTTTCTTACAATAACCGACAAACATACCCTGAAAAACTTTTCGCTATCTTGTATCGAGCAGCTTGGCTTACAGGACATCATGCTATTTCCATACATGTCGACCACCAGCAACAGCAAAGAGAAGCCTCACAGAGAACAATCTCATTCTGTATCGTCTCCCGTAGCTAACATGGTGACTGATGAGCCTAATTCACCTATCGATATGCAAGTCTGTCTATTGCAAGAATCATCGAGCTCGATGGTGGCAGGATTGATCAACATTGGAAACACATGCTTTTTGAACTCTGTTCTTCAGGTCAGTTGTATGCTCACGAGCAACACCACAGAAATACTGAATGTTCGTCTTCTCGATTTAGTCATTATCGTCATTGCCAAAATTACAACATTATTTGGATCAAATGAGCACTGCACATTCAACATCTAGATTACCTGTTACACAGTCCCTGTTGAAAACCTTACGACTTTTATCGCAACCGTCCAACAATGCATTCAAGCCCACTGACATTGTTAACGTATTGGGAAAGCATCGCTACCTTCTCAACAGAGAACAGCAAGATGCTCAGGAGATATATCAGCTGTTAGCCAGTGAACTGGAAGCTGAGAGGTCTCAATTAGACAAGAAACAGGGCTTAAAGGATCTGCTGTCATTTGGTGCCAGAAAAAAGACAAACAAGATTGAAAACCCATTGAATGGCTTTTTGGCATATAGAACATCGTGTACGGTTTGTGGATATAGTGTAAGTATAGATTGTGTGTATAGGTGTATGAAGAGATCATTCAACTGTATTTTAGGGTGCGCTGAAATTGGAAAACTTCAACAATATCCAGCTCGTGCTCCCTACAAACGCTGTAAGTGCTATTGACAAATAAACTGTTTTGCAAGTCATTAAAAACAATCGCTTATTATTATAGGCTGCAACTACATTAGATGAATGTTTAACGCAATTGACTCGTATTGAACAAATGACTGACGTGGACTGCACAAAATGCTCACTGCTGAACCGAGTACGAGAACTCACCACAGAGATTGACGTCCTTAAGCAACAGGGGCCCAAAAGAAGCAGAGAGATGCAGCGCAAGCAGGACCTCAAGGCTGAGATTGAGCACAGACTCAGCACGGGCGACATTGAAAGAGAAGGTACCGACAGTTCAGCAGGGACGATGATCAAAAGAGCCAAAAGCAAGCAAGGCATGTTTTCCAAACCACCCAAAGTACTGTCTTTCCACTTTGTGCGCTCAATGTATACAGATGCAGGAGAGGCGCTCAAGAACGAATGCCAAGTTGTGTATCCTGAAATGCTAGATTTGACTCCTTACTGTACAAATGGGAGACTTGAAACGGAACCCTACTTGCCAATCTCTACCCCTGACCATGGATCCAGTGTCAAGTATCGTTTGATGAGCAGCGTCATTCACAAAGGTCGTCATAGTTATGGCCACTTTGTGTCCTGCAAGCGTCGTCTGCTGGCTGAAAACTGTAGCTGCGCTGATTGTGGACATGATGATACAACACTTAAGCCCCATGATTCAGACTGGTTCTTTGCTTCTGACTCAGATGTTGGCATGATGAACACTCAAGACGTACTGAAAAAAAATCCATTTATGCTCTTTTATGAGCTTATCGAGGAAGAAACTAACGAGAAGGAAGAAGAAGTTGTTCCTGAGTTGATACATAATACACTTGCCGCACCCATCGCAGACCAACAACAACAAGCACAACAACATCAGCAACTCAACTACTGGGAAGAGTCTGAATCGGATCAAGACGACTTGGAAGAGTTGTTATCATCCAACAAGCCAGCAGCACCACCTTCATCACCCATCATGGATCCTTTCGCAGCATATACCAAGAAACCCAGCAGAAAGAATGTAAATAGCAAGACGAGACACAACAGCATTGCTCATCTCAAGTTTAATAACCATCATTCAATCCCTATTCTCACCCAATAATTTACAAAACTGTATATATATATACTCTGCATACAATAATATCATGACTCTAATAATAAACGAAAAAAGGCCTCCATCTTCAACACACACACACACGCACTGTGGGAATCAAGCAAATAGAAGCTGCTGGGGAACTTCATATGTGAATGATTGTGTAATCCCAATTCCTTTACTTTTGGTATTCGTGTTATTTAAACTTTTCGATTTTTCCTCAGCAAACGCTTTTACTTTTCTTTGTAACCACGTTCAGTCTATTATATATATTATGCCTGAAGGATACAAAGTCGATGTATCAAAAGCCGCTGGCCACGTCTATCCAGCAGAATCCGTATGTGTCATGTCTTTTGAATGAGTTGATCAGCTCCATGATTTACCCTCTTTCATAACAGGTAGCTTGCACACGCCGTGATTTCTTGTTGTATGCTTTATCCGTTGGTGTACCTGAAGACGACCTTCAATGGTTGTATGAACTCGGTAAGCTTGTAATTTACGGAAGATGAAAAGTGGCAAAGAGCCAACCCTTTTATCAGATATCGACTTTGGGCCATTGCCCACCTATCCTCTCTGTCTTTTATTAAAGGGAGATGATTGGGATGTCAATTCATTCATGGAGAGATGGACCTCAGGAGGACCTTTGCCGGGTGTACCAAGCTACGATTTCAACAAAATTGTCCACGGAGAACAATCATTTGAAGCATTGATACCCTTCCCTGCTGAGGGAGGTCGTTTCAAATCTGTCAAAACATGTGTTGGTGTGTATGATAAAGGATCAGGCATGGTCATTGATTCTGTTGTCGACCTCTATGGAGAGGAAGATGGTGTTCATTATTGTCGAATGGGAACAAAGATGTTTGTCAGAGGATACGGTGGTTGGAATGTAAAGACTTGGAGGACAGTTATTCAGTCAGTGTAGTCATTTAATCCGTACTTTCAATGTAGGGTCCCAAAGGTCCTAAAGGCATCACATACAATCCTCCCAGTCGCGAACCAGATGTGATTGATTCTTTCAAAACAGCTCCAAATCAAGCTCTTTTATACCGTTTATCAGGGTACTGTTCACGCATGATCTTTATCATTTTATATCGAAATAACACAATGTACATAGTGATTTCAATCCTTTGCATGCGGATGTTCATTTAGCACCCACTGTCGGCTTCCCTAAACCTATCTTACACGGTCTCTGCTCCTACGGTAAATGTGGACATGCCGTTGTGAAGCATTTTGGCGGCAATGACCGTACTCGTTTCAAGTCTATTGAGGCTCGATTTGCTCAACCTGTCTTTCCCGGTGAGACAATCGAGGTATTGATGTGGAAGACACCAAGCAACGATCCCAAGGCTGAAGCCGTTACTTTTCAAGCTCGTGTCAAGGAGAGAAATGTATTGGTTTTGACAAACGGTTACGCCACTCTTCACAAAGATACAAATAATGCCAAGTTGTAATGTAATTTTAATAAAAAAAAAATGACTAAATTGTTGCCAATTCATGCTAAATTACAGCTTTTTTAAATCAGGATTGATAATTTACACCAAGAAAACTAACTTGAACTATGCCATCCAAGAGGTTGATTCAATCAACGTTTTAACATTTCGACTCGCTAAGCTGATCGTTGCAAGTGCACGCTGTAATCCCCCCAAGGTACATTGTATACTTGCAGCACTTATTATTACTCCAAAATCTGCCAACTATAGTGAAATCTGCACATTTAAGCAGTAAATTCTCTTCTTACAAGCCGCTTTAGGCCGCCGGAATAGCACCAAACAACTCCTTTTGTCTAGCAGCTGCTTACTGACACCATTGCTCTACTTTTTTGGGACCTAAAAAACATGGTCAAAAAGCGACCCAAAAGCATGAAGGGTACCTCATAGGTTTCATCAAAAATCAAACGATCGCGTTTTTGACCTCCAAAATGAAGACTTTTACTATGACACATACCAATTCAAAGTGATTCTCTTGATCCAATGCAACCCTGGAACTTGCTTTTCCTAGACCTTCATATGTGGAATCTGGACTTTTTGACCAAAAACCTCTTTTCATAATTCCATGATTTACTTATTAAGCTTGTTCAAAACATCTCTATTAATTGGCTCCATTGGATGCGGTTTGAAAAGTACTCTAGAAAAGCTTAAGGAAGTATTTTTTTTTGTAGGGGAGTCGAGCTCCAGGTTTTATTTAAAGTCCTTAAAATGTCATACTGAGGGAAAGAAAAGACTGTTGGTGGACCCAATGTCTGCAATGAAGGGGAATAAGATATTTTTGAACTAAGTTGGGAAAGAAATCTACTACTAATCAGGTACGACACCTAGAGCCAATACAGTCTTTGCAGAAATCGTCAAAATATAGATAATGGATAAGAGTACACTATTTTCAGAAATTATTGGGACATTTTTAAAAAAAATTGGTACTAATTCTGAATAAATATTGGGTCAATTTATAATTAAATTTGGGACAAATCTTGAACTATTTTGGAACACTTGCCTAATTAATATTGGGACACATATAAAAAAAACATTGAGACATTTTCAGAGAAAGTAAAATTCATTTATTACAATGGCTCTTTCGCCAAACAAACATCGAATTTCTTAACAGAGTAGCGAGCAGAATCTTCAAGATCACTGTACAATACATCATTGCATGCATCGGTAATCCTGGTCGAAAGTGTTTCAGTTTTTAAGAGCCTCTCCCTCTTGAGTTTACTCTTGACCACATGCCAGAATTGCTCAATAGGATTAAGCTCAGGGGAGTATGGTGGGAGGTAAACACATCTGTAACCTCGCTGAATGATATACCTCTCAATATCCTTGGCTGTATGGATGGGTGCATTGTCCATAACAAGATAAAAATCTTTGAATTGCTCATGCTGGTCCATGATATCAATCGTTTTCGCAATAAAGTTAAAGTAGTGGCCAGTTACAGTACCCACAGTTGTTGTTGCTTTTCCAGAAGAAGTGCCAGCTAACTTTCTTTTCTTGTTGGATGTTCCAGGCAACCTCACTTGAACATTCAACACTCCCCATACGCTAGTTGCGCCAATAATAGTGGTAGTTTTCGCTCTTGTTTGAGGTACAGGCACTTCAGCTCGAGTTCCTTTCTCTGACCAAGCCATTGTTCGCTTCAAGTTAATATGGAAAGCTGACTCATCAATGAAAACACAGTTGGACATGTAATCCATGTCGGTTTGGCTCCATTTGACTACCCAGTCGTACCGGTTTTGAATGTTTTCAGGCGAGTTTCTTTCTTTGGAATGGAAATGAGCTTTCTTGAAAGTCAAGGCAAGATCATTGGTCATGTAGTTGTAAATAGTCGTTTGGCTGATAGTCAAACCCGAGAAAGCCCTAACAAGACTCTCATGAGCTTGTTCGATTGTTACTGATGGATTATCTTCAAATTCTAGTTTTAGGTGCTTCGTATGGTCTTCGTTCAAAATCTTTGGTCGACCTGCTCTCTTAACTGGCTCTTCATCGTCCTCAATTTCTTTGTTAACCTTTTTTTGATCCTCTGCGTACCATCTGTAAGCGGTTGTTCTTGATATATGGCCGTGCGCTTTCCAAGCTTGATTAGGATTCATGCCATGGTCGTAGATAAGGATAAAGAATCTTGCCTTGTCTTTGTCTGTGTAGCTGTTATATTCAGTCTTGGGCACATTTTTCTTATTTTTAATCTTTTTCTCTTTTAGTACGGTCAATTCTCTTTCAGGTGGCTTCCTATCAACATAAGTATTGTAGTTGGTAATGTTACCGAGAGGGAAGGCTTCGTTGTCTACATCCATCTCAACAGCTTCGTTTCCATGCCCATCGACTGGAGCATTTATTCCGTCTTCGTAGTAAATTCTGATATCTGACATGTTATGAATAACGAAGAAAGCGACTATGATTTCATCTCAAATCCCATTTAGTTTTGTCTCATTATAATTTCGAAAAGTGTCCCAATATTAATTAGGCAAGTGTTCCAAAATAGTTCAAGATTTGTCCCAAATTTAATTATAAATTGACCCAATATTTATTCAGAATTAGTACCAATTTTTTTTAAAAATGTCCCAATAATTTCTGAAAATAGTGTACAAAACACCAAACGAGGACATCAGTACTACGTCAAAATAATCACCAAGATGCATTCACTGAGATTTTCACCGGGATCATCCAGATGGCATACGGGAGTTCTACCACTTCGCCCTACCACCAGGGACGCACTTAAGGAAGTATTTTTTTTTTTTTTTTTTTTTTTTTTTTTGTAGGGGAGTCGAGCTCCAGGTTTTATTTAAAGTCCTTTAAATGTCATGCTGAGGGATAGAAAAGACTGTTGGTGGACCCAATGTCTGCAATGAAGGGGAATAAGATATTTTTTGAATTTAAGTTGGGAAAGAAATCTACTACTAATAAGGTGCGACTCCTAGAGCCAGTACAGTCTTGCGGAAAATCGTCAAAATAAAGATCATGGATAAGAGCACAAAACACCAAACGAGGACATCAGTACTACGTCAAAAAAATCAAACAACTTGCGTTCACCAGGATTTGAACCGGGATCCTCCCGTTGGCATACGGGAGTTTTACCACTTCGCCCTACCACCAGGGACACACTTAAGGAAGTATTTTTTTTTTTTTTTTTTTTGTAAGGGAGTCGAGCTCCAGGTTTTATTTAAAGTCCTTTAAATGTCATACTGAGGGATAGAAAAGACTGTTGGTGGACCCAATGTCTGCAATGAAGGGGAATAAGATATTTTTGAATTAAGTTGGGAAAGAAATCTACTACTAATAAGGTGCGACTCCTAGAGCCAATACAGTCTTGCGGAAATCGTCAAAATATAGATCATGGATAAGAGTACAAAACACCAAACGAGGACATCAGTACTACGTCAAAAAATCAAACTACTTGCGTTCACCAGGATTTGAACCGGGGATCCTTCCGTTGGCATACGGGAGTTCTACCACTTCGCCCTACCACCAGGGGCACACTTAAGGAAGTATGAGAAGAGCATCACAATCTACATAGTCGAATCTGGCAAAATAGATTAATTGAGTCAAAAATTGATCGAAACTGGCCAATCTAGAACATAAGAAATCTGAGATTAAAATTATTTTTGCAGCCTGGCAACTGTCATCAACAGCAATGTCTCTGCCTGATCATGAATACCATACATATTTCTGAAGCTTTGGTTTAGTCTCGCTACTTTTATTTTATTTTTGCCATGGCACTTTGCATTGTCGTCGTTGAAAGTCAGTCTGGCTTACCATCAAAGTATAATAGACATCTTAATTTTCTTATGGAGGCCTTGGAAGTGCCCAGCTTTCGTAATCGGCACAGATTGCTCTCGTTCCCAACATATTCATAAGTCTTCTCTACTACATGCAAAAAGAATCTCAAAATTTATTGCACTACAAAACTCCAAATTGATGGGCATTTGATATGTCTATTCAGGGCGACGGTAAACTGTCTTTGAATCAGCTTGGTTGACAGGGAAAACTATGAATAACACATGAGCGAACGTATCAATGTTTGTATGAATGAAGCTTACCAAGCATATCAGCAATATTAACATGGGCAGGACGACCAGCAGTAAAAACAATGAGCTCAGCTAATGCAATCCCGTTAATACAATGCTCTTTTTCTTTTCTCTGTCAATTTTATACGCTACCAATGTCCTCAGCAACCAAAGGCTGCAAACCCTTGTACACATAGTCAGCCTTTTTCTTATCACCACGGAAACGAATGGTTGAGAATTCAGTGTTGACCAAACCAGGACAAATCTGACTGACACGAATAGGTGTATCTACCAACTCGATTGCCAAAGCCTTGGTGATAGCATCCACAGCAAACTTGGTAGCTAAAGCAAATGCGTGAGAAAAACAGATCGATCCCATCGTCCCACCCCACACACACACACAACGTACCACAATAAATACTGCCACCAGCATAGGCTTGCTTACCAGCAACAGAGCCAATATTAATGACATGGCCAGTACCGCGTTCCTTCATGCGGGGAACAACAGCTTGAGTCAAAAAGACAAGACCCTTGACATTAGTAGCCAACATTTGGTCCACTACAGCTTCCTCCACCTCGACCAAAGGATCAGTGCCAATGACCATACCAGCATTGTTCAGCAAGACATCGATATCCTTCACTTCTGCAGGTAATTCAGCAATTACGGTGTCGATTTGCTTCTTGTCACGTACATCCAGTTGAACAGCGTGCACATGGATCTTGGGATGCGCCTTTAAAATGTCTGATTTGAGTTGTTCCAGCTTCTCTACACGACGAGCGGTCAAGACCAAGTTGCTGCCTTCCTGAGCGAATTGGCGAGCACTTGCTTCACCAATACCAGATGAAGCACCAGTGCTATGTGATTTCGTGATTTAGATGGGTGGATGATAGGATCCATTGTGTGAGCATCTTACATGAAAATAGTTTTGCCTTGAAGTCTACCCATGATGTCTGATTGGATTTTTCAAAAAAAAAAAAAAAAATGGCGAGAAAAGAAAAGGGAAAATTAGATGGATAATTCCATCATCTTGGTGGATAAACTCGTCAATTGTGAGCTGGGGTTGTACAGAAAGGCAAAACGTTCACCAGCTTTCCATATTTTTCAGTTTCAACGGGATCACATTTACAATAGTTTATTTTACACAGAGAAAGGGGTATACTATGGGAAAATTTACAAGCATGGATATGGTACAGAAAACGATTTTCTCATTAATGAGATATAGGTTTGATACATGGGCGGCAGTGTAGCCTCAATGGATTGCATGACAGCGGGTGATATGGTATGAGGATCTGTCTTTCGTAGTAATGCATCTATATAGTGGTTTACGAGTGCTTGGTGGTATTCCAAGAGAGAAGCAGGCGGTGTGGGTGCATAACCACAATTAGCATCCTGCTCTTCTTGTTGGTTCAGTGCGGCAATGCATTCATTGGGCGATAAATCATTCAATGATACAATGGACAAGTCTTCGTCTTCATCGTCTTTGTAGGTGGTTAAATAATCGACCTCTTGCTGCTTATGTGTTGCAATGGACAAGGGAGGCGTCGTCAGTGGCGTTGGCACGGTATCAATGCGAATCACTGGAGAGTTCGGGCTACTGCTCTGCAAGTAACTGTCGTCCAATACCTCTCTAAAACAAGCAGTGCTGATGCTGCCATCGGATTTAGCTGATAAAGGAGGCGAAGTCTATCAGTTTTTATAATGAGTTACCATTGGCAATGCCCTGTTATAACAAAGACATACATACCTCTTTTGCAGTAGAAGGTTGATTTATACTACAGCTTTGCTGGGACAGTGATTCTAATGCGAATTCCTTCTGCCGTTCATTAAGATTGGAGGGGTGGTAGTAGCCAAGGTTGCCGTCCCAACGCTCGTCCAACTCATCGCAAGGCGTCATGTTGTGCGTATTAAGTGTTGTGTTTGATGTGTTGCAAAAGTGCATGATGTGGGTGTCAAAGGAAAGCGAGAGGGTAGTGGAGGGTTTATATAGCGCAAAAGGTGTGCTTTGTAAAAAAAAAAAGAATGACAAGAAAAATGGAAACATCTTTCAATGTAATAATGTTTCCTTTTTATAATCGATAAATGCTCTAAGCAGCTGCTGAGTCCTCTGTGGCACAAGACACTCGTTGATTGGATAGAGATCGATCTTACACATCAATGTCATGCATTTGGAAGAGGCTATCAACAATGAAAGAAACTCCCCCCTAATTGAGAAGCGCCCCCCTCCCCCATGTTATAGAGCTTTGCATCGAAGGCAAGCTCATGTAAACCCTATCCAATCCAGGTTGTATACGGATGAGGAAATTGGAAAGAGTAAATAAATGGTGTGTATTGACAAACAAACAAACAAACAAATGAGGAGGAAATGATGCTCGCTTAAATACATTCCAATGTCTTGATGGAATAAACAAAGCTACAATATGTATATATAAGAGAAAAGAATTGGCAATGCATATCATCCACAGCTTCATCACTATGCGTTTGCTCTTTCAATTGGGTGTCATTTCAGCTGTTATTTCATTGACGTTTGGACAAATAGATGAAAACGAACCTACGCATATCATCAAATTCAAAACTTCGGTTTCTAGATCAGCAGGCAAAAGAGTCTATTTCAGAAAATGTGAAATCTAGCCTATTAACTCCATATCTCAATAGCTCGCAATGAATTGATGGACTACCATCGCAACTTTTTATCTGCTGTGCGCAATGTGGGAGTAGAAACTCAGGAAGCCATCACCGCGACTTCCGTCGAAGAAACCATGTCATTGGATCATATTAACATTGGCCAAGATTTCGTTGCTGTAGCAGGTGTATTTTCAGATCATGCGTTCTTAGATTATCTCTACCAGCAAGCCTCCATTGATTATGTTGAACAGAATCAAATCTACAAAACCACCAACTATGTGCCCAAGGAAAAACGCCAAGAGGAAGCAAGGAGAATCAATACTGTCAAATCCGCAAATTGGGGTTTAGCCAGAGTCAATCAGCGTGACCGAGGAGACTTGAATCAATATGATTATGACACCATGGGAGGGTAAAAGACAGCCAATATCAAGCCGTCTCATCATCTGTTCATTCACACACATTACCTGTAGTTCTGGTATCGACGTCTATGTATTGGACACAGGAGTTTATGCTGAGCATTTAGACTTTGGTGGTCGGGCCAGTCATTCTGCCAATATGATCAAGCACGAGGACAAGACGGACATGGGAGGACACGGTAAACTATGAACAGAGGGATAAACCGTTTTGCAGTCTATTAACAGCTTATTTAAAGGCACGCATGTCTCTGGCAAGATTATTGGATTAGAGTACGGTGTGGCAAAAGGTGCTCAAGTCAAATCTGTCAAGATTCTCAACAAGGTCGGGGATGGCTCTACCTCTGGCTTACTCAAAGGCATTGAGTATGTCATTCAAAATGCAACTCCGGGTAAGAGCGTGGTGAATCTGTCCCTCAGTGGCCCCAAATCAAGATTGCTGGACGAGGCATTGAACTCTCTCGTTTTGAAATACAACATCCCAGTTTTTGTTTCTGCAGGTAATGCCGGTACAGATGCCTGCTTCTTCTCACCTTCTTCCAATCCCAATGTGTTTGCAGTTGGTGCTACTGATATCAATGATACGGTTCCCAAGTTTTCCGATGTGGGTGAGTGTGTCGCTGTTTATGCTCCTGGTGCTAACATTGTGAGCTCTTACATTGGCGGCGTTGACTCGTCCAAGTCCATGGACGGCACCAGTATGGCCAGTCCTCATGTTGCTGGTATTGCTGCCAATCTGATGAGCAAGAACAACTATGCTACTGCTCAGGAAGTCTACGATGCCATTCGATCACTGGCCACTAGGGATAAAATTGAATTTGATCCCTCCAAGAGCTCGAGTCCTAATAATAACTTGTTGGCCTTCAACCAAGTCTAATTATAATAAACAGCTGCTTTTCGTTTGTTTACATTCCATGTGTCCATGATTTGCAATGTATCAGACCCCCTTTTGTTGTTTTTTCCCTTTTATTCTCCATGTGTGCAAGTGTATATTTATACGAGTGAGCCTGGTTTAGTTTTCTGATCTCTTATAATCTTGCACTCATCGCCTCTTTCTCTCATTCTTTCTTTGTAGACAAACATGAACAGTGCTGTAGAGTATCCAGGTGTCCAGTTGAGCTGGAGAAGGATACTGGCGATTGCTCAGGATCAACCAGATCCAATTGCAGTGAAAGGTGTCTTGTCAGATGACAGTGATGATGAATACCGACAAGAGCATACTACTTTCAATAGAATGCAATGTATGAACAAGGCACTACAAAACATTTACACTATCACAAGCCATGGTAAGGTCAAACATGCTGTATGAGGTCAACAGGTACTAATAAATGTGCTTTGTTACAAGGTCAAGGCTACATTGCATTCATGGAGACCATGGCCATTGAACTGAAGTATCAGTGTCCAATTTCCATGGCCTTTCTCAAGCACATCATTGACTTTTCTGAAATCCCCACGCAACAAACACTGGAACATGTCACGATGGCCCTGTTGAACAAGCTCTCCACCAAACAAACAAAGATCAACGCAATAATCATCTGGTCTATGTTGGCGCAAAAGTTTGCTGGCAGTTTAGCTGAATCTATCTGGACTGATGCATTAGGAGATTTGCTGATCCAATGTTTGTATGACGACAGCAACATGTACTCACTTTTAGCTATCGAGAGTTTTGCATTGACAGGCAGTTTAAAGAGATCGCTGCAAGACCAATTTAGCATTGCACGTACGCTACAGCAAGTATCAGATACAGTCCAGCAGAACCTATGTTTGTTCCAGCCATCGCCACTCCTGCCCTCGTTTGAATCCATCAAGTCAGCCACAACAACAGACTCACCGAACCTCACACTCGTGTCGATCAAGCACCACATCAGACTATACCAAGAGCTGAAATCAGCATTCAAATCATGCAAATCAAAGCTGTCAAAAAAGAGAAAATCGCTTAGAAAATCCCAAAACTGGGGCTACAAGACGCTATACAACGATGCTCCAGATCATGACACTACTAAAACATACCAAGACAATACCATAGTCTTTCTAGACCTGAGAAAATTGCATTTCTGTCTCAACTGGTCATTGACCCATGTGTTTAGCAAGGTAAGATGGTCTGTATACCAATCATCTGCTTACTGATCATGCTCGTATATAGACCAACCAAGACAGCTCCCTTCATCCGTGTCAACAGACCTATCTACAGCCAATCGACTCCAACAGCCATTGCAAGTTCAGTATGGATCGGTTGGAAGTTCGCAACGATACTTTCTTTTTCGAGTCTGTGCGCGCAACAACTGGCATACCAACAAACACAGGCGGCAAATGGTACTATGAAGTCTTTCTATTTACCGATGGCATTATGCAAATTGGATGGGGAACCAAGCAGTGCCTACTATCGCCTCAGGATGGAAGTGGTATCGGCGATGATGTTCATGGCTTCGCATTTGATACGCACCGATGTGCAGTCTGGGCAGCTGGCGAGTTACACTCATCCTCCTCTGCTCTACTAGGTGAATGTAAAGCAGGTGATGTTTTGGGCTGTTTGTTGGATTTGGATAAAAGCTATTGCACGTTTTTTATCAACGGACAAAACCATGGACTGAGTATCGATGTGACCAAAACAGAAATGGCACTGTATCCTACCATCAGCTTGACTGGCCATCAACATGTAGTGGCTAATTTCGGTCGCCAAGCGTGGTATCATAGTGTAGATGGTGCTAAAGCTGTCAACGACGCTGCTCCTCGTTGTCACACTGTAAAGATAAAGCATGATACTACAGAGACAGAAGATGAAGGGCTTCTATGCAACATTTGCTATGCTGAACCAATCAGTACCAAACTAATGCCGTGTGAGCATGATGGATTAGGGGAAAATTGTGCACAAACATTGGAGTCATGGTAAGCTGTCTATGGAAGCACTTTTAGAGAAATGTTTAATTTAAGAAAAACTCTAGCCCATTTTGTAGATCTATCATTGAGAAGATAATATTTGTATAATCGTTTCAGAATAAAGGACAACTGAGAAAATTCCTGCTTTTGCTCATCCATATTGCTACAGGTGTAACGTGCAACCAAGCTGATTTTTTGTATTCTCCTTGTTCGACTCTCATATGTGTAGCAGTTATAAAAAGACCAATCATGAGAGGAAGCACTTTTTCGTCTACATTTCTGTAAAAACCACTGTTGAAGAGCATTACGTATAGTACAAGGCTCGGCCATTTTTTTGCAGTGCCAAGTTCTGACAAATATTAAGCAAATCATGTTGGCTTATATTCGAAAATACTCACATAGCTCTTTAAAGTAATTTTAAGCGCTTGACAAGGTTTCCTGTAATAGGTCGTACAACCACTATCTCCTTTTTACATTATATCGTTTATGGAGGTGTGGGGAACCATAATAAAATTTGGATCATTTGAGACACATGACCTTAAATCAACAAATTAAGGTTGCCAAAACAGTGAACGATTCTACAAAGCGCTATATTAGCGAATGTGTATATCGTTTCTTTTTAGAAAGAGAACAGTATATCTTTGCGAAAAAAGGTAGCAAGGCCAGAAGGGCAGTTTCATGGCTAGATGCTATGCGATTGCCTAGGAAATAAAATGTCGTTTCAAGCAAACATCAAACCTTTTCATGAAATAGCATTTGAATACTTGTAGAGACTTGAATGCGACGAGTTATGGGCATGTATGCTCTCAATTCAGCTACAATGGGGGCGAGTATCTCAACATTGATTATTGGGAGTATTAGCATTTGGCCAGTGCTCTGAACATAGCGTTGTCCAGCCATGTTGAGCTTGTGATGCATAATCGAGACATCCTCATGGCTGGATAGTGCCTGAACAAGCAAGTATATATAGTTTACATTGTATCACTCCATGCCAGCACCTTCGAGGTTGATGGCCTGCGGTAGATTCCCTGATCGACTTATGGCAATCAATTAGATAGAGAGTATCAGCGGACCAACTATGCAAAATGAAACCCTTATTGCCCATCATCTGGAGAATCTTCATACATGGCTAAACCATCTTGTCCAAATCAAATGATGTTATGCTTCAAGCTCTTTCCAAACAGAAAACAAGTCTTGGATAAAGGCGCATCTCCCTTTTACAGATAGGATAAGAATAAATCACTCATTAATTCATTGAAAACTTATCAATCTGGAAAAAAGAAAGAGACCAACCTAACGATCAAAGGCAAACACAGGACTATGACGACTACCACCATCAGAATGGCTCAACTAATGAGGTCCTGTCGCTTTGACAATGTATGCTCGGTCACTGCTCTTAAATGTTCCTTTGCTGATAATTGCAATCTCAAGAAAATAAAGCTAGCTATTACGATTATCGTATGCGATATCTTTGTCCATAAAGCATGACGCTTTTCTCAAATTGTACCACACGTTGCCAATAGGTGTATTAAACCCTAAAATCCAAAACAAGCATGGTAAAGTAGATCGTGCAGCCAATAAAACCTGCTTGATGACAAATGTCGACCCCATCTCACGCCCAAGAGCTCGTGTCATTGCAAAAAGCAGCTTTGTTACAATTTTACTATCAACATCAAGTTATCACCTTACATTCATCATCCGACGACGCTGCTTTGTTGAAGGGATGCCACTGCCGTGGGAGATAAGATAGTTAATTCTTTATCATTTTGTACACACACACACACACACACACAAATATACAAAGGAAAACGTAACCAAAGCATCCTGTCATGTATTGTATAAATACCTGGATTGCTCTGGTCATTTTATCCCTTTTTTTTTTCTCTCTCTCCTTTTTCTCATCACAATCTTGAAAAGAAACTTTTAGAAAATTAACACAACCACTTATTACTACATTTACTTTCTCCAATTTCAAGTCCCCTAAATCAAAAACTATATCAAATAAATGGTTGGATCTGAAAAAGCTATTATTGAAAGCGAAAAAATTACTGCACAACAAATCGAACACGGTGAAGCCACGACTGAATTGAATGCTGATGAGCTTCTGCTTCAAAAATTGGGTTACAAGCAGGTAAGGGGCTACTCCTTGAATCAAAGCAAAACTAGATCAATCAACTCACCATTGTTTGTAGGACTTGAACCGCTCGATCTCCGCCTTTTCGAACTTTGCAATTGCATTTTCATGCTGTTCTGTTCTATCAGGTTTGACACCCATGTGGGGCGACGCCATGATTGATGCAGGCTCTATGGGCGTCATCTGGGGTTGGCTCATTACAGCAACCTTCACAATGCTGGTCGCCTTGTCCTTGGCTGAAATTTGCAGTGCCTATCCCACAACAGGTGGTCTCTACTTTTGGGTGTCTCGTCTTGCCACTGCTGATTGGGTTCCTCTTGCCTGTTGGGTTACCGGTTGGTGTAACTGGATTGGTTTATGCTGTAAGTCCATATTCTTGCACAAACCTCTTGTAGTAGATATTAACCAGCACATGTATAGTTGGTATCTCCTCAGTTGATCTAGGTTTATCTCAGTTTATTGCTGGTGTCGTCTCTGTATGGTAAATGCTGATGTATGACTATAATCAAATGTATGATTTTCTCACACATTTTTCCTTTTTTAGGGATCCTGAGGGTGAGCCTCTCTCTGTCTATGCCCAATACGGTATCTTTGTTGGTATTCTCATCATCCACGGTATCATCAATTCAGTCGCTGTCAGCTGGAATGGTGTTATGAATCAAGGGGCTTGTATGTATACCAAAATCACTCTGTGCCCCGATCAATTGAACTGACAATACTCACTTTAGTCTTTGCCAACATGCTTGGTATTGGTTTCATTGTCATTGTTGGCCTTGCGCTTACCAAACCTTTAGCCTCTGGCGATTTCGTGTTCACTCAATTCTACAATGGCTCTGGCTTTGGAAGCAACGGGTTTGCTTTCTTGCTCGTTATTCTTCAATCACAATACACACTCTCTGGTTATGACAGTGCTGCTCACATGTCAGAAGAGACCAAAAACTCTCAAAGTGGCTCTCCATTTGGTATCCTTGTGTCCGTTGCTGCCAATGGCATTTCTGGTTTAGTCTTCTTGATTGCTATTAGTTTCATGGTTACTGACTTTGACCGCCAAATTCTCAGTGAGAATGCCATCCAACCTCAAATGGTCCAAGTCTTTTATGATGGCGTTGGTCCTGCTTGGACCATGGTGTTTTTGATTTTTGTCATGATCAGTATCTTCTTTTGTGGTTCTGCCTTATTGCTGGGTAGTTCTCGTATGGTCTATGCTTTTGCTCGTGATGGTGCCATGCCTTTCTCTAAGCAATTGCACACCTTGAACAAGAAGACCCAGAGTCCTGTCAATGCTGTCTGGATGAACGTGCTTGTCGCTGGTGTCGTCGGTATTCTCTATATGATTAATAGTACTGCTTATGAAGCTATCGTTTCTGTCAACACCATTGGTTCTCAAATGTCCTATTTGGTCCCTATTCTGCTTCGTATTACTACATCTCGTACAAAGTTTGTGCCCGGTCCTTTCAGTTTGGGTAAATTCAGTATCATTTGCGGTGTCATCTCAAGCTGTTGGCTCTTCTTTACTTGTGCCTTGTTCATTTGCCCTACTGAGGCACCCATCACTCCTGATAACATGAACTATGCAATCGTTCCTTTCGCTGCCATCATGATTTGCTCAATGACTTACTTTTTCATTTGGGGTCGCAAATGGTTCACTGGTCCTGTTCGTGTCATCGATGGCCAAGAAGTCATTCTTGATGATGAGTCTATCAATTCTGCTCACATCAAGGAGTAGTTTCAATATCAAACCACTAATTTTATTTAATCAACTATAATATGTATATATATATATAACATTGCTAGCCCCAATAAACTATTTATTATTTTCAACTGACGTTATCGTACTCATTCCATTGCACATGTCGTCTACACATGAAAACACCCGGTGGAACCACAGCTAATCAATGGAAATTGCTTCCAAATATACTTTCCGCAATTACAATGGCAATGACACTGATTTTTGTGCGTCAAAACCTAATGAAATAAGACTTCACTACCAAAGACCCTTTGATTGCAATTTAAAACTATGGATATGACACTTTTACGATACCACAGGTCTGTATCAATGGAAGCCATACATACGCTTGTAGGCAGTATACTATTAGAGTTACCTCTTATTACTCAAAATTACTGACATTTGGATGTCTTTGACTCGTGTTGAAAGCCGTTTTAGCCTGCCAGAATAGCATCAAGCAATTGCTCTTGTCTAGTAGTTATTTGCTTACACCTTTGCTCAACTTTTATGGGATCGTCAAACATCGACTCTAAACCATGAGGTACACCCCTCCCGGGATGGCTAGCGTACCAACAAAAAATTTCCTTTGTTTTCTGAACATACCAACAACATATTAAAGCTCATAAATGCGCACCCTATCTGGCAGTGCTGTAGCGCTTGCTTTGTCTGCTATTTTTTTGTTTAGACTAACGTACCAAACAGCTAACGTACCAATAAGTCGTCTCTACAGTAGATAGTGACAGACTCGCAAATTTCTCGTTTTGCACATAATATAAATACAAGATAATGAATGATGACAATGCAAGTTTCTAGTTCCTAATAAGTATGAATTCATCAATATAGGCTTTTAGTTTGGATTGGAACGTAATTTACTGATTTGCATTACTGAAGGATGATAGTTGTATATATATGTGCAGTAGTCTAGAGAATGATTTTGAGCGTTATCAAAATCAATATGCCTTCCATTCAAATTAGAAGTTGCACAGACTGCATAACTGCCCTTCTAAAGAATTTCAACTATCCATCGAAGATGTGATTCATGTTGTGTATATAAAAGATATAGAACGAAAATATAGCCAAATACGACAGCTTTCAAGCCTTCACATCTTGACAAGTAGACCATTCTGAGCCGCCGGAATGACACCAAACTGTTATATTCGGGTAGTAGTAACTTCCTGACACATTTGCTCAACTTTTTGGGGACCCAAAAAACATGGCCAAAAATCGATCAAAAAGCATGAGGTACCCCTCATGCTTTTTAACGAAAATTAAACAATCTTCATTTTCCACTATGAAAATGAAGATTTTTACTATGGTATATATTAATTCAAAACGTTTCTCTCGATCTAAAGCAACTTCTAAAACCACTTTTATGAGGTTTTCATATGCAAAATCTGACTATTTTTGCGAATAACCTCATTTTATATTTTACCAAATTGCTCAATAGCTTCATTCAAAATACCTGTTACAATTAGCACCATTGGAGGCGCCTTGAAAAGTAATGCAAGAATGTATTAGGAAGCATTTTTTTTTTTTTTTTGTAGGGGAGTCGAGCTCCAGGTTTTATTTAAAGTCCTTAAAATGTCATGCTGAGGGATAGAAAAGACTGTTGGTGGACCCAATGTCTGCAAAGAAGGGGAATAAGATATTTTTGAATTAAGTTGGGAAAGAAATCTACTGCTAATAAGGTGCGACACCTAGAGCCAAAACAGTCTTGCGGAAATCGTCAAAATATAGATAATGGATAGAGTACAAAACACCAAACGAGGACATCAGTACTACTTCAAAAAATCAAACAACTTGCGTTCACCAGGATTTGAACCGGGATCCTCCCGTTGGCATACGGGAGTTTTACCACTTCGCCCTACCACCAGGGGCTGTATTAGGAAGCATCAGAAAATTATTGAAATTTATATAGTCGAATACATTAAAATAGATTAAAGAAGTCGCCAAAAGACAACCTTTGGCCAATCTTGAGCACCAAAAATTAACTTTGTTTGAATTGATTTTAGCGGCCGGTGCTGCTACTGACTGACCCAAACACCTTTCTGATGATGACAATGATGCTTGCGATACTGATTAGATGGGGATCATGGAATTGAAAGGACAGTTGATTAGCCCAAATACTTTTCTTTTGGGGGTTGCTTCATAAACGTGTATTTTGTAATCACAGTATCTCAAAAAAAGTCGCTATAGATTTTACACAAGTCCTGTATTTACTTATGGCCAGCTTTACGTACCCAACTTATTAAGGGCATCAGCAGCAGTGAATGGTGTGACAATAATTCTACCATCAGAAAATGGAGATTGTGGTGTACAGATGCTGCATAAAGCTTGAATTTTCTTTTACATCGTCTCAATAAAAGGCTTCGCTTGATATCAGTGTAAGCGAAAAGGGTGCTGCGGGAGATACCTCTTCTCCTCCCCCTGGTGGCTCTGATATAACCTTTCATTTACTAATTAATTGTTTAAGGTCTGCTAGATTACCAAAATGTTATAATATCTGATTTAAAATGTCTTTGGCGAGAGTCCGCAGGGCGAGGTAGATCGGCTAGTATATATATATATATATATATATACCAGAATGATGGTGTGCAGTTTTGATTGTCAAATGCATTCAAATTCTATCCATATAGTATACATTCAATTTTATTGCAAATGGTCCCGCAAGAATAAAACCAAACTTTTTCTTTTTAATTTAAATCATCCTCAATAAAGATGATACCATCCTCATTTAAAGCGATATCTAGTATTTGACCATTGGCATCTTTCTTCACTTTGGCACTGAACGACAAATCATACACATCAAAAGGAAAATCCAGGTCCTTTAAACTCTCTAAACGAATATAGCGGTATCCGGTATCAGTGACAATAAATCTGCACTCTAATAGCTCGCTACTCTCTGATGATGATGATGATGATGATGATGATGATGATGATGATGACGATGACGATCTTGGATCATCTACAGTCTGGCAATTGACACTTGGTGCAGGGTGTAGTTTTATCTGTGTACAAGGTACAGTGGAATTAGAATCACTGCCAAAAACCAGCGAAACGAATACATACCCATAATAGACCATCGTACGAAATCTGAATATTCAAGCTACTTCTATAGCTGTAAGGATGATTGACCAAAAATCGATAGATTAGTGAGGTACGCATAGGCATCAACATGTCCAAGCCAATATAGTCTCCCGCACGAATATTCTGCATGGACTTCCAGGATGTCTCTTCTTGCATATCCACAGCATTCGAGTATCGATAATCCTTGTAGCTCCCCACTATATAATCGTCATGCATCTGCTTCAAAACGTCCACATAGATCGACGGGTTGTAAGAAAATAAGTCAATGTTTGGGAATAGCTGCTTGTTTGTCAAAAACAAACAACGATCGTCTTTACAGGAAGCTCTTGCATTGCGGTCAAACGTGCTTTCAAGATAAGGCTCTAGTGGCACAATGCCCTCTCCCTCCTCTAAATCGTTGTAGAGTATCGTCAGCCCTAGATCCTAAATGCGCCATGTTGTCTTTAGCGCCATCGTTTTTGGATCATGCCCTCTTTTCTCGTACCATATGCTCTGTTTCCTTTTCAGTCAACTCCTTTCCTGTTGCTGTTGCCGCTATTTCGTTATCATTTCCTTCCAATTGATATGGCACTTGGTTTATATACATCGCAAAATACATATCGGCATATACATCGACGACTGACGTTTTATCGTAATTTTGCAGGAATTTGGAGACCATTGCTTTGGCAACAAATGTGCCAGATTCAATATCGATGAAGCAAGTATGCAGTTGTAAAGCTGTATATAGATAGATTAGTTAGTCGCATACGCACACGGAAATATGCAAACACATGACACACTTGCCTGTGTTCGAGAAGCAATAGCGCCACTGAGAGTTGATAAAGGCTGTATGGTCAGTAGATTCACCGTGAATCAGGTAAGGGGATCGTAGGAAATTGGCATAGGTGCTTCGTAGTTTCTGTGATTTTCTCGGTATATCTTGAAAGTAGCAATACGGTGTTTTTGAAAGACGACATGCATGGTATCTTGCGGACGAACCCACCTGAATAGGTGCATTGATGATCTGGAGTTTGTTGGGTGTGCATCCGTGTGCCTGAATCATCTATCATGCATCACATTATTAGTTGTATTCCATCACACACACGCACACAATTACTCACGTCCAGAGTCATATTCACTGTTGGATCATCGTTCCACACAATAAATTTAGAAAACATGTCATATTGACACAATTGCTCCAGAATGGGCCGAGTTGTTGCATCCAGCTCTTTCTGATTCTTCAAAAGCACCACTGCTGTTGTCTGTGATCTGCCTTCATCAGGATACACTTTATCCAGCAAGTCCACTTCGTCCAGCGGATCATTGTAATGCTCTTGCTGCCAATCCTGGTACTTTTTGCCACTAAAGAAACCGACATGGACTAATAGCACAATGCATCCTGCAAATACGCACACGGCCACGAGCACCAACTCTACCACGCCTGCTTGTTGATATCTCTTTGTCAATCGACGTCTCCATATAGATAAATGTTTGCGTAATCTACTTTCTTGCCAAAGTCTTTGAATGTAAGGTGGTATACGATGTTGAAATGGATCTGAGCTGATATTGATGTGGATACCTCTCAAACTGTTATTGTCGCTATTGCTGCTGCCATTATGCTGTTGCTGTTGGCGCCGAGACGACAGAAAGATCTTTTGTCCAAACGGCTTTTCATGATCAGCTACTGAACGCATGATGGTATAGAACTAGTATTGAGTGAATAAAGAGGAAAAATACAAGCTGTGTATCCAGTCTGCCTATGTTTCTCTTGGAAAATTGGAAAAAGGGGATAAGTGTATTGCGATAATTAAGAGAAAAGGAAGTATAGGAGACCAAAAGAAGGGGGGGGGGGGGCGATGGCCCACTCACTATTTTACAGACTGCTTAAAAAGGACACCACCAACAATATGCATTTGGGGCGCCGAACTCGATATCATAAATAGCTGCTGATTTCATGCATAGATTATAACATACAAGAGCATGACATTGGTTTTATAGACCACTTGCACCAATCAAGAGGTCCACTCTCTTGGGGTCTTTGTCCAAAGCGATCAAACGGTGTTGTTTATACATAATTGCATTGGGATATTTGATTTTATTATTTGATGGTCTATACAGTTTATTATGTGTGATTTATTCATGCTTTCTCTTGCGATCCTTGGCCAGTTCCATAGATTCCCACAAGGCTTCCTCCTCCTCCTCCTCTTGCTCCTCTTCCGTCTTGACCTTGGGCACAGGATATTCAAACGCTTCGTCCACCAACACACACGTCAAACGTTGCTTCAAGTAGGCCTTGTCTTCCAACTTGCGATACACAGTGGCAGTTTCATGCACTCTCAAAAATCTGTCCAGCGATACACTTGCGACATGGTGTTGCTTTGGTGTCTCTGTTTGATCCTCTTCCTCGCTGAATTTAGGGAAAGGTACCGTCACTAAATCAGTAGCAGCGCCTGTGAATCCCTTGAATTGAGCGGCTCTCTTGCCTGTGCGAATGTCGAGCATGCCCACTTCGCTCATGGTATCAGCGTATAAAACATGGTTGAAATCAGTGCCGATAGACATCACTTTGATAGGATGCTTTCCAATTTCGACATTTGTGATGGGTCTACGGGCAGCTTTTGTATCGTACAAACGGAACTAGCAGATGACACACTATCAGAAACCCTTCTTGGTCGATCGTCGCATAACATACCTGATGATAGTGAGTAGCAACGGCTATCTTTGTGGCTTCTTTGTTGACAAATTGAAGATCATGGATCCACACGGGTTGTTGAAGATCCAGAAAATCGTTCTTTACATTTTTGGCTTGGAAGATCAATCCTGCATTTCTGGTGGTCTTTTTCTTGTGTGCAGAGGTGTTTTTGTTGGGTCCAGCAGAGTCGATTTCCTCATGCTCCTTTTTGGATTTGGCAATGGCTTTGATGTCGTATACACATAAATCACGCTCCTTACCGCCAATGGCGAAAATATGCGTTTGTGTGGGATGGCCACGCATAATCTCGATATTGGGGCCTAGCTCTAAGATAGTCTTTGTCTCGTTCTTTCTCGACTTTAATGGTGTGTATGAAAGATCACCAGTGGAAGTACAGACACAAAGATGTCTGTCATGAATAACATTAATTGCCTGATGTCTTGATGGCTGTATTATGCGTGCCGTACCTGTCATGGATAAAGAGACCAACAAAGCGGCCCTTCTTCTCATCGTCTGTTCCAACATGATTATTCTTGAATTCCCGAAGCACTTCTCCAGTTTCAGGAGACATGAATTGAATTGATCCATTCTTGCGTCCAACGAGCAGCTACTAGCAATGTGAATACCAAATCAAGCAATAAGTCTCCAGAATCAAGGACTTACCACTTTTTCGTCTTCCCACATGGCCCATGATAGTTTTTGGATGGCGTGCTCTTTATCGACCTTTCCAAATGTGCCCATCAAAGGCTGCAATGCTTCCTTCTTTTCAGTCTCCTCGGAGCCTTCCACTTTCTTTGCCTTCTTTTGACGATGTTTCTCCTCTACTTTGGGAGGAAATGAAATCCCTATAAATCATGCTTAGCATGCTTTTCTTCCATGTTTTGATATCGCGTTAAATTACATTTGATTAAGCCACTTTCATCACCAGTAAAGTACTTCATTTTCTATGTCGCTTTGATGTATGTAAAGAGAACATCGATAGCAAAAAAATGAAACCCTTTTTGACAATTTGCACATTCAGAGTATTTTCAGTCACTGGCCAACCTATAGATGCGCCACTGTGTGCACTATGCCTTCTCGTCTCTCGCTGTTTATTTAGTATTTCTCTGCCCCTCTTGAGGAATTTACATATATATATATTACAATGGCTAAGGGAAAGCAAGCAGCTGGTGGTAAAGGAAAAGGAGGTGGAGGAGGAGGTGAGTTTCTGCAACGGCATTGCATTTGTCAAGATAACTTTCTGTATCCAATCTAAACACGTCCACCACTCTCATCAGACAAGGAAAAGAAGGACGATGGCAAGTTGAAGCCCGCTCAAAGCGTCAAGGTAGCAGTAAACAAAAAGACGGCAATGTATAAGATAACTGACATATCAATAGGTTAGACACATTTTGTGCGAAAAGCATAGCAAGGTAATGTATATTACAGTTGACCGATTTTGACATGCATTAATGTACATTGGCATTATTGAAAAGGCTATGGAAGCCTTGGCTAAAATCAAGGAGGAAAACATGAGATTTGACAAGGTAACTCTGCAATAATCTTATAGCAGAAATGCGTATTCAGACCATCTATTTTAGGTCGCTGAACAATACAGTGAAGACAAGGCCAAAGCAGGAGGTAAAATCAGCTTGCACTTATTTTTACATTGATTCACAAAACGACCCGTCTAGGTGCTCTTGGCTGGATGAACCGTGGTGGAATGGTCGGTGCATTTCAAGATGCAGGTGAGGGCGCATACATGTATAATATATACAAAACACTAAAGCATCTTTCATAGCATTTGCTTTACAACCCAGTTCCTGCGATAAGCCCATCTTGACTGATCCGCCCGTAAAGACCAAGTTTGGTTATCATATCATCATGGTGGTAAGAAAAAAAAAAAAAAAAAATACAGATTATATCATCTATATTTCGTTGATGTGATAAACTAATCCATTTTCATTAGGAGGACCGCAAATAAATTTGATATTTCGTGAAACAGAATGAAATAAAGTTTGTGTTTGGCAGTAATTTTATTCTTCATATGTACAAAAAGGCTTATAGTTGGGATTAATGTGTGTGGGTATGTATATAGAGTAGGAGTGTATAGTTTGAATGCTTAAATGTGTGTATAGACAGAGGAATGCTTAAAAGAGCCAATCTCGCACTCTTTTTAATGATCTAGATAATTTACTTTCTTGTAACTGTTGTTGTTGTCGATGACGAAACTTTTCCTTTAGGGATTCTGATAGCTGAAGTGTTTGTTTGAATCGGAGAGACGAGTTGCGTCGTACCTTGCCTTTGTAAATGAGGTCATCTTCAGCTAACTCCATCTCTAGTTGAGAATCATCCCAACGTTTTGTAGGTGGAGTGGGTTCTGAATGTCTTTTTTTCGATGATAAATCCAGAGCATTGTAATTGCAATTGTAGTTTGAGTTTGCGCTAGTAGATGTTCTAGGCGAGTTGTTGGTGGATGTGTCATTGCTTGATATGGAGGAGGAGAGTGAAGGCATGGATCGATGGTTCATTTCAGATGTTTAGATGTTAAGATAAAGAGAAGGAAGAAAAAAGAAAAAAGAAAAAAAGGGGAAGCAGAAAAGCTTCATTATTTATACAATAGGGCCATACAGAAAAGGAAGCTTAGAAAGATATCTTCCACGTGTTGTGAGCCAAAATAAGCATTCTCCTTTCGAATACACACAGAGCCTCCGATGCCAAAGGACGCTTTTTTGGAAGAAACTTGTTTCTTTACTATGGTGAATGCTTTTTACGGTCCTTGAGATGGAGAGATCAAGCATCGTTGCTAATAATTTTACGCCGCTGATGCCATTGAAGGGATGATATCAAGCGGTATTAATGTCATGTTATAAGCTTATTAGTGTGCACCTTTTTTTTTCCATAAATTGTCTCGAGAAACTCGAGTATCTTGTGTACTAGCTGTGCTACTGGTGCATTTAATGATCTTGTGTGGGAGTTTGCTAATTCGTTTGTAATGTTTATGTAGAAGGATCAGTTTTATCGGATGCTATTTCCAGTTGCTGGGGTCTTTGCTTGAGAAATTGTAACAAATGTTCGCATTGGAATACATTCTGTGTGGTCAATTGCAAACTATAAACCTTTGCAGACATTCTGACCACAAGTCAATTGCGCTGTATACATTTGATCATTTGAGATAGATAAAGGGATCTTGTTCCGACATCTTGTGCCAACTTGTTAATACTACCGCCATTCAGACTCACATGTTGACCTTGAACACACATCTAGACTTTTGCTGTTCTATACTTACATGTAGCCCAAAGACACATCAGTGATATAAAGAGCACAGTCATTACCAATGACGTGAATTATGGGCATTGGTTGTTATTGAAAACTGACCATTGAAATCAGCAATATACCTGATTCACGCCATCATTCAACAATACATGGAGGTGTGTGCGTGCCCCCAAATTGAATAGCGTTACCAGACATTTAGAGTTCTTCTTGATGTAAAGGAACACACTATGTTTCTTTTTCACTAGGTCTGCCACATGGCATGACATGACATTTCTTTCTCTCATTAGGATAAAATTTAGAAGAATAGCATGTTCAATAAATTAGGTTAATTGTTGCCACGCAAGGTTTTTCATTTCTTTGTAGCACACAAGGAGTTGAAATAAATTGATGTTGTTTTATGCTCAATAGATATGTTACCAGTATATTTGTAATCAAAGAAAAGTCAATGCCATTTGTATGTCGAAGCCATTTTTCTTATTTTTAGCCGCATGTGGCAAAATGGAACAATTCCATTTCTCAATCGTTGATGATGGATAAAAGGCACTTGGACATTTTGATGTTGCCATCTCACAATCGAGGCACTTTTTTTGGCTGTTACACACATCTTATTAGAAATGTGCACATTATATGTGCAGCCAGTATCATGTTTGATTTGTCTAAAGCATAGTTTCTGGCCAGGTTACTGCAGCCTTTATCTCAAAATATCAGAAAGCAAATGTATACCATGAAGATACATTTGCCTGGAATCAAATTTTCAAAAAAGAGCAAGCTCAACATTTAAAGCAACATTTCCATAACCAGAGAACATATCTACTCTTTCCCTGTCACTCTGTAGCTTCGTATATGATTTCTTTGATACGGATTTATACAAAACAAACGTTAATTGGGGGGGGGGGTGTTAAGAAGCGCATAAGAAAAACCATTTGCCACTGGAGGCACCGTAGATAGCAATAAGTATATCATTCAATATTTGCATTTATACAAACACCTCAGATCGAAAAGAAATGTATTTCAGTAGGAAGCATAGACACAATTCAACATGTATACAATGTGCCTCGAATGTATTCACTGTATACATCAAATAAACTATAACAATAGTACCCTACGGTCCAGAACCATTTATGTTTACGACGATACCAATTAAACAGCATGATTTATTTGAATTTTTGCTGTGGTTAACGGCTTTTCTTTAGCCCATAAACAGTACATCTCATTTCATTACGACAAACACGGTTCAGGGGTAAAGTGAAAATGGTATCGTAATTACATCAGAATATGACAGATACCTGTGATCTCATGTTGAATGAGCTCCATTTTCTCCTTATGCATATGCCATGGTATAGACTACGGAATTTCTTATTTCATGACCTATATGAAACAACAATGCACGCATACACACTACTCGTACCCATCTGATCTATTGTTTTGTAGGGTGCTTTTTTTTTTTCAATCGCTTGTATTCGTGTCACACCTCGAGACTCGGTTCATTTACAGGTTGCAAAGCAAGATCCCATTCCTAACGAAAACTCCTGCTTGTAGTGTAACTCGATTTTGTCACAAAGCATATAACCATACACCAAGAACTTACAGCAAACACTTTGACTATGTCGTTTGACTCCTTTTTTCTTTCTCCTCTTCAACATACAGGACTAATGTTACGATAAATTCTTTATTTTCTTTTTTCTTCATATATACAATATGTATCATGCCAAGTTGGGTGTAGAGATGGATCGTTTTACACGCTTGTTGCTTTGATTTGGTCGTAGTGATAATCGATGGCGTAGTGTTTTTGTCAGCTTTCGATTCAATGTACCAAACTTGTTGTAGTGCTCCTTTGTTTCTGGTGTCTCAGTCTCGGATGTAGATGGTTTGTTTAGTAAATGATCAAATTGTGGAAAATCAGTGCTTAGCTGTTGCTGATCTGGGCCAAAGAAGTCAAGCTGTAGTAAACTACGAGATTGTTCAAATTCAACTTGAGGGATGTGTATATCACTCTCTGCTACAGATGTATGGTGAGCTGGTGGAGGTGGCGGTGGTGCTTGGGATAAAGGGGTCAAAGGTTGCTCATTTGAAACAGATGACGTAAAAGAGCTCTTTGTTGATGGATTCAATGTAGTAGACGTAACTGTGGTGGGTGATGGCGGCGATGGCTGTTTAGAGGGTGTTGTTCTCTTTTTATTGTTCTGAAAGAAGCTAAACATTTGACTGAATAACATGTTGGATTTGTCTGTTGGTTGAAGAGAAAGAAAAGGAAAATGATAAAATGGGAAAAAGAAAAAAAAAAAACAACCAAAAAGGCCATTTTAGTAGAAAAATGCAACAAGGCTCTTGGTACACATTACTACAGAAATAAATACACAACCACATGTCAAAAAGAAGGCTTTTGCTATTTGTTGTTTGTTCTGGTTTTGATATACTGCTTCTTATCGATTGGAAGCGGCTTTAAATGCTTTCTTTTTTTCCTAGTTTTCAAAAAAAGACATGATATAAATTGTGAACTTTCCATCGCTTATGTAGATAAAGCAAGCTTTTGAAAACGTGTTGAAATAGACGCAAGGCATTGTTTCGTGGTACAAACCACTATTGGCGAGAAGGTCATCTTGGGCAAGATTGTTTCAAGACAGCGATTACTTCATAAAATCGTTTAGTACCACGCAGGTTTTGAACTGTAGCAAATGCAGCAATTATTGCTTTCTCGTTTAAATGATTTTTATGGATCAGTGGCCTCATAGAATAGGTAACATCACAGTTAAACAGGAAACCAACTTCAACACTAGTAAATAACGCAATTATATGAGGTTCAATCGTTGAAATTTAATAAAACAGGATTAATCTTCCAAATGCTCATGTTGCAATGTGGATTATGCTTGTTAATGAGGATCTGTTTGTTGTCGTAAAGCACTGTATACAGCATTTACGTGCGTTGACGTCAAATTGCAGAGGCAGCTATTACGGTAAAATAGAATCGCTGATTCGGCTGTACTTTCAACTAAATCAAATCAAATGAGTATGTTTGAAATCATTTGCTTGTATGAGCTTATGGCAACAACCCAAATTTAAAGATTCTTGTATGTCCCTTGTTATGGTGAAATTAATGTATCAACATCCAGCGCATAACCTCAATATTACTAACGTACCGAATAGAAAAGCTTAGATCAAGTTAAGCCCAAAGCTTTATCATATATATATATATATATATATATACTGGAAACAAGCTTACCAACAACATAACGTATCAAAATTTGCTTGAATTAGTCTTGCCAAAATCAATATGCCTCCTGTCCGAATTAAAAATTGCCCAGGCTACAGAACTATCATTCCATTAAATTACAGCTATCGAAGATGTGATTCATGCCGTGTGAATAGAAGCTATAAAGCAACACATAACCGAATTGGACAGATTTCAAGCCTTCATATCTTGACATGTAGACCTGTATGAGCCACAGGAATGACGCCAAACAATTGTATTTGAGTAGTAGTAACTTCCTGATACCTTTGCTCAACTTTTTGGGCCAAAAAAAAAAAATATGGCCAAAAATTGACCAAAAAGCATGAGGGGGTACCTCATAGATTTCATCAAACATCAAATGATCACGTTTTTCAACCCAAAAACAATGACTTTTGCTATAGCATATATTAAACCAAAATGTTCCTATCGATCCAAGGCAACCCCTGAAACCTCTTTTGCAAGAGCTTCATTTGTTCAATCTGGACTTTTTGACCAAAAACCGTATTTCATACCTTTTTAATTTTCTCAATAGCTTTGTTCAAAGTACCCTTGATAATTGGCATCATTGGAAGCGCCTTGAAAAGCACTCTAAGAAAGATTAAGGGTGTATGGGGTACTCATTACTCTTGATATAGTCGAATCTGGCAAAATAGATCAATCGAGTCGAAATTAAAATCAAATTTACCCAATCTAAAGAAGAAAGCAAAGTCTGAGCTTAAATGTATTTTGGCTGTTTGCTGGCAATGTCAATGCTCGTATTATTATGAATAAAATCAATGCTCGAGAAGCTTATAAGAAAGAGATTTTAAAATTTAAATGATAGCTTAACCCTGTTACTGTCTCTCAATAATGTAGATAGTGTGAAAACGCTATATTTATCATAACCAAATTAAAGATCAAGGCGAGGTCAGACATCAGATCAGATATTATCGCGTTTTGATTGACTATGATTCATAAATGTTATTTGCCGAGACAAACCAAGATTATGCAGCAATTTTAGTGATGCTGAAACCACAGCCATCTTTCCCATACATCAAGATTGAAGATCCATTTCAAATGAGATACCTTCAACTTCTTTATTACACACTAATTCACAAAGAAAGAGAAAAATGATACCACGCATCTTGGGATTAGCTGCATCATTTTTTGTCTTTTCTTCATTTATTCTCCAACTCTTTGTCATGATAGGACATTTGTCCAACAGACCGTTCTTGGATGTCATTTATTTCGTGAAAGCAAACAATCCCGAGTACAATTTGAGGTATTCATTTGGTTTATGGTAAGCTGCGTGAGTAATTCGCCTAAAAGACATTGTGTGTGCGCTGCTCAACAGACATTGTTTTTTAGGACGTATTGTCAAGGCCCTTATGGAGGCTCCATACAAAGTTGTAGCTCACCCAAGGCGGCATACGACTGGGCCACCACGCCAGGATTCTCCCTAATGTTACCCTATTATGCCTCCAGCAAGCAACTTGAATCTCTCTTCTTGGCGTTGTTCGTTCTCTACTTTATCGGATTGATATTCAGCTTTTTGCTGTGGATTGCTACTCTTTCCGTGTCACTTTGCTGCTGCATCAAGCGATTTCGACACACTTCAGGCAATCAAACCTTTGACGTTACCATGGCCATGCTCTGTGGCTTGAATTTCTTCATCATGCTGGTAGCGTTGATATTGGCGCTTGTGCTGGTAATTGGTAGTGTCAAGGCCATCTCAGGGGCCAGCATTTATTGGAACGGCCACGCAGGTAACTCCCTTTGGTTAACTATTGCAGCAGTTGTATCATTATTTCTAGCCGCTGTCTGTTATATGTTTAAAGCATGCTGTCATCATGGACAATATAACGGTAATAGTAGAATCTCTGCTGATCTTAATAAGAATCACGCCTACAGAAATCAGCCATTTGATTTGACACTTCATCATCAGCCTTATTATGCCAATACATCACCCATGATAAGCAATCAACATGCACAAGAGCAACCTACACTTCCTCAGCCACATTTATTGCAACAACCCACTACGAATCAAAACTATTCGTATCCTCAGCAGCAACCACAGCAGCAACAACAACAACAACAACAACAACAACAACAAGATGTTTCCGTCTCAAGTTTATCTCAGCAGTACTCTCCAGGATTGCAACCCCAATTTCTAGTCCCTATTTACGGATCTAATGAAAATCCTCCACCTAATACACGCTAAAGCAATAAAAGAAAGAATCGGTTCCTGAACCAATCATTTCATGTAAATTGAGTAAATGTGGGTTTCCGAAGGTGATACTTGTGAGCAAATTGTTTCAATTAGTAAATTTACAACGGGGTCAAATTACGAGTGTTCGCCGAACAAACCAAAAAAAAAGGGGAAAAGCGAAAATCTTGTTGGCCATGATGATTTATTGAGTGTGCAAAACATGTTGATATGTATAAATGGGGTTTGTGCTTGTAAGTGTGTGTGTGTGTGTGTGCAATATTATGTACAATTAATTAATTTAGAGGAGCAACAAAGAAAGGGTATCACATTATTTATCCTTTGGGGAGACTAGTCCTAATTTACGTTTCTTCAGTGTGGAGGGCCGCTTGTAAGGATTATAATGCGAACTGCTATTCGATCGTTTATGAGGAGGATGCTCATTAGAAGCAGTGTAGGGAGGCGTCAGAGGTAGAACAATAGATTGATCTGCTGTTTTCTGCTGAATGTGATTAGGTTTAGTAGCTGTACTTGAAGCTGTAGTGGTACTGGTTGCTGCTGCTGCTGCTGCTGCTGCTGCTGGGGTCATTGGCTCAGTCAATTCTACAGATGTTTTCATGGAGTGAGATAGTAATTGATCTGCATACAATTGAATGTCTTCCAGAGGTATGAATAGCTGGAAATCAAGCAAGAATAGCAACTCCAACTCTAGCTGATTCAGCTCGACCAGCGGAATGCCACCGACTTTAGCGTATCTGCTGTTTGCGTAAAAGATGTCTGAAGTGAATTTGGAGGCAACTACGATGCTACGGTACGAGTCAGTTATGTTACATGCTTGCAAAAATGAATAACAGCGACATACCTTGTGATGAGTAGCCTATGGATATTGTACGAGTTGATGGTGAATCCATCGTCTAATTTGGTCATTCGGTCGAAATAGATGAGCATGGAGAGCAGGGCTTCATTTGTGAATGGAGCAAATTTATGAATTCTTGTTAGATAGGATAATACTGAAATGTTTGGTATAGCTCTTGAATGAAAGTAGGTAATTTGGGTTGTTGGCAGCTGGTTGTTTGTGTTCAACATGGAATCCAGTAGATTGGAGACGATTTTTATCAAATGCTGAATAGGGAAATCAACAATGTTCATTATCATGATGAAAGAGAGAAAAGCATGCACAAAAGAGCCGAGAGAATAAGAAGAGAAAGAAACCTTTTTATATGAAATCCACCAAAAAAGAATATAGGGAATCCATTCATTTAAACCCTTTTTTCCAAGCAGTTTTATTTTAAGCTTATACAAACAATTGCAACCTCCCGCGTGCCTTGATTTCATACAATTGATTGGGTTGACACCATTTCAAACAGAGTGTCGAATTAAAAATTAGTTCAAAATTTTGTCTGGCTGGCTGTTTGTTCTTTTTTTTTTTCCATGTTCTATGGGAGATGAATGCACTACTGAAAAAAGAAGCTTCGTTGCAGGCTCAAATCGATACATTGCAGTCAGAAATTGACGAGCTAGAGGCAAAGGCAGATGTCAGCCAGCATCAGCAAGGAGCACAGCTGTCCAAAGAGGAGCTGAAACAGTGCAAGGCGCCAGAATGGTGTATTCCTATTAAAGCAAATGTCATGACATTTGAGTGGGATGTATGTATGCGTGCGTGTGTTACTCTATCAAATCAACTAAAGAGAAATGAAATGCTCAGCGTCTAGCAGAAACAACTCAGTTTGATGTGATACTGGCTGATCCTCCATGGCAGCTTGCTACCAATACACCCACTCGAGGCGTGGCTATTGCATATCAGCAGTTGCCAGATGTCTGTATCGAAGAACTGCCTATACCCAAACTACAGCAAAACGGATTCCTCTTTATGTGGGTTATCAACAACAAGTATGCCAAGGCATTTGAGCTGATAGAGAAATGGGGGTACACTTATGTGGATGATATCACTTGGGTCAAGCAGACAGTGAATCGACGCATGGCAAAGGGGCATGGCTACTATCTTCAGCACGCCAAAGAGACATGCCTGGTTGGGAAAAAGGGGCAGGATCCTCCCAATTGCAAGCACTCGCTCTCGTCCGATGTCATATACTCTGAGCGAAGAGGACAGAGTCAGAAGCCTGAGGAGCTATACCAGATGATTGAGGAATTGGTGCCAAACGGCAGATACCTAGAGATATTTGGGCGAAAGAACAACTTGCGTGATTATTGGGTAACAATTGGGAATGAGCTTTGAGCTGTTTTATTTGATTCAAGAATACATGATTTGCTTGTAATAAAGACGAACATTGGCCACTTGATTCATTAGTTGGTTGTGCTTTTCATTACATCTGTCAATGTAGGCCTGCACTCGCACCATTCTTTGATATCTCTGTTGACATTGAATAGGATTGTAAATGTATCCACCCGTCATTTCTGCTAAACTGATGCAAATAACTTCTGGTGGCGGTGCTGCTGTGGGCCTCAATGGTGGTGATTCTACATCAATGAGTTTCGTCATCTGGTAAGGTATTTGGCAAAGATGGCTGGCAGTTGCCTGATCCGCAGGAGGGTTATCGAGTCTGGAGACAAAGAAAGGAAGACAAGTTACTACTGAAAAAAAGGGGGGGCTGCTAGAATATAAACCCACATACACACACTCACACTCCCAATCTATCAATCAATCGAAAATGTTTTATATACAGGCAAGTGACAAGCTTAGGAATTATTTTTTTTTATTGCTTCTGTTGGTAAACAGCCGCTGGTGATTGTGGTAAGAGTGCTGTGCTTGTCGTGTTGTTGTATTGGGCTATAAGATCAGTATGCGTGGTTGCCAACTGGCAATTAGGCATGTTGTAGTTGGTTTGGTGGTGGTGATTCAACATGGGCGTAGATGATCTTCGTCGTCGACTATCAAACGACAGACTCTCGCTGTTCTTCAGTGCAACCATATGATCTGGGCTGTCAATCATGATAAAATCATGCCACACATGCTGATCTTGCTGTCGAGTAAAGTAGCTTCTCTTCTGGTACAGGATTACAAGCAGCGAAAGGACGATAATGCATAGTAAAACAGCCAGGATGATGAACAGTGCTTCCTCTGTAGCATTTAAATGTAGAGCTGCCATGTCTCAATGATACAGCAGAGAAAGATGAGAACAGGAAGAAAGTGTCGGTGTGGATGTTGTCAGATGGAATTGCATTATTCATTAAATGCTGCTAGGAGACAGAAAAGAGTGTATCTCCTTAATGGAAGTGTGTCCCCTATGGCTGATCCTCTACATCCTTTTATTACACAGCCCAATGTATATATAGCCCATGGTATATCTTTTTTTTTTTTTGCGTCAAGTGCTCCTAACTCTTATCGTTGTTGTGGTAGTATTCACTTACACATCTCCTTTTATGCTTGTGCCCTTCTTCACCCTGATCCCAAACTTTGATAATACCAGGAAATACTTGCCATAGTAGTGTATACTATCTCATCTATGAAAGATCCAAATAATATCCATTTATTGTGTGTGTGTGTGTGTGTGTGTGTGTGTGTTTTGTGGTATCCTTTCCATCTGCTCAAGCTATCTATTTCCATTAGAGATACACACCAGCTGCGTTGGAGGCAAAGATGGCACCGAATCCTAAAAGGATGGATGCCACGATGGCAGTTTGAAGTTGTTGAATGAGAGGCGTCTTGTTTCCTTGGCTGTGACGAGAATGAGTATTACGCATTGAGAGGGTAATGAGGATGCTTACATGATAAAAGTACCAGCTGCTAAGAGACCAGCAGAGACAGTGAGCAAAGTAACTACTGGATATGCAGCAGTAGGAACAGGTGCACTAATAGGGGAACCAGCCATCCAGTCGTCCTAACATACCCTTTCAATACAGTTCTACTTGTATTCAACCGTGTGTATGTACTTACGAGTGCAGTCATTGATGAGTATTGTATATGTAAAAAGAGACAAATGAAATCAAGACGTGTAAATGAAGCTTATAATAGCAAGCATCATGATGTGATTGGATGGAATTACCTATTTGAACCCTCTGACGTTCTTTTTCTATTCAATCCATTTCACGAGATTCTCAAACTCAACTCAACTCATTCAACTTGCACACACACACACACACACATACACACAACTCCATCATGTCAGTTTCCACAAGACCTCATAACGGAGCACTCATTCAACGTGAAGTATGGTACCGCAACCCTACTTTTGTTTGGGTACTTAAGGCAGCAGCCATCAACTTCGTATTGCCCTTCTTCAATGGTGTCATGCTTGGTTTTGGTGAAATTCTAGCAAACGAGGTCATTTTCAAATATGGCTGGTTCGGCTACAGTAGACCCACTGTAGGTATTCATGCTTCTATTCCTGCCAGTGGAACAAAAGAGTACAGAAAGTCCATCGAGGCACAAATCAAACACGAGCAAAAGAAAGAGAAGGATGAGCTTTTACTTTTGGATTAGTCCTTTAGGCGGTTATTTGTATAGATTTTGTATACCTTTTCACTCTGGAAATAAACGACCCTTATTATTTACTCAATGGGACGTGCCATGGCTAGCGATAGGGATTGGACTATCGAGAGGCTTGATATGCAATCTACTACAATGTGGAAACAAAGCATACTACTGATGCGTCGTGTACAGTTGGGTTTTGTTTACCATCGTCATGGGGGGGGGGGATGCGGACAGCACTGACTAAAAATCCTTGAGAAGCTTATGTTGTAAGAGTAGAGGTATACAAGAATAGAGCAGAGTGGTAGATAGTAGCAGGATAACACTCATTTACATGATTTCATTCTGAGCAACAGATGCCCGTCTAGACAAAGTCTTGTTTTGCATAACATTGGATACACCCTTATCATTTTAATTAATATGGACACTCTAAAAACTATACAACGCCTCTGAACTCATGCAGCCTTCCAGAAAGCCGCTAAATGGTTCCTGCATTATCCCAATGCGTATTCATTTTAGTTCAAATGCTATTAGATGCATACTGTCCGATGGAATATATAAAAAGGGCCTTGTGTTTCAAAGTGCTCGCAAGCTTCATTCGCTTTCTCGAAATTGGCTATGAAACTATTGCTATTATCGCTGGCTTTGCTAATATCAAGTTGCAGCATCGCAACAGGTTCTCTTGACCAGCAAGTAGCTGGAGGATTGCAATCGTTCAAAAAGCCGAAAAAAATTGCCTTCGCTGTCTTTGCTGGCGGATCATCTCATGTAGAGTGGGTGCTCTCCATCATGGAGGAGCTCTCCAATAGGGGCCATACTACTACCTACTTGACAAGAGTATGTATCCATGCCTGCTTAAACGTCAGCGTCTATAATACTCAAGCATTTTACTGACGCAGGATAGCCAAGTCAAATTTGGAAAGAAGTTCCCCTCTATTGAAACGGTTTCGCTAAGCAATGATACAAAGCATGGCATTGCTTTTAAAGCACTCTCAACAGACAGCAGAAAGAGGACACTTCCAGTTCTTTCCGCGAAACTCTTGAAAATCGTGGGATCGACATTTGAAGAAGGTATGTACTGTCTAGTTGCATATGGACAGACGCAATGGTTACTGATAGATATCACTTTCATGCAAATAGACTACAAAGAAACAGTGCAATTCTTCAAATCAAAAAACATGGATGTTGCCATTTGCGATCATTTTACAGTAAGCTGTCAAGAAGCCTGCCATACGCTTCAAATACCTTTTCTGGTGACATCCAGCATTGGTGCCGCCCCTGACACAGAAGCTCCCTACATTGATAGTAATGATTTATACACAAGAGCCCTATCTAATCTAGATACATCGTTTCTCAAGCGCTTCCACGACCAACTTATTCTGCCCATCAAAGCATATCTCAATACATATACACTGGTCCAGGAGCAAAGGCACAGGTGTCTTGCTTTGGGCATCAGAGATCCTGTATTTTCACACCAAGAGTGATGGAAAGATTCTATCAAACTGTTCAACACGGCATTTGGCTTTGAGTCTGCTAGACCCTTGGGACCTTTGGTGGAGTTCATTGGCCCCATCGTTCCCAAGTCTGCTGCAAGCAAACTAACACAGGACCTGGATCACTTTTTAGTCAATCATCAACGAGTAGCATGCATTGCATTTGGACAACATGCCACGACGAATGAAACCGAGCTCACTGCGCTATTTGCAGGGTTGCTGGAAGCGTACGAAATAGGCTACATTGATGGCATGATTTGGTCCATACGAGGACTAGACGGCATTATCCCTAGTGTCATCGTGACAAGCTCCAATCCGACCTACCATATCCATCAACTGCTGAATCAAAACAAGCTCAATGATATCGCATTTCTCCAATGGGCACCACAAACAGCCTTCCTTCAGCATCCATCTACCATTCTGTTTGTCACGCACGCTGGAGCAGGCTCGTTATATGAAGGATTGCAAGCTGGAAAACGTTTGGTCTTTTTACCCCTTTTTTTTTGGTGATCAATCAAGAAATGCACAACGAGCAGAGAAGTTTGGCTTGGGCCTCGCAGTAGACTACAAAGGCACTCGACATGATGCTGCTCTGGCCATACAGCGTGTAGCGAGAGATGAAGATGGCTTCTTTCAATCGAATGTCAATAGGTTTCAAGCACTGGTACAGATCAAAAGCCAAAGCGGCACCATCCATGGCGCAAATTTAATGGAAGAAGTTGCTTTTATGCATCAGGATACCTTGCTTCATCATCGAAGAGATATCAAGCATGACTTGTCGTTTACAGTGGCTCACAACTTGGATGTGCATGCATTTGGGTTGATTACCTTGTGCTTGCCGTTATTTGTAGGCGTTTGTGCATTGACCTCGCCAGCAAAAAAAAAAAAAAAAAGATGATAATCTTACAAAAGTAAACATCCAATGAATCTACATGCTAATGTTGCAGTTTGTTCGCTTTAAAAATGAATACATATGATTTCAAGCTACAAATCGCGACAATAGCACTGACCTTTGATACTCAATGATTTTGTGCCTAGAAGCTGGATGAATGCTCGCAAACTCGTAGGCGGCCTAGCCAGACTCAAACAAAAGCATGTCCAAGTATATGTTGGAGCTTTTGGCACATTCCAGTAGTATTTTGTGTTCTTTTTACCAGACATCAGATGAAAACGGCTTTTCTCGTCCCTGAATTTCTGAATTTGGGAAACCGAAGCTGGAACCGGATACACATGCAAAAGCGAATGGGGTGAGCGATATAAATATATTGACTGATGTTGCTCATGAGCCTTGTATTGGGCAAATGAAAGTGAGATCTACCTACATATCAGGCTGTGATGCCCTGCGAAAAGTGCATGGAAATGATACAGAAGATGTCTTCCAAATGTTGCCATGGATCTTGGATCAAGTACGCCAAACAGTCTCCTTTCCTCCTTTTTTTTTTTTTTTTTTTTTTTTTTTTTTTTTTTTCTCGAGGATTTGATGCTATATTCTTCATGTACATGTCTTTATATGTATGGACATGAGCCTTCTTGTTGTTCATTAGCTCAACCAATGGCAAGAGATGAATAATGTGCCAATACATGTAAAAAAGGAAACGATCACATTCTAATTATCAGGCCCGCCTCAACTAAATCGATCAAGGACCTTAATAAGCTCCTGTTTTATCGTTTTTTTCTTTTTTTTTTCTCTCTTTTCCTTTACTCACATTTAAATCAAGAAGACATTATGGAAAAGTTCAAGGAGGTATTGTTTTGAACGATGGATGAGGATTTGAGACATGTAAATGTTAATACTCGGAATAGAAACTCAACACTCTTCGCACAGAAGCTGAAACTGCCAACAAGCGTGCTGCCGAGCTGGAGGAAAAGTGCAATGCACTTGAGACTGACCATGCTCAAAAGGATGAGCAGTTAAATAACCTTGTTGCTCGTGCCAAGGAGTTGGAAGAAGCTCTTGAAGCTGCTGAAGTCAACTTGAAGCAAGCTACCGCCGAGTAAGTAAACCAGAAGAGGGGAGATGGGTTTCATATTAATATCCAACATTTACATTTTAGCTTCCGTGAGGCTGATTTGCGTGCTGAACAACTTGGTAAGAAGGCTGTGAAGATTGAACAAGAGATTGCCATATGGGACAAGAAGAATGCTGATTTGGAAGCCAAGTATCAAGCTGCCAAGGCTGAGATGGAGGAGTTGGATGGTCAAATGGAAGGCGTGTAAATACATCTTAATCAACATGGCTTTTTATATATATATACATTTTTTTTTCTGATTACATATATAAAATACATTTGATTACCTGATAAAAAGACCACACAGCCCGTGCCTGTTCTTATTCTGGTACATTACGTTGCCCTTCTCTCTCTCTCTCTCTCTCTGTGTGTGTGTGTGTGTGTGTCTGTGTTTTGTATGGTGGCACGAAACTACTTTTTATTTATTTATTTTGTACAAAGCTGTTTGGGATGGAGGGTGGGATTTATTGGTCAACAGGAACATCAAGATCAGGGCCATTTCCAACAGGAACAACTTGAGTGGGGTTGATTTGTCTATGAGACATGTAGTAGTGGCCCTTGATGTGATCCATGTTTACGGTTTCCTTGACTACAGGCAAAAGATGAGTTACTGATGCGTCTTGATGAAAACAGTTTCAACTTACCGCCAGGCATTTGATAAATACGACGAGCCCATTTCAAAATGTTGGGATAGTTGTGCTCAATGCTGCCAATATTGCACTTGAAATGTCCAAAGTAAACGGGATCAAATCTGTGTTTATAGCGTGAGCACTGATCCCAACTGTTTCACATCATACTTTATAGACATACCTGACAATGGTAGTGAAAAGACGGATATCAGCCTCAGTGAAAGTATCTTGGATCAAGAACTTTTTTCCTTGGAGCATCTTTTCAACGCGATCCAGAGACTTGAACAAAGGATACACGTTCTTTTCATCTGCATAAATGGCGTTTTTTTTTAGTCAGATCCATCAAATACCATGCAGGCGTAATCTGAAAATGTATACTTACAAGCAGCTTGAGTTGTGGCGAAACCAGACTTGTAAACACCGTTATTGATGGTGTCGTAAATCCATTCGTTATTTTCATCGATTTCCTTGCGAAGAGACTCGGGATAGTAGTTACGTTCAGCGTGCTCCTTGTCCAAATATTGGTCGAATGCAGTATTGAACATACGAATGATTTCTGAACTTTCGTTGTTGACAATAGTCTCGAGCTTCTTGTCCCATAAGACAGGCACAGTGAAACGGCCTTCATAGTTGGGATTTACCTTAAAGTAGAGATCACGGATGTGTTGAGCATTGTTGATAGTGTCAGGGATAGCGCCGGGGCATTCTTCAGCAGTAGAGAACTTCCATCCCTTATCCAACATCAAGTAGTCGACAACAGAGAGGCCGATCAACTTGTCTAATCCCTTGAGTTGACGCACAAGAGCGGTACGGTGGGCCTATCGCTAAGATCAGCACTTTATCCCCACAAACAAAAAGGACAGCTTACCCAAGGACAAGCCCAAGAAATATACAAATGGTAACGATCACTACGATGCCCATGATTGTCAATTATCATTCCAGACGGACATCTTTAGATACTTACGGTTCAGCAGCAAACTTTGCATTAGGATCGGCTTCAATTGTGTCACGGAAAGTGGATTGTTGGCGTCTGAACTCACCATCATTGGAAGCCCACTTGAGGATAGCAGGCTTTTCATCAGAAGCAGCAGAAGTAGTAGTAGTAGACATTGTTTTTTTGAATAAAAATGCGGTAGAAGATACAGCGATTTGGGTTGAAAAAGTGTGTTTGAAAGAGAAGACTCTTGAAAGTAAATACATCAGAAGAAAAGAAGAAGAAGAAATAATGAAAAGACGAGACATTTTTGATTTATACTTTTTTTTCCTGCTTTGATTGCATCATTTACTTATGCATGCAGAAGTTACAATAAGCAGGACTGGGTAATTGTCATTGCTGATTCATACTCAAGTCAGCAAATGATTACACGCCTCAAAATAAGCGGATAATTCACTTGCCGTGCTAACCTGATCCCGAAGAACAATGTGCAATGTAAGAAGCGCTTATTAATACCAGAAAAGCAGTGCTGTTTTTTGACAGAAGCAGCGCTATGACTAAATGATTGTCGATATGCATTTTGATGTGGTTGGCGGTTTCAAATGGACATGAATGAATAATCATGGTTGATTACACAAGATGCCTTGTGTCACTTTTATTTTATACAGGACAGGTCGACGCCACTAAACCACATTATCTACACCAGAGCCACCCAGCATGCTAAACGTAAACATATGAGATTTATACGATATGCTCTCTCATGACACGCCAACATACCTTGAGCTCGCAAACGATTGTCCCATAAGAGCACCAGCAACTAAATCACTGTATAAGTTTTGCAATCCGCGCATTACGCAAAACTTACCGTAACAAAGCGATGAAAATAAGAGAGTAACAGCACAGACAATGAGAATACTCGGCCCAATAATGTTTGAGAGAAACATGATTATAGAGAAGCTATTGTGGAGGATCAAGATGAGTGCGACGAATTACTTGCTAGTCAATCTGAGCTTACCAAAGATACATGACTGCACGAAACCATGAATTCCCAAAGAATGCAATGAATGAATCACTACAAATTTCGCAGTTAGCATCGAGCATAGCATCCTCTACCATACACTTACAATCTTGGGCTAGTAGGACAGCATTTCGTTGCAAATGGCACTTCGACAAACAACAAAATAAACGCAATGACCCTGATATATAGCATTGAGTCCCTGGTTCATCTTTTACCGTATGCTAAATTACCAGCCAACAATGCTAAATACAAAATGTCCCAAAAAACCTACGATACCAAGTGCAATTAACACTAAAAAGTTGGGTTAATGATGCACTCATTTGGGCATACATCGCTTCTGTACCTACAGCATATGGAGATGACACCCAGCCTAGTGTAGCGATGCAACGATTAATGCACATGTCTTTTCACTGTCTTTAAACCTACTTACCACTGCCCATAAAGAGCCATATTTCTAGACTTTATTTCATTGAAAAGCCCCATTATTTGCAGATGTTAAATGAAGAAGGGGGGATTGCTCGATAAGAGACAAGACACATCTTATTGTCTGAAACCTTGTAGTTCAATTACTTGCCATTATACGCACCTGGATTCCGGCCATCCCATAGACAGCGCATCAATATGGTTGTATTTAGATATGCCTAGAGGGGCTCTCGACTTTACATGCCATTTTTATTGGTATTCGCCACAAACGAAACGTAAATGGCAAATCGTTGATCCCGATTACAAGCTACTTGCTGAAGCCAGTCGTACCTCATACACGAATAAAGACATTCAAGAGTCAAATCAGATACCCATATTTGCCTCTATACAGATCTTATTTCGATAAATCTACTTCTATTGCATTTCATAAATCCTATTGATTGTCAGGTGCAAGCGCTAAAAGCTATATGTACAGCACTCCTTGTAACTGAGATTTGCACCTTGTCCCTTGAAAACCAAATAAGCTTGAAACCTCGTATAAACAAGAGCCGTTTCAACTGATTTCATTTGCGTTAAAGTTTTTTTTTTATTTACTTGAGAAAGAAATTATCATTATTTGAATACTAGTGGTAGGAATGATATGGATTACTATGAAGGAGAAGCAACTGATGAAAGAGAATGAAAGATTGGGATTTAGTCTTGGCCTTGTAACTGAATTCTTCCGTCACGACGAGCTTGGTACCATCTCCAGCCAAGATAGAGGGAGAAAGCAAGAAATACTGCACCGACGATGGAGCCAAGGACAATCAATGCAATTTCCCACCAAGCCATGCCACGATGGCGGTACTCACGCTTAGGAACAAGAACTCGGTCAATTTCAATGACACCACCACCAGTAGTAGAACGGCCATAATTGATCACATCAGCACTTTCTTGTGTGATACTGCCCTTGACTTTGACATAATAACCACCAGCAACATTTCGACTGATCGTAACCATGTTGTTCTCACCAAGTAAGGTAGGGAAGTCAGTGCCAGTATACCCGATACCTCTGTGCTCCTTGTCTTGCTTTTGTGATGTGAAGGTACCATAAGCAGATGGACTGGAAGCCTCACCAGGGTCCAAAAGAGGTAATGCAACGGGAAGAATGTGCAATTTGGCAACTCTCATGAGAGATTCACGGTTATCATACAAAGCAGAAAGGCCATCTTTGCCGAATGCACGATCACTGGGAGCCAATATAGTGTAGGGTTTCTTGGGATCCAAGTGTTCCAAGACATCTTTGGCTAAATCGCAGCGTTCCAAGAGTCTGAGGAAACTATTTGTGCCTTCAACAGATAAAAGGTTCTTGTTGGTTACTTCCAAAGTGCTTGGTAATTGAACGCGGTCAATAGTATGAATGACACCATTGGATGTCAGCATGTCGCTCTTGATGACTTTGCCAATAACAGTGCGATCAGAACCATCTGCAGCACCACTACCACGTACAAAGATGCCTTCTTTAGTCTTGTTGAGGTTAATTTCAGCACCAGAAGATAATGTAGGTTCTCGATGTTCGCCCTCCTTCATCTCAGATGTGTAAAAGACACCACGAACAGCATGATAGTTAGCCACCTGAGTGAGCTTGTCTTTTGCCTCGGGTTGCAACAAATATCTTGCCAGGAGACCTAAACGAGAGAAGGCTTCATTTGTGGGAGCAAACAAGCTGATATCATGGGCTTTAGCAATGACACTGTCTTGGCCAGATGCGTACAGGGTAGCTACAAATGTTGACAAATCCAAATTGACAGGTAATCGGCTGAGTGGATCTCGAGGTAATACAAGGGACTCAGCAATATGATAGATAATCAAATTATCACCCACATACACTATAGGACACACTGTTAAATGCTATTCAAAATATGATTTCGTCCATTTACCCGGGTCGCCAATAACAGACGATCTGCCAAAATGGATAGGCTTGGTCAAATCCTCTCGATGAACAGCGATGCGTTGATAAGACTTCTCGCCCAAATCCTGATGAGTCTCAGTTTCCAGTAATTGACCATCATGAAGGTCATTGACATCCCAGCGACCATGAACAAGGTGGTACTTGAGCCAAGACTTGATTTCCTTTTTGGAGGAGGGAGGTAACATATCTTCATTGGAGGGAGCCAAGATAGTTGTTGTTACATCGTTCTCATTGTCATCCAAATAAGCGCCCAGACCATGCTTATCGAACAGCTTGATAAAACGAGTGCAGTTCATGCCAATTAACGATTTACGAGCACTGGATCCAAAGAAACTCTTATGCTTGGGAAGAATTGGCTTTTCCAAAACATGTACAACACCTGGTTTTTTTTTGTGTGTGTGTATTAGTAATAGGATAAATAAACAAACACATAGAATGCACGTACCATTAGCAGCCAAAATGTCACTTCTGATGACTCGAACACCATTGACTTGGATAGCAGAGGGAGCACCTTTGTTGTTCTCTACATAGACATCGAGGTCTTCAGTGCCTTCGACTGTCTTGATAGTGGAGTTGCCTTCAGGGAACTCGTCGCTGTAGTATATCTTGGTTGCAATTTGATGCTTGAGAATACGAGCAAGATCATTTTTGCCTTCAGGCTGGCTCAGGTAGCGCTTTTCAACAGGAGAGAGATAATCGCCAAACTGATCATCTTGGACAGCAAACACAGTGATACCACAGGAATACTTGAGATTGTCATTGATTTCAGCAGTTACGCTCTTGTCGTAGAAATCCTTTGTATCTTTGTTTGCTTGCAGTGTTGCATCTACACATGTACAGCATGATGAGTGATTAATTAATGGTTTGTCCCTTTAATACTTACCAATGTAAGATGGCAGTGGAATCAGTTTGTCAATTGCGTGAATCACACCGTTTGTGGCTTCTATATCAGCTTGGCTTACCCAGCTCTGTTCCTGGTCACCGCCAGTACCAACATAGATTCCAGACTTGGTCTCGGTCACTTTGATGACTTGTGGTACCTGGTCTACAAAAGCCCATGTTCTCAGCAATCTACCATCCCACAATTCGTTGGATAAAACGGCTACGGGCACAATGTGGTTCAAGATTTGTTCGCCAGTGATTTTGCGTTTGAAGAGTTCATCGTAGTAGACGTAGAATGCCTTGTTTGTGGGAGCGAATACTGTGCCTGCTTTGACGTCCTTGAATGCCGATGTTTGGTTCTGTTCTTCAATGTGAGCGATAAACACGGAGAATCGCTCATCTGTGGTGAGGATGTCCCAGATGGATTTGTCTTTGAGGACGCCTGCAGCAGCAGCAAAACATGCAGTAAGATAGAACAAAAGGAGCAGTAATAACATAAATGCGGATCTTATGTGTAACATGATTGTTCTCGCAGTAGTTGAAACAAAAAAAAAAAAAAGAAAACAAAACGAATATCAATTGGGATTTATATATTTATGCAAGAATCTACAGATCATCATGAGCGCGTCATTTTTTGTTTGGCTTTGTGTGAGATATACGTGTGTGTGTGTGTGTATATGTGTGTGAGGCGCAACAACAACAACAACAACAACAGCAGCAGCAGCAGCAACAGCCTGAAAGCTGGTTTTTCATTGCTTAATTCAACAAAGCTCCGAGATTGGGAAAAAGCCAGTTATCCACTGTCAAACACGTAATTATTCGCATAGCCAACTATCATGTGTCTTGGAAAACATCACATGAAATACAGGTATTCTTTGGATCTAGAATGCTGAAGGCAAGCGTGGTTGCTTACAGCTGAATGCATGCAGAGACTCACCCTGTTACACAGCACATATTTGACACTGTTACATATTCCATCAACGCTGTTGATACGATTCATTGACATGAGGAGCATATAAATATCACTGACATCCAACATTCTGTACATTTAATCACTCATGACGACACTGCGCAGCTACTTTGATCAGTCTTTGCTTTGCAATTAGATCTTGTTCTCGTAGTCAATTAATGTTTCATACATGAGTGATCAACATGACACTTCTACTGGAAACCATGACTAATTTATGGAAAGCATAATCGCTTTCAGTGTGCGAAACGTTTCAACAGCATGCAAAGCTCTTGGCTGTAACGCTTGAGTCAAGATCACATACGGTATCTGCTCGTGCCAGATGCATACCTGATGTAATAATCTATCTCTTACAATACAACACTTCATTTCAAATCTCCTAACCGATACGCCCTTGCTTCAAAGGAAATGAAACATGAGATGCCATATTTATATCTTTGAGAGTTCGTACATGTATTTTCTTAGATCAACCTCCCCACCACTACGTATTACTTTTTACCTCACGATTAGCGAAATAACCCTTAGCGAGATCATTGTAGCATTGTGCGGTATCTACAATTATTAGGTGCGAGTATTCAATGAAAGCAGAGCCCTTGTGATACAAGGAAACTTAAGATTCAATGAGAAGACCAGATGCAACTTGACGAAATCGATTGTCATCTTGACACTGGAAAGTGAACTGGCCCAGTACGTGGGTTAAACAACAATGCAGAGATGCCACTTTTGAGCGAGGAAAATATGTATACCTTAAACTAGAAGGTTTAATGGAATTGAACAAAGCAAACTACAGCCATCTACTCCCGTAAGCATGACTCACCAACATATTCAGCTTTCATCGATAATTTGAAAGTAGCAGCTTAATAAGTAGGTTATGGCACATCACAGGGTCAACTTCAAATGCACATTTGAGCAGCTAGCATAATGAAAAGTATATAAATGCATCTTCTGGGTGCATTCCCAATAAAAGTGTAATTCTTTGGCAGGTTCAATTTTACATTGTATTTTGACCTAATATTGGCTACACTTTCCTTACTTGATTATTTAACAGCCAAGATAGCGACTGAATATCCGTTTATATCTTTAGCAATCCCTCAAAAGGGGGGGCATATAATGGTCCTAATAGAAAGGCTTTAGCGTTAATATAGAGTTTGGAATAGTTGTTCCTCTTTTTTCGTGAAACGCGCAGTAAACCTTTGACTCTTTGCCAAATTATAAAAAAGAAGCAAGCTACCATCAACAGTTTTAAATATAACATTTTCTGTCATCCGGTACATCAATTCCTCAAGAATAAACACTCGTAATTAACAGGTTTCAAGAGGTTTTATATAAAAATTGTAGTAGATTGCGACTTGTTGGATCCTTTTGACCATATTAAGCCCAAGTTTACAGTGACAAATACACGTCTTTCTTCAATAACAACAACAAAGAAGCGTCCATAAGGCGCTAAGTCTATAAAATAAATCCAGGGGCGTATATTGACTAATGTTGGCGCACAACAGACAACTTATATGCGCCACTACTGTAGCAAAAAAAAACAGCGTTTGAGCGATTGATTTTGGATAATTTGCCTTTTCGGCAGTGTAGCTCTATGAAGTCATTCCAACCTGATTTTAATACAGTCTGTGGATGTCGTCTTCTCTTGTATCATAGGAATTGTTTATATCGCGAGTCTCTATTCGCTCAGATTTGATACAAACGACTCAGCGTGTCAGGCATCAGTTGTTTCTCCTGAATTATGAGCGTCCACCACTGTGAATAGACTCTAAGTCTATTTTTACGGCTAGATATGGCATCTTTGTTGTGGACGACCATCAAAAGTATTCTGCTGACCTGGTGAGCATCTTATTCAATCCGAGCAAGTCATTAGCTTCAGATTTGCATAATATTATTGACGCCCAAATGTCAAAGATTACTGTAATCGCGCATTTCAAAAAGCAAGGTCTGAGTCTTGGAATTAGAATAAAAGCGCCTACTACCTGAAAATTGAGTTCTGTACAATGCAGAACATTTGGGCCATCAGACAGAAGTGTAATTCACTGACTCTTTTGGCAATGCAACCCACTACGCCGTCGTTTTAGGTCGAATTTTGTTCAAATATAGCCATTTTCAAGCACGAATAACTCATGCCACAAAGCGTTTTGAGCGCTTGGAATAGCACCACACGCCTCCTCTTGGCCACGTTTTACTTCCTAATGCTTTATCTCAATTTTTTTTTGGGTCGTTGCAAATCCATGAAAATCATCGTCTTTCCATGAGTATTAGCAAGGGAAAATTCTTGAAAATCAAATGATCGCGTTTTTCACCCCAAAAATGAAGACTTTTTCTATGGTACATATTAGATCAAATAGATCGTAAAGATGAAACGCAACATTGGAAACTCTTTCTATGAGACTTACATATGCTAAATTTTGATATAATCACGGAAAACCTGATTTCATATTTTTGGAAATTGCTCATTATTTGTGGTCTGAAAGCTAAAAGTAATCAGCACCATTCGATGCGGCTTTTTTAGTTCTCTAGAGATGTATTAGAAAGTTGAGTGTGGTAACGACAGTTTTCATAGTCAAATTTAGCAAAAACGTTTGAAGGATGTGAAATCAAGTCAAGTTTAAACACGAAAATACTGCTGCACAATTTCAAATTAAATTGCCGCAATTTCCGCTGCTACGGCATAATACTGAGACTAAACCTACTGGTCGTGACGTCGAATAGGGTGCCCTCTCATTTTTCCATACCCTCGTTTTTTTTCCTTTTTTGCAAAACGCGTTTAGCATCAAACCATGGTCGTTTTCGAAACCGTTCGATTGATAATAACACTCTAGCATCCAATAACTCTGTCTTGTACTGTTGGAAAAACTTGATACTGCTTCTTTGAAGTGGAATATATTAGGTACCATTCGATAACGAGCACTGGAAGGCGTAGAATTGACACTAATAATTGTATTTGTTTATTATTAGCTTTTGGATAATATTATTCTTTTGCCTGTTTGACGTGGGTGCTGCTGCCATGACTCCTCTACTATTGTTAATGATGTCTGCTCCTTTGGTTTATCAACAGTGGTGGTTATTTCTTTGGTCCATCTCTGGTCTATCTGTGGTGATTGCGTATTCTATGGTCTATCCGTAGTCTGTCTGTGGTCTGTCTCTGGTCTGTCTCTGGTCTACCTGTGGTCTATCTGTCGCGATTTCTTATTCTATGGTCCATCTGTGGTGATTGCGTATTGTCTGGTCTGTCTCTGGTAATTGCGTATTCTATGGTGTATCTGTAGCTGTGGTAAGTGGTAAGTATCTTTTTTCCTCTGGCGGCAATAATATAAAACTTCTTTGAACGTTTATATTATTGCTTCTTTTCTCGTGATGATGCATTCATAATGTTTGCCTTGTTGCGCTTTTTTTCTTCTTCTTTTTCTTTTGTTGGTAGTGTTTCCTCTGTAGTTTTTCATGAAACAACATTAGTCATTATGTTGTATTGCAAACTTATAATACCACTGTTGCTTTTGCAGTCTTGTGTATTTGTGCCTTGTTGCTTTACATCCGACTATTACTACCATGCACGTTGCTCATGTATATATTGTTATTGCAACAACAACGAGCTTTTTTGAACACCTTTATGTTATGTTGGTTATGCTTTTCTTTGATTCACTTTGTGTGGGTCTTCCTTTTTTGCCTACTTACTACTATACTTCTATAGTACAGTAGTATGTTCTTTTCTTCTTTCTTTTATTATTACTATGATGTTTCTTTGAAGCATACCTTTTTTACGTTGTGTGGATGTGCCTATCCCTGAAGCTCAACAAGACTTTATCCGAGGCTAGGAGGTAGATAGGCTGCCTCCACTTGGTTATCACTACTTACTTTAGTGATGATTGAGGGTCTCAACGCCAGAATCTAAAGCTAGGTGGTGTAAGTAAGGCATGCTCTAGCACCTGGGGGAAGTTTGATGATAGCAGCGGCTATATTGCTATTATAGCGGCGCTTAAAATTTTGCCTCACATCAAAACAGGGGGAAACCCTCGCAAATTTTTTTTAGGTCAGCGGAGTTTTCAAGCAATCTGATTGGCTAAGAGGTTGAAGCAGCGAAGGGTTACAACTAGTTGATTTCCTATTGATCTGTCATTTATCATGCTATAGTTTTTGTAATAAAAGGGTATCCAAATAGTTAAAGTTTATATTCTTCTTTATTCAAAAGTATGATAAGGTGCAATCACTTGATTTAGCATCTATCAAACAGTTCTATAAGAGCGATGTTCTTTAAATTTATTTATGTGGGGAAGAAACTATCTGTAGAAATGTTTACTAATACCTTGCCCTTAATTGATTGAGAGTCCCAAATTAACTTATACCCTAGCCTATAAATCCCAGTACAACTTAGCATGTCGTTCTTAGCAGGTGCTCTATGAAACGATTTGCTCTTCTGATCTCAATTATATGGAAGCACAAACACCAAATTTTCTTCAGCAACAAGCACGGGTAGTAGAAGCGTTAAAACATTTGAGTACAGGCTAATCAATGAATTACCTATCAGAGATATAAAGAAGTTACCCAGCATTTACCGTAATGTTCGACGCTGGGTTGTCGTTTCGGGAAGATTACGAAAATCTTAACGCTACGTGCCATGGAACAAAGCACGAGCTACGGTATATTCGGGGCAGTACCTTCAATAATTGCCACGCATGTCATCAGGATAATCCTGGAGAAGTATTTGGCGGCTGGCATACTTTGACAAATATGGAGGAAACCAGCACACAGATATATACAGCATTCGTATTGAATTGTTCAATAACATCTGTCAACCATCTAAACTTACTATGACTCAATGCCTCGCACATTAAAGGGTGCTTACGTTTATCTTTGGCAATGGCGTATTTTACCAATAGCCTCAAAAACTCGCCTCAACTAAAGTAATTGACACTCTTATACACCAGTGTAAGCCTAGATTGCTTGCAGGTATTGTGTGATTACTGCTCCAAGCTACAGACAATTAATTTGACTAATGTGAACCTGTCGATAAATTCATCGAGAAGCCCAACAACAACAGACACAGCTAGTCATCTCAGAGCATCGATTTTGTGCTTTGACGCGAGCGGCAATACCATGATTGATGTTGGTAAAAATTATAGCTACAAGTTTCATTACCGGAGCCACCAAATGAAGAGCATTAGAACAAACTTATTCCATCACCAGCACAGACCTATCAAATTTATAGAAAATAGTGGTATCATTGAAACGAATGAGTTATATACTATCAACTAAGGTGGTTCCGATCTACCTCCCAGGGCAGAAAAGGATCTGCACAACAACCTCATTGTTGTGTGTGATAAACAAAAATTTAGATCCATGCTAAATACTCTAGCGTTAACAGTCTATAAGCTCTTAAATAGATCAGCGATTGTTGCCTAGAGCTGCAAAACTTGACACCACTTGAGGTGGAATTTCAAGGCAACCAAGGGCGCAAACATCGCCGCGCATATATTGGCCCAGTTTTCTCCTTGACTGATGTATTCCGCACACTTGTGCATTGAAGAAACACGTGCTAAAGAGCATCACCATCGCCATGAGCAAGGAACTTCATTGCATTGAAAAAATCAACATATCTGGATTGTATCATGTATGCATTGATGAATTCGGGGCGGCGTACAGCTTGTATAACTTTATTTCCAACCATTGCCTATACAGTAGATACAAATTATTACTCTTTATGGTTTTGCAATGACCAATGCACCAAACGACTGTTGGCCCATCTCGGGTCTTTCAGTTGATAAGCACACAAGTCGAGTCAACCCCTCGATTGACTTTTATGTGCCAATTAATCAGGATGGATGGCCAAATTGTTACAGCAACGAAAACAGCTACAATAAGAAAGCACAAAAGAAAAAAAAACACATCCAGATACTTCATCATCAAGAGTGAGAATCGCATGATGCTTTGAATACCCATCTCAATAATTTTTATCTTGGAATGAGCTCTTATCTAAAAAGGAATCGTACCTATGACTTGTTGATCTAAGAAACAAGATGGTCATTTGAGAGGCTCTCTAAAACTGTAATAAACAGGATTTTCATGCTTATCATCTCATTCATATAAATTGGATTTTTCTTGGTTGTGCCTTTATGCAAGAGATATTAGACCCAATATTAATGCAAATTACATCACGCTTCTAATGCATACCTTACCTCATTCAATGGTAAATACAAGAAAATGATGAGGGTATACATTACAAGGCCCAGTTATAAATAAACGAGGGAATTTACAAAGGTCAGTGCTCCCTGTAAAGCAGTGTAACACTTCTTAAAAGGCTAAATCATGAATGTTAAACAAAAGGGAATCCGTCCGAGTATTGACCCGGTCACTATTATAGATAACATCATGGGGAAGCGAATGCTAATAGACTGATGCATTCAGGCACATAAAACAGTTGAATATACCCAAAGGCAGTTATACATGTATGAGCACATGTGGGACACCCTGATACATTTTATATAATACAAAGGAAAAAATCATGATATACTCAACGATAATACACTTTTCAACAAGCTTTTGAGTAATAATAACAACAAAATCACGTTGTACCATTTTATGGTACAGAAGATCACAGGGTAGATTCTTCACACAAGAGAAGAGGGTGTAACCTGCGTTTTTTAGTAGTTTATGAGATTGTATTTGAGCTACGTCAATATCTATGTATTCACCCTTTGAAGAAAAAAACAGAGCAATTGCTACCTAAACAAAACATATATGTATTATGCATAATATTAGATGATACAGTTCAGATTGAAATTATGGCGGCTAGATGTATAGGAACAAGAGAGTGAGGGGTGAGGGGATTTGTTTGTGTGTGTGTGTGTGTGTGTAGTAAATGTACACACTAAAATAAGCTGCGTACCTGTGTGTACACAACTCCACTCTTCCCATGACAATGTCTGTACTTTCCACTTTTCTGATATAAAAAGATCAACCATTTTTCGAGTTTCCCTCTCTTTTCTCCTGTTCTTACATTACAACATTTATGCATTCCTAACTTTTTTTTTATACATATTATTATACCCCTTCATCCTCCATTTTATATACATATACACAAACATCATGTCCATTGTAAGCTCACCTCTGTTGAGATCCACATCATTTGATATCTTGAGCAGCAAAAGAATCGTAGAGCCAAGGACAAGCACATCACTGCGAAGATCGTCCTCTGCTTCATCGTCATCCTCATCTTCCTCCACATCAGCAAATTCAGTAGACAAAAAGTACTCTTACCGAACTTGCCCAATGTGCTCTGAGCGTCTGCTGGTTAGAATTCACGGGGCCTTTGTACACAAATGGATCAATCTACACTTTGCCAACAGACATCATGAATGGATGCATGTTGTGGTGAATCTTCACTAAATAACAAAAATCACCTCATCTTCCCCAAAAATTACCCTGTATATATTACTTATTCTCATTCACACATCAGCAGTTGCAAGAAAAAAAAAAGTTTGTGCACCATTTCATGCAAACACAGTCTAAATTCCCTTTCCTCTTACTGTAACTGTACTACTACACAGAGCAATAAATAAAAAAAAAAATCAGTTTTTCCGAATCTTGTATTCTATAAGCTGTTGTGTGGGTTTCAGCAACATGCCACGAAGCCAGAGCCGAATGGGGTTAGTTATCTCCTTAAACAAGCAAAAACGTGCAATTGATTGTTTATATTTATTTAATACATTAAAATGAAATTTATTCCTCTTCCTGATATTTCTGCTCATAATTATTTGGCGCTTGTGTTTGTTGTTGTACAGTGTGAGATGGTGGTAATGGTGAAATAGGTGCAGGTGCAGGAGGAGAACTTGGCTGTTGTTGTTGTTGATGATAGGGCGCCTGTTGTTGTGCGACATGGTCTTGTTGAGAATGGGCTGATCCTCCATATTGAGAGCCACCACCATAGTGAGAAATGTTGTTGCTGTATTGCTCTTCCTGTTGCTTGTAATGCTGGGCCAATCTTTCCTTTTCATCTTCAGCAGAGCAAGTACCTCCAGGCACTGTGTTGGTAGTGGGAATACGAAATCCACCAGCATCGACTCTTTGTCTTTGTTGCTGACCAATGCGAGGATCTTGGTTGAATTGCTGCTGGAATTCAGAGTAAGGTCGATGAGCATGATGTTGCTGACGCTGGCTGACTTGACGATACAATTGTTGGTAGTTCACTTGACTGTACATCATGTTGGTGGGATCATAGAAACTGCTGTCTTGGTGGTATTGATGTTGAGGGTTAGACCAAGGATTGTGTTGATGAGGTGGCGAGAAGTGCTGTTGTTGTTGCTGGTGCATTGGTACAGGAGAATCAGTCAAATTGATATAACTGGGATGAGGCGAGTAAGGTTGTTGTTGGTGATGCTGGTGAGGAGCAGGAGGAGGCGCATTGGCATGTGCTTGATAAGGTGAATTGAAAGACTGGCTGGTATACTGAAGCTGATGTTGATGAGGTGGTAAATGAGCATCTGCGTTCAATGGTGAGGCAGAAGATTGAGCAGGAGGCCCATCGTAGGCAGGAGGAGGAGCATCATACAAGTCAATTTTATCCAAGTCAATTTCGGTTTCTGCATTGGTCTTTAGATCACCAGTGACAGACGTAATTTCATTTGTTGTATAACCTGAAGGTTGAGAAGGAGCATCGGGCGTGCTTGGCGTAGGTACCACAATGTTTTCTTGCGTAGGTCTTCTTGGTGGCAGTTCAGGTGGAATCTTGCTGCTCGATCCAGCAGCATCAGTGTTTGTTTTAGCAGCATCATCCACAGGTGACACGGGTGATTTTCCTTTCTTGTTATCTGCATTGTTGGCTAGTGTGGGACGTTCATCTTCCGCGCTTGGCTTCCAGTTGTCCAAAGCATTCACAGCATCCGCAAAGATAATTGCAGCTTCAGGGCCGTTCTTGTAAGGGTTGCGATGCATCTGCGCAGGAGGCGTAGGTTCAATCTCGATCAAATCAGTCAAGTATTTACCGAAACCAGCAATCAGGGCAGTTTTCTCAGCGTATTCACTCAAAGCATTGAATCGAATATAAAAGGCTTCCTTGAGCGCAAATCGCTTGAAATCAGCCAAGTCCATCTCGCTCTCCAGTGTGTCGTGTGCTAAAGATTTCAATTCTTGTTGAAACTCGAGCAGTTTGGGTGATTTTGGGCTGGTCTTGCTCAGGTTCAAGATGCGGGATTGAAGTGAGCGCTTCTTTTCACGTTGATCTGATAGTTTTTCTTCTCGATCGCGGATAGATTTCACAGCATGTCGATATTGCTGATACTTAGCTGTTTCAGCATCAATAACCACTCGCATTCGTCATATTGGATACTCAACTTACCAGCATACGCTTGATCGATTTCGTGTTGTTTATCAAACAAACGACACAGCTTATCGCCCACAATATCCTAACATAGCACGATCAGAAGGGTTATCCTTGTAGATGCGGTGCTTCATCCTTACCTCCAAATCACGCCCGTTTTCCCGTTTCTCTTCGTCCACTTCCTCCTTGACCCACTGTTTCAGTGCCTTGTTGGTTTCAGAGCGCTCATAGGCCATGGTACGCATGGAAGCCAGATCGTTTCGTTCCTGAAAGATCCAAAGCGACAGCGTCTTGGTGTCTTGCTTTTGTAAGGGGTTGTTCTTGGCGAGTTGTGAGCTCACGTCAGCCTTGAATTTACCAATAGAGAACTGCAAGTCTTTGAAATTCATTTTACTTATTCACAACAAAAAAAAAGAAAAGTGAAAAAGACACACTAATCAAAAGAAAGGACATTTTATTTTATATGGAAAAGAGGCATTCAAGGGAAGAGCTATTAATAGAATCCCAAATGTCCAAGCCAACATCTTATATGAAATGAAACTACGTCATTTGGGTGGTATTGTAGAGATTCTCCATGGACTTGGCCCAAAAAGAGTAGACAGGATTCTGTTCAAACTAAGGCACTCTACTGCCATTGAACTTATCTTGAGGTTTATGAGTGACCTGAAAGGAAGCAGACTCATAGACACAGGCTTGATCAATACCAACGCGCTTTACCATGAGGTAATAGAGACAAAGTCCATCAGCGTCATCGACCTAAAGAGGAGGCATGACAGAGCCAGTGCTGCCCTTGTCAAGCAATGCTAAACTAGTTAATACTTCACATCTACATAGCAAAACGGCAGACGCTAGATCAATTAATGAAATACCAAATCTTTTATACCGTATACCATACAGTACTTGAGATGGCAAATTGATACCTAACAAATACAAGCTTCTCGTCTATTAGCGTGTCCTTCGAGTAGTGTCATGTTGACGGACATGTATACAGCTACCCTTAAACATTAAATGTTACCAGGCTTACTCGACAAATGATCAAATGCCAGAAAACTCAGGCCATGCACCCAAGTCGGCAAGCTCGCTTCTTGATGCATTGTATCAGGCTTACATGCCCTTTATGTTTTGATATGATGCCAAATTGCAGCGTCATGGAATTTTGAGCATTTTTCATGATATTAAACACTTGGTACTCTTTCGCCTTGATATCAATGGTGATTTCTATCAAGGAACGAAAAATACTCTACTAGCCATGAACTGATTATACTCAAGATTTTATTAATTATCTTCATAAAACTCTTCTACAGGCTTTAACTGATATGTATAGCTAGGGTCATTAACAACATATAGGGCACTACCAGTGACATAACTCTTGTAAGGATTTTGAACAACCAGGAATGGTACGGACTCATAGACACAATGGACAGCCTGGCCAACATAGTTTACCATGATTCGGTAATGATACAATCCAGTAATGTCGTTAGTCTCAAGAGGGAAAAAGACAGAACCAGTATTATCCTTGTTATACAGTGCTGCACAATCAAGGTGTTAGCATGCAAATGTTTACCTACACATAACGCCAACACACTTACTGATATTCTCGCCAATGACATGGTGGTTATGTTGAGTAGAGTTCAAGACACGAATACGGGTGATGATGTTAGGCGAGTTTGGGATATCTTCATCCACAGTCCATTTCAGGTACTGATGCGAACCAGCTTCAAACCCTAAACCTGGCGAGGTTGGATAGTCGATACGGAAACCCTTACAGTAATCTGGATTGACTCGAGGCGGATTGTAGCCATACATCATCAGGGCTTCTCCCGTCTCAGCTCGGCGTTCATTATGAATGCTCTTTGCTGCTGATGTTGTTGCTATGGCAACGGTAAATGTAGCTAAAAGTGCTAAAATATATTTCATTTTCCTAGTATAAATAATTGCTTCTAAACACAGTTCTTATTGTTCTTTTTCTGCCCTTCTTTTATACTTGATTTGAATTGGGACTGACCAAAGCATTCTCTGCTGTAAGTATGTTTACTCTGATGTGTTTGTCTATCTGAATCAAAAATGTTATGCGATAGCATCCATCAGGGCAATGGTCTTTCATGGAAGCAAGCGTCTTGCTAATCAAATAGCGGGTAGGAATTGAAGCATTTCATTATTGTTTACCCTGGCACTATGTCCAACGAGCCAATACTGTCACCAAAGCGTCGAGTTTATGAAACATTGTGTTGTTTGAGACCAATTCATTATACATTCTTAGGCTGAATCATACTGGATACACCGTATGGCTCAATAACCAACGCCACACGATTTCTGCTCTCCGAAATTTCAATATGCTTTACAACAGACACTTGATAGACTCGATTCTTTTTTTGTTTCTGATACAATACCATGGCACGAGTTACGCGCGGCATATCGTTAGAAGAATGGGAAGAAAAGACCAAGTTGACAGAAAAAGAAAAGCAAAGCGTGTATGATTTGCAAGATGCCTGTACAGAATTACCACTTCCTTCCAACTGGGTAAGTGACAGAAGGAAGCTTGCATTATACAGTGGTTCATCTTTCGTTTGTAGTACTTGAGCGACAAATTGTTTGGATCACCATCGCTAAGCAGCAACATGTCGAATTCCTCAGGCGGATTAACGCCAGAACAAGTACCTGCATCAGCCTCCAGTCCACTCAACCCACACGTCCTTGCGTCTCGTCTACTGGCAGGCAGTAAGTCTCCAGTGCCGATAACACGCACCTTATCCACGGCCAACTTACTGGCAGAAGCAACAGCAGCAGACACAGCAGCCGAGAAACAAGTAGCGAGTGAGATTGGCAGCGAGAAACCTGTCGAGACACTGCAAGAGTTCTTTGACTGGTTTGCAGTGATGGAATCTGAAATGGAAAAGGGGCAAGAAGATATCTACCGCAATCATCTGTCCATAGTGGAATTGTATCAAAATGCATGCGATGAATTTTTACGGGACCTCAAGGCAACATGCCAGCTGTTTGATGACTTGGAAAAGGATTATTCATTCGTGGATATCAGAACTCGGTCTATACAAACAGCGTGCGAGACACTGCTGGAGGAACAGCATCGATCTACTCGACTGGCAGAAGGGTTGGCAGAGAGATTGACCTATTTCAATCAGCTGGAGCCTATTGCAAAATTGTTTAATTCGCCAGGTGACGATATTTGCTTGCAGCCTGATTTCATCCCTATGCTGGAGAAGTTGGATGAGTGTATACAGTACATGCAGGATCATGTAAGTCGAGTCGTGTCAATAGGCCCATATACACTATCTGATGGATGTACTTTTCGTACAGCACACTTACCGTGATTCTGAACTTTACTTGATGCGCTTCAGGCAGTGTATGACTCGAGGCATCACACTAATTAAAATGTACGTGGTATCGACGCTCAAGACACTGGGATACGATGTCTACAAACAAGTCAACACCAAGGATGCCACAATGGGAAAGCAGATTGCCATGTATTACGTCAAATTCAAGACCATTGCACCTACTATCCGCTCATTGACAGCACAGGTAGAAAAGAGATGCAATCACAAAGAGTATCAGTCATTGTATGAGGACATGCTGCATGCTTATTTCCAGACAAGACAGCAGCTACTGAGCCCGCTCATCTCGAGAAAGATCCAGCAACTGAGCCCTAGTGATAAAGATCTGCTTGATTTTGCAAAGAATGGATGCGCTTACATGATGAGTCTTTGCTCGGACGAATACAATTTATTTTACAACTTTTTCCAGAAAACAGGCGAGCAAGCGCTATAGTAAGTGTCTGTATGAGAGTTGTGGCGTGTTTACTAGCTCACCAATTGAGTGATAGCAACTATTTGGACCTACTGACAAGCCATTTATACGACTATCTTCGACCGCGCATTATCCACGAAAACGACATTGTCACACTATCTGAACTTTGCAATGTATTTTTAATGTACGTGATGCAGGATGAAAACGATCTCGGTGAGTTTAATGGTGGATACAGCCAAGAATAGCACTAATAGACTTGGATAACAGTGCTGGGTATTATGGATGACAAGAACGAGGTCAAGTTTGGCCATTTGATACAAAATGTGCTGGAAGATGCTCAGGGCAGACTTGTATTCAGGGCGCAAATGTTTATCCACAGCGATATCCAGAACTATCAACCAAAACCACAAGACTTTGAGCATGTACGCCAACAAAAGGATCAACAGCATGAAGATCCAGACAACAAACAAAAGACATCTGTCGTATTGGATGCCAACATGACGACGACTACAGCAACACTCGCTATTTCCGAAGAGGATCACTCAGATACACATTCCATTCGATCAGCCAAATCGAACTTGCTTGCAGACGGCAATGACGAATCCACTGGATGGTTTCCTACGCTACAAAAGACATTGTGGGTCTTATCAAAGCTATATCGATGTGTTCAGGTACAGTGCATTAAGCCGTGGTCGGAGTATATGAGAGACTTAATGCAGTACTAGAATGGGGTATTTGAAGATTTGGCCCAGGAAGCTGTATCTCTTTGCAATGAATCACTATTGAAAGCAGGCGACTCAGTAGCTACACTGAAATCACGGCTTGACGGCGAGTTATTTTTAATTAAAAATTTGCTCGTCCTAAAAGAACAATTGGCTCCTTTCGAGGCTAATTTAGTTCATGCAGGAAAAACGCTTGATTTCTCTCATGTATCAGGTACAGGTCAAGAAGCACCCAAACCAAATTACATCATCTCTCATGCGATTGCGTATAGATTCACTATCCTCTTTGCAGCAACAGAAATCACTCATGTTTAACCCAAATGCGCTTATTGGATTGGCTCAAAAGGGCATGCCTCGTGTAGTGGAGGTCAGCCTTGATTCAAGACGAGAAATCGACTTTCAGATCAAGAAAGTGTGTGAGGAATTCATCAATGATTGCGTGGATGGAGCAGTAGAGCCTTTGACTGCATTCCTAATCAAGGTAATTGGATTTAGAGGTAATTTTACCTGTCAATCGTAAGATTCACATAAGTACATAGTTATCGGCTATTCTACCATCAGCAGTACTACCTAAATCACCAGATGGACAGAATTCACCTGTGCAGAAATTGAGACAACGTAAGTGATGCAACTCAACTACTCATGACATACACGGCTCACTCTACTAAAAAAAAAAAAAAAAAAAAAAAAAAAAAAAAAAAAAAAAAAAACAGAGGACGTTCAAGAGGCCACGGATCAATTCATGGAAGCCGTCGAAGAGCGCATTCGATTTGTGATAAAGAAGCTACGAGAATACGTCAATGACCAAAAGATGGAGCAAATTCTGCTGAAGCCTATAGAGACGAGTATTGTAGAGCAATACAAATCATTTTTGATTAGAGTTGATATAGAATCAAAGGAAGGCGGCCGAATTGAAGTGCTGACACAAAAGCCAATGTCTGCTGAATCCGTGGCAGTTTGGATATCTCAAATAAAAGAGCAGCAGGCTTAATTATTATTGACAATAGTCTACAAATGCCTTGGCTTGCTTGACGTATTAGATTCTTTGCGAATTGCACTAGTTACTTGTGAGGTGAAAAAAGGAGTTTTATGCACTGTAATAATACAACAAAATTGCCACAATGTCATTATATCATGGCCCTCAGTCAATGTCTGTCTCCATAGTATCATGGCGCACTATATTTCAATCTCTTCCTTAAAGTTGACAACGAGAATTGATGGCTGCTCTATACAAAACTCGTTGAAGCATGCAATAATGGAACTGGATGATTTGACCATGAATCGCAATTGACCGTGGCCAAGACATCAGTTAGAGGTCAACCGGTTTAACCTAATCTGCCGCTTTTATTTTTAACGATTACCGCTTGATTCACCTTTGTACAGTTATGGCTGAAATAAACTGACGACAATAATAATCAAACTGATCCTCGGTTCAAAATATAAATTGTGATTCTTTATTTGAGCAAGAATTCCTTAATATGAGAGATCAAGAGGAACCTAGAACATTTGCATGATTTTGTATTAATAATACTTCGGTTGAAAAAAACATTTAACTAATAAATTCAATCAAAAGGAGTGGTTTCTATTGCTGACGGTTCCATATTAAGAAAAATTATATGTTTATGTGCTCATGTACAGCTTGGGATGATCAGTTTCATCTGTTTACATATCATCCTAAAAAAAGGGGGACCAAGGAAGCAAGGTAGCATCGGACTCACTGTTTTCATGTCTATAAAAGATAACTGCATTGTATCCGTGTTTGATTTATTCTCATTTCTCTCTCTCTCTCTCTCTCTTTCTGCTCTTTCAATACCAACTAATGCTGCTAAAACCGTCTATATACTATGGTTTGATATCACTATTTGCTCAATTGGCTTTGGCAGAAGAACATGAAGAAGAAGAACATGGAATGGATCCCAAGTCAGTGGAATTCTGGGGCCAAATCATAGCTATTTTCTTTCTAGTAGCTCTCAGTGGCATTGTTGCAGGTATGTTGCTGAAATTACATAGAGAACTGGCATTTGTATACTAACTTGTTTTTGATAATAAGGCCTTACGCTTGGCTTGGTAAGTAATCATAGACAATCCTCGTAGACATCCATGTATATTCATGCAGCAGCAACACTCCTAGATGTCATTGGATACAACAAACCTATCAATTCTGGAAATTGCAGGTACACCTCAGCAGCAATATTATGCTTCTCGTATCATTCCTATACGCAAAAATGGACACATTCTACTAGCAACCTTATTATTGACTAATACCGTGCTGAATGAGACATTGCCCATTTTGTTTGACGATATCTTTAGTAAAGGCTTCATCTCTGTGATTGTGTCCACCGCATTGTTGGTTCTATTTGCAGAGATCATACCGCAAGCTATCTTTTCAAAGCATGGTTTAGCCATTGGCGCAATGTTTGCATTTCCCGTGAGGGTACTCATTGCTCTTTGGTTTGTCATTTCATGGCCCATCTCCAAGTTTTTGGACCATCTTCTAGGAACACACACAGGGTTTACATATGGTATTGCTGGTAAGTATCAAGCAGAAATAGCTTACTTGTGCATGTGCTGATATGTTGAATGTAAGAATTTGGAGCATTGGTCAAACTCCATGACAAGTCTATCTATGATAATGGTACCCTCAAACATGAAACTGTCAATATGCTTCAAAATGTACTGGACATGCAAGAGAAACACATTAGTCAAATAGTGACGCCTACAAGCAACACGCTGATGCTACATAGCAGCACTAGTTTGAATTCATCTACTGTTTTGCAGTACTTGAGCAGCGGATACTCTCACATACTCGTGTATAGCAATGATGAGAAAGAGCAATTGGACACTATTCAGGATGACTACGAGATCCTTGGCGTTCTAGATCTTAGGGTAAGCAATCTTACCGCTGCTATAACCGATACTCATTATTCATGTGTGTAGTCATTGCTTGATTTAGAGCAAACCGTGTTTGATGTGCCTATTGGTAGCATGAAGTTTCAGCCTTATCTGACAGCCTCATCGAGAACGCCCATCATTGAGGCAATGAACAAGTTGCTTCAGGCCGAAAAGTAAGTTGCCTTTATACCTATCTACCACGAGAAACTCACATTCGATATGATAGTGAAACGGTTGTATTGGTTTATCATACAGAGCAGGATATCGAGATTGCCAAGCAAGAACAAGACGAGAACTTACGTGCTCTTGCATCAATTCAAGCGGGTGCAATTAAAAAGCATGCAAAGAGTATCCGGTGTGCCATTAGACGGTTATTTGGAAGCACATGCCCAGTATGTCAGAATCTCTCTAATGCATCGATACCAGCCATGGCCATCGCTGTCAGTGGCAGTCAGAAGTTGGAGGAAGGCACCATGCTGGAAAATACTAATAATAGCACTACACCAACCATGATTGACACTGCATTGGAATCTGGTCTGTTGGGCATCGTTACCACTGTCGATATTTTAAATCAGTTGTCGTTTACTAGACAGCATTTGAATATCCAACATCAAGATAGTGGCCACTTGAATGCTCGCCAAAACGCTGCAAAGATCGTATAACTCACCCCTTTATCAGCAATGCTTTATACATACTTATTTAATATCATAAATGTCCATAAAACTTTATCATATATAATATACATAGGCTCAATAAACTCGTTCATCGTTTCAAAATTGGTAAGGCTCTTGATAATACACTTTTTGTGTATAAAACACTTTGGTATCTGCGCATTCAATGGTGAAATAATTGGGCTTGTCTAGGTTCATTTGTACTCCATTACTGTCGATTGGAACATATTCAAATACTGAATCTATGTTGGGTCGTTGTATTTCAAACCATGTCTCTGCTCCCTCCTCATCCACATGTCGAATGTAAGGACATGAATACTCAATAAACACCTCGACACCACTCATCTCTGTGTGATCAAATAGCCTTAGACTGACTTCACTCTCGTGCGGATCGTAGTTCCATTGTCCATGTAGTTTCACATATTGTAATTTCAGGCAGCATGTCGAAATATAGTTGCAAGGACTGAACAAGGTGCCATCGTTTTCATTCATGAAGCTTTCAAAGGTGCACTGATTGAATACCATGCTTCTGATGCGATGTTGTAATGTCTCTTCTTTATCCACAGTAATGAAAAAGCCTTGAAGATCAAGCTTCTCCAGATGTTCTAATCCGTTTAGAAGCACATTCAAAGGTAGCATTGTAGACTCATAGTAGCAATCATCCTCTTCAAATGATATTTCCTCAATTCGATATCCAAGGTTGTTGATCGTCAATTCAGTGAGGTTCTCTAAGTTTAATATCAAGTCGTTGAAATGATCTGGGTAATAGTTGATTTGCATGTCTACACTTTTCACAGCCGTTTTGTGATGATCACTAGTGCATATCACAACAAAACTCTCAGCGTCATCAGTGAATCCGAGCCTGAGATCCTGCTCCATCCTGATACCTTGATTGTCCATCATCCTCAGAAGTAACGGTGTTGGGCTGAACAAGTTGCATTCGAAATATTTCAATGCGGTGCAAGATGTAATCAACGAGGCAGCTTGTCCTTTGTACGTATCCTGCGTCCGGGTGGGTTCGCTATTTGCTACTAGGCACTTTATATATTCAACGTGTCTGTATTTTGCTGCAATGTATTCCAGTAAAGGCGTTCCAGCGACGATGGTGGCTGAAACAATAAACAAGTGCTTCAGTTGAGGTGCTTCTGCAGGCTCATAGTGCAAAGGTGGAATATCGTACAAGAATCTCTGCCCTGGCCCTGAAGGGTGGTTATAAATGCTGACATGATCCAATGTTAGCGAGTGCAGTTGCTGGCAATGCTGGTGCAACAGATCTAGATGTGCAAAATTGACATGCGTGTGATTCAGCGCCATTTCCTTGATAGAAGGTGCTTGCTTCAAACCGGTGAACAGATAGTTCATTCCATTTTCCAAGCTAGAGACAGCAATACTGGAGTAATTGAGCCATAGCCGGGTTAAATGTTGAAAAGGTTGTGTTGAGCAGTTGAGCAAGCATGAGGATAACATGTTTGTGCTTGCGTCTTCAATACTCTCCAATGTGTCCGACCAGCATCCTTCAAACGTATCGTTCAAACGAGCTTCATACACACTACGCCGTTGACCAACATCAAACTGTACAAATCTTCCTACACGTGGCGCAATCCTTCTTCCTTTCGAATTGATGTGATTATACATGACACTGTCATTTGTGAATAAGCGAAGATGTCTGATGTGCGGTAGAATGGAAGGCATTGGCTTCAGATGTTCGATTGGTAGTTCGCCCATAAGGCTGTATTCAAGTGTATTCACTCGTGTACTGAGATGTGTGTTTTGCCGGAAATAGTGTTTAATGCGTTTACCTTGCGTTGCGAGATCACCACAAAAGACAGTTTCAAGCAGCAGATATGATCGGTTGATGCTGTTATTCCATGATTTGCAGACTTGACAGCAGTTGAGACGATTCTCATGGTCTAAGTATTGTATAATGCATGCAAATACCTCGAATGGGAGTTTATCCATAGCTTCTTAAAAGAGAGAAATGCTAAAAAAGATGAAAACTTTTTTTTTTTTATATATATATATTTGGTTTGTAGGTGGTCGGCTGAGATTGTGATGGATCGGCAGGCAGGTCATTTTAGTTTTCATTAGATAAAAAGTAACATACGATTGAATGAAGCTCAATTGTTCGTCCTAATTGCATAAGTATTTTAAATAATGTCATCGTAACTTCAGGGGCTTGAAGCAAATCAAGTATTTGAAGTTTGCTTCGCGCTTTATTTCGTAAGTTTTTAAAGTATTCTAGAGTTATATTGTTACATTATTATCATGGTGAATTCCGTCAATTTTCCATGTCCTAACTTACTATGATATCTTCAAAGCTGACGAATACACCTGCATTGCAATGAGAACCCCCGGTTTTTGCTTTTGAAACTGTGTTGTAAATCCTCAGAGTTATTGCTAGTACATCTCTGCTATTCTAGCATTGCATTTCGTTGTTTTTCGCTTCATACTGTTCTGAATAAAAATTAATAGATTTCTGAAATTGTTCGACCTCAAAATCAAGTAATTCTAATAACAGCATTGCTTTCCAGATAAAGCAAACATAGGGTAGAATTTAAAGGAGAATTCAGTGATGCCAGCTTTAAGTACATTGATTTAAACTATTAGACTAAATTCTGGTGAGTGAGTATTTGCAATTTTTTTGGTTGTTTTAGACGGATTGCAAAGCTTCTGCCATCAGGACTTTATTTGTGGTGCTTGCCACAATGTAGAACGGACAAAATGCTATCAAATGAGCCCTAAATCAAAGCTGTAGCATGACTTTATCATGAGATATCGACAGTGTTGTATGTCTAAAAAAAATATCACCCAAACTTTTGCCTTGCTATTACAAGCCAAAGATTGATGATTTTGTACGAAGACAATTTTGGTCATTTCTTGGAAATGACGCATCGTATTTGGATAAAACAAAATCCATTCAATAGCTCTACTTTGCATCTGCTATTGAGTTAAAAATTTAAGCCTTAGATATACGTTACTTCCATGATTTTGCTCAAAACCCTGTATTCTACGGCCTTTAGGCACAAGATTTGTCAAATGATTCCGAATAAAGCCATACTAGCCACGTAACTTGATACAGAATTAAAATGCGCATCAAATAATACAACACATGTAAGTGATGCTACATAGCTTGTACACAAATAATTTGTTTTTTTCATGTATTTTGGAGGTTTTCTAAGGGAGTATGCACTGAATCTGCGCCACTTCACCTATTGTAGTGTCCATTATGTAAACCCAAGGAGGGACCATTGCTTGGGGTCTTGCTCGAATCTGTAGCATCAGTTCACATGGATCTACAGTGGTCAATAGGTCAGCCTTAGCCAAAACGTTCAAAACTGATAGCTCAAAATTAACTTTCACCGTAGTGCCATATATAAACGTTCTTGTGTGCACCAGCAGTACGCAATGCATGCCCTAGATTTATTCTATAGACTTGAGCGCCGTATGGACGTTTCCTGCGCTGTTATTAGACAAAGTCGTGTTTCTGCCACCATAAACTCCAGTGTAGGGGTGGTAAAACCGATTTTTGAAAGAAATTATTGCAGTAGGTGCTCAAACAACGACTCATTTTGTAGAGCAAACACATGGGAGCAAAATACAACTAATAGCAAAGAAGTCTGGTTGAATTGGCAGTTGTAAAGATACTAGCGTCGAAACGTCGAAACGTCGAAACGTCGAAACACTGCTGGTTATTTGTATTGGTTATTATTTTACACTTTACTCATCGCTTAATCATTTGACGACCAATGCAGCCACTAAAAATCCGTTTATATCCTTAGCAACCAACCCCCTCAAAGTGGGCATATACCATAATCGTTTCGTTTCGTTTTGTTTTGTTTTGTTTTGAAATCTCTAGCATCAACATGGGGCCGGCCTGAAACTGCAATCTCCATCCTCCTTTTGCTTACATGCTGCGCAGCACTGCTTCAAACCTTTACCAAATCACTCCAAAGCAAAATATCACCAAGCCGTCTTCACAATAACCTTTTCCAACACCTACTACTTCATTGATCTATCGATCACTCGTAATCACTTGTAATAATAAACTGCTTTCAATAGCTTTTATACATAGTTCGTTGCTCAAAATGCTTCTATTTTGAATCTCAAAATCCATTTTCAAAATCGAGTTTCAACAACAACAACAACAACAACAACAACTCATCCATTCTAGAATCCAATCACACCGTCGTTTCTCTCCTCACGAAATTTGGCTTGATGAGGAATGTGTTACTTTCAGAGCTATAACACAATATTTTAAAACTTAATTCTGGTGGATGACCCTAACATTACAATTGGAAACACTTTTGTACATTCAGAATTTAATACGAGGCTGGAAGATACCAACACATGGAATTAAAGCATGCTAGGAATTAATGATAAAGAGAATGCATATTTGGTGGAGCATTTTGTACTGAGAGTAGTGCCTGGCAGTACTTAGTATTATACTGTTGTAGTACCCATTATTATTACACAACTTTCTCCCCTTATTATACCACATAATAAATTTAAAGAACCTCGCTCTTATAGAACTGTTTGATAGATGTTAAATCAAGTGATTGCACCTTATCATAATTTTGAATAAAGAAGAATATAAATTTTAACTATTTGGATACCCTTTTATTACCAAAACTATAGCATGATAAATGACAGATCAATAGGAAATCAACTAGTTGTAACCCTTCGCTGCTTCAGCCTCTTAGCCAATCAGATTGCTTGAAAACTCCGCTGACCTAAAAAAAAATTTGCGAGGGTTTCCCCCTGTTTTGATGTGAGGCAAAATTTTAAGCGCCGCTATAATAGCAATATAGCCGCTGCTATCATCAAACTTCCCCCAGGTGCTAGAGCATGCCTTACTTACACCACCTAGCTTTAGATTCTGGCGTTGAGACCCTCAATCATCACTAAAGTAAGTAGTGATAACCAAGTGGAGGCAGCCTATCTACCTCCTAGTCTCGGATAAAGTCTTGTTGAGCTTCAGGGATAGGCACATCCACACAACGTAAAAAAGGTATGCTTCAAAGAAACATCATAGTAATAATAAAAGAAAGAAGAAAAGAACATACTACTGTACTATAGAAATATAGTATTAAGTAGGCAAAAAAGGAAGACCCACACAAAGTGAATCAAAGAAGAGCATAACCAACATAACATAAAGGTGTTCAAAAAAGCTCGTTTTTGTTGCAATAACAATATATACATGAGCAACGTGCATGGTAGTAATAGTCGGATGTAAAGCAACAAGGCACAAATACACACAACTGCAAAAGCAACAGTGGTATTATAAGTTTGCAATACAACATAATGACTAATGTTGTTTCATGAAAAGCTACAGAGGAAACACTACCAACAAAAGAAAAAGAAGAAGATAAAAAGCGCAACAAGGCAAACATTATGAATGCATTATCACGAGAAAAGAAGCAATAATATAAACGTTCAAAGAAGTTTTATATTATTGCCACCAGAAGAAAGAAGATACTTACCACTTACCACAGCCACAGATACACCATAGAATACGCAATTACCAGAGACAGACCAGACAATACGCAATCACCACAGATGGACCATAGAATAAGAAATCGCGACAGATAGACCACAGGTAGACCAGAGACAGACCAGAGACAGACCACAGACAGACTACGGATAGACCATAGAATACGCAATCACCACAGATAGACCAGAGATGGACCAAAGAAATAACCACCACTGTTGATAAACCAAAGGAGCAGACATCATTAACAATAGTAGAGGAGTCATGGCAGCAGCACCCACGTCAAACAGGCAAAAGAATAATATTATCCAAAAGCTAATAATAAACAAACACTACGGCCCAACTGATGTTCTCATGAGAACATCGAGGTGCTCATATAAGAATCTATTTTATGTTCTCATTCGAGAGCATCGATGTTCCCAAAAAGTGGAAAATGCTCTCATATGGGAACATCGGCGTTCCTAAAGATCTATTATAAGTCGGCCGATGTTCTCATAAGAACATCCGAGATGTTCCCATATGAGCACATCCATGTTCTTAAATAAGAGCAAATGTAGCTGTTTATGAGCGCATCGATGTTCTCAAATCAAAATATCGATGTTCTTAAATGAGCAAATCCATGTTCTCAAATGAGAACATTCATGATCGCGCATGAACCTATCGATGAGCTGAAATGGGATCATTGAAGGTCTGAATCAGCTTAAATATTGGTAGCTTTTATTGGACCATAATTCGTGGTTTAAATATTGGCAGCTTTCATTGGCTCAGAAATTGTGGTTTAAATATTTATACATTTATTATTGGTTAATTTTAATGGGTAAACGAAGGCTACGTGCCAAAAACGTGCAATAGTAAAGCCTTGTAGTGGTAATGGTCATGCTGTAGGCTATAGTAGAGTCAAAGATAATTGAGAATAATAGCCTGGATCAGTATGAACTGTTTCGTGTTTCCCAATATTATCAGTTTTTAGGGCAATATAAAAGTGATGTTTCCAGGCGAGATCCAGAGAGAGCATAGAATGAAAAGGTTGAAGCCATCAACAGTGTTCCATGTAGAGCAACGAATTGTACAAAAGCCAGCATAATATCAAAGATGTGCATGTACCTATCAGCAAAGATGTGAACTGAATCAAGTTAGTAAAGCGTTCCAGCAAAGGCGTAATGACTACAATACCTCTTTCACAAGACAGATAGAAAGTACAGCACACCACCAGGCAGCGACTCATTGGGAGCAGACATTCTTGAAAAGAAAACATCGAACGAATGTTAATGCGTCTTATGCTGTCAGAAGAATCAGATGTATAGACCGCATCATTCAACTATGAAGCATCTGCCATTGTTCACTGGATGCAAAAGGGGATCCATAAAGTATGCAAGAGATGTGCTCAGTTATCAAGCCAAACCCGCCAGACCCACTCGACGCTGGCACTAGTCAACTTATCAGGTGAGTAACGACTGATTCTTCCTGGTGATGCAGCAAAAGATGACTTACTACTTGAACAGTGATAAGCAAGAAAGCAGATAAATGGAACCAGCAAGATGGAGGGAAACGGTTAACCAAATGGCATACTTGCGACATCGAAATTGACCTGGCAAAGTCGCCTTTACATTTCTACAAGATATTTGTTAGCTTTTATATGGCAAGAAGCATTGGACATACCATAAATTTGTTGTCTCGAAAGGGTGTAAATGAAGATTCCATCCTGGATACTATGGCAGGGATATGAAGCTTCCCACGGCGCACATTTGAAATGGTATTCCTTCTTCAATGGCATTGAAACCTAGCCTCCACCTTTAAAGCCATGGACGGTAAATGCTGCCTCTTCTTCTTGCTGCTACAGAGTACATGTCTCTTATGCTGATAGAATTAAAGTGAAAATAGATGAAAAATGAAGAAAAAAGAGAAACAAAAGCACTTTTTTCTCAAGGGATGACCTAAATATACAAAGTTTCGATCTAAAAATATAGAAACACGCTCTAATCATGCACAGTATCAGACTGATGTAACCAAATCAAGTAACTTTTTAAGCTGAAGTGACCTATCAAATGTGATTTTAAATGTGGCATCGCAGCTAATCCATCATCTCAAATCCCAATAGAGCAAGGCAGCATCAAATGTACAAAAGCAAAGTAATTTTATTTTGGATGAAATATACAAGATCTCACAAACGCACACACCATTACATATTGCTAGTAGTACTAAGGTTGTCATCATCCTCAGCATTACCAACACCGGCAGTTTGAGCAAGCTGGGCAATATCACTGTCTCCAACAATTGCTGATTCAGTCTCCTAAAAGCATTTGAAATGTTTCCAATACTTAGATGTTAGCCATGGCCAAAACAAATAATAGGAGCTACTTACCAGAAGATGGCTTCTTGCCTCGTTTTCTTGCAAAGACACATTGGCAGCAGCATTGGCAGCATTGGCAACATTGGCAGCAGCATCAGCAGCAGCATCAGCAGCAGCATCAGCAGCAGCAGCTCGGTTTCTGCTTGCTCTATTTGCTTTGAAGGCCTGGGAGAGCAACAACCTGGCACACCACTGCTTCTTGCAGAGACAAATCATGAGATTGTCCCGTTGCAGGGCCTGCTCCTCCAGTGCCAGGCTGTAATATACCTGTTCATCCTGCACATGGTCCAGGGCATTCCAATGCGAGATATTTGGATGCATCACCAGTATAGCCTCCAAGACCCTCTTTGCTGTGCGGTGGAGCTTCTCCCTGCGCGATTTGAGCTGCCCTGGTGTCAAATCGGGTACAGATGCCCCATTGCATAGTTTGTGTAGATGCTGGAGCATTGCGTTGTATCTCTCCACAGGAGAAGCTCTGGCCCTGCCGGTAGGGTTTGCTTCAATTACCCGAGGACCTCTTCTGTTGCTGTTTGATAGTACCTGGCTTCTGTAAGTGGGATCCAGGATGCTTCTTGTTGCCAAATCGCTGCCTGCGTCTTCCAATGGCGACATGAATTGCTGTCGAAATCCATCATTCAAGACGTTCAGTTGTACGCCTTGTTGGCTGATTTCGGATCTCATTGCCATCATTTCTTGCAAGAGTCTTGCGGTGAAGTCAATGCTGGCAGCGTTGTTGTTGTTGTTGTTGTTGTTGTTGTTGTTGTTCATGGTTCGCGCTGATAATAAAAATTTAGTAAGCAAAGAAAAGATATGTTTAGAGTTGTGTTATACCGTATATCTCGTTGCGCACACACCACCACGTTGTTGAACGTCATTCGGTTCACAGGCTTCATGCAAGTAATGCTGACCTCATTGTACGCCCATAGTATAAGCATATGTGCACAGTGAATACCACTCGATTTGACATGATGTTGAAAGTGAAATGACGTAGAAGTAGCCTGAGGCGACATATCACATCATAGGAAACACGTTCCTTACTTGATCTTGGACTTTGAGTTACCAAACGTTATATGCAAGACTACGTATCACTTGCTTGTAAACGATGATAAACGCATTTGTTGGCGAGCGCAAATAAAACTTGAATTAGTATATAAAGCTGCCACTTGAAATTTGTTTTTACTTGCCTATTTTTCTTGGTTTCTCCAAACATGTCATTCTCAATCCGTATATCACGAGAAACAGAGCCATCCTTCTGTACAAATTGCTATACCAGCTTTGACAGTGCCCGTGCTCTACGCAACCATCGCCGAAACTGTCGTGCTCCCATTTTGAATGAAGATCAAGATGTTGAAATGGAAGAGCAACCTCCAATGGAAACAACGCTGATACAGCCACAATCTCCCCCCAGTGCGCTAGTCACAGCCAATTCAGATCATGCAAACCAGCTGCATGATGATGATGCCATGAGTGATATTGAAGAAATGATTCCTGCTGCTGACGATGCTGATTACGACTACGCAGGCTTTGAACAGACGCCGGGTGCTGCTGATCTGCTGCCTATTGTCGATAATAATGGTAAGGAATTGCAGCGCTAAAGTAGATGTATATACTCACAATAGCGGATTCCACACATGCGATAACAGGAGACAATCCAGAAGAACCAGGGCTTGAATTTGATTTGCTAAATGTCAAATACAAGACAGTTGGAGTAGTCGACCCAGATGCAGAAGATCAGGCTTGCTTCTACGATTGCAGATCCCTCGAAGACATCAACCAAAATACATATACAACCACAGAACTGGTTTCGATTGAGCTGTATGATATCGTCAATGATTTTGCTATACCACGGGATGCATACAGAAAGTTGGTCAGGTTGATGAACACTGTTTTGAGAGATACAGAAAAAATTAGTCGAGGTAATTCGCATTGCAATGACATGTCATTTATACAATAACTCACCAGCTTCCGATCCTCCCCCTCCCATGAACTGATAGAAAGCAATCCGGAGATTATGCATGGCCCTCGTGTGCAAAGCATGCTTCAGCGCCAATCATCGTTGACATCCCATGAATATGATGTGTGTATCAATGGCTGTAAGCTGTACGCATTGGAAGTAGATGACGAGGAGACAATTTGTGATATTTGTTCCCATGAAAGATACGATGCACGGGGAGATCGTCGAGCCCTGTCAACAATGAAAGTCATGTCAATTGGAGACATCGTATCACGATTAGTTGCGAATCCAATAACGAGAGAGGAGCTTCGGTACCGACATGCCTACGACAACAGAGACCTTGAAGAAAATCCATCCGATGTTATCATTGCTGACGTATTTGACGGCGCCACGTACAAGTCCATCAAGAATACGCATTTCACAAATGACCTGGATATCGCAGTTGCGATCATGAATGATGGCTTTGTAGTTGAAAAGAGAGGTGATCGGCTATTCACAATTATTCATCTGATGGTGTTCAATTACGATCCACACAAGCGTTACAAGGAGGAGTACACGCACGAGCTTTGTATCTTTCCAGGAAAAAAGAAGCCCAAATCATTTGACTCGTTCATTTCCATCATCTTGGCAGAGCTCCAGTGGCTTTCTACGTATGGAATGGTAGTCGAAACAAATGATGCTGGGCCAATTCGTTTGAAGGTTCATCCTCTAATTTGTGGTGGTGATACTCCAGGTAATTATCCTGATTGATAAAGCAACTAATCAGCATCCACAATGGCTAACATGAAATTGATTTACCTACCTGCTTTATTCTAGCCGTGTTTGACTGGAGCAAGTGTGCTCATCATGCATCTGAGTATGGCTGTCGTTGGTGTCTTTCGCGTGGTATGCACCCTGATAATCGCAGCCATGGGATGTACTTTCCAAATGCTGGAAGCATGCGTACGAATGAAGATTACGAGAGGGCTGAGTCCAACCTTGGATTCAACGGTGTTAGCCTTTTCAATCAGCTATCGTCATGCATTGCACCCCAATGCTTTGGATTCGAAGAAATGCATACATTAGCACGAGGTGTTGGTTCAGAACTCTTCGAGATGCTCACTGTCGACCTGTCTCCGAACAACACAAAGTTCTTCTACACATATCCAGATGGTGAATTGGAGCGAGAAAATTATCCATTTTTCATTCCAAAGCAACGGCTGTTCGAGATTGGCAAAGCAATTGAGGACACAAGATCATATATACCAGTTGCATTTGATGGAAGCTTTTTGAATCTGGTGGAGAAGCTACGAGGCACCCGCAGTGTTGACTATCTTGATAATTTGCTGGTAAGATCAGTTCCACTGTAATCTGCAAACGTACACATGTAAGGCGTGAATTAGGATCTGATTATTCTGATTTGAAATAGACCATCATACCTACTCTCTTTGTCCCAGAATTAGCCAGTCCACAGGCTAGGAAAGCAATCATGAAGCTGGTTAGAGGCGTCTGTCTTGCATTGCAATGGGAGTTCACTGAGTCTAGGTTGGCAGAGATTGATGAATGCATTGACTTCTTCATTGACTACTGCAAAGCTCAGAGAGATGCCATGTGCTTGTCACTTTCGGTCTTCCGTCCCGTAATGCATCAGCTTACACATGTAGTGTGGATGATAAGAGAAATGGGGCCAATTGTAGCCTACTCCTCACGAAGTCAAGAACGGTTAGTCATCTATACATGCTATGTTTATCACACACATCCAGTTACTTACATAACAACATCATCCATTTTACAGAAGCATTGGAAAGTTTGGTGATTTGATAACTGGCAAGTCAAGGACAGGCAAGCAATCTTCCAACTTGATTGAAATTGTTGCAATCAGAAACCAGCTGAAAAGGATCTTCGACTCAAATGAGTTCCTCCAAGGCATTCGACCGCAGCCATATGCATCCATCACATACCTCAATCATCCAGAATCTCTAACAAGCTCACAGTTGTGGGAACCTGATCAAGAAGAGACAAATTTGGATCATCATTTTGGCTTCGATGGTACTGATCGTGCTGAACTCCATGGTGTTCCAATTGCAAGATTCAAGCGTGCTTTGTCGAAATACTATTGCAGGATATTCTCTCTTCAAAGGCTGAACAGTCCATTGTCAATGACGATCAAGGTTGCCCATCGTGCTCTAATCGGTTCTACTGTCATAGGATCAGAAATATACAGAGAGAAGATGCATGAGTTTCGTAGAAGCAACCATCTGGTCATGTTTAGGTCAACTCACCTCAATCGACTTAATCACCCTGTTTCCTGTTGGTTTGTTTCGCGAGTGATATTCTTTTTCCAACATGTCTATGATGGGTCGACCTACTTTTTGGCTTTCGTTGAAACCATGAAAAATCATGGTGTTGCTTCTCACGACAGGTCTGTCCCTTTTGTTCGTATGAATGAGCCTGTCGAACAACAAATTGCAAGAAGGGTGCCGAGAGTGATTGATCCCAAGTATGCTGTCATTTCTATTGACGATGTTGAGATGCAAGTGGGATTGGTGAAATCTTTGGATAACGACTTGCACTTTAGCGTCATTGCAAACTACCATGCGTTTGAACAAGATATGTCGATCGATGCTGGCGATATTCGCAACCTTTAACGAGGATTGAAATCGCAACATACAGATTTTTTTTTTTGCTTTCGCGTAAAACTACCCACTTGAGGCTACGAAATAAAAGATAATACATTTGTCAATACAATACATAGCTACATTCATTAATCATACTTGTATACCTCTTACAGCTTTGTTGTCCATGAAGGCATGCGCAAAATAATTATAAAAAAAAATAATAAAAGAAAAGGATCCGCATCACTGACCATCAAAGCATTTTGAGAAAAGCATAATTAACCCAGCAAGGTTAACGTCCAACGAAGAAAAAACGAGTTTGCTCGGATTCGAACTGGCGACCTTCAGTTTGTTAGTCAGGAATATTACCACTTTGACATAGCGACTCAAAGTAACCAGAAACTTGGGTCACGTGATTTTTTCTCCTGATTTGTTTCAAATTGAGCAAGTTTGGAGGCTTCTAACTTCGTAGATAATGATGCTACGAATTGGCGTTCGGTACGAAAAATAAACAAAAGAACTCAAAAAGTCTGACCATACCATTTAAAAGCGCATATCTGATAACTATCTTCACAGTGTAAAGCCAAATGTTCTGATATGGGAACATCGAGGTGCTCACGAGAACATCGATGTTCCCAAAAGAGCGCATCGATGTTCTGTGAGAACATCAGTTGGGCCGTAGTGAAATACAATTATTAGTGTCAATTCTACGCCTTCCAGTGCTCGTTATCGAATGGTACCTAATATATTCCACTTCAAAGAAGCAGTATCAAGTTTTTCCAACAGTACAAGACAGAGTTATTGGATGCTAGAGTGTTATTATCAATCGAACGGTTTCGAAAACGACCATGGTTTGATGCTAAACGCGTTTTGCAAAAAAGGAAAAAAAACGAGGGTATGGAAAGACGAGAGGGCACCCTATCCGACGTCACCGTCTGTAGATTTAGTCTCAGTATTGTACCGTAGCAGCGGAAATTGCGGCAATTTAATTTGAAATTGTGCAGCGGTATTTTCGTGTTTAAACTTGACTTGATTTCACATCCTTCAAACGTTTTTGCTAAACTTGACTATGAAAACTATCGTTATCACACTCAACTTTCTAATACATCTCTAGAGAACTAAAAAAGCCGCATCGAATGGTGCTGATTACTTTTAGCTTTCAGACCAAAAATAATGAGCAATTTCCAAAAATATGAAATCAGGTTTTCCGTGATTATGTCAAGATTTAGCATATGTAAGTCTCATAGAAAGAGTTTCCAATGTTGCATTTTATCTTTACGATCAATTTAATCTAATATGTACCATAGAAAAAGCCTTCATTTTTGGGGTGAAAAACGCGGTCATTTGATTTTCAAGAATTTTCCCTTGCTAATACTCATGGAAAGACGATGATTTTCATGGATTTGCAACGACCCAAAAAAAATTGAGATAAAGCATTAGGAAGTAAAGCGTGGCCAAGAGGAGGCGTGTGGTACTATTCCAAGCGCTCAAAACGCTTTGTGGCATGAGTTATTCGTGCTTGAAAATGGCTAGATTTGAACAAAATTCGACCTAAAACGACGGCGTAGTGGGTTGCATTGCCAGAAGAGTCAGTAAATTACACTTCTGTCTGATGACCCAGATGCTCTGTGTGGAATACATCCACTATGATCTGCATTCCGACAGTTCATCCAGTTACCAGATTTAGATATAAACTGTATGTACACTGGATTAGATGTAAGATATCGATTTATACTATAAGAAGATATGGACTTCAGATACGCTAGTACTATAAGATTCATACTATATAAGATATAGGCTATAGATGGCACCACGGACATGGATGACACTATAGACTTATACTTGTATTCCGACATTGACTACGGATGTTTACCATATCTGGATAGGCACCAAGATTAATGCAATATGAGCTTGTTGCTTCAGATGTGCACTTCATGATCCACGCTGTAAGACACATGCTTATATCCGTGATACTAGCTACAGATACTTTATGTACTACAGACTTGTACTATATATGAGACATGCTATAGACATGCATACGATATGCTATAGACATGCCATATATCCGGATACATGCTAAAGATGTATGCTTAGCGATATACACTCAGATATGTACTATTGATATAGACTAAGTAGACTGTACCTATCGGATACATGCTACTAGATCGATATTAATTATCCTTATAGAAAGGATAGATCAGGGTACTTCGGATGAGAGTCTAATTATTCATCCAGGCAAAGCTAAATCATGATTAGCTTGCTGGAGTTGTCTTTTAACATGATTAGACATTAGTTGATCTGAGTTGATTTATTTGTCAATCTAATTAATAGAACCTTTATCCATTGTTATAGTATATAAGAAGGATCATCTACCTGGCCAGTAGAGATACTTCAGTTTACCTTACACCTATCAGTTTGATAATAAAACATATCTTTATCAAGTTGACTTCATTGTTTTTTGTTCTTTTTTTTCCGTGAACTTTAGTCTATAAAGCCTCAAATTCCACAGGAAAATCCATCATGACCTTGTATAATACCCTTTTTTGACCATATTTCGACAAATACTCACTGGATTCGCATAAAGCAAAGACCACTCGATAGCTCTATGTTATATCTATTATAATAGAAGAGCTTTGACGTATCAAATTAAAGGTGTAAAGCCATGGCAACTAATAATCTAATCCAACATTTGATAACATTGACCTTAATGAGAGCTTTACAACGGTAACGATGCGAAGTTGCAAAACCATAGTTTCAAGCAGCAAATCCGGCTTCTCATTTCTATCAGTATTTTTTTTTGGGTATGCCATAGTGGGTATACATTACTTTTTTTCACCATTGACTTAATATATATAAAACTCCTATATAACGTGATATAGCAAAGTGTGTCGTCGATAGGAAAGGGACTAACAGGCCAGTCGAGTGGGCTCGATGACTGACGAGCTTTACCTGGAGGAGTTCGTAAAGAAGAGTGTACAATTGCGGGAATGTGTTCATCAGCCAGAGAGGGCAGTGTCCAGAGCAGGACAGTGTCCAGAGCAGGGCACATGGTGCGGCTTCTTATCATACTTGGTAACGTCTGATAGACAACTAAACACCAAAATGAGGGTACAGTATCACACACTACATACCAAAATTTCTGCCTTCATAGAGTTTTGAACAATTGATCGCAATAAATTTAGTATCTACAATGAAACACGCTCTAGTAAAGGTGTGATACTTAAAAAGAAACATCAGGTCAGCGTTTGTATTGCTTCTCTGACAAGAGTTTTGGTTTTTTTTTTTAGCCATTGATCGTTAAATGAGTATGTCCAGTGATTATATCAGTTGATAACTAACCCATCAAGTTTGTTATAAGAAACTTGTAACGAGTTAAAAGGAAAATACATTAGTAAACGATATCCTATTTTTTTTTGAGATTGCAAAAATGCTGTGCTCAAGAGCAACGAATAAACGGACGGTAGGATTACATACATGACACTCATTAGAGCTCTTTTTACAAGAGTATCACTATCGTTTCAATTGTTGACTGAGGTGTCTCTGGACCTTCAGGTTTATCAAACATTGCCTCCGCCTTGTACTGCATACAAGAAGAGGCTGTATAAGAACACTTCAGTGATGAGGTGGTAACAGAATACTTTTAAAAGAAATGTCTTTAATTTTATTGTAATAAATCTTTCTCGAATTCGATAGGGGAAAGCATACTATTCACAACAAAATAATATGATTTGAGACAATTTGACTATCCTTTATACATTTGCTATTTATTCGGCAAGTAGCGCACTAAAGGAAAATGGTTCAAACTTGACACCATCACCCATGTAGAATTTGCCATCGAATTCAACCCAATGCAAACGCAAAGCATGCAAGAATGCAGATAAGCCTTCCATACAGAGCAGGATACCAATGGTCAATACAAACCACATTGCAAAACCAATAACTAATCCTGCTACAGCAATAGGGCCGGTAAAGTTGAACCAAATTTTTAGTGTCATGTCCCATAACACACTAGACAGTTCTATTATTTAAAGTTAGGAGATACACACTCAAGTCAGTTTTTATCACTCACGAGCATGGGCCAGCGATAAAGCCCAAAGACGCAGGTAGGAGGCAGTATTTGAGATACAGTTGAGGCAGAACTCAATAGTGTGGATTGTTTGATGAATCATTTCTTCGCTAAACTCAAACTGTGATTAGTTAGCATTATTATTGTTTGTTATTGAACTTCTGGTAGTCTGTACTCACCTCGTCTTCTTCCTCATCATCATCATTTGCAACAACAGCTGTAGAGTGATTAGCTGCTTCTGGATCTTCGGACTCTGACAGTGCATGCAATTGTTCCTTGTCGTGTTGTACTTTGAGGTAATATGGTTTAGCAAACCACATCCAAGGTACACAAACAAGCGCCACAAGAATCAAAACCAATTGCACTGTGCCTTGGCCCTTATAAAGTTGATCTTGGGGGTCGACTTTACCAGGCGTCAAAAACATGTAAATCAGCATGTTTAACAGATTGGGTGGTGGATTATGGATATGATGGCCTTGACTGTCGAGCTCCCACCAGTTGATACTCCATTTATACATGATACAGAAGATGAGATAGCCAAAGACAGACTCCATGAATAGAATTTGAGGTAGAAATTCAAGCCATACGAAAATACTCTTGCCATAATAGACATGGTTGAACACATTCAGGCAGATAGCAAAAGACATCTAACGACCTTGTATTATTGCGCTTGAAAAATATGTTTGAAGTATACCTTTGCTTACATGAATGACGCCAATAATGATAGCCTGTTTCATCTTGTAAGAGTTGGAAAACAAAAGAAAGTTTTCAGAACCATGCCAGGCAGGATCAAATCCAAAAGCATAGACATTTCCATTTGGTACTTCTTCTACGGTTTCAAACGAAGTGTAATTTGCAGGGAGATCAAAGCCTGACCTGAATATGTTGAGAGACAACGAAAAGATATCATTGTAGATGCAGCCAGTGAATATAGAAAAGAGACCCATCATTAACATCATGTAGCGACCACTAAAGAACATGGTGAAGATTTCATCCTTGACATTAGCTAATTTCTTTTCATTGAGAACCAAGTAGAAAGCAAAGCAAAACATCAAAAAGCCATGGCCTATATCGCCAAACATGATAGCAAACAGGAAGGGGAAAGAAACGATGGTAAAGAGACCAGGATTCACCTCACGGTAACGAGCAATGCCGTAAGCGTCAATGATGTTTTGGAAACCTTCTGTAAATTTGTTGGTTCTGTGATAAGTTGGAGGCTTTCTCTTGGTCTCCAGTTCAGTGAATACAGATGGCATGTTGGTGCCAGATGATTCGATGGCATTCTTGAGAGCCAAATTGACGATAGGCGTGTCATTCTTGGCGCACCACCCTTCAGCGATCAAGCATTTCCGATTGACATCATAATTGAACAAATTCATAGTATGGTAGATTCCCTTTTCCTTGCGAACAGTGGTGAACCAAGCATTGAGATTGTCGGCCACATTCAGGAGCTCGTTTTGGCGAGTTTCTTTCGTTTGAGTAAGCACCTAAAAGCATGATACAGTGTTAATTCCATGCTCTGTACTAGACATTCACCACACTTACAACATCCAAATCTTTGATACGTGATGTAACCTCGGCAAGGGCTTCGCGTCTCTTATCACTAGCATCATCTACAGTATAAAGAGTGCCTCCCATACTCTCTGTAATCTTCTTGATCTTGTTGATAACCTCTTGACCATGAGCAAAGATTGCAAATACATTTTTTTGCACCTTCTTGTTGGTATCGGCGGGATCAACGATATCGTCATGAATTTCAGCAAAGTTCATGTACAAGTTGCCTCGCAGAATTCTCCAAAGCACACGCTCAAAGGTTTGTATCTTTTCCCTTGGGATAACACCAGTTACGTAGCCAAGATTGCCGATATGACCCGTCTCTTGGCTACTTCCACCTTCTTCCTCATCATCATTTGAGGTTAATAAAGGTGCTGTAGCAGACGTATTGGCAGTTTCTGATGGCTGTAATTGATTTCTAGACTCTACCTGGACAAGGTATCAGTAACCTAAACTTGATCATTGGTTAATACAACTAGTACCTGCTCAAAAAACACGGATGTTTCTTTCAAAACATGACGGAGCTCAGCTAATTGCAAATTACGGTATAAAAGTGTTTCGTATGAACTGTTCATTTGCGTGATGCGCACTTCATGATCCTTCAGATTCTCTTCCAAGTCATCAATCTCTTGTGCCGTGCGTGCACTCGAGGAATGGACGTCAGGTTCAATCGTTTGATAGGGTACGTTGGATTTCTCTAACTGTGCCTGAAAAAATCCTACATTGAAAAAAGGGTGATGTTTGTTTCAGGTACAATAAATCAAATGTTCTCCATTTCTTACTGCATTGTCTCTCCATTTCATCCAGTTTTCTTATTTCAGATACAAATGTGCGCTGAAACGCATTGACGCTAGGGTTTAGCTATAGATGGCGTTATTAGATTGCGTGTTTTCTTGATTACATTAATGCAAAAGAACGCCTACATCTCTAAATTGCACCTTGCCAAGCTCTCCCAACTCAGCTACACAAGTGTGTGCAACTTCAGCCGGTATAAACACTTGAATAAGAGACATCTCTTCTGAGCGGAAGAGTGTGGTATAGCTGTCTGTCATGCTTCAAGCTGTATAATAGTAAGATAGAGTAAAAAGAACAGGGAAAAAAGGACAAAAATTGTTTTTTTAAGGGGTTGGGTGTTGTAAGGGATGTAATGTATCAGCTTCAGAGCTCGACGGACGGGTTACCGTGTTGTTTTGTATCATATTCACAAACAAATCACCTCGACCTGTTTGTGCTACAGCAACGTCATGACGTTCATGAATAGATGCATCAACACAAACGGCGCTTTATTGCGCATCAGACTGATTGAATGAATCACATTTGATTCTAATTTATTATAAAAGTGCTCGTAAAAATCACTGACAGCTGGCTCCAATAATGTCAGGCAAGTTTGAGGCACCTCTTTTGCATTACATAATATTAAGGTTTATGCCATGCGTAAGAAATCCAGAGACAGGCAGACCATTTTTCAGTGACAGATCAATGTTTTACAGCCAAAATATCTGTAAGGCTCTGGAATCCGGGATGATTGATATAGAAGCAGATATAGATTAAAATGCTGATCAAGGATCAAAGACACGTTAATAAAAAAAAAGGGAATTAAGGAGATGTGCAGTGTTTGAATGCTATGAATTCCATCTTAAAATAGGTTTTGTAATTTATAATGCAGCAAAGATCGATGGCAAAATAGAAAAGTGGGATAGACTGAGAGGTAACACTGAGTTTCGAACACGATAGCAAGATAAAACGAATGTAAAATGCTCTGAAAGTAGCATCAAAAAATCAACTTGGGACAGACTGAATGCATTCGACGGATAAATCGCTGAAAAAACAGTGTGTAGTGCTAAAAGTAGTGGTTTGTTTTTTATCCAAGGAAATCCAGTTACATTGATTGCATGTATGTGATTTTCTGATTCCGTATTCCCAACATTTCAATCTAATATAAAAAAATCATCCCTTCTTTTCTTTTCTTCTCTTTTTCTCCTGTAAATTTCATATCTCTTTTTTTTTCTCTCATCATTAGCACAAGAGGAGTAGAAGATGATCAAGAACATTGGTAAACTCAAGCAGGTAAGATATCTACTGTTGTTCTACGAGTTGCCTCGTAATGTGTGTGTGTGTGTGTGTGTCTGTGTGTGTGTGTGTGTGTGTTTGGGTTGTTTTAGTTTGGTTAGTGGGGATTTTCAAACCCTGATGATGGATGGTCGTGGAACCGTGGACGCATACAATCAGTTTATTTGGTGTTTTCTCGTAAAAATGCAAATCTACTGTGTTGATATCAAGTTTCGGTTCATTGTCCTGAACCTCATCTTGGAGAGAAAATGCAGATCCAGGCCATTATTTTACCCTGTTTATTACATCGGAGTTGCTTCATGCAAATTAAGGGAGATTGATTGGAATCATTAAAGTACATTTGTATAGTGGACAGGCGAGAAGTTTGGCTCTGCAAAGACTACGTTACAGACTGAAGATTTTCAGCGCCTCGAAGTTGAAACAGAGAGAAAGCGAATGGCCTACGAAAAGCTGCATGCTTCTGCTCTGATCATGCACACACAGCTATTGAAGAGAAAGATCTCGCCCGAGGACAACAAGTCAAAGCGCTTGCCCAACGATATTATTGGTGTCTGTATGAGCAACTATGGCAATGAGTTCACAGATGATTCGCCATTAGGTAAGTGTCCTGAGAAAAAAAAAAGGGAACAAGCCCAGATCAGACATTTAACGGTACACAAGGTATTGCCATGATGAATTTTGGTCAAGCACAATCCAGATTGGCTTCCTATCAAGAGGACTATGCTGATACAATGAAAAGTGGCTACATGGAGAAATTGGATGAGGGCCTCGCGCACTTCAAGGAATACCAGGCCCTTCGCAAGAAGCTAGAGTCTCGTCGATTGGATTACGACTCTAAATTAGGCCGTTTGCAAAAGTCCAAAAAGGAGAAACCCGATTTAGAGCAGGAAATGCAAGCTGCTAAAATGAAGTATGAGGACTCTGAATATGATGTGATCCAAAAGATGGCTCTCTTGCAAGAATTCGAGGTAAATCGGCGGCAAAATGGGAGTGGAGCTGTATCTGATTCTATGAACGTAGGACGAACACTGTGAGGCCTTAGAAAACCTTTTACAGATTCAATTTGAATATTTCACTCGTTCATTAGAGACGCTCAACGGAGTTAGAGCCAACTGGAATCAACCCACAGCTACCAACAACAACAACTATGCTCGTCAATCAACAAAACGTACTCCCACTGGGTTATCTCGCACATCCAGCAACAACTCTACAGGAGATGACAATATCATTCGATCGTCAATGAACAGTAATGTTGCAACAGCCTCGACGCTTGCACCCAGACGACTCTCCATCAGCAGAAATCCAAGCACAGACACCTCTGCAAGACGTATCCCAAGCCGCAAAAACTCTGCCTTTAACGATCGTGATGATCTTCCTATTCCTTCCAGTCGTGCAACACCCCCACCAGCACCACCTGTATTACCAAGAAGACAATGTAAGTGTACATGGAGAGTATGACAATAGCACGATAATTTAACCTGCAATTGATCGTAGCACAAGCATCGACTCACAATGATAACAATCAGAGAAGAGCCATCTACGACTTTGGAGGAGATAACGCTGATGAGCTCTCTTTCCGCACAGGTGACTTAATTCAAGTGATTGAAGAAGTAGATGAAGGATGGTGGCTGGGAGAATCCACAGATGCAAATGGATTTGTTCGTCGAGGTATATTCCCTGTAAATTACACAGAACTGGTTATTGTCAGCAGTGTTAGTAGTGCTGGACCACCTATGCCTGCAAGACCTGTTCTATCTCAATCCAACTCGACTCAACAACAATACAACGACTATATTCCTGAGCATCCCGCAGAAGAAGAAGAGCAGCAAGCTCATTATACAGAGGAGCCTACCAATGGCTATCATGGCAATGCATCTCCATTTGGTGACAACAACCGGTCATCCAATACAACACCACCAGCAAGTAATAATGCAAGAGGCTTCTCATACATTCGTCCCAATCAACCTGCCCGCACACTATCCGCTTCCACTGCTGGTAATGCCATGAATTCGCCCGGCAGTTCACCAGTGCCTCAACCCTACAAAAGAGCTCCTCCGCCTCCCCCGCCTAGTTCTCGCACGCCGCCTGTCATGTCAACCACGAGAAGCTCAAATACATCTATGAAACCCACTGGTGTACGCACTGCACCCTCCACTCCACAACAATACATGCATCAACCGAATAATGACAATTATTTCGATTCTGCTGCTGCAACGCCCGATTGTGGTGAATGTGGATGTACTGAATTTACAGCCAACATATTTAAAAAGGGACATTGCAATAACTGTTTCCACAAACATTTTTAAAATAAAGAAATGCTCTTTCAACAAAGCAATTTCAAAGGGATCAAAGAGAAGAGGGGCAGATGCTATGTGTGTGTGTGTGTGTGTGTGTTTATACAAGGAGACAGATGGTTTGCCAAAGCGAGTATTTGAAACTCACCAAAATGGCAACAATATTTAATGTGATACACTGTACGCCACAAACACAAACCTAACGATCCAATTGCAAGCTAATGTACTACTAAGGACCATACTGGATTTATTTCATTAATATTTATTAATGAACTTTTCTCTTTTTTTTTTTTTTTTTACTATATAAAAAAGTATCTGTATATACAACTCCTTTTTTTTTTTAAGATAACAATGATGTGAAACGAGAAAGCAATATTAAAAATACAAATGCGAAAAGGAAAAAGGCAAAAAGGAAGTTTGTACACCCTGAAGGCAAAGGAGGAGAGTGAGGGAGAGGATTTATATAGAGCAAAAAGTGGTAATATAATAAAGGAGATGGAAGGCTGGTGATATGATATAAGATTTCAATAAATATAAATGTCGTTGTTGTGTCTAGATGATAATGCTTTTTTTTTCGTTTTCTAATATCTTGAATGTCTATCAGAAGAGGAGCGATTTAATGGACGGAAGGTAGTCGATGTCGAAGCAGAAGCAGAAGCAATACCACCGCCACTAACAGCAGCAGCAGATGAGGAAGAAGGTCTACCTGCAAGTTGCGATCGTGATGGTACATAAGAGGAGTTGTTGTTATTATTGTTATTGTTGATATTATTGCTATTAAGTACACGACGAGACTAAACAAGATATTAGCATTTCACACACACACTCACTAAAGGATATCAGTGCAAACTTACCATATTTAATGTGGGAGACGATGAAGATGAAGGTAGTGATGCGGTTTGTGATTGAGATTGCTGTGATGATGTATGAGGATAAGACGAACGATTATAAGGATAGCTGCGATTGTCATTGCCATAGAATCTAGGAGGAGACCTGCGATCATGGTAATAATTACCAGAGTACCGAGATAGCGGCCTACTGAATTCAGTGTGACTAATACTGCGAGATCTTGAAATGGGTCTTGACTTGAGGCTATTATCTCTGCTATGCGACCTTGATCTTTCCGCCATAGGTTTTGAAACAACCGATTCTTGTTGCTTTGGAGCAGGCTTCTCAATGATGGAAGCAGCAACAGTAGACGCAGCAGCGACAACAGTTTCTGCGGCAACTGGTTGTGCTGGTTGAGATAGCAAGTCTTTCATGGTTTGGAATAAACGGTGCTTTTCTTCTTTGAGGATTCTTATCTTTTCGCGAATAGCTTCAGAGGATTCAAGCGTGGTCCCTCCAACTGTTGTTCCCGTAGTTGAAGATGAGCAAGATTTAGTCAAGGACATGACAGGGGACGGAGGGGAGTCAGGAAGAGTGCTGCTGTGGTTATTGGCCATTTCAAAGGTATCGACATCATCAAATGTGCAAGATTCAATAGGAGGGGAAGGCAAGCCATTGTCCAAATGAATGTATTGGATATCATGTTTGGATGCGGCAACACTGGAGGAAGAAGGAGGAGGGGTCAAAGGCTGCTTGTTGTGTTCGTTTCGTTGCTTGATACGTTGCATTATGTTGCTACGAATAGCGTTCATGTTCATGGGAGGTTGAAATTCATAACGATTGCTTGTTGCCATGGTGTTTGTATGTTATATTTTTTTTTTATGAGATGAGTTGATGATATGGATGAGAAAAAAAAAAGAGAAAAGAAAGAGAAAGAGAGTGAAATGAAAAAGAAGAAATCTTTTTATTCCTTTTATTCATATTGAGGATTAGACGAAAGAGCAAGGCAAAAGAAAAAAAAAAAAAAAAAAAAAAAAAACTGCTTGGGGAAAGAGTGCGTCACCTTGAGATTTGTGGTTACATTTCTCTTGTACATTCTAGTCCTCCGTAAATTTGATCAAATTTGAATTATCTATACATGGCGATTTCACACAATCTCATCTATTTCTCACTAATCTCACTCTCATAAATATACTTTCTCTTGAGAGATATCAGGCATGCAAAAGAAAAAGGGAGTTGGTGTAAAAGGCCCTGTCAGGAAACCCAAATACGGTTGAATCTCAGCATTTCACCTCTTTCACTCTTATCCTACATGTTCTAGCTTGATCTTGCAGCTTCTTTTAGCAAAAGAAAAGAGAGAAAAGAGAGAAAAGAGAGAAAAGAGAGAAAAGAGAGAGAGAGAGAGAGAGAGAGAGAGAGAGAGAGAGAGAGAACAGAGGAGGAGACGAAAGGGGGGTGCTAAAAGTAAGGAAGGAAGAAGGGATGGGGGGAGAGAAAAAGAGAGAGAGAGAAAGGAAAAAGAGCTATACTATAAGATCAAATATGAAACGATTGGTATCACCCTGATGTTTATTCACTTTTGTCTGCCTGCAACTCCTCTCTTTGCCTCTCTCATCTCTGGGCAGATTATTTATCATTTGAGGTAAGATGCATGTAGGTTCACTATGTAATGCTTGATTTGATTATAATAGTGTGAGAATAATACAGCCTTTTATTTATATGACACATACACTTTTTTTTTTTTTTTTTACAATACGAAATCATATCACAAGATTTGAGATGATGCTCGTTTTTATACTTATTTTTCATTTAAATTTCGTAAATTGTAAAGAAAAAATATCGATTGACCGCGAAACTTTTCATTCATTTGAAAGGAATGAAGAGTATTATAAAGCCAAGCTTAACCTTTCTTGTTTCGTTCAGGAAAAGATATACCGATCATTCAGCAAACTTGCAATATTCGAAACGTATAATATGAAGTAAGGAAACAACTCACTTTGCCTACTTTTGCTGCTTTTTTATAGACGAGCCCCATGAAAAATTTTTAAGCGGTTATCAAATGAATTGGACCAAACAAACTCATGAAAGATGACTGTTTCAAGGAGCTGCTCTCATCAAAACAGGTGTAACTGAGAGCATATCTGAAGGGGTCACTACTACAGACGCCTGTCTTGAACACCCAATGTGAATCAGATCTTTGCATTAAACAGACCAAGTGTTTATATCATCCTTTTCTTTGCAAGATTTCTGAGAAAATCAGACATCCGTGGACCTTTGCTGATAGCTGACCGGCTCTATTGTTCAGGTGTTATGTGATGTTGAATAGTCAGCCGTAAAGACCTTTCTACATCAAACTCGTAACCCATTGATAGTGCCACTCAATGATTAACTAGGCATTTATTAGAGATTTGATCACACATGGCTGTTTGAAATATGATTCCACGCCTTAGATGTGGCTATCCTCCAAAGAAATATGGTGTTGGTGGTATTATACATTGAAGATGGCAGCCTGAACCAGGATGCTGGCTGCAAGAAAACTGTTCTGGCACCACAACCCTTCTTGTTTGACCTAGGCAAGCTCAGTTTACGAATAAACTCTCGATGCGCACGACTCACAGATCTGACATTAGTGATGATAAGCCTCTTCAATCTAAAGCAACACATTGGGCAAAGCATCAAAAACACCGAAGAGACCAGAAGGATCATGGTGAGAAGTTTGAAGATATTGACTTGCCTTCCTGACAGATCGAGCAGCACGTTAAGAGTTTGAGCAGCTTGAGGATTTGTATATCTGATTTGCAGCCTTTGTGAAAATCAAATAGAATCGATAAGGACCAGCTTTCTTCTTAGTCTGCAAATACATGTACAGCATTATACATTTGGAAGTGTGTTCATATTTTTTAAAGAAGCTTCTTACAACGATGAAAACCTGCTTGATCTTGACACTGTATGATTCACGGCGCAAAATTTTCAAAAGCAAAGCGTGCACTCGTTCTAATCTCCAACTTCAAATAAAATTACTCTTTTCTGTCTATTCGATGCTTAAGAATATTATGCATCAAACGACAGTAGAAAATAATGAGTAAGAAAGCCTTGAAAGACCATGGAAACCCTACAATCTGCATCACAGCAAATTCCGGAGTTTAAATACAAGTTTTGAAATGGATCCAGCTGGATCATTTTGGACATTGCAAAACTATTTTTGGATTCATGTCTTATACAAAAAGTACTTCATATGATTTATTGCTCTAAGCTCTCACTAGAGATTTTAGTGCTCTATCCACTTGTTTTAGTTTCGTTTTGATTGAGTGTTTCTGTGAGAAGTTAACTCGTAAAAACTCAATATTAGGTTTTGCCATAAAAGTCTACATTTGCACTATGTAACACACAAGCTAATACCTGGAAATGAAAGGCCGTGTCTTTATGATCATTTTGAATTATACTTTACCTTTGTAAGAAATGCCGTTTTTCAGGTGAAAAACGCCATCGTTTAATTTCGTCGATTTTTCATGAGGGTATACACATGCTTGAATGGCCAAAAACCGATGATTTTTCCATGATAAAAAAAAATTGAGAAATGATTGCAGTATCATTCATTCATGCTCTAGGAGCATGGAAATGTTGTTCCGAGTAAATTCAGGCCAATATTGGAGGTTTTATTCGCATAAACGTTTATGCTGCGAATAGGTGTTGTTGCATTGGATTGGATTTGAAATGAACTACGTGAGACCGCACGAGTCGATCAAACGTGCTAAAACCTTAAACTTGACATGCTAATCAGATAACAGAGCAGACTTAATTTAAATGCACACAACTTCAAATAAAACACTTCAAGACAACGCATTGTGTTCTTTTTCATTGTTAGTTATATATGTATATATATATATATATATATATATATATACAAGTAAATAAAATTACAACCATTAGCTAAGCTATGTACTACTTATTGATTTTTCTTTCTACAATGACGGTCCACCAAATCATGATAGGAAGCTGGTGGAGGATAGGGGCCTTTGAATATGATACGGATTACTTTTCGAATGATGCGAGCAGCCTTCTTGATTCGCTTACGGTGCTTTTTGTTTTTGATTTTCGAGGTTGATTGAGAAGATGCAGCTGGTGCTGTCGTCGACAAAGCTGCTGCTGCTTTGGCTGGTTCTGCTTGCACTTGATGATCTCTTACTACCGAATCAGACCAATAAACATAGGGCTGTATCCAAGGGTGAAACATGACGAGATCAAATGAAGCTCTGGCATTTTCAGGAGAAAGCATTCTTTGTATTAAATCTCGGGCATCTATATTTAGAGGCACATAATCAATACACATGAACCATAGCCATCCATGTTGAGTACTGTACCATTTGATAATGCTTTTGAGAGCACAAAATCAGATGTAAACATTTTGCGAAAAAGCTCTCGGTGAGTGAGATCACGCCCGCTAGCAGAGCAAAAAGGATATTTGCCCATCAACATACGATATAGTGAGATTCCCAATGCCCAGATGCTGCTTTGCTCACAGTTAAAGGACGGACAAATGGATAGTTCTGGTGCAATGTACTGTGGTGATCTATGCAAACGGCAGGATGTGTTAGTTGCGAGGATATGTACGTCTCAAGACCGGCCTCACTTTACCCTCCAAATTCCAGGTAGTCGTCTCTGGCGCCCTTCTGTGATATAACGGTAATGCCTCGAATATTGTCCTCATCATCAAATAACACATGCACATCTTTTGGAAAATGATGATGCCCTTGTCTGAATAGCTGATATGCCTGTGCCACCAACTTGCAAAATTGTAACCTGCATTCATCTTCGTTGCCTACAAGACATGGATCGAAATGAGGTTCTGGTGACTTGGTAAACTTGGTGGGCCATTCAAAAATTGGTGTAAATGCAATGCTGTCATCCTCATCGTCTTCTTCGACGAGAATAATTTTAGGCTCTGGAGAAGATAATGGTGGTAGTTGATCTGTGGCATTGGAGATGGACAGACTGTTTGCATCATCTTCATCGTCATTGGTGGCTATACTGTCTTCATACTTGATATCGACGATGCGTATATTGGGTATCGGCTTAAATTTGACAGGCGATGTTGGAGGAGATATGGACCATGACGATGGTGCAGTTTCGTAACCATCCACACTCATATTGTCATTACTGTTGTTATGATTGAAGGTGTTGTTACAATGAGCTCGATTGATCGACATGAGGCTGGAAAAGGCAATGTTTCTAGAGATAGAGTCTTCTTTGATGGACGAATTGGTGTTGATGTGGTTCGAATTGGATAGAAGCGATGTCTCTGATGCCTCTTGAATAGTGTATAAATCTCGAGCTCCAGCACCACCAGCAGCAGCAGCAGAGAGAGAAGTCGATGAAGAAGAGGAACAAAGTGCATCAGATTGACATTCCTATAAGATATTAATATTAAATTTTGGGACAATAAAATGAGCATGTTGCATAGGTTTCTTGTTTAATTTGCACTCAATAAATGTTTAATGTATTTTACACCTCCTTTCTTGCATCTCCGTCCCTTGCTCGCTCACTCACTCCAAAGCAATTATGATTTCATTGCGCCATGTATGCGTACACAATAAACCACTTGATATGTATAAATGAATGCCCTCTGACTCTCTTTTCACTCTCTCCCTCTCCTTCCCATTATACTTTGGTACCTTGAAAATCGGAGCCAGCTCGGAAGTAAATCCATCTGTCTTCGAAAATTTGATGGATGATGGCACAACAGAACAGGAATTCGTGAGCGTAGAAACAACGATGTTATTACAAGATGAGGATGCTGTTACTGAAAGCCAGAATGGCAAAGGCGGTTCATTCGGTGATAGATTCCTCCAATCTTGTGCTGCTGTATTGCCTAATCTTTGGGATATGGATGTAAACTTGAATTTTCTGACCAATGCTAATTTTTGCCACCATTTTTTCTCGGCTAATGAGTTTGATCCAACTGTTTTACTGTTGTTGTTGTAATGTGTGATTGGCATCTATTTTTTGAAAGTAGAAAAAAAGATGCCTCGAGACGACTTGTACACACAAGGAGAGCAAAAGATGTCTAAATGTTGGAGTTGATTTGATTTCTGTTGAAGGGTGCAAAAAAACAAAAGAAGAGTAAGAAAAAATAACGGAAGGGTATAGAAGCCTTTATAAGGATACATTCGAGGGTAGGAGGTTTAATTAAACTATGCCACACTGTTACTTTTTGACCATGAATCTATCACAGGTTTATCAGAATTCGAGTTAGCTTGACAAATGTGGAAACTAGCTCTCTTATTCTACTTTTGTAAACCAACGAAACGACGATCTCGCAAGCCGCTAATCCGGGTTTGGAACTTTGCTGTCTAATTGATTGGGTCATTTGCGTTCATTAATTAACAACAGTAATGAGGTTGTGCACTTTTGTATCGTTCCAAAATGGCATTAATAAGGGTGTTTTGTCTTTTTTTATTGTGAACATTGCTCAATATCGTCAGAGATCTAGCTATACTAGATGAATTTTAGTGGCATGTGCGCATCAGATCAGCGACTAGTTCAAACTTCTTCAAACACAGTAGCGCTCACCATCACCAATGACAATCATCCTGGATACAATTACAGCAATTGCCTTTATGTGGAGATGTCTAGTCTTGATAGATGTACAAAAAAAAAACAGTGGCAAATCATTTAAAGCGATTGTTTACCTTTCATATAAAGTGATCAGCAAAATATTATTGTTGAAACACAAAATTTTAATGAAACTTTGTTTCAAGTGATCTCCACGCCTTTATTTCTGGATTTGATAGTGCTTCTGAAAAGGCTTTTCAGGAGGGAATGTCTAGATTTCTACTCATCATGAATGCCTTGTTACATTAACGTCGCTTAGACTTTCTTGGAAATCAACCTTTATCGAGTTGAAACAGTTGAGTAATGACATTGGAGATATCATACGACTATCAGATCAATAAATAGCTCAAACAACATATACAGGTAACTTGTTTTTTAAGCGTATTGTTTAGGGTACTAGATGAATGGCGCCTGTTTCATGGTGTTCGGTTCCTGAGAGTCCATGAAAAAGCCTGGTCTAGGTCAAATGAGATTGTGGCGGACTTGTCATGCCTCCAAAGGTAACAAGAATCAGGAACAATATCCGGAATCATGGATTATATGGAATGGCGTTGCGTATGCTGGCCTCTGCTGCAGTGTAGCTAGACTTGCTATCTTTGCTATGCATTGTGCGGTTGTGGTTTGGCATGGCACGGAATGGTTTAAGTTTACCCTTTCCATTTTCTTGTTTGTCATTAACCACAACATGTGAACGTGGCCGTTGATAGCAGGTGTTAGTTACGTGTATTATCGATACTTGTCTCAAATATGCCATTAGCTACTCGCTACTCTTGAGCATCAAAATCAAAATGTAGCCGCTATCTATGCTATGGTATGAAGAGATTGAACATATATCAAATCATGGATAGATGGCGTTTTCTTATATGCTCTAATAGCAACATATGGTAAATACTATTTAAGCAATCACCATACTTTCAATTGTGAAATCATTAGAATTGGCTTGCGCCAGCTATTGTTATTCTGTTGATGTGATTCGGTTTAGCCGAAAGGATTCTCAATAGTTTCTGATTTCCCGAAACAACTCCATTTAGCGAGGCCAGCAATTTGCTTCTGATGAAAATCTATATGCCAATGATGGCATGAATGCTTCAAACCAAATATAGCCGCTCATTCTATTGATGATGGTTTATATACCTGTCAGGATGGCTACATCTAGAGTATTTTTTTTGGGGGGGTTTCCTTTCTCTTTGGAGCTCCTACGACATTTATATCCTTTTGATTGCTTTCAGTATCAAAGACAAAATATTGCACTGACTAACTGTTTATACTCAAGGTGTTGCAGTAATGGCAAATGTACCATGGAAGGATTCTCCAAGGCAAATGTCATGTTGACGCCAGAAGCACGCTTGTCAATAAAAAAAAACAAGGGCGGGTATACTCACGTATAGCCATTATTTGTCATTAGTAACCGAATATATACAAAGATAGGTGTGAACAAAAGTTTTGGTAATGATTTTCACACCAAATTTAACGAGGCGCTGCTTTCTAGTGTGGAAATATATAATTCGGTATCAAATTCTATATTTTTATCCGTTCATTTTTCCTTTCCTTTCATCATCATCATGTACCTTGAACCCACATCCAAGCACATTATTCCAGTACATCCCTCCTCCACTGAAGGTTGGGCAACACAGAAACTGTCTGTGGATAAGCATGATTTTCCTGCTTTGCAAAAGAGCTACAGAAAGGTAGCCTATCTATGGTCTCACTCCAACGGTTTTCACAAGGAGTCATTCCACCCTTTGATGAGACGATTTAAGGATCACCTTCGCAGCTTGAAAGAGTACGATCAAACAGACATTACCTTTATCTCGTGGGACGCACGTAACCATGGTGACTCTGCTCGTTTGAATGAGAATAATTTGTACGATTCATGTAAGATCTGGTTATATTTTGATCCAAGCTTGTTTTGCTGATGATTTCGCTATAGACAGATGGTCAGATAATGCCATGGACACAAAGCAAGTAATTGATGAATTCCAATTGAACACATCATACGATCAATTCATTGGCATTGGCCATAGCTTCGGTGCTACTTCCATGTAGGTTGCAGGTCTACTTTGCATTGAGAGGGAAGGATCTGACATGAATACATTAGGATCTTGTGTGAGTACTACTACCCAGGCACATTTGATGGCTTGTGTGTCATTGAGCCTGTCATGAGCTCCGTCATGTACGATGGTGAGATCAAGGAACAGTTCCCAATCTTGGCTTCTAGAAAGAGACGTGATGAATGGCCTAGTTTTGAAGAGTGTCATAAATCATTAGCATCCAGAGGATTTTTCAAATTATTACACCCTGAAGTGCTTGAGCTCTATGTGGCAAGTTTTATGTGTATGGATGTAGAGGATGTATGGGCTAATTGGTTGTGTTGCTCAGAAATATGGCATGTATCAAACTGACAAGGGCACAGTCAAACTTAAGTGCCCCAGAGAGCAGGAATACGTAAGTAGTAGAAGGTTTTAGATATACATTGGTAGTGTATTATTAATCTACGGATGGTAGCTTGTATTCAAGTTTTCCCAATTTGATAACTTTGTCGCAATGAAATCATTGGAAGTGATCAATATCCCCATCCACTTTGTTTACGCTTTGGAATCCACATTGTAAGTTTTGCATGAGTCACTCGTCCATGTGCTTGTGTTAACTTTGTAACATAATAGTGTGGCCCCTGAGGATGCTGCCTCTGTCACTGACAGAAACAAACAAAGAATTACCCTAGACTTTGTTGAAGGCACTCATATGGTGCCCAACGAAAAACCCGACATCATTGTTCCTCACATTATGAAATTAACAGATAGAGTCAACAAGGAAGGAAAGAGTGCTAAATCTAAGCTTTAGTAGTGTTGCATCAATAAACTGTACTTTTATTACAATTCTTGAATTTTGATCTTGTCTGTTTCTTGCTTTTGCTGTTGATGCTTCTTGATGGCATCTTGTGCTGCTTCAAAATCTCTCGAAAACTCTTCTTTTTCTGTTTGCACTCGTGTTGTCTCGCTTTGTATCGCCATGCGTATCACTTGAAGTCTGTCGTGCTCCAGATATGCAGCCGCTGCCAGGTAGAAATACAGCTTGCGTGCTGCCAGCAGTAAACCCTTCTTGTTCTTTTTCTTTGCAGTAGCTGTTTGATGGATAGCCTGCCAAAAATCATACATGGCTCGAATGCAGTCGTTTATCAGAGACTCCAAGTCTTGTAACAGTAGTAATCGCAAGTCGTATCTCCTTTGGGTGCTGAACTCTCGTTTCGATGAGGCAGTTGTGTTTTCTCGTTCGATGATGCGCTCAGTCAAATCCTCTACGACATCGCCCACATTCTGAAATGGACAATCAGCAGCCTTGGAGTACAAGACATTCACCGATAGCTCCTCGCATACTTTAACCGTGTCCTCTGGATCCTCCAACAAATCTCCCAGCGAATGGCGCATCAGATAGCTGTAGGTGCCTAGTAAATGAAGCAGATTCCATGCTAAATGAGGGCTGGATCGAGTAGCAGGCTTTGTCATTTTGGTGAAGTCAGGCACTGTCTTTGGCATAATAGGTCTGTCGTCTTGTTGGTCTTGTTGATTTTCCTGTATCAGTGATACACGCTGCTTCCACCATGGCTGATAAGTGGGTATGTCTAATTTGTTCCAATCGCCTGATTTTAGCACTTGCTCAAACTCCAATCTCTCTTTATCCGACAACAGATCCCAAATCAAATCAGGGTCTGTGTTCTCAATGTCTATGTTTGCAAATCGCTGCATCAGCTCACTGTGTTGCTCATCGTCTTCATCATCGCTGTCTAGTAGGTTGTTGGGATCGTTTTCTTCCTCGAGTCGTTTTAACATTTCCAACATTTTGTTTTTACTATCCTTGTCGAGTTCTCGGTTCTGTATTTCAGCAGTGACACTATCTTTGTAAAATGATTCTGTACAATCTGCGTGCTGGAGGTCTTTGTAACAAGCTAGTGAGCAGTAGCGTAAGTTACAACGAGGGCATACATAATTTGAGAATTGCTTTTGGCAGCTATAAGATGGTCAATGATCAATTGATGTAGTCAGATTAAAATGCTTACATTTCGCATAGCGTTTGATTTACGGGCTCAAGTACTTGATTATCCTCCCCAGTGATTTTGATAGAAGACATGGTATATGGTTAGAAAAAAATGCAATTTGAGAGAAAAAGAGTTCTGACGAGACTGAAATTTGGACAGCGGGCTGTTTCAAGGCCAACATGCGAGGGCAGTCTGCTTACCCATCTGCCAATCACCCAGCTTTTCAAGTTAGTCGCCCCTCTCCAGACCAACATTAATCACCAAAGTTCCAAGTCTACGTTCCATTAATTTACATGTAATGCCAGTCCGGGGTAAATTACCAGCATTATGTTGGTAGTCTTCTGCAGTGATCTATTTACTTTGAGATGGCATGCCAGGCTTGAGAACGTGGTAGTGCGAACCTTTATAAGACTGTAGGCCAATTATATACTATACTTTGAATAAACCGCCGGCGAAGCCGGCATTGGGGATGGGGTTTGAAGGAGATGCTAAGCCCATCCACCAAGAACATAACGCATCTAATTCAACATTTGGTAACGTTGACCTACGAGGCGGTTTTACCGTAGTGAAGTGAAGGTAAAGAAAAAAAACCATGGCACCTAAGCATCGAATCCAACATTTGGTAACATTAATCTCAATGAGGGCTTTACCGTAGCGAAGCGATTCTGCAAGACAATAGTATTCAAGCAACAAATTCGGTTTTTCATTTCCATTATTAATAAGCTTACTAGCAACATAACGCATCAAAATTTGAATGAATTAGCTTTACCAAACTCAATATACCTCCTATTCGGATTAAAAATTGCACAGGCTACGGTACTGCTATTCTAGTAAATTACAGCTACCAAAGATGTGATTTATGCCGTGCAAATAAGAGCTATAAAGCAATACATAACCAAATTTGACAGATTTAAGCCTTTATATCTCGACATGTAGGCCATTATGAGCCGCCGGAATGAAGCCAAACAACTGTACTTGAGTAGTAGTAACGTCCTGACACCTTTGCTCAACTTTTTGAAACCAAAAAAAACATGGCCAAAATTCCACTGAAAACCATGAGGGGTACCTCATGGTTTTCGTCGAAAATCAAACGATCGCATTTTTCACCTTGAAAATAGAGACTTTTACTATGATATATAATAAATCAAAATGTTTCTCTCGATTCAACGCAACCTCTGAAACCACTTTTATGAGGCTTTCATATGCAAAATATGGCTATTTTCGCTAAAAATCTCATTTCATATTTATTAAATTGCTCAGCAACTTCAGTCAAAACACTTATTAAAGTTAGCACCATTGGAAGCGCATTGAAAAGTACTTTAAGAATGTATTAGAAAGCGTAGTGTTATCATTACAATTTATATAGTCGGATATGACAAGATAGATTAAAGAAGTCGAAGAATGGCAAAATTTATCCAATCTTGAACTAAAGAAATATACTGAGTTTGAATTAATTTTGGCGGTTGCCTGCTGCTGGCTGACCTAAATGCCTTTCTGCTGATGACAATGATGATTGCGATGTTGATTGAATGGGGATCATGGATTTGAAAGGGCAATTGCTTGGCTCAAATACCTTTTTTTGGTGGGCTTTGCCTCATGAAGGTGTCTTTTGCAATGACAATATCTGAAAAAAGTTACTGTAGATCTTACACAAGTCTTGTCTTTACTTGAGACCAGCTTTATGTCGCCATCTTATTAAGAGCATCAGCAGCAGCGAATGGTATGACAATTCTATTATCAGAAAATGGAGATTGTGGTGTGCAAATGCTACATAAAAGTTGAATTTTCTTTAATAATAGGCTTTGTTTGATATCAGTGTAAGCAAAAAGGGTGCTGAGGGAGATATCTCCTCTCCTCCTCCTAGCTCTGCTATAACCTTTTTTTTTTACTTTTTTTTTTTTTTTTTTTTTTTTTTTTTTTTTTTACTGATAATTGGTTGTTTAAAATCTACTTGACATACCAAAATGTCTTCGACAAGAGCCCGCAGAGCGACGCCGAATGAGTCCAAACTGCTAGGGATAATAATACTGACGCAATGAAATCCTGCAGCACAGTCTGTTGGTGATTGATGCCAATCTCACTCAAACGCTGGACGATGGCGGCTTTTCTTTCCTTGCCTGAATTGATATGAACGGACTTCCGTGTACCCCCCCCCCCTCCCAGAAATTTTGACAAGCAGCGCTATAAAACAATTGAAAAAATTTTCAAGCAGGCAATTCTCTTTTTGTCTCTTATTACATAACATATCATGGGAAACGTCTGGTCTAGATCAGAGTCTCAAGGACAATCACAGCAACCAGAGGTCAAGGATGAAGTAGTCACCACTACCACCACAACTGTCGTGAAGGAGACATCCACCATTCAAGTGGGTGTGAAACGACCTGTCGATGATGGACTCGAGGTCAAAGGCGAATCTGTCGAAGAGGTCCCTTCAAAAAGGCCCAAGAGAAAGGACGGTTGGGCCAAGAAAGCCAAACAGAACAACAACAAAAAAGAGCCAAAGGGAGACAGAAAGGAAAAGACGCTTCAGACAAGACCTGAACATTTGGGTCCTAGAGAGCCTCGTATTCCCAAGAAGAAGGTTGCTCTGTTTGTGGGATTCAATGGAACAGGATATCAAGGCATGCAGTTGTAAGTTGCCTTAATGAGGATGGGGAAGGAAGAAGCTAATCTATCATTATAGAAATCCCAATTGCAATTCCATTGAGAGTGTGTTATTTGATGCCATGGTCAAGGCAAATGCCATTTCCAAGGACAACAGCGACGATGCAAAAAAATCAGCCTGGATGCGTGCTGCTCGTACAGATAAGGGCGTCCATGCTGCTGGCAACTTGCTTTCGCTCAAAATGCAAATCCCAGAAGACTACGATGTTGTCGAACGTATCAACAGCTTCTTGCCACCACAGATCCGTGTGTGGGGTTATGTTCCCTGTATCCGATCTTTCCACGCCAAAAACCTATGCGATTCCCGCGTGTACGAATACTTACTGCCAACATGTGCCTTTATGGCTCCCGAAAAGAAGATCTTGACCGACACACCTACCTATGAAGACGATCTGGTCATCTCCAACAACAACCCAACAAACCCCATTGTCAAATATGCCACTCGCAGCACACCTGAGTTGAAGCAACAGCGACATGATTACAGAGCAACGCAAGAACAATTAGACACATTCACTGCAGCCATGAAGATCTTTGAAGGCACACACAACTTTCACAACTACACCAATGGCAAGTCCTTTAAAGAGAAGAGCGCTCACCGTTATATCATGAGTATCGATGTGTCCAAGCCCATGTACATTGATGGATCAGAATGGGTCAGCATCAAGTTGCACGGTCAATCCTTCATTTTGCATCAAATTCGTAAAATGATCTGTAAGTTGGGCGGAGAGGGGGAGGGTTGTTCTGTTTTTACTAACCTCAAGCTGTAGCAATGGGCATGCTTGTCACTCGTTCGAATACACCCATTTCATTGATCCCCAAGACATTCGAAGAAAATAAGATCAACATCCCCAAGGCACCTGCATTGGGTCTGTTGTTGGAGCGTCCCATTTTCAAAGTGTACAACGACAAGATGAGATCAAAGGCCAATCAAGTTGAGCGAGATATTGTTGATTTCGATGTGTACAAGGACAAGATCAACGCATTCAAGGAAGAATGGATCTACAAAAAGATCTTCGAGGCCGAGAATCAAGAGCATGTTTTTGACGGTTATTTGACCTCTCTGGATGCTCATCTCGGCGATGATTACAAGTATTTGAATCCTGAAGGTGTGATTCCAGACATTTGCCTCGTTAGCACAAAGTACAATAGACCCACCAAGCATGAGTCGGAAGACGAGGAGGAACATGATGATGAATAAGTTACACACACACACACTGAGAGAATAAGGTTTATTCTTCACCCCCCCACAACTTTAAAGCATGACTAAAGCAAAATACCACGCTTCCAACCCCTTTTTTTAAATAGTTTTTTGTTTTTTTTTCTTTTTCTTTTTTTTTTTTTGTTGCTTTTTCACACTTTATCTAATACAAAACAAAATAAACCATGGCTTCTACTGCAAACGATCGTGCTCAACAAATTTTTGGTCATTTAGCCAATGCATCTCCTTCTCTTCAAGGTAAAGTGTGCATTGTGACAGGTGCTGGCTCTCTGTATGGTATTGGGTAGGTTTTGATCATCATTTGCAACACTGAAATCACATACAAACTAACACACATGCTCAACAGCCGTGCCACTGTCATTTCTCTCGCCAAGCGAGGACCCAAAGTCATCTATGCTACTGATTTAACATTGGAAAACTTGGAGGAATTGGCCAAGGAGATCAAGGACACTTACAAGGTGGAGTGTATCCCTCGTGCTGTGGATGCCGCCTCTCAATCCGCTGTAGAGAGCATCATTGATGATGCTGTTGCCAAGTACGGTCGCTTGGATGTCTTTTTCGCTAATGCTGGTGTCGCTACTGGTGATCGTTTGCAAGATGAGGACGCCGAGTCCTTTATGAACATGATGCGCATCAATGCATTGAGTGCTTTCTTGGCTTGCAAGCATGCTGGTGCTGCCATGCTCAAGTTGGGTGGTGGTAAACAAGTTACCGGTGGCTCTATCATTTGCACTGCTTCTGTTGCTGGTATCAGATCTGGTGCTGGATCACCTGAATACTCTGCATCTAAAGCTGCGTAAGTTTTCAAATGTCTTGCAGAAATCTCGGCATAGAACTCAATTGTTTTTGTAGTGTGATCAATTTGTGTCAAACCAGCGCCTTCCAATACGGTGGCACCAATGTGCGTGTCAATGCCATCTGTCCTGTAAGTTTTCACAAGTGTGGATTGCAAAATGTCCGTATTGAATGTTTTGACTGTAGGGCTTGATTGAAACTGGTATGACCAAGGGCACATTCGATTATGCTCGTCAAAAGGGTTCCGCTCACAAGATCGGTCAATTGAATCCCACCAAGCGTTATGGTGTTGCCTCTGAAATTGCTCATGTTGTCGCATTCATGGCCTCTGATGAAGCCTCTTATCTTAACGGCCAAGCTATTGCTGTTGATGGCGGTCTCTCTGCCAGTCATCCCATTGTCCCTGGAAGATTCCATTAAATGTAAACAAAGCATAGTTTATTTGTACCATATATATAAAAAAATCATCTCTCACAAGCCAAGTTGTGTGGTATCTAAAAAGTGTTGAATAGTAGCAATGCCGCTGTCTGTAGTAAATCGCTTTTGTCGACAAACAATACTTCCATGCGCATTGAATGCTCTGATATACACCCAAACGCGTTCCCATTCCAGCAATCGTAAGTTTCTGTGGATGCGCTTGGTTGTGTCAATAAAAGGAAGTGGTTTGCATGACTCGTCGAGCAACTTTGAAGGCTCTACATTGTAATAGTACGTCTTGGCGTTCAATGCATCAGATGAAGTAGAATGCTTCTTAGGCGGAGAGTTTTGTTCGCCTGGTAAATTGACTGCATCCAAAGCACCTGCCAACAACTCGCCATTCATGTATCGATCTGCCTCACTGGACCGACGTCCCAATGTCTCCTCTGATGTGCTGTTCTGGTTGTTAGTAATCAGCGACTTTTTCTGATCCAAGATTTGCGATGTACGGTAACGACTGACGAGACCTTGAAACCCGATGAAGGAGAGGGCAAGGATATAGAATATAGGGCCAAGAATGGGTAGCAAACAATAAAATGTATACTTGAGGATGATGGGCTTGAGAGGCTTCTTTTTTCTCTTGCCATTCGCATCCAAATCACCCACTTTGTTGCTCTTGGGCGCATTCGGTAATCGTTTTTCAAATGATGTGATAATCGAGTTGTATGTCTCGTCCAATGTGCTATTAATACACCTCAGACATGAATATCCCTTCTGCTGTCATATTCCTTGCACATAACTTACAAATCTACCTTTCCCTTACTATTAAAGAAATAATCTCTCAGTTCCAATCCTGCAGTCCAATAAGCCACTGTTCTATCGTTGGCAATATTTGCGTAAGTTCGTCTTTTCTTGAATTTCGACAAGTACTTGAAATAAGGTTGATCTGTTACAAAAGAAATCATGAGTTACTCTTAGCTGCTGGGAATTCATCCATGCAATGTTTACCTGGATCCGACAAAATCTCGAGCATCGGCTTATTGTCAACTTTGTCGTATTTATCTAGCAGCTGGAGCTGTTCTCCAGATCTGGAAACGAGTCTACCACTGACGAAATTGAACATGATGGAAAATGCGTTGGAGGATGGTAATCGGACGCCCATGTGGGGTGTTGCAAATGTGACAAAGTACTGCCATATGTGAGCCTTGCTGTAATGCATGCATTCCGTTATATAATCACTTACTGCTGGCTCAATAGTGTTGAAGAATCCCTTTTGCCCTAAATGTCCAATGGCATATCGCACGATTAATCCACCTAATGAATATCCTATCATACTAATTCTCTTGACTTGCTTTCCATTTTTCCCGAGTCGTACAACTGTTGATTCAATCTAATGTTGTTCCAGTTAGCAGCGATGGTGATGAGATAGCATCCCTATCAAAGCAAGCCTTACGTCTTCAGCCAATCTCTCACCACAAATATCAACCCCATCATACGAGAATTTTGCTTCATTGACGCTCGAATTCAACTATCAATGCAAAACAGAAACATAAACACCTGAAAATAAAATACGCTATCCGACTTGACTCTACTTGCCACATGAATCTTGTCTTGATATTTATCTATCAGCTTTTTTTCAATAAACACCATATGATCTCTGACGCCCCACAATCCATGGGATAGCACAACTAATGCTATATCCTCGGAATCTGGCATGCTTGCTCGAAGGTTAGCTTGCTTGAAATTGTTAGGAACAGCAGAGAAAAAGAGAGAAATGCCTTGATCAAAAATAGATCGCAGTTTTATACGATTGGCCCTCGCGGGGCGGCTAAACCAGTAATACCGTCGATCAAAGCGCATAAAGCCTTGGCTCTCGAATGCTTGATTCTTCACTGTCTCGTCAATTATTCAACACACAGTAGCTCTTGCTATTGTGTCCTGTCATTGTACCTACCATTGAATGGTATTGAATGCTTCAGTGGGCATTTTGAGATTCATCCTCTCTATCGCTGGATACGTTTATACCCAAATATAGCAATGTATATTACGTTTGCAATCCCATAATGGCGATTTTTATCGCTCATGTTAATGGCTGATTGCGCAAATCAAAACAGTTGTGCGCATTTAATGTCTTATCAGTTTTGTTCTGTTGTTAAACAGCACTTCGTTTCAATGAGGTTATAGAGCCATTAAATGCTCTTTAAAATCAATTGTTTTCTATCTGCCAAATCGAAACACTGTATACAACTCAGCTTAGGCTGATGATTTTGCATTTTGCTTGCGAAATCGTAATTTCTAATTATAAGGCTCACATGTCTCTAGATTGGTCTGTACCAAGAGTCAGCCAAAGCAATCAGGCTAAGCTATAGTAACTTTTGATTCGCAATGCCCTTCTGGTAGGCTTCACAAACATCGAAAACCTGTACGATGGCAGTGATGTTGCCACCAGCCAAACCAGGTTCAAACTCAGGTCAACCTGTGAATGCATGCCTTGAATTTTGCGAGCATAATGTCTGACATCTGCCAACCTTCATCATCTCTAATATATTTTCCAGAAAACTATATATAAAAAACGTCGGAATGGCCAATCAGAGATTAGAGACGTAAAAAACTTAAAGCACTGGGTACCGTACAAGGTTCGAAAAAACCATTGGCGAAGCTGGCACTGGGGAGGGAGACTTGGTATCTAATTCAACATTTGGTAACGTTGACCTATAAGGGGGGTTTTACCTCAGCGAAACGAAGGTGCAAAACCATAGTATTCAAGCAGCAAATTCAGGTTTTCATTTCCGTTATTAATAGACTTGTCAACAACATAACGCATCAGAATTTGCTTGAATTAGCTTTACCAAAATCAATATTCGTTCTATCTGAACCAGAAATTGCACAGGCCGCAAAAATGCCCTTCCTCCAGAAGATTTCAGCTACCAAGGATGCGCTTGATGCCGTGCAAATAAAAGCTATAAAGCAATACATAACCAAATTTGGCAGCTTTCAGGCCTTCATACCTTGACATATAGACCTTTATGAGCCACTGGAATGACGCCAAACAATTGCACTTGAGTAGTAGTAACGTCCTGACACCTTTGCTCAACTTGTTGAAGATCCAAAAAAAATGGCCAAAAATCGACCAAAAAGCATGAGGTACCCCTCATGGTTTTCATCGAAAATCAAACGATCGCGTTTTTTACCTTGAAAATGAAGACTTTTACTATGGTATATATTGAATCAAGAATTTCCTCTTGATTCAAAGCAACTTCTGAAACCACGTTTATGAGGTTTTCATATGCAAAATTTTGACATTTTGGCCTAAAGCCTCATTTCATATCTTTTGGAATTGCTCAATAAGTTCAGTCAAAACATCTATTTTACTTGGCACCATTGGAAGCGTCTTGAAAAGTACTCCAAGAATGTATTAGGAAGCATCAGACGATTATCACAATTTATATAGTCGAACATCACAAAACTGTTCTGTCAAGTCGAAAAAAGACGAAGTCTGTCCAATCTTGAAAAGAAAAAGACATACTGAGTTTAAATCAATGTTGGCGGCGGCGCTGCTATTGGCTGACCCAAATGCCTTTCTAATGATGACAATGATGATTGCAATGCTTATTAAATGGGGACAATGAAGTTGAATGAAGAATTGTTTGGCCTGAAGGCTTTTTTGGGGAGGTTTGCCTCATAAAGGCGCCTTTTTCAATGACAATATCTCAAAAAAAAAGCGCTGTAGATCTTACACAAGTCCTGTATTTGCGCATAACCAGCATTATGCGCCATCTTAATAGCATCAGCAGCAAATGGTATAACAATTCTATTATCAGAATATAGAGATTGTGGTTTATAAATGCCGCATAAAACTTGAATTCTCTTTTACATCGTCTCAATAATAGGCTTTGTTTTAATATCAGTGTATAAGCATAAAGATGCTGAGGGAGACATCTCCTCTCCTCCTCCTCCTGGCTTTTATATAACCTTTTACTAATAATTGATTGTTTAAAGTCTACTTGATATATCAAAATTTTATTATATCTGATATAAGATGTCTTCGGCGAGAGCCCGCAGGGCGACATCGTCATCGAGTGTAGCGCGATTGATCGGCTAGTCTACTATATACTGAATATCAAACGAACGCACAGCTTAGCTTACAGAGCTCTGGCGCAACTAAATACTTGCTTCACAGGCAGATACTCGGTGTCAGTTGTGGAGCAGTTGTAAAGTAAATGTACGCTTTTCCAATATTTCAATGCAACGTTAGCGGATGTATTTGTACTTATTGAATGCACAATGCTTTGTTTACTTTTTATACAACTTTTTATTGATCAAGCTTGTGTGTCTTGTCTTCAGGACATGATAGATAGCATTTGAATGATGTAAAGATAACTGTTGTCTAATATGCGGCGGTATATCTCTTCATCTGTCAAACAGTTATTGACAACATTATTTAAGGCACCCAAACTTGTTCTAGATCTGATATATTGATGCCTGACTTGTAAAACGGCTTGAAGTATTCCTTCATGAAAGCTGCAGCCATTCTCATTATGTATTTCTCTTCTCTCCACTCTTTCTCGTTCATTTACACTCTTTGTTTGCGTAGCATCAACACTATCTAAAACCATTTCTTAGTTCTCGTCATATTTTTGTATCTTGACAGCTCTTATTTATAACCAAATCTATAAAGCACTACTCTTGTTACAGTATGTATTGATCTGGTCAATCGATGTACCATTACAAATGCTCACATTTTTCTTGTCTAGTTATTTGTGTCAAATGTCTAGTGTGCGGACAAAAGTAGAGCAAAGATATCCGTTTACTGGCACTCAAACCAGCCATCCTCCCCAAAGAAGAGTCGTTGCTAAAGGGAAGAAAAGAGAATATGAAGCTGTAACATCCACACGTGCTACGTCCACATCAAGTTATTAACCAGTTGTTCATCGCCATCAAACAGACCAAGCAACAACTGTTCAACATGAGAACTCGTGCCTTTTTGACAAGGAAAGCTATTGAATATAGAAACAAAGGCATCCCTCTTGTATCAAATTACGAGCCTTCTCCTTCTGACCAACATCTCAATTCAATGGTATTTTCGGGTACTGATAACGGGCTGGCTGTAATGACAGAAACTATTGGCATGAATCTGAACAAATACAAATATCACTTGTCACTGCATAATAGATTCTCTCTTCTCACCCATCTCAATGCTGATGAAGGCAATTTGTCTGATAGTACTGGTACTGCTGCTGGTAACGATGGCAATGGCGTTGATCAAGTTATTACGAACGATGCTATTGACAAGGATGAAATTCGTGATGGCAGTGTTAAATGCGATGGAAATCTCAATGGTGATGATGACGACGCCGGCGCTACTGCCAATGATCGTGGTCAGACAACAACATTTGAGCCTCTGCCAGAGTCATACAAGATGCGTGCTGAAGATGTCGACTTTGGTTCTGGCCAATTTATGAGGCGAAAGATCACTTTGAAAGACAAGAAAACAACAGAAGAAGGAAAGAAGGTTCAAGAGATTGAGCAGCAATTGCCGAGATCCAGTGTGTTCAGAGTTAAAGAGGTAGAGGATGTCGTGTCAAATCTTGGTGCACACAGAAGCAATGGCCAAGCATTGCGAGCGTTCTAAGACTCAAAGAAGCAAAATACTCTCTCTAACAAGGTTGAGCATATCGACAGGCGTTTCCGTTCTCGTTTTGCTTCGCGTGAAAGATCCTTTTGTGCTGATGTTCGTCCCCAAACGTCACTTACAATGTTCATTGGAGATCGTGGTCTTTGTGTCGGCTCTCGTTTGAAGGGTCATTTAAAGTATGGTGGAAAATGGAAGCCTCGCTTACATTCATCTGTCGCCACTGTGCATACTACCAACGAACACAAGACATCCCAGACGTGCATGTACTGCTTTGGGCCCACCTCTCATCCCACACAAACCATCAAAGCAAAAGATGGTAAGACCAAGGCAAGGTCCATTCATGGTGCATTCCTGTGCTTAAATCCTGCCTGTGTGTCCGTTCTCAATCACAGAGCCATTCAAGGTAGAGACAAGACATCTGCTTTGGCCATCGCTGTCTCTGGGCTTTCCATTCTCTTGTTCAAGCAGCCATTGCCTGTATTCAATCCAAACCCCAGTCAATCCAACACTGGCATTATTTCCAAGACCACCTCTTTCTGCAGCAGAAACGAGAAAAGGGACGGCAGCGGTGCTGTATTAGCGGACGCTTGAGTCTTCAAGGTAATGTGCTCAATCTGGCTTTTTCAAGAGACCGCTTTACTAATTTGTCACTTATTATTATACTCGCAAGATTCAAGCTTTCGTTTTATCTGGCCAAGATTGGACAGATTTGGTCGATTTCGAATCGATTTATTCTATTTTGTCAAATTCGACTATACAAACTGAGGTGATTATCGCGTACAGCCTTAAGCTTTCTTGGCGTACTTTTTAAGGCGCATCCAATGGTGCTAATTATAAAAGATATTATGACTAAACCTACTGAGCAATCTTTAAAAATAGGAAATGAGGTTTTTAGCAAAATCGTCGATATTTTGCATATGAAAGCATCACAAATGAAGCTTCAGAGGTTGCTTTGGATCGATAAGAACATTTTGATTTAATGTATCATAGTAAAAACCATGAGGGGTACCTCATAAGAACTATCCCAGCTGACATTCGACGCGCTTGCAAGAAAATCCTGAAGCAAATCAACGAGAACAAAGTACATATCCAACCGTACTTTAGCCTCATGCTACAACCCCCCTCAGGATGGCACCAACCGCACAACCGACATCTCCTTCAAACCGTTCATTGACTCCTATGACTTCAACAGCCAGCAAGGCCTCACTCGACAGATTTCGACCAGAACATTCCGCACAGCATGCATCGAGGCTCACACCTCCAGCATCGCCAGGTCCAACTGGAATTTCTTCTGGTCTCTGTCCCTGAACCTTGTCCACCGTAATGTCATCTATCGCTTTATCCTAAATATAATTGAATATCATATCAATTGCGCCCGCCTCTTGGTAGTGTCCTAGGGACCTACTTACACGGAGCAATCACTAAAAACAATTTTTTTTTTAAAAAAAAAAGTACTTCATGCTTTTTGGTCGAATTTTGACCATGTTTTTTTTTAGGTCTTCAAAAAGTTGAGCAAACGTGTCAGAAAGTGAGTACTGGACGAGAGCAATTTTTTGGTGCTATTCTAGTGGTTCAAAACGGCTACCAACGCGAGAAAACGCGACTCAAATATACGCAAACTAAGCTGTGTTTTCCATATTTTGTAGTAGTAAGAGGTAATGTAAATATACTGTCTGTCTGTATATGGTTTCATACTGATAATGCAGATGTGTAGCATTGCAAAAGAGTCAAATGCACAGTTACAGGTCGCTTACGGAGAGTTTTTACGATTTAACGAAAGGCTTTAAAGTTGAGCTCCATTATGTCATGACATGTTTTGATTTAGATAGTTATGGGCTCCATTACACATTTTATCAAGTAGTGAATACGATGTGATTTAATGGCAATGATATAGCATCTATAGCTAGCACTTCCCATATAAAGGCTAAGCGCACTAAGCTTTTGACATCATGAACAGAAGAATATAAGCTATGGAATCCTGTAGAAAATGTTTCAAAATAGCCTCAGGTTGTGTGTCAGTCTTCCCATCTTGGGTATAAAACTTCTTTTTTGAGGCGATTAACCGAAGGCAGTGTTGTACAAACCTAAATTCGTGCGAAAGCATAAACTTCATGCCAAGCTTTTTCTGTAGAGAATAGTTGGAAAGTTTATTAGAGCATAATATAGGCTTGATTCATTCTGAAAATGCCGATCATTTTTGTAGTGATATATTAGGGTTAGAGAGAAGAGAAATATGATGCTTGCCAGTACGTGTAATGTGCTAGTAGTATCTGAGAGAAGCAACGAGAGATTCAATCTAGACCTACAAAGTGTTACATCGTTCACAGACGCTCGTAATCTCGTTCAAATGCACGTGCTGTATATGAACGATGCAGTCTTTGTTTATAGTCTCACTCTTTGATATACGATTCAAGCATATCAATAACAGCTGTTTCATCTAGCAGACTTTCTGTTCTATTCATGCAATGCGATTTCTTCAATATGAACATTTGTGACGCGATGCAATGCTGTAGAGCGCGTTACACACTACGGCGATGTAGACTTCTTTAGAGAAGCATGTTTAACTGCGGATGTAACGATGTACATGACAGTGTATGTATTATCCAAAACGAATACCAAAAGCGAGCTTGCTTGGTTTTAAGCTTTTGAGATTCCAGGCATTCTTTTTGGGGATCCAGTAATGCTTGGTTGGTTTCATATTATATTAGTGTTCTCAACATGTACGCCACACACACATTTTGCCCTGATAAACAAAACATGTCAAAGAGTGATATGAGGGGTCATCATGATGTAATAGCCAAGTAAATAAAACGGATGTTTGAAGTATGTATTCAAGAAGCCTTTGCTTCCTTACAGTTAAATGTGTACAACATCATGTACGTTTAGTGAACTTTATGTTGGGCAAACGCCCTTTGAAGTATAGAGATGAAGTGTTAAAAATGCACTCATATAAACGTCATGGTGAAGAAACAAATGTTGGTATTATTTTTAGAGGCCAATCAGCTGCAATTCATGCTAACAATTGCCCACTTGGCACAACATAAACACAATCACGGCTTTGCCTTTCATATTAGCGGCCTGTGATGTCAAAATTGATATTTCATGCATTGCGAGACACACATCAAAACTATATAAAGGACGTGATTTTCGCTACTTTCTTTTCATTTTTCATTATCAAATATTAATTGATTCTTATTAAACATGTTGTCCTCTCACTCTGCTCCCCGTGGTGTTCTCACTGTTAACGTTATTGAAGCCCGTAACCTCCACAAGGAAGACCTTGCTGGTCACAATGATCCCTATGTTGAACTCTGGTTAGACGAAGACTACAAGCAACGTTCCGAGACCGTCAAGAACACTGAAAACCCTGTATGGAACCAAACCTTCACCTTCAACATTGAGGAAGGTTCTTCCAAGCACAAGCTCTACTTCAAGGTCCTCGATAAGGATATGATTGGTGAAGACAAGATTGGTGATGGTCACTTGGATGTCTCTGAGGCTTTCAAGGGTACTCCCATCGATACCTGGGCCAAGCTCCCTGCCAAGTTGGGTCTTACCAGCCATGGTGAACTCCACTTTGACATTGTCTTCAGACCCGAGTAAAAATCTCATGTATAATAGCTAAATGATACCGAAATTCTATTTCAATGAATAAAAACTATTAGTTTATTAAATGTAATTAAAAATTTTGATATATAAATAGGAATGTATTTAATCTTGTTGAGTGGCAGATAACAAGGCTGTAGTAGAGGAAGAGTCTTTGTTACTAGAGATGGCAACAGCTGTACCATCTGAAATACATCTGTACTCTTGATCACGCCATGAGATCTTGGTGCCTGCCATGGCATAAAGATAGAGGGGTAACGCCAATACTTCTCTTGATATCCAAGCACGTAAGAAATGAAGAAACGGGAGTGGTTTCTGAGCATCCAGAGTGTGTAACGAACTAGCACGCACTAGTGTACGATATAATATGCAGTCATTCATGAACCACCATGTCCAGTGAACAGCAAAAAAGAGTGGCATTGGTATGTTAAATACTTGATGAAAGCCAAATGCGCCCATGAGACCACATATGATAGACTCTGTTATCGGCTCCACCAAGGTAGCTGCAGTGACAATGTACTTTCTCAGGCGCACCCATCTTGCACGACGTGCACAGTAACCTCCAATGGATATAGGGCCCAAAGCCTGACAAGCCACGTCTGCACTCATGCGATGTCGAAGGCCTTGGTGCCACAACGCTTCGCCAATGATATTGTCTTCGGCCATATATTTACCAAACTTCTCCAATCCACCTACGCGATCCAAGTCGGACCGACGATACAAGTTTGATTTGCCCATCACACAGGAAGCGATACCCACACCGTTGATGGCTAAATACATTTTAGCGTGGTTTGTATCGAGGAACGTCTGCTCAATCTCGGCAGCGTAATTTGCCGGCTGAACAGCAATTGGCAAATGATGCACCAATCCAATACCAGGCAACATTAATTGATCGACGGACCTTCCCAAGGTATCTCTGTCAACATGCACATTGCTATCCAACACCCACACAATGTCGTATTTCGCTGTCTTGTAGGATTCGACCATGTTGTTGATTTTAGGATTGATGCCGACTTGATGGTCACCTGTTTGTGGTGGTTAGTGACACACAAGACATCATCCTAATGAACCTTGAAGCATGCACTCATACCAACAACCAATCTACTGTCTACATGCTCGTATTCTTGGCGCAGTTTCTCGACGATTTTGATGGCAGGGTCCTTGGCTGATGCCACTGAAAAGATAATTTCAAATTTGGGATAGTTTTGTACAAATGATGATCGCAAATTTGCCTCCAATTCCAAATCAACCCCTTTTAAAGGTCGGATGATTGAAACCCCTTCCGCTTCAGATGCTGATAGTTTTGATGATATTGGCTTTGGTGGATGATTATATCTTGACTGTCTGTCACGAACGGTGAATACATGTCCTACGCGCAATAGGCTGGCGGTGCTTACCCTATGTACTGGCCGAATAAACTCAAGCCCAACATGAAACAGTACCAAGTTACAAGCACATAATTGATAATAGTCCAGGCAGACCCACTTGATGTATCAGAATCCATTATTACTTGATGGCCACTAGTGAATTGCCATGGAAACAGGAAAGGAAAAGGGATGTTTGGACAGAGAAACAAAAGACCCCTTTTTTTTTGGTTGAAGGAAGAAGAAAAAAAAAAAAAAGTAAACAATCGCCTTGAACTCCCCTCAATCTATATTTATTGTCAGTACAATCAACCCATTTGAGGCTTTTTTCCTTGTTTTAATTTCTATTTATTGTAAAACAGCATGTCCTTTACCAACTTGACATCAAATGAGACATACAACCTTAAGGTAGGCGAGCCTACATACATTGGAAGACACAAGTATGGCATTGAATCAAAATTTATCAGTGAAAGACAGCGTAAGAGACCCCATTTTTCTCATTAATGCATGGCATACTCAGCTCTCTCTATCTCTCATTAGTCAAAGTGATACTAGAAGAGGACAACCGATGCTTTATTACAAATGTAGGCATGAGGCACAGCATAGCATGGCATGCGGACTCGCTGACTATACATTAGCTCTCAAATAAAAGAGTCAGGCTGAATCAAGCTGCAATTCTAATCAATGATGAGCATCAGTTACAAGATGGAGATGAGATTGACTTGTTATTGGAAGGCATCAGGGTGAGAGCATCATTCATAGCAGTGCATCAATTCTAGCGCCTAATCGATGCTGTAGAAAGGAAGACACTTGAAATTCAGATTCAATCTGCCCCAACTCGCTGAAAGACTAGTTCGTAATGTTGCCGTGATAAAGAAACAAAGAGAAGCTAGTGTAGACGACGGCAACAACAGCAGCGACTACAGCTACAGCAGTAATGAAAACGAGCTCAGCAACGATGAGCAAGACGATGTTATAAACTACAGCGACATTTCACAAGAATCTAGTTTATTAGGCGATAAAGACTATCTTGCCAATTAAGCAGATACGAAATCATTGACATCCTTCAACCAATTGACATACTCCTTTTGCTCCTTGTAATCAACGTAATCTGGTAAAAATGTAGCTAATGCTGTATCAATACCACGCTCCTCCAAATAACGACTGAATGTTGTTTGAATCTGCTCATCCAGCTCATCAAATACAGGACCCATATAAAGATCTTGTCTTTGCTCTCCAATATCCACAGTTGCCATGTCTTGAGGCTGAATTTGTCCTTGCTTGAAATATCTTACTGCATCAATGTGCAAATAGCCATCTTGAGCTACTGTGTTCAATACCAAGCTGCCTCTGTCTTGCTTTTCAATGATAACAGTAGCACGCACAGGGAATGAGACATCGTCCAGGTCTTGGTCTTTGATGGCTGTCACCTCTTCCTCTCCTGCTGTAGCCTCCTTTTCATCAGCAATGTCGGTTGTGTCTTTTGTGATGATTTTTTGGCCATCTTGTAAATCCTCTTCTGTAAATTCCTCTACCGTGTTGTTGATGTCAGAAATGGAGAAAATGACATTGATCCTATTGTAACAAGGTTTGCATGAATTGATGCTTGGGATAGAGCCCTATTCGACTTACTTTTCATTGCCAAATGTACGAGTCAATGTCACCTTGTCATGCCCTACTCTGTCCTCAATCTAATGTCATATGAGTTGTGGTTTCTCTCATGCTACACTATGGACTTACCTGGAACAAATTGGTATCAAGGAATTCTTTGATAAAAGCAGGCGTCTCAGTCTCGGTCTTTTCAAACTGCAATTCTTCATCCAACAGATGAACAAGGTCAGGGTCAACTATCATGAACAAGCTTTAGCTGTTTATTGTTTCTATATCTACATGCGTTTTGAAAGTTACCATCACCGCTACTTGAACGAGGTGCAGCAACTGAAAAGGCTCTTTTGCTGTTGGCTGTATCAAAAGTGGCTGGCTGCAAGAATGTCTTTTTCATAGCAGGACGAATGAATCCATTTTTGTAAGCGGTACGAGCAAAAGCCTGACTCTTTGCTGTATTTACTAAAGGGCGTAGTAAAAATCTAAAGCTAGACATGATAAATTTATGGTAAAGAGATGTGTTTACTGTTGATGCATGTGCTTTGCAATGCTAAAAATTCGGGGATTTGATATTGCTGCTTTCCATCTTTCCATTATGTGGCTTATTGTGTGGTCTTTGAGCCATCCTGTTCAATGCTGATCTGTAAGCATATACCATAGCAGAACTCATAAGAGAGGTGTCTATATTGAAACATGATGCTTTGGATATACCAGAGCTAAAAGAAGATATATTCAACCCAAATGCATTAAATATGAATAGCATATACTGAAAGACCTGACTAAAGTGATGTGCGATGTTCATTATTGACCATCTGTGATCATTTCAATTTAACAGCACCAAAGGTAAGTCGACAAGTTTTCTTCATGCTTTTTTATTGTCGCAATTTACAGTCGCTTGGCAGTACCCCTATGATCAACAGTGTGATAATGTATCTCACTGAAAACATCCGGATTCGAGGTTGCCGAAATTCCTCTCAGATGTTCTCTTGGTATCTGTTACACATCCAAGCTTCTTGCTCTATCAAGCAAATTGGACACATCTCATTGCTGGTTGATCTATTTAATAGATTGACTCGATATCAGCTGTTATCACGAAACTCTCAAATGTTACATTGAAATATTTCCATTTGTACAAAATTGCTCTAGTTGGTTCCTTTAGCAAATCGCAAGATGATACATATAAACACTGTGCGTGCGTGCTTTAATTTTTTGTTCATTAAATTCGCATACACAGTTTCATCCACTGTATTTGTTTTGGTCTTTGTATAGACTTGATCCGCCACGATTCACAATATATTCAACAAGAAAGTGCCAAACGTTTTAATAAGACAAATGTGTAGATAAAAAAAAACATACAAATGGGAGGGATGAAGGTAAGATTGAGGGGTATACATATAGATTTGTTTTGCTTGTTTTGAAGCTATATCAAGATGATCTCACACCACTCATCCCAGCAGCGCCAACACCGAATGCCGGTTCCTCACCCGAACTACTCACTTCAGAAGGACCTCTGACCGTGGTACTCCTATTGACACCACTAGTATCACGATACACACCCGTTAGATCTGTGTGTGTTAAATGTCTAGCTGTTCTCGTCTTGATTCCAGGCGGTGAGGTGGTTAGATTTAATAAAGCTCTAGGGATAGGTAGCAATCCTGTCATTCTTCTAGCTGCCCAGAAACACACATTCATGGGCAAGAACATGAGTGTCACTAATACACGTTGTGCTGATTTACGTTGATCTTGCTCGATACTGTAGCATATGAATTGATCAAAGTCTTGTACTTTTTGGTCGATTTCTGTAAATCTCTCCTCTGACCATGAACGAAGCGACGTTTCCTTCTTTTCAAATCGTTTCATTGCTTTGCTCAATTGCTGAATACTTGGTGCAATACCCTGAGCAACCTATTTTGTCGTCAATATAAGCTATCTACTACAAGACCCATATTACCTGTCCAAGATCCCGCTTGGTTGCAAACGCCTTTCTCAGCCCATCCATTTCATCTTCCATCATTTCAATCTTCTTTTGCAGTACTTCGATTTCTGTTTCATCGACTTGTATTTCGCTCTGTAAGAACAGCGTTCTTTCCCGTAGTAGAGCCATGACATGTACCAACGGCTTTAATGTCGCAGCTAATACAAATACAGTAACATTAAAGGTACTCATGTACTTTTCGTAATTGCTTAGAAAATATCGGCTGTATTGTAGTGTATAGCCGGCAACTGCAGGTGACATGATGACCCAAGCCAAACCTATCAGTTCATGCCTCCTTAACTCTTCTTCAACGGAAGCTTTACGCTTCATAGCATATTCTTTTCTTTTAGAGTCCATGTGTTGCTGTTGTTGTTGATGGTGAGCAGCGTATTGGTGAATCATGCGTCGTGATCTGGCGCTTTCGTAATAGGACCATGGCACTGTGGAGCAATCATGCATACTATGAGTGGTCTGCCTCACATAACACATTTGACATGTATGTACAAACCTGTTATCCATTTATATACATAATACAAGATCAAGAGTATCATGATAAAGTCGCTCCACACTTCAGCACTACCTGCCACAAAGGCACCCAATGTTGGAATCACAGCCAAGATGATGGGCCATGAAATGGATGAAGAAAACTCATCTTTGTTGTTGCTGTGGTCTGCGTTGGTAGATGTTGTACGATTATTATAACTAGGACGAGTGCTATTATAACGAGGAGCAGGTGAAGGTGTTCTAGGCTGTTGCTGTGCTGGATAGGAACGTGGTTTATACCCACGAAGAAAACCTTCGTCTTGATGTTCTGTCGTATCTGCTGACATTGCTGTATAGATGAATCAAGAAAGAGAGACAATGAGAGAGAGAGAGAGAGAGAGAGAGGAAAGAGGGGGGGGGGATAAAACGCGAAGGCAAAACTTGCTGCTTTTTATACAAAACCCATTTTATGCTAAAATCACATAACACAACAAACATCAGAAGACTTGGGTTGTATAAACAAGGATGCTGTGGTAAGTTCAAAAAAGTGATATATTAAAAATTAAGCTTAAAACAGCTGCATTTCCGCTAAACCAAGTGTGTGTGTGTGTGTGTGTGTTCATGTTGGCGTCTATTCTTTAAGTGTATTTACTGCCCACTTGAGCTTCGTTGCATGCCCGTTTGTATTAGTTCGTTAAAAGCGGTTCCATGTATGATTTGATGTGAAATCGTTCTATCAAAGGCTGTTTAAAGTTTGTTTGTGTCGACATGAATGTTACATGTACACACATATTCTAGATCAGGTTACCTCATCAGACACACTAAAACCTTTTTGTTCTTGAGGAGTGCTTTACCTAGGCTCTGTTTCACTTACATTCGGCAAAGAGTCAGTCAGAAGATATGTAATTCATGCGCATCTTGCCCTGCTTCTGGATCACAACGCAATAGTCAGACCTGCTTGCATAGCTGCTTTCAAAAACCTGCTTGATTACAATCACATGTACAACGATGGATAATAAAACTAATTGATTGGATTTTTTTTATTCGATATGGCAACTTGATCTTTATAGACATACGAGTGTTTATGCTTCGGACGACTCTCTATCTTCGCTTCGCTTCGGTGAGAACCAACTTGCGCAACGACAGCTCGCGCTACCAATCGCCCTTGCGTATCTTATCAAAATACTGCTACTTTCATTTTGACCCTCCACTTGCACATGAAAACCCTTTATATTATCTGTGGATCTGATTCTTATGTAATGTTCCACATCCGTATACACGTAGATACTTCATAAACGGGCAAGTAGCATACAGAGATCACACCTTTTTAGTCAAAAGTGTGCCTAATACAGCAAAATTTGAGTGCATTGGAACCGTGTTTTCTCGCGTTTAAGACCGTTTTAGATCGTCAAAATAGCACCAAACAATTGCTCTCATCTGACAGTTACTTGCTGACACCTTTGCTCAACTTTTTGGGGATCAAAAAAAACATGGCCAGAAATCGACCAGAAAGCATGAGGCACCCCTCATGGTTTTTATCGAAAATCAAACGATGGCGTTTTTCACCTTGATAATGAAGACTTTTTCTATGGTATGTATTGAATCTATCTATCTAACATAACCCCTGAAATCATCTTTGTAGGACTTTGATATGTTAAATTTCGGCTTTTTGGCCAGAAACCTCTTTTCATATTTTTGTAAATTACTCAAAAAGTTTATTCAAAACATTTACCTTACTTGGTTCCATTGGATGCGCCTTGAAAAATACTACAAGAATGCATTAGGAAGTACGAGCTGATCAGCACAATTTATATAGTTGAATCTCATAAAGTAGTTTAATCAAGTTGAAAAACTATTGAAATCTGTCCAATCTGAAGCAGATTGTAAGTCTGAGTTGGAATTATTTTTGGCTGGTGGGGCAGGCTGGCAAGCTCAATGCAATAATAGTTGCTTTTGAAGCCAATGAAATTAGATGACGAATTACATAGCACTGCATTTAGCTATGCTATTTTCTTTTGAAGCCTTGCATCTAATAATTTCAGTTTACCAAATTGCTTGTAAGAGATCAACTTCTTTCCTTTTTGAGGCTTCGAACGTGTGTAGGGACAACAAATCTATTATGTAATGATCTATTCGAAAGTGCTAGTGAGAGGTATAAATTGTGTCAGGTATTTAATATAGAGCAAGTAGAAAAAAACGTCTAATTGTAAGTAGTCTGTAATCTTTGGCATGAATACGTACTCACAATCTACTATAGGTTCATGCTCAATCAGTGCCTCTTAACCATTAGTAAACATTTGATTATTAGGAGGTGTTATTTGATGCGATTCTCTTTTTTCGTCAATTGAAGAGAAGAATACTTTTTTTTATAGTATATTAATCTATCATTTTGTTTAAGAAAAATAGGGCAGCATCGCTGTCAAATACAGTTGCTTCTATGCATTAAAGCGGGACGTTATAAATGCCATTTGTAGTGTATAATACCAATACACATTACTCACATAATATCTTATTCACAGGCTCAAGTTTCATATCAAGATCGATAGGGATTATAGTGTAGTATAAAATCGTTTTTTAATTGTATATAAATGTTTATGTAGAGTAGAAATAATACAGAAAAAAAATGACAAGTTTATGTGCGAAGTAATAAGAAAAAGGAAAACATGAGAATATATAATTATAAAGAGAGTAGAAATTTACATACGCTCCAAAGGTCTCAAACCCAACATACGCATGGCGTTACCGAGAGTAATACGAGCAGACCAGTACATGAGCAAACGAGCATCAGCGACAGCGGGATCAGCGCCTCTGACCCAAAGGTTTTCGAAACAAGCAGAAATGTCATGAGACAGCTTGAATGCATAGGTGACAACATTACAGGGTTCATAACCGTTAAGCAAACTCTTGATGAGGTCGGGGTATTGAGCAACAGTACGGATAACATCGACAGCTTGAGGCTCAGTTAACAAGCTCAAATCAGCATTGTGATTGATCTCAAGGCCGCTCTTACGCTCAACAGAGGCAAGACGGGCATGAGCATATTGAATGTAAGGTCCAGTATCACCCTCAAATGTGCACATACGGGCCATGTCGAAATCGTAGTTCTTGATACGACGAGCAGAGTTGTCTTGGATCTTGACAGCAGAGATACCAATCTCATCAGCCACTTGCTCAGGGTCAGCAATTTCAGCATACTTCTTCTCGTTCTTGCGCATCACATCGTGCATGGTTTCCTTGGCCTCCTCCAAAATATCCTCCAAAAAGACGACTGTACCCTTACGAGTAGACATACCCATCACCATACCAAAGTTGACGTGCTCCAACTTGTTGGCCCATTCAAACTTGAGCATCTCCAAAGTCTTGAAGAGTTGCTTCAAATGGAGATCTTGTTGAGAGGCGACAACGTAAATCATCTTGTCAAACTTGTACTTTTCGTAACGTTCCATGGCAGCACCAATATCACGGGTCAAATAGAGAGTGGTACCATCCTTCTTTTGCACCACAGTCTTACCGAGCTTGTACTTTTCCATATCAATGATCAAGGCACCCTCAGACTCCTCCAACAGCTTGCACTCATGAAGCAACTTCATAGCCTCAGCCATACCCTTACCGACTTGAGACTCACCAGAATAGACATCGAAATGGATGTTCAGACGACCATAGATATCTTTGTACTTGACAATAGACAAGTCTCTGAAACGACGCCATAAAGCGAGGGCCTCCTCGTCGCCATCCTCCATCTTTTTGAAATAAGAACGAGCTTGATCGTGAATAGTCTCGTCTTCACCAGCATCCTTGTTGATAGCGACATAGACATCGTACAGATGCTTGATGGGATCAGCGACAAGCTTCTCCTCAGAGCCGTACTTGGCGAAACCGACAGCCAAAAGACCGTATTGCTTACCCCAATCACCCAAATAGTTCATAGTAATAGTCTTCCAGCCATTGGCATCGTAGATGTTGCGGACAAAAGCACCAATGATGGTAGAACGAAGATGGCCAGCGTGGAAAGGCTTGGCAATGTTGGGAGAAGAGAATTCGACAATGACAGTCTTTTCATTACCGAGAGAGTTATGGCCGTACTTTTCAACCTTGTCAGACACTTGGCCCAAGGTCAACTTGATCAAAGCGGTCTTGTTGATACGGAAGTTCAAGAAAGGACCAGCGGCGGAAGACTCAGTAACGTATTCGTTGGGGACAAAAGAAGCGGCCCACTCCTTGGCGATAGCAGCAGGGTTGCCCTTGAGACGGAGACGAGGCAAAGCAATGGCCAAATCACCATTCTCGAGAGAGCGAGGGTTATCGATGGCTTGATAAACGATAACGGGATCGAGGTTACCAAGAGCAGCAATTTGAACAGTGATCAAGTTTTTGAAAGCGTCCATGGGATTGACAGAAGGGTCGGAACCACTTCCAGGTACATCGGGAATGGTGAGGGCCTCCTTGGGAGCATTGGCAACTAATTCAGCAGCCCACTTGACAGCTTCTTGAGCAGGCTCAGTAGCTTCAACAGCCTTGATGTAATCAGTTTGACCTTCAGATCTCAAACTGTACCAAGCACCAAAATCAGCAAATGTGGGTGCATCGCCGGTCAAGAAAGTGGTAGTCTTGGAGGCAATACGAGCCTTCAATGCATCAGTGTTGTTGACAAGAGCCAAATCTAACAAATAAGCAGCGAGTTGATTGCTGGCATTGCTTTCATCCAAGAGGTTGTGAGCGCGAATGAGGTAACGGACAGTGTTGGGGAGGGTCTTTAATTCGACATTGTTGTCCTTGTACAAGAAAGCAGAGCCAGCTTGGACAGTGACAGACTTCTTTAATTCAGGGCTGCTAGCGATAATGGCCAAGATGCCAACAGTGATGTTCTTGGTGTCGACCGTCAAACTCATAATGAGGGAGAAAGGGGAAAAAAGTATATAGAGAGAAGAGCTTGAAAAATTCTGTTACATTTTATATGTCGTTTTGTAAAAAAATATTGAAATGAGTCATGAACTTCTTTAGGTAATACTAAGCCACTATATTCAAGTTTGTTGAGAGAGTAAGGCATTACCAATACCGGTACACAAACATTCATATTAGCATTCAGATAGAATAATAAGGTTTATTAGCTTCGGCGTATAGTATCGAGCGAGGAGATCAAGGAGAGAAAGAAAGAAAGAAAGAGAGAGAGAGAGAGAGGCATGTTGTATTTGGGATGTGCCATTTACTGTCGATCTGCTGTGCTACAACGACATGCGTAGTGGGTTGGATGGATATTGACATGTCTTGCTCAAATGAATATACTATGCCTGGAGCATAAATGGCATGGCCTTTATGACTAACAGTGTATACAGTACTCTGTTTTCTTGCTTGGAATTATGTTCGATGACTAATATCCATCAAATGTCACTGCCGAAATGAGCAAATTACATAATTCGACCTTGTGAGCTCTTTTCTGGCATGTTACTTACAGTCATCATGTAGCAAACTAATCACTAGTAAGCCCCGTAGACGGGCTTTTATACAATTGTATAACTTGTTATGTAAATGCCGGCATTGGGAGAAGTATGTTCTTTTTAATCAATGTGATCCATGGCTGATTTGTGATATAAGAATTTGGGCCCTTTCCATTTAATGTTTGCACGAATATTACCCGTTCCAAATGCTATGAAGACGGTCAACTGATAAAGCTGACAGTGAGCATTTCAGTTGGCAATCAGTTCATTAGTATGTCGTCTAGGAACATCCTACATGTTCTGCAACTGATAACGGGAAATCAAGTAATACATCTTTACTTGATCCTGTGAAACTGCTCAACTGTATAGACCAAATTGACTATGACTTAGCTTTTCGAGATGTCTACTACAATTACTACATCATAGCATTTCCCGAATCAAGCCCTTCGTTCGCCATTGTTGTTTCCCCTGAATTGATAGCTTGATTAATGCAACATCGTGTGACTATCAGCTTGAGCTCATATTATTCTTTAGAGTTATACACAGCATATCTCACTTCTTTTTTACATTTACACATCTTATTTTTCTCTCTTTCATCAATACAAAGCAAAGTAGCAATGGAATCATCTCAACAGAAAAGCGATCAGCTTCAGAAAGAAGCGAGCGATATCATGAAGGAGCTCCTAAAGACACCGCAGCAAGACCAAGAGCACCAAGAACCTCAGAATCAGCCTATAAAGACAACGACTTTAGTAAGACAACTCTTTATTGGCAATGTAAATATGATGAATAGATAGTTTTAAGATAAAGACAAACATACTGAATACGGAATATTTTGAAAGCTCCCTTTCCGTGTGAGGTGGCAGGATATCAAAGACTTGTTCAGAAAGGCTGGCCCAGTGCTGAGAGCAGACGTCGCCTTAAATCACCATGATAACAGATCAAAAGGCCATGGTACCATTCTTTTTGCAACTGTATCCGATGCTCAAAACGCTATAGGTAAGGTGGTATAGATCTGCATATGAATACTGTATTCAAAGCCTTATCTACGTATCGTAGACATGTTCAATGGATACAAATGGCTAGGACGTATATTGGAAGTAAGAGGAGACCGTGGATTTGTGGATCATACTCAGCAACAAGTCGCTGCTGTTGATTCATCAACTACTACAGCGACAACAGTAACAACCATGTCTCCAAAGGCAGAGAAAGGGTCAATGGTGGAGGAACAGGTACTGTAGAATTGAATTAAACCTTGTATCACATGAACGGCTTATTCATTCTTCTGTTTAAATATAGCTGGTTGCACCATCAATATCAGCAACCACAGCAGCAACTTCACCCACCAAGAAGCAACAGCCAAAAGACACACACGAAGATGACCAATGCAAGCAAGTGTTTGTGGGAAATGTAAAGTGACATATGATATATAACTTGGATGAACGCTGACAGGATGCCCATTAATAGTTGCCTTTTAATTGTCAATGGCAGGATCTCAAGGATTTATTCAGGCACTCAGGGCGAATCATCAGGGCTGATGTGGTGCTGAATTTTGAGGGTCGCAGTAGAGGGTTTGGCACAGTGCTATTCAGCTCGCATGACGATGCAAAAAAGGCCATTGGTAAGCAAAGCGAGTATCTGGATGTCTGTGCTATTTAATTGAAGCGGGCCAACTAGAGAAATTCAACGGATACGAGTACAACAACCGAATTTTGAGAGTGCATTTCGATAAATTTGCTGCTAGTCATCAGAGATTCAGAGAGCATGAAGCAGAAACATATGGACAACGACAAATTCATGACCCTGCGTCAGTTGAGTTACTACGACAAACCTACTTGCCTCAGCAAACTGCATACCAGAATATGATGGGCGGGTTCGTCAATCCTTCGTTATTGATTCCAATGCAAACAACGTCCTATCCTTACCAATCATCTCCACAGCAACAGCATCAACACTATCAGCAACAGCCGCTCACCGATCCCGCATCCTCTCATGTCACGACCGAAACAGCTGAATCAAAGGCATCACCTACGCCTGCTGCTTTGTACAATACTTACCCTACCTTACCAAACAGTCTAAGCGATCCGATTGGCTTTCACTCGCAACATCATTATCAAAGTAACCCCTTCTCTTTCACCAACAGTAGCTACACACCGTCAGGTAGTAAAGTCATTTGCTACTACATCTTGATTTGAAACAACACTCACACTCTTTTTTAGCAGCCTATAACCCTAATATGATGAACAATGATAGACACATCCATGCAGATGCCTACGGAAATCCAGTGGCGTTCAATCCATACCTATACTCTACCCATCAATGGCTGCCGCATCACTACACTGCTGGATCAAGCTCACAGCACTATTATCCTCATCAGCAAGAAGGAGAAACGGAACAAGAAACTTTATCGAGTACTTTAGAAAGACTTTCTTTGTCGAATAGCGAAATTGATTCAGCTGGACTGAGCAATCGCAACGATGCTACTATTCGCAATAGCCCTTCGTGGAACAACATGCCAGTTTTTCCAGAAAAATAAATTTTGGTATACATATCAACAGCAACAAACAAGCCATAGTGGTATCCAAATCAGTGGACGTAGTAGTAGAAGAGGTGGGAGCAAGTCAGTGATGGTTGTAGTTTGGATCAATTGCAAATTCTCGGCCATACACATTTATCACGCCTGAAATGTGTATGAGCGGCATTGGTTGTGTCTAAAGCTAACGACTATCGTAAGTTTTGCAAGTACATGCTGCAACTATTCACTTCTCCGAGGTATAAAAGCATGCTTCAGCTCATTGAATTACATTTTTGCAGGTATCGAGGCTTCCAAAATTCCACCAAAAAAGCCTATCACTTGAGACCTGAATTTCATTCGATGCAGCGCCTTTGAATAATCGGATACGACTTTAAACTACCTACTAGCTTGCCGAAGCAGCATCTCACCCCTTGTTAATACACCAATTTTAAGCCAGATCTCGTCATTTTCAATCACAAGTATCTCTTGCTACAAGCCGTTTTGAACGTTCGGAATTGTGCCAAACCGTTACTCTTAGTTGCTATTTACTTTCTGATGCCTTAGCCCAATTTTTTTGGGGTCATGCCAGATCAATGAAAATCTTCATTTTTTCATGAGTAGTAGCAAGGGAAAATCTTTGAAAATTGAATGATCGCGTTTTTGACCCCAAAAACGACACTTTCTCTTATGGTATATATCAAATCAAAATGAAGATAAAGGCTCAACGCAACAGCCCACACTGCTTCTGTGAGACTTTTATATATTGAATCTCGACATTTTCGCGAAAACGCCATTCTCATATTTTCAAACAATGCTCGTTATTTTCGGTCTAGAAGTTTCATGTAAATAGCACCATTAAAAGCGCCTTCATCAGCTCTACATAAGTGTATTAGATAGTAGGGTATGTTAAGTACGACTTATATAGTCGAATTTGGCCCGAAAGCTCAAAAGATGTCAAATCAAGTCCATGGAAACAAGCATTTTAAATATCGCTGTCACGCGCTTGAGGCCATTTAGACTAACTGATTGGCTATGACTTTCAAAAACGCGCCTTGCCCCCATTTCCCTTTTCCCCGTTTTGTATACATTTTTCAAGCTTAATTGTAACCATTTTTAATATCTTTCGTTCAAGAACAACAGCTCTACAACTGCTAAACCTCGCTTCTGTAATCAAAAGAGTATAAAACAGCACATTTTAACTGGAATACTGTAAGTTTTACTCACGAATGAGCATTTGAAAGCGTTGTGCATAACATTTATTTATTATATTTCTGTTGGTAGTCTTTGCATTACTTGTTCTTTGTTCTGTGTCTGGTGGCTGCTTGCTCTTTGGTGTATCTCTGATGGTTGCTTTTCTAATCTATTTCCAATATCGCTTGTTCTTTACCTTCTGTCGTGGGTGCTGCTTCTCTTTTGGCTTGTCTCTCTGATGTTGCTGCCTCGGTAACCTATGTTTAGCGGCTGCTTCTGGTCTGTCTCCAGCAAGTACTTCTTTGATCTGCGTCTGCCGCTGGTTGCTTCTCTGGTTTTTATCTCGTTGCGGTAAGTAACTTTTTTCTTCCGGTCGCATTAATATGATCATACTATGAATGATTGTATTGTTGCTTCCTTGCGATAATGCATCCGTAGTGTTTGCCTTGTTGTTGTTTTTTTTTTTTTTTTTTTTTTTTTTTTTTGGCTTTACATGAGACTATCATCATGCATGATACTCATGTTGTATAGCTCTAACGATGTTATGGTATACTTATTTGTCAATGCACAGTACCTCGCCGCAGTTATTGTGCCGCTTATGCTCTTTTCCTTGACTCACTCTGTGAGTGCTCTTCTATGTTTATACATTCTCTTTCATTTCTTTTTTCTTTTACTATGTTTCTTTGAAGCATCTCTTTTTACGTTGTGGTGGATGTGCCTATCGCTGAAACTCAACAAGACTCTATCCGAGGCTAGAAGACAGATAGGCTGCCTTCATTTGGTTATCGCTACTTACTTTAGTGATGATTGAGGGTCTCAATGCCAGAATATAAAGCTAGGTGGTGTAAGTAAGGCATGCTCTAGCACCAGAGGGGAATTTGCCTATTAAATTACCTTATTTAGTAGTTTCAAACTCCGCCTCACTCCAATGCAGAGGGGATCCCTCGCAATTTTTTTCCCAGATTTGTGGTGTATGTAGCTTTAATGATGCGGTATGATTGGTTGAAATCTTTCAGTACAGGAGAGTATAATTCAATGGATGATCTGTAAATAAAGGCACGTATATAATCGTATTTTTTTTTGAATGTCATTTAGGGATTTATTTTCTGCTTTACCAAGCTTACGTGATAATGGCAAATAATACTCATTTTCGAGTGTTTATTTAAAGAACACAAGTAGTGATGCAATGGGGGAGAGACACATCCTAATTTAATTGAAAGATGTGTGATGTCAAGTGAATATCAGACAGTAATCGATGAACAATTAGAACTACACAAGAGAGCTTTGAAATTGATCGACAAAAGATTCAGTAACACAAATCTTGACACATTCATTTCAAATGATGGCGCATTTATAAACGCAGCCAGAATCTTCGAATTAAACAGAATCACAAAAATAAAGTTGTCGCATGAATGATCGACAGTTATCCGTTTATCCATTTGAACATTTGATTGCATTCGCCACACTGTTAATTTCGATATTTTGCATAATTTTTTTATTATTACTTGATTTGTATGACATGAGAGGGAAGCACACAAAATGTTACTGTATAGAGAAGAGAAAAAAAAAAGGGGGGGGGATATGAAGATGAGAGGAAATAATATTACAAAATATAGTTAAATAGTAACTAAACATTCATATGATACATAGAGCGAATTAGTTGTTTCGTTGAGATTGATCCAAAGAACCTGAAGAGAGAATAGTATCTTGATTTTGATCTTCAAATGATTGAGATTCATTGGCCAATTTCTCGTTTATGCCTGCATTGGATGTTGCAGGTGTGTAAGCAGGAGCAACTTCTTCCACCTCTTCAATTTCTTGCTTTTGTTGCATGTGTTGCTTGTTTTTGTTGTCGTTGGATACAGATGTGCTGTTGTTGTAAGCAGAGCCACTGTTGTTCCAGGCGATACGTTCGTTACCAGCAACATAGACACTAGGAGATGCACTCTCGTTGTTGCCACCCAAGTATCTTTGACGAGCAGCAGGGTTGAACATGAATACAAAGCCAAAGACTTCATCAGGGATCAGACGAATGATGACACCAATAGGCAAGGCCAACAAACCAACAACCAAAGAGATAGCCCATGCGACACCATCGATTTGAGTTACTTGGAAAGCAGCACCACCAAAGTTGACAATGATGGCTTGAAGAGCGATACACAAGAAGAAGATGGACAAGAAGAACTTGTTGGCAAAAATGTTGTGGAACACGTTCAACTTGGAATCGATACGACGACAATTGATCTCGTTAAAGATTTGACAGAATACAAATGTGTTGAATACGATGGTTTGCAAGATGGGATCATCGGGTTGATAATGAAGCACATCACTATAGAGCAAGACAACGGTAACGACAATTTGGAAGATGGCTTGGCCGATAATCATCTTCCACATCTTGAAAGTAATCAAAGGAGAGGAACGGGATTCAGGACCACGTTGAAGCAGTTCTTCAGTTGGGGGGTCAGTAGCCAGAGCAAGAGCAGCAAAGGTATCCATAATCAAATTGACCCACAGCAATTGAACCGCGGTCAAGACAGACTTTTGATCATGACTAACCACAGCAGAGATAAATGTCAAGATAACGGCAGTGATATTGACAGTGATTTGGAATTCCAGGAACTTTTTGACCGAATCATTAACACAGCGACCCCACATGATAGCCTTGACAATACTGGAAAAGTTGTCATCCATCAAGATGATACTGGAGGCTTCCTTGGCAACTTCAGTACCAGCAATACCCATAGAGAAACCGACATCAGCCAACTTGAGAGCAGGGCCATCATTGGTACCATCGCCAGTAACAGCAACGATATCACCCAATTCACGGAGACGACCCACCAAGATTTGCTTGTCTTCAGGACTGGATCTAGCCAACACTTGCAAGCGAGGTAAGATGGCGTCCATTTCACTAGGAGGCAAGTTACGGAATACAGGGCCTTCCATGACGATACCGCCGGGGGTATAAATGCCACATTGCTTGGCAATCGACTTGGCAGTAACCACGTTATCACCAGTGACCATACGAATAAAGACGCCAGCACGTTGACAAGCCTTGACAGCTTCCTTGACACCAGGACGGAGGGGATCTTCAATACCGACAATACCAATCAGAGTCAAGCCCTTGCCTTGAATGATGTCTTCGTAAGGCACTTCCACTTCAGAACCGACTTTACTAGCATGGCCATTGGCAGGAGGCCAAGACTCAAAATCACGATAACCAATACCAATAGTACGCAGACTGCGCGTAGCATAGCTTTGAATGATACGGTCCACCCTGCTACGATCTTCGTCTGTCAAGGGACGCGTCTTGACATCATACTCATGCTCAGGGTTCTTGTACTTGGCAGCATTCAGGGTCAAGATTTGATTGCAGTTTTCAACCAGGATTTCAGAAGCGCCTTTGACATGAGCACGCCAGATGAATTCACCTTGTTTTACAGGATGAGGGATGCGAATGATGGTAGCCATGGCTTTACGTTCACTACTGAAGGGGAATACTTGCTCCACAGGCCAGGCAGTACGCAGCGTTTCAAAGTTGTCAGAGCCAATGTTCTTTGCAAATTGCAGCAAAGCGGTTTCAGTCTTGTTACCAACGAACTGCTTCTCGCCGTTCTCATCAGTGGACTCAAAAGCAGTAGAGTTGACAGAGATACCTTGGCTGATCAAGCGAATAATGGGAGCAGGCACCTTTTCAGCAATAGTAGTGATATCACTGAGATCAACACGGTTGGCAGGAGGGTCTTGGATGAATCGGAAAGAGGAACCCAAAGTACCAGCAACAATCGTCATTTTGTTTTGTGTCAATGTACCGGTCTTGTCAGAGCAAACAGTGGTGGCATTTCCCATGGTCTCACAAGCAGCCAAGACACGGACCAAGTTGTTGTCCTTGAGCATACGTTGTGTGGCATAAGCAAGGGCTGTAAAAGAAAAGGGTTAGTCTATCAGCATTATGTAGTAGCTGTTGAACAACTTACCTAGCGTAACAGCAAGTGGCAGGCCTTCAGGCACAGCAACAACAACAATGGTAACAACCACAATCAAGATGCCCATGACTTGTTGCACAATCTCAGTAGGCACAGTTGGAATACCGTCGTATTTCCAGTTGACGAAATAACGAATCAGCAAGACAATCAACATGATCAAACCAGCAGCAGAGCCCAGCTTGGCAATCATGGAGGCTAAGCCGTTCAATTTCTCTTGCAAAGGGGTGGTTTCGTTGTCAGTACGCAGAGCCATCATTGTGCGACCATAATAAGAGTTGACACCCACACCAGTTACGAGGTAGGTGCAGACACCTTCCAAGACTTTGGAACCAGAGATGATGAATGGATCAGGAATGGACTTGTGATGCTGAGGCGTGGTCTTTGATGAGATGGAAGAGCCAGCTTGGTTGCTGTTTGGCACAGCAAGGAAATCAGAAGCAGACTTGTGTTCTTGCTGATCTTCCAGGTGTAGCTTCCAACATGCTTCAAATGTCTGCTTGCGGACAGCATCAGATTCACCCGTAGCAGCAGATTCATCACAGCGTACATTGTGTCCCTCGATAAAGATACCATCAGCAGCAACAATGTCACCAGGCTCCAAGAAGAGCACATCACCAACTTGGATGTCATACACCGAGATTTGCACTGTCTGGCCATCACGGGTAGCCTATGGTAATGTGTTGGTTGAGTGTGCTTTTCTATACTGACAACGCTATTTACCTTGACGACTCGATCATCTTTTTTTGCATTCAATTTACGAAACTGCTTTTCTTTTTGGAAATCATTGACACTGCCGACCAAGACGACAATCAAGATAGCAACGATGATAGCCACACCTTCAACCCACTTGACACCAGCGATTCTGTTGCCTTGAGCATCGTATTCTGGCACAGCAATATCTTCATATAGACCCACAGCAAGTGAAACCACAGCAGCCACAGCCAATAGAATCAGTGTTTTGTCATTAAATGCCATCCACATTAACTGGAAAATATTCTTTCCCTTTACTGGTGGTAGTGCATTTTTGCCAAAAATAGAATATCGTTGAACAAATTGGTCTGGTATAATAGAATGGGAAGTAGCAGCTTTCTTGAGTCGTTTTGGAGGCGGCGCTGATGCTTGATCTTGGTCGATGTCCGTGGACATGACGGTGGGTGTTGTTGTCAATTTGCTGGAATCCAGTGTAATGTCGTTGAGTGTAATGTGCTTATCTGCAGTTGTATTTGGTGTTAAGCCGTGGTGGACATCCGCATGCAAGCCCTTGGCCACGCCATTCAGGCCGCCGTAAGTGTGCAGTAAGTCTATGTTTTTGGGATCCTGCAATGCAGATAATTGATCTGGTGTAAATGCAAAGGGGTTTGAGGGGTTTGAATGCGGTGTAGTCAAGCTTTCTCTCATGTCGACCTGTATCGATTCATTTTTGGTATTAACGATAGAATCATCGTCGTTGATTTTAGTTGTAGAAGACATTATTGATCAAAGTAAAAAGAGAAGAACAAGAGAAAAAAGGAAATATTTATAGTGCAAAATAGGATTGCAGATCTATTTCATTCATGTAACGAATTCCAAGAATATGTAGCAATGTTTTTTTTAAACATCCGGTTAGAATCAAATCAACAGACATGATGAAACTTGACAAAATAGACCTACAAAGAATTCACAGAATTTTTACAAATTAAGCAAGAACTACCTTATTAACCTACAAACAAGCAGTAATCGCCAAACATTGAGCAGCCGCCCCCACCACCCCCAATCTCGAGCTAAATTGCACTTGGCAACAGCAAGCAGCAGTTGATTGCTGGTGCTAAGCAAAACATGGAAACAGTAGAATCATGGTCACATCACATTCAACATGTTATTCGATAAGAATGTTCCCTCTGCCCACTGGGTCAAAGTAAATCCCTCATTCAAGTTTCTTATATGGCTGTGTAACAGACATATTCTATTCAGAAAGCCACACCATCACAGTGTGTCGGACAGCAGACCAGAAAAGAATATTGGGAAAGATCACATCCTTCCTTCTGTACAATGAGATCGTCGCCTTGTTCGGCCGGTGCCATCCTATTTATTATTATTATTTTTTTTTTTTTAGAGATCAAACAATGACCTAATTTCGCTTGCTGTCAGTTTGGTGTTCTTGACGAGACCATGATCCAATGCGCCCTTTGTCAATAACGCCTGTTCAAACAAACAAATAAATACAACATGCTGCTGTATCAACAAATCTGTGCGTTTGCACGTTACCTTCTTTTCTTGCAATGCCATAATCTTGAGTTCAACCGAATTGTCAATTAATAATCGGGTTACATGCACGGGTAATCTTTGCCCTATACGGTGCACTCTGTCAATAGCCTGTTCTTCCAGCGCAGGATTCCACCAAATGTCCATCAGTATCACACGGTTCGCTGAGGTAAGATTCAGACCCAAGGACCCACATTTCAATGAGATCAACATGACTGTACAGTAGCGGTCGTATTTCAGTCGCTCCAGTGATTTCTCCCGCAGCATGCTGGACATGGATCCGTCGTATCGACAGAATCGAAAGCCGTGCTTCTTGAGTGGCTGCTCCATCAGATCCAGCATGGATGTAAACTGACTAAAGACAATGGTCTTTTCGCCGGGATTGTTGTCTCGCGTGTGCTTGAGTATATCAATCAGTTTGCGTACCTTGGTGCTTGTTTTGAATAAATCATTAGGCGCAGTCGATAGCACTGTCTCATTGCAATCTTGACAAAACGGCGATGAGGAAACTTCTGATGGAAGCACCTTGGCCCTAATGTTTGTATGTATTTGTGTCAATTAGGCAGAGAAGATTCTATACAGAAGCAAGACTTACTTTCCGCACAATTCACAGGTGCTATTCTGACCAGGATTGTCAAATGATGATGTGCTATTGGCATCTGTAACAATATCCAATACATCTTTATCATTATCAATTGCATTTAAAATCAGTTGGGGATGATCACAAGCTTAAACGCATTCAATGTCAGTATCTGTCCCCTGGATTTGGTGGTAGTGCAGATCTTTCTGTGTGTACTTTACCTTGTCGCAAGCGTAGTAATAGACAGAGCATATTCATGTAACCACCATTCTGACCTCCCATGGCCACAATACTCTCGCGCGTTCGAGTTCTCAGCAGCTCATACAACTGCTTCTCATGCTCGCTAAACTGCAGCATGATGTCTTGCTTTTGGCGAGTCGGTAACTGCAGCGAGAGTTTCTTGGACAGCGGTTCGTCTTCTTCGGAGGCAGTCGCAGTAGCATTGCTGGCAGACGGTTTGGGGGAGGAGGTGTTGGAGGAGGTGGGGCTAGCTTGGTTGCTTCTTAGCACATCCTTGGTTCTTCGCAGCATGACAGCGCGGAGGACAGCCTTCAGTCTTTCCATGGCAATGCTACCTTGGCCATTCTGTATGGGTATAGAGATGTTCTTTTTGAACGTCGGGTAGTCTGACAATGGCTGAATCTTGAGAAATCTGAGCAAACTATAGAGTTCGTCCACATTGTTTTGAATAGGCGTGCCAGTTAAACACCAACGTTTGACAGAAGAAAGTTCAGAACAGGAAATGGAAGATTTAGTCTGTCTGTTCTTGATTTGCTGGGCTTCATCCAACACGACGCGATGCCATTTCACCTGGAAAAGAGGTCCATAGCCTTTCTTGAGCTGCTGCCAATGCGAGGGAATGTTTCTGCTGTAGTCGTCGTCATCGCCATTGTCGTCCTGGTCTTGCGCAACAAAGCCATCCAGTGTCATTGTCTTTTTGCTGCTGTTGGGCTTCTTCTTTTTGTCACCAGGCGAGTCAGAAGACACGACCTGGTACGTTGTCACCACCACATCATATCGCTTAAAGACTGCAGGATTTTTTGTTCTGTTGGGTCCATGGTGTTTCAGCACTCGCAGTTTACCGTACTCCGTCTTGTTCTTGATTTCATCGACCCACTGATGGATGAGGGCCAATGGTGTAACAATCAGTGTCATTTGATGTTCTTGTTTATCCTCGTCATCTTCCTGCGCTTCTTTGGCTTCTGCTGCTTCTGGCGTCTCTTTTTCATCCTCGTCGTTCATGCTGGATAATATTAACCCAATCGTTTGAATCGTTTTACCAAGGCCCATATCGTCTGCCAAAATGCCGCCGTTGCTGCTCTTGTTGTTCTCTCGGTCAATCATCCAGCTTACGCCCTTGATCTGATGATCCATGAGGTGGATAGAGAGCCCCTCAATCACATAAGCATCGTCTTCCTCGTCTTCTTCCAGATCTGACTGGTCTTCATCATCTGAATCATCCGAGGTGGATGTAATAAGAGGCCTCTGGAACACATCATCGTCGTTACCCTCCTCTCCTCCGTCTATGAGGCCAAGCAGCTTTGTACTGTTTTGTTGAGCTGCCTTCTTCTTTTTGTTGTGCGTCTTCTTTTTCTTTCTAATCTTGTTGACAATAGGCACATCGCTGGGTATACTGCTCAACAGGGACTCGATATCCTTCTGACTCTGTCGCAACAGCTCTTGCTCGGAGGGGCGAGTAATAGATGTGTTGTAGGAACGGTAGCTGTAGTTGTTGTAAATAGAACTACTGTTGTTATTGGAGTTGTTGAATGACTGCTGCTGCTGCAAGAACTGCTGCTGTGCCTCGGGTAAATGCGCGTGAGGGTTGCTGTATCGACAGGCCGGATTGTAAAAGGGCGGTGTCTTGAGGTACAATCGTTGCGATTCAAAGTATTTGCTCAGTGTGCCATATAAATCAGGCCTACAATACAGGATAATGTACAGTGGGGTGCGAGCATTGTTGGCTTTTCCACGAGGAATAATGGCGTCCCACCAAATCAAGCGGTGATCTACCAATGGCCCCAATACTTTGGTGTCTTTAAAAGGAACCCAACCGTACTAGGGTGAGATGTTGCATTAATTTGTATGGCCTTTTTTTTTTTTTTTTTTTTTTTTTTTTCTTCTTTTGAATATACCACTTACAAATTTGGCGGGTATACTACGAGAGGTCACCTTGAATGCTATATTCTTGTGAGTGTCCTGTTCATAGTTTCATTTGCAAGATAGCTTACAATAGTTTTCAGTGTTTAATTTGCCTTCAGATTCCAAGGTAATAATTTCATATTGATCGTCTTTTGGTAATACAAGAGGTGGTTTCTCAACTACAATGTCCGTGATAATCATGCCAATGCAAATGTTTTTGATGGTCTGTTCTTCGTCTATCATGACTTCATCGTCATCAATGACAATCGGTCTTTGCTTGGAAGTTGCTTGGAAATGTTGTTGCTGTGGAGGTCGAGGTTGAAGTTGAGGCGGATGAGGAGCGTACATGATAGGTTGTTGTCGAGGAGGCATTGTTTGCTGAGACGATAAAGATGACTGGGGATACATGACAGATTGGGAAGGATAGCGCAATGCAAATGGCGCAGAGGGCAAAGATACGTGCATTCTATTCAAGGAAGGGTGAGGAGGAGCAGGAGATTGTTGTTGCTGTACCTGAGGCTGCTGTTGCTGCTGCTGCTGCTGCTGCTGAGGTATCTCGCTGGCTCTACTGTTCGTACTCTCCACTTGAGATGCTGGATTGCTACCATTCTCCTCATGCAGGACAGCTGATCGTGGCTTGTTTAATCTAACTTGAACGAATTTGGGTCTATTGGATTGGTGAGAGGGTGAAGAAGAGGCGGACGATGCCGAAGAAGGTGAAGACGGCAGTTTATTTGCATTTGGCTTGAATTTGAAATACTGAGCAAATCTCGTCTGTTGTGTATCATCTGTATTCTTTCTTCGCTTGCTTTCCTCACGCAACCGTAGCTGCTCTGTAAATAGCTCCTGTCTCGATTTCTCTGCAATGTGCAAGTTATTCAATGACAAGGAAGCTTGCTGCTGATCTACAAAGGAACTGCTTGTGGATGTGGATGTGGAGGAGGATGGTGTTGTTGTCGCTGTCAAATTAGCTGTCAGGTGTTGATTTCTCTAAAACTGGATATTAAATCATCACACAAAGAAAAAAGCAAGATGTACTCGCAGGTACTTACATTGAGTTGTAGTTCATTCAATGAAGACGAGGATGAGGACGAAGAAGAGGAGGATGAGATCAATCGTCTTCGCTTGGATTCCGTCGATATCGCATTCTCCTCGCTGGTATCCATCATCAGGATAGAGGATGAACGGCTGTTTGGTTTGCTCGACGGTGAGTCTAGATAAGCGTCTACAGGCGTGGTATTGTTGCTGTGGCTGCTGCTGCTATTGATGTTCATCTTGCAAATAAAAAGGCGATCTTAACAATTGGAATCAAAGCAAATGAAAGACATTAAGTGGAAATGAAAGGGAATGTTTAAAAACTTTTTTAACGAGATGTAATTTTTTGAGTATCAGAAAAAAAGGGGGTAGGCGATTGTAATATATTCAAACATTATCTCAACATTGCTTGCACAAAGATTACCCTCATCACATGACGCCTTCTTTTGTCACTTGATGTTCACCACATGATTCAACTAGAATAGAGCCCTGTTTTGAAAGCCATGCTGGTGAATGCCATGTGTTGAATGTAGGCTTCATGTATAGCCTATGCTATTAAATATATACACTCCCACATGTATCTGTTAAAGCGATACATCTTGTGTTCAAACGCCGTGGCAACTAGCGACTTCACCATCAGAACTCGGAGGGAAAACGCATTGCAAGTTGCAGCGTCATGTGGTGTTTACATATTTCTTGTTCTCTTTTGAAACAAATGCTGCTTGTTCGACATGTCAATTCAAACAAGACGTATTTTGGTAGTCTTGAGAACGCATCAGCAGGCATTTTTACTGCTGTTGGATCCGTTTTATACGGATATACCATAACATTGGCATCATCAAGCATGACTTACAGAATATGAAGTCTTGTTTCAATCCGACAAGATGCAGGAGCTCTTTTGCCTTAAATCCAGTCTAGACTATACCTGGGAACAACCGACATAATCAGTACATATGGCATTCGAAGATGATGCCTGATGAGCCAGTGTGTTTGGTATAGATGGCCCTTTGCTTGGGCTGTAGTATGAATAAGCTGTTATCGTCTACCACTCTTGCTCATTCGAGGTAGTCTAGATATTTGCGCATACCTCAATGGTTCTTCTCTGGAAATAATGGCTTTGTTTAGCAGCTGTGAATCAGAGTGGATCAGCTATCTGCTTTATCGGACATTGAGAGAAGCAGACAAATAACATCCATGGCAAAGCCGCTTGTATATCGATTTCAAGATTTTGGCTTTATTACCACCTAATTACTCTTCTAGAATTTTGCGTCCATGCTCCTTTGATTTAGTCATAGATTATGAGCTCCTGCCAAATGCTTTCTGAGGCTAAGCTTGCCAGAGTAACAATACTCGCATGGTGCACAGTAGAAATCAGAGTCATTGGTTTTAGCCATTGCGATAGGATTACGTATAGATGGGCGTTCCAATTCCATAAAATGAACACGCTTGATCTCGATAGACTTTTTGAACTTTGTAGGATCTCTAGCATTCACTACAGTGGTAATCAAGATCGTGTGGATTAGGAAACTCTTCAAGAGTAGGATACCCCCCCCCCCCTCAACGGTGATAGTGTCATTTGATGCGCCAAGCGAAGGTGGAAGCGATATCTGCCTACAGAAGAGTAGACTTTTCGACATACTCGGCAGTAGTTATTGAGGTCATCAATGACGGATTTTAAGCGGCCTTTCTTAAGTGCTGATTGGAATAGAGAGTGCTTATTTGCAGATAACTTTTGAAAGTGTTCTTGTTGGTTACTTTCTTTTTGCTAGAACGGCAATAAAGTTGGGATCATTGTCATTTTGAAGTATTTGTTGCGCCAGTAGCCTCCAATACACTCTATATATACAAACAAGATGTTTGCCATTAAATTTGGATTCACGAACAGCAGTATGCCAAAAATGCGTAAGCAACTTGAGTTCACATGGAACTTTTGATGAGCATCATAGCCAGCCTTCCACCCAATGATGAACAGCACATTGACTGCAGCAAGAGGAGGAGAGTTGCAATGGCAGAGGTTTACTTTTACTTCTATCTCGCTCTTCAGGTATTTGCTTTGATTTACTGCTGCTTCAGCATGGTCTAGATAATAATTAATGGCCATTTTCTCGGATGCTCTGGTTATAAATGCTTTAGTGTTTGCAAGCACACGCTCCGTGATGGTATCCTTGAAATCGTCGCTGTTCAGCTCTGACATGTTCTTGTATGCGGTTTCTGTATCCTAACAACTCGTTTTTGGTTTTTGCAAAGCTCTGACCGGCAGATTAAAGCCATGTAGTAGTAGTAGAGGAATACTTTTAAGCTGCTTCACATGCTTGAAGAAGACAGCATCATTGACTTTACCAGCCCAAATAATTTTAAATGCCGACTGTTTTTATTTGCTCCAGATTGACCCAACCTTGCTTAAAATCGACTTGTTCGGACTATCTTGGTAGATTCGACTATAAAAATGTGATAATCACTCAATACTTCCTTAAGCTTTCCAAAAGTATTTTTCAAGGCGTTTCCAGCGGTACTAATTATCAAATGTGTTTTGAATGAGCTAATTGAGAAATATTTGAAAATATGAAATGCTGTTTTCTGCCAAAATGTCGAGATTTCACACATAAAAGTATCACAAACAAGGTTTCAGGGGTTGCTTTGGATCAATACAGAAATTTTGAATTAGTACATGCCATAGTAAAAGCCTTCATTTTCAAGGCGAAAAACGCAATCGTTTGATTTCCAATGAAAACCATGAGGGGTACCTCATGGTTTCTGGTCGAATTTTGGCCATGTTTTTTTGGTCCTCAAATAGTTGAGCAAATGTGTCAGGAAGTTGCTACTACTCAAGTACAATTGTCTGGCGTCATTCTGGTGGCTCATAAAGGTCTACATGTCAAGATATGAAGGCTTGAAAGCTGTCAAATTTGGCTATGCTTTTGCTTTATAGCTTTTATTTACATGGCATAAATCACATCTTTGGTAGCTATAACTTACTAGAATGGTAGTTCCGTAGCCTGTGAATTTTCTAATTTGAATAGAAGGCATATTGATTTTGGTAAAGCTGATTCATGCAAATTTTGTTGCGTTATGTAGTTGGTGAATATCTTTTTTTTTGAATGTTTTACACTATATTATATGATTTCAGCAAGCCCATCATCCAAGCTGAAAGCCTCTCAATCTGGCCATTTGTCTGTAAATCTGATGATTTCGTAGATCAAGGCAAGTAAATATCTGCCAGCTCAGTCAGCCGCAAGAGTTTCATCATTCCACAGCTAAATGGCTGGCAAGCCTCCCCTCCCCCCCTCAATACACCAGATCACTCGCTTCACAGCCAACTATCCTGTGGGATGCATACTCACCTCCAGCAGGCCACTCTGCCTCATGGTTGCATTGTCGCATTCAAATAAGGTTTAAGATCTACATTAACCATTTTAATGATTAATACCGCCTAGCTCTTTCTAATTCAGGATTTATTTGCAATGAAACAAATCCAGGATGGTATTTACAGACATCTTGTGCACTTCAGTCATGGATGTGCATTGGCTACATGAGATACACTGACTTTAGCCCATCTTGAACGACTGACGTAGTTCTTGGCCAACGTGATTCGTTGAGCAAATTTGCTTTGAAAAATGCATCAATCCGTATTTCTCTTTCTTCTTCTTTTGTTACCTTTTAATTTATATATAACTATAACGGATAAAATGTCCAACGTACCTGATTACTACGCTATCCTTCAAATCTCTACTGATACATCACACGATGATATTCGCGAAGGTATGAAAGTCTGACTCGATTTTGGCTACCAAACATTTGATAACCAAATGACCATTAGCATACAAGAAACAAGCACTGTTGAGTCATCCTGATCGTCTGCCCAAAAACGCTACGCATGAAGAAAGAGAAGAAGCCACCAAGAAGTTTCAATTAGTTGCTGATGCTTATTATATTCTGGGAGATCGATCAAGAAAGGAGTCTTATGATAAGTCTCGAGCTAAACACCATGACCGATTTACGTCATTTGCATCTGCAATGCCCAATTCTTCGACAACACAAGCAAATCAAATATTTGGAAATATCTTTGAAGAATTGTTAAAACCTGAAGGTATGTATGAGCTAGTGGGATCTTATCGAGACAAACAGAGGGTGGACTATTGACGGTCTGTCATCTATAGTTGAACATCCTTCGCATATCTGGAGAATATTCGGTGCTTGCTCAGGCGCAGTGTTGGGCTTTATTATTGGAAATGTTCCTGGCGCTGCAGTTGTAAGTCAATGTGCATGTGTATTGTGAGGAAAGAACTTTGCTAACAAAGATACTCCTCAGGGTGCGTTTGCAGGAAAGACTTTGGGTCAAGTCAGAGATCACAAAGGTGTTTCTGTATACACAGCTTTCCAAAAACTCAGTATGGATCAGAGAAGAGATATCTTGACAGGTTTATTAGCTCGATTTGTCACAGCAGGTGCATCAGGCATGATGAAGTAAATGAATACCCCTCCCTGCCTACTTTTGAAGATATTCTTTTGAAGTATCATAATCAAATGCAAATGGCAATAATTGTTCAAACTTGTATTCACGGTGGTCGCCATGTTTGTTCAAGAAGAAGACGGGCATATCTTTAGATACAAATTCTGAAATAAATTGTCTATCACCATGAGTTAGCCACTGCATTCTGTCCCTGTTTTGCGTAATCTGGTTTGTACCTGCAAATGCCGCATGGTGAAACGAAATCGTCCTGATCAGTGGAAACAGCCAAAGCGCGAAACTTCAGATGCCCTTCACTCTATACGCAATCATAAGCGAAATGCTTAAAACATGCATTTGTTCATACTTACCACAGCCTTGACAAAGGCAGTTCTTTCAGCACAGATGGCAGCACCTTGAATACAGTGATTCTTAGCATTGGTCAACCAGTATATTTATTGCATGAAACTTACCATATGAAGCGTTTTCAACATTGCAACCTATAAAGCAAAAATGAGACACGTTATATACTGAACACTCCTTTCAAATCACGGCGACATCTACCTTTGAACAAGGTGCCATCAGTGGCCATCAAAGCAGCACCTACTCTAAACTTTGAATAAGGGGAATAGGATGTCTCTCTTGCTGCAAGTAGAAATAATAATTTAGTTTCTTTTATTACCATGGCAACGATGGTTGCAAGTACCTGTCAATGCCAAGCTGAAAAGCTTTTCTTGCTCTTCCTTACTAAGGGTCCCTGAAGTCATATTTTATGATTATGAAAACGAGTAAAGCGTGGTTAAAAAAAAAGAAAGAGAAAAATAGAGCCTCAAGAAATAATGCGAAATGGTCATGCTCTGAGCCAGCGTAATCGTAAATTTTAAATGGGATTGTGGTGGTGAAACCCCATTATGCTCAATGCTAAATTTCAACTCCTTCCTAAAGCTGAACAGATCGATTATTCAGTATTATACGAATCACCTTGTAGCATGCTACTGACTAGCTAACAACAGGTTCACAAAAGCTGAAACAAAAAGAGCAAATAATCTTTGTAATACGACACATGTAAAGTATTCTATCATTGGTGAAAGAGCGGATAAGCACCTTCCAATGTATCAATTCTGCATATATAATAAGCATTGAGGTATATCATCAATTGCCTCCTTTAATCCAAAGAATTGCATCCCGGCATACGGTTACAAATGGCAACTTGAAAATCTAGACACGACGGGTAAACCAAGCAAGCAGGTGGAAGTGACTATCTAGGATATCAAGGTTACAATGCATTCGGGTAAACAGGGCCTGTCATTTGTACGTATGAAAAACACAAATCATCATTGGAACCAGCGCATTGCTACTATGAGCGTTTTTACCCCTTGACGAAGCCAACATTTGAAACCCCCGCTGAAGCTTAGCAAAAATTTCTCGAAAATGGTATATATAGTTTGATCAAATTGGTAGATGCTTGTACCAATCAAGGTTCTTTTTCTTTCTCTTTTCTTTTTCATCATTTTAAATGGCATCTTTCAACACAACAAGAGTTTATTTGAACACAAAGAAGCCAAAATATGGAGAGCCAATTGTGATTTATCGAGTGCCAGTGCCGCTTGTCAATGAAAGCTTTTATTTCAACCAGGAAGCAATTCAAGCCACTGTATATTATAAGCACCACAACACCTCTGTACATAAAGAATCTGACATTGCATCAATTCACCTCACCAATAAGCGCCTCATACTATTGTCACAATCAACAAGCATAGCACCCACAGACATGAATCATTTCGATACATGCGAGATGCAATTGTCAGATTTCCAATCCCTCAAGTCCGATTCTAGAATGCATAAAAGAAGGATGCGGTTCGATATCGAGACTATCCGAAACGAAACCATTAGAATAGATATCAAATTTAAAAACAAAAAGGACGCTAATAGACGAGAATCATTGAAAGAGTACATTAAAATGGCTACTTCGGCGATTGCAGCTAGTCAGACCCGTAATTACAGCCAGCCATTACAGCAGACCCAACAAGACAATTTGCCATCGTATTTTGAAGCAACTCATAATACCACAGCTCAGACTACTGCTACTGCTACTGCTACTGCTGCTGCTCCTCCTGCATACAGTTAATAAAGTATCAAGTTGCACAAATACTATTACAAGATTTCATCATCATGATGCTCAGCAGCTTGTTTATTTGTTCTTTCGTCTATTTTTAACTACTCTTTCTGTGGCTCTATTGCCACTGAGTGAGGGGTCAATATGGCTCTTGTAGTTCTTGTACATTTGTGCTTTCAAGAATGGTAAATTACAGGTCTTGGTATCGCCTTTGAAATTAACTTTTTCCAGCAACTCAAAGATAGTTTCCTGATTTACATGAGCTCCACTTGTTTCGACTGAGTCTCCCAGCAAGCATTTGTCTGGCTCCGTTTTTTCAAATGCCAATGCCTTGATGGTGTCTGATAATGTGCAACTAACACCTTCAGATATCTTTTCTTCGTGTGATGGTGTCAAGCAGGTCATGTTGGGCTCTTTGCGCAGAACATGGTCAATGTCCACAGCCGAGAAAAAGGCAACACTCTATTTAATCGTGTTAGTTTTGGATGACATGATGTAACTTGCTCTAAGCTTGCCTGTGGTAAATCGTGAATTCCCAGTTTGTAGCTAAATAGGGCTCTGGTCCAAACGTTGGCGACTTGTAGCGCAAATGCGGTACGATGTTGATCTTCTACTGATGTCAAATAACGTACCTCATCATGCACAGAAAGCATGAATCTTGCATTGATTTGATATCGTTCAATCAAATGAGCCATGGACACAATCAACAGATGCAGATAGTCGACGCCAGAGCTCTGCACGACCCAATTGATGCGAGAGGTCAAAAACTGCGTCCCTGTGTACTTTGGCTTGAGCGCATCAGTGATGGAGCAGCCGAGAATAGGGGTCTTGGGATCTTTGGACAGAGCAATATCTTCCAGCGCATTGAACATGTAACTCTCAGATCCACCATGCCAAAAGGGTTTTTTGAATATATTCTTGAATGAATGCTCCTTTTCACCTTTTGTACTCGAGTACAATTGAGCGGCACGTATCTTGGCTGTTTCCAGGTCCATGCCTTGATTGTATTGCATCAGTAAGCTAGTTGCATACTTGATGCCAGCACCATAGATTCTTGCATAGTTGAAAATCTTGGCCTTGTCTCTGCTGATACCTAAAATCTGGGCAGTCTTTGAATGCAGATCAGTGCCTTCAGACTTTGACCCTTGCAGTGTCATCCAGCCCAAAGCCGTGGCACCATGAAACCCAAATTGAGCATCACCAATGACACTGGAAATCCACAACTCTTCTGAATCCACATCAGCACCCACAATCTTGTAGCCCTCTGGTGCTTGTACCATCGATTTTAGTTCGGATCCAATTCTGTTCAGTTTAGCGTTACTTGCAGTTAGCCAGGTTTTCTCTACTGCACGTCGAGTTACTGTCCCCATGGGAACCATCTGAGGTAAAATGATGCCATATTTGCCTTCGTCTTTTCGAGGGAGATGCATGTCTACAGAATAAGTGGAGTCCCACACCACAAACTGATTCAGAATTCTCTCTCTTGAGCTGATCCAGTAGGCAGATTTTGCATTCAACTCCAATGCTTCTCGAGCCGCTTCGTATTCGGATGTGAGCACTTTATCTTCAAATGCGCCAATGTAGCCTTTAGATATAGGATTTCCACAGTTGGCAGATTCACCGTCCTTGTGAGGCACCTTGAGATAAAAGTATTCATCGTCTTGGAACACTGATGTCAACTTTTGGGTGTCATTGGCCTCCAGTACAGGCACTTTGTAGCACCAGCCTGATGCCGTGAGATGATGCAGCGGATATCCTTGCCATTTGAGACGCAATAATAAGGGTGCAATCCTTGAACGAGTCGTGATTTTGAGTCTTTCAGCTTTGGTGTCCCAAGCGTCCTTGTACCATTTAGGTGCGCCTTTCAGTTTTCGCTGACGGGGATTAACAAACCAATCCAGTTGACTCAACCAAGGGTCATGTTGCCACTCTTGAGGTTCATCCACCAACACGCGTGCCTTGTCCGCCAAATCACGCAGCTTGACATCCAACATATCATCCAATTCCTTGTGTTTACCCACAGACTTTTCCAGATAATCCTCCCATTTCTCTGTTACGGTCAAGAACGAGCTTCCCATGTTGAGCATTCCGGTGAAAGATACTGGATGAGGGCAGTTTTCACGAAATCGAGGAAACACGACCTTGTAGATATCATGCGTCAGTTTCACATCTTGAGCACAGTAAGTCATCAAATCATTGAAATTGGCTCGGACATCATTCAGGTTGCCCACTTCAAAATGGGATCGTTTCGATTTATCCATTTCCACTTGGCAATAGAATTTAGCTACATCCTTCAAGCTGTTGAGTGTACTGACATCAAAAAACTTGGTTTGATCCACTCTATCTATGCTTGATCCGCCACCATCCAATCTATCCTGATCTCGTCGTTTCACCTCCATGTTCCAAGCTGGCCGTTGTTGTGAGCAGAGTCCAGCTACTGCTATATGTAAGCTCATAGTGTCCACATAGCGAATGCCGGAATCCAGACGGCTGTATTCTTCGGCAATGCGAGCACGGTCATAGCCCACATTATGTCCCACTACAAGCCGCTTTTCGTTGTTATGTCCAAAGGGTATCAGTTGCTCTTTGACTTTTGTCTCTCCCAGCAAGTATGGTGACGTCCATGAATACCATGCGTCTTTCGATGCTACTACCGCCATGGTGGGGTATTTCCCTTCCGACATGAGAACCTCCACATCAAACACCATGACAGACTCCAACGGGTGATCTACTGCGCATGATTTTCCGTCCTTGTATCGTGTCCATCCTGACGCTTTTTTCCACACTCTGGGCATGTCAGGAAGGTTGATTTTGGTCAACTGCTCACATTGATCAAGGTAGGGCGATGCTTGCTCTAATCCAATGCGCATGAAATGTTCCTCTAAATTGGCGCCTAGCAGCTTGGGCAATTGCACATCGATAGGCGTATTGATCTCGTTCTTTTTCCCCCAAATATCTTGCAGCGTCAGGTGTTCTTGCGCGTATGCTTCTTTGATCTGTGTCTCTTCACTCTTCTCAATTGATGTTGATAAATAAGGTTGAAACAATTGGGATTGTAAACTGGGAGATAATAATTGGACATGCGCAGGATTTATTACAACTGTACGGCTTCATCAGTGCTCCATTGCATTGACAACATATGTGAGTAAACATTTACCTTTGTCATTACTGTACAGGCAGTTCGATGTTTGTAGACATCTTTTTGTTAAAGATCTTTTTACAAGATTTTGAAATCGAACTCTATTTGCTATCATTCAAATTGAGGTATGTACTATATTTACAAGAGAAAAGGAAGAAAGAAAGAGGAAATAATTTATTAAAAAGCTTGTGCTTGTGTATATAAATTACAATGAAATGTATTAAAGGAGAGGAATGATGTGGTATAGAGTGTGAATGTGTCAAATACAGGTCTCTTCCCTGCTGGAATTTTGCTCAGAGAAAAAATTGTATTCCATAGCGCATTTTGTTCAGTCACGAAACACTCATTTGGCATGGATTGTGCTACGAGATGTGCTTCACTTCATGTAATGAAGAGCAGTAACATCCGCCTTGTATTAACATGACACTTGCCTTCTTTTGGTCGCTTGGAATTCATGTGTCCTACTTGAGAATTGCTTCTTGCGAGTCAATTGTATGCCGTCAGGTCTTCAGCCGCAGGTCTTCAGCCGCAGGTGTTTCTAAATGATTTGATTGAATGAGTAGTACCTTTGACGAAAAGTATTGCTACGCCATGTTGTTTTCTGCATAAGGCGAAATGGCAGTTCGTTCTGGGTTATCGTCTTTACTTGAATTGAAAAGGATAGTTTAATAAAAGACGAGCAATTTGTTCTGTAATTGGAAGTATAGTTCAAATCATCAACCTGCAAAAGATAGGCGTTGTTTGGCATTGTGAAATGTATCCATCAGCATTACCATTTTAATCAGCAATTTAAAACGCTTAAAGCTACAGTAAGTATATAGCTTTTAGCAAATTCTAGACAGTAAAGTTAGAGTAAGCTATAGTGATTTTCAATATGTAATTCCCTCAAGTTATCTTCACAATTACCGATGACAGAAGGCATAAATGTTGTAAGCCAAAATTAGTTCAATTTCCGCTCTTCATTCTGTCCCGATTCGTTTGTTTTTGATCAAATTGCGACTTGGTCGATCTATTTTGCTAGATTCGACTATATAAAATGTGATGAACAGTCAATGTTACTTTAAGCTTTCTAGAAGTACCTTTAAAGGCGCATCTAATGATACTACTTAGAACAGGTGTTTTGAGCAAAGTTATTGAGCAATATTTGAAAATACGAAATACCCATTTTGGCGAAAATGTCGAGATTTCACACATAAAAGTATCACAAACAAGGTTTCAGGGGTTGCTTTGGATCAATACAGAAATTTTGAATTAATACATGCCATAGTAAAAGCCTTCATTTTCAAGGTGAAAAACGCGATCGTTTAATTTCCAATGAAAACCATGAGGGGTACCTCATGCTTTTTGGTCGAAGTTTGGCCATGTTTTTTAGGTCCCCAAAAAAAGTTGAGCAAAAGTGTCAGCAAGTAACTGCTAGATGGAGGCAACTGTTTGGTGCTACTCCTGCGGTCCAAAACGGCTCTTAGCGCGAGAAATAACTACCCGAATGCATCCAATTTTGGCAGTGTTTTGCATATCTTTGAGTAGTTAGAGGCAATACACGTATGATGTATGCCTCTTTGAGAATTATTCCCGTTGATATAGACTTAGAGCATTGTAGGACAGCTAGATTCACTGTTACAAGCAAGTTGCAAGGGATTTCCTCGTAATAGTTGGTAGTTAATTAATGCATTATATCAGTTTGATCCAACGATGAATGTCTTGGTTAGTGATGGTAATCATAGATATTTTTTTTTAAAAAAAAATTGTTTATTGATTGATTCGCGTACACCGAGATTAATAGGTCAAAGTGAAGAGGCGAGTACAATTTAGATGAAGAATTGGATAACTATAGGCTAAACTATATATATATATATATATATATATATATATATATGTAAACTATCTAATAAATTGCTTTGTAATCATAGATATACAATGCTCAACAATTGTCTATTGAATACAAACAAAGAGAGATTTCATCTATCTGGCATGACTTTGAAAGAACCTAATTGCACTTACAAGGTGTAAATAGATGGTATGTACATATATCTTATGATGAGCCCATCATAATCGAAGCCCATATCAGAAATGCGTTGACCAAATGAAACAGTAAAAGCTAGTTCATTATCTTATATCAAGCATTATTAGCTCAATTGCACAAGCTATATTTCGCATAAGCTATTCAGGGCTCCTTGCTGTCAAAGCACAAATATACCCAAGACGAAGGCATTCATGTGAAATTGTATTTGGTTCTCCGGATGAGAAACTGAATTCACACACTGAATAAGAATTTATATTCTTGCTTATATAAAAACATCTCTTATTCTCTCTTTCTTATAAAACATGCCATCACCCCCAAAACCTTGGGAAGTCAACAACGGAGCAGCAGCATCAGCGCCAGTCGTATCTCAATCAGCCACACAGCCTATGACAGAAACAACTACTACAACGACCACTTCCTCAATCCCCACAGTGCCCAATAGACCATCTACCATGGGAACCTCGATGGGTATGGGTGGACTAGGATCAAGTTATACTGGTGGTAATGTATTAAGCAAGAGTGCTGTGGTTGCTTCGTGACTCATTGATTGATGCTAGGCTATGGCACATCGTCTTATGGTATGGGAGGATATGGTAATTCATATGGATCAAGTTATGGCACAGGCTATGGCTCGAGTTATAGCAGTCCATACAGTCGTATGGGCATGGGAAGCTATGGAGGTGGATACGGCAGCGGGTATGGCAGTGGATATGGCTCTTATGGATCCTACGGTGGTATGAATTCGTATAATCGATTTGGATCTGGAGGCTATAATCGATTTGGTGGAGGCATGTATGGACCCGACGGTGGGCCTGATGAATTTGGATTGACGCAACGCATGGAAACCAGCACTCGAGCTACTTTTGATATGATTGAGTCCATTGTCAGTGCCTTTGGTGGGTTTGCACAAATGCTGGACTCTACATACATGGCAACCCATTCGAGTTTCATGGCCATGGTCGGTGTAGCAGAGCAGTTTGGCAATTTGAGACACTATTTGGGTGGTATATTCAGCATATTTGCATTGATACGTTGGGTGAAGCGACTCTTGTACCGACTTACAGGAAGAACCCCACCACCAGAGTTATATGGACCTACAGAAGAGCAGCAGCAGTTGACTGCAGAAGCAGGAGAGGAAACAGGGGCTCTCCAAATCACAGAAAATGGCGAGGCTGTTGAAGCAGCCACTACAGCTGATGATACCGGGTCTGGAGAGCAACACCAACAACAGCAACAAGTCGCTAGTGTGTCTCGCAAACGTCCCATTATCATATTTTTGGCTTTGGTAACTGGTTTACCTTATCTAATGTACAAATTGATTCAACGATCCAATGAATACAACCGAGCAAGGCAAGCAAGAATGATGATACCCCAATATGGAGGAGGACCACCACCCGAATTAGCTAGAGTGATGCATGATTTCGTTTCTGAAAATCCTATAGAATTAACAATTCGCAGAGGCGAGATGATTCACGTACTATCCAAAGTGGATCCAACAACTGGAGGACCTTGTGATTGGTGGCAAGGAAGAACAGCAAATGGCACCATTGGTATATTCCCTGCAAATTATGTACAAATTGAAAATCCTGGCTACTAAAAAAATTACACAACATATACCTCTAATACACACTGATCAAACGTTCTATTTTTATACAAAATTTGTCTTTTTTTTATTATGCGTTTCGATGAAATTAATGGTCTTGCTGAGAATGAGATGAGGATTCCATACGGCTTCTTTTGCTGGATTCATTCAAAGCTACAGCCACAGGGTCAAAAACTTGTTGAGCTTGCTCATTCATGGTGGATGTAGGAACTGCCCAAGTGAATTTACCGTCATTTGGAATAATGGCAGGCGGTGGGTCTTGCTGTTGGGGCTGTTGTTGTGGCCAAAATGTCACATTTGGTATATCGTTGTTGGTAACATTCTTAAAATCACCATTTGATATTTCTGTAGGGACTGAATTCATGGTGACAGGATATGGATAGGGTGCCAGAGGAAAAGCGCTCTGTGTAGAGGACGGTGTACTACCATTTGAACTTGAGGGCATTGACGAATATGCTGAGGTTTGCTGTTGCTGGTGTTGGGAGGGAGATGAGGATGAAGTAGAGGACTCTTCCTTGATTGTATTAGTTGCATTGCCGGTCATGGGTAATAAATTAACGCCTAAAGCTTGAGGTATCGATGTGGAACTAGATGGATCTAAGCCTTGCACTCGTTGTATGGCCTTCAAATGGGCGCAATACTTTTCTAACATTTGGTATAGAGTACGTTTGGAGAAGGGTTTCGGTAAGATGTCTGTCATGCCACTGCCAATGTACTGCATAATATCATTGTCTGTGAAATTTGAAGTCATTGAAATGATAGGCGTTAATGCATCGTATTGTCGAATACTTCGAGTCGCTGAAATGCCATCCATCTTGGGCATGACGATATCCTATACTATGCGTGAATGGGGTGCTTTGAAAGAAATAGCAATGCAATGCTTACCATGAGGATCAAGTCGTACTTTTCTAATCCCATCTTCTTGAGTGCTTCTACGCCATCTTTTGCTAAATCAATGGTACAGCCGATAACTGAGAGTAACTTTCCACTGAGATCACGATAAACAGAATCATCATCCACCAGCAAGATACGAGGAGGCACAGTCCAGCTGACCTGATTATTAGAAGAGGGTGATGATGTAGAGGATGGCGATGCTGTAGACGGTGCTTTCCGTTTCAACCCACCCACAGGTCTTTGGAGGGTGGTGCCCAAGGTTGGCGTTTGATCAGCAGCCATAATTTCGATTGCAGGCTGATTATCTCTGACAGACATGTTTGATGACAGTCTTCCCAATGTAACAAAGGTGAGACCATCTGCTGTCTTGAGTGGTGATCCAATTAGGCTCCCTGCATTCATACTTGCAGCAGCAGCAGCAGCAGATGCAGTTTCAGCATCTGTACTGTTTATTGGGGGCGGTTGTGGAGGTAATTGCTGCTCTTGTTGCTGCAAATTCAGAATTGATTTATGCATCGGTGCTGTTGATGATGCTTCAGCTTGGTATTTTGGTTCATTTTCTAGTTTGGCAGGCGCAATGCCCAACTGTTTGTTTAGGTTAATCAGCTGTTCCTTGTTTGATTCTGCTATTCGGGTGTAGGAATCAAGTAAACACCGTGCCTGGGGTGCTCCAGATGTATCTTTTTCAGTAACTGATTTCAGAAATTGCTTGATGATATCGTCTTTTGCCATCATGTTTTTGCTGAATTCAGACAGTTCGACGATAATTTGATTATCAGTTTGCTTCAGTTTGTTGATCTTGTCTTCCATGGCATTTCGTGCTTTCTTTAATTGATCGATTTGAGATTGCAGGTTAGCGCCAATGTTTCTGATTTCTTGCATAGAATTTGTATTGAGTGGTATGTCTTCTTGCTTTATTGCGTCCTGTGAAACATTATTTGGTGATTCGTCTTTCTTTTGTTTATTGCCTGGTGCCTTTCTCTTGATGTCTTCCAGCAGGTCCCTGCGATCTCTCATGAACTTTGGATGCACGAATTCCCATGCCTACAGTCACTGTTAGAAAGAGTGCTTCTATATGCCTCTTTTGCGGTCAAAACATACCTGATCGCCATGGACTTTTTGTCCATCATCGCCGTTTCTCACTTTGTGGAAATCGTACTTGTTTAACTGACGTACAAAGCTTGCAAAATTACAATGCTTGAAATGCTTGGGGAGGATCGTTCTGGAAAATTCATTGGTATCCTTGACAATAAACGTGGTGCCTTTTTCATTCCAGCAAAATGTGTCTATGAATGCCTTGTTTTCCAACATTCTATCGCAAAAAGTGTGTTACTTCCACTGGATGAAATGTCGTAATTGCGATTCAATGCCATACCTGAACAATTTCTGGATAAATTCTGGCACAGAGCCGGAGCTCTCAGTAATTTTTGAAGTGGTCTTTGTCTGTTTCATCATGGCTCTACTTTTTGACATGACAAAAAATCATGTCCTTAAAAAATTTATGAAAAAAAAATGAAAAAAATAGAGAAGAAAGGGAAAAGCAAACAGTTGAGGAGCAAAGTGTAGAAAGTCCCTTAGTGTATCGAACAGTCACTTGAACTTTCCATGATATCCATCCAACGATGCTTGCCTTTAAAGAGCAAATGCATCTAATATGGTAAAGTGTCCTCTGCAATCGTTAAAAGCCAGCTTTGTTTGAGTTTAGCTCTTGATCGAATCGAAGCAAGCCTCCCCTTCTTTGTCTCGACATTTGATTAGGATAGTCAAGCATGCACTTGTCAAAAGCGTGCTCCATGATGGGAATGACATTGCGGTTCCACAGCATGCGTGGTTAAATTTAGTGCCATTATATGACTTTCTACCATGATGGCCTTCTTCAGCTTCTTTTGCTGGCCATGTAAAGATAATCTATCTAAATCTGCTCAATTGGCGTTTGCAACCAATTCATTTGCTCAGCGCATCTGGATTTGCAAATCATATTTCCAGATAAAACCTTGGCAAAATGTGCAATCAGTGCAAATCATTTTGGGCAGCAAAAGCATCTCTCAACTGCATCTACATATGCCATCCTTATACCCGAGTTCAGTGCTCGCTCCTATGTCTAAATATATATAATGGATGATGGCAAATGTTTGATTAAATTCAATCAACACAACTGATCCATCAGAGGTCCAGATCCCGTCTTACCCTTACAAATACATTTTTTGAGCGGATTCCTTCGCTGAAATTTTGTTTCAATTGGTAATTAGCCTATTGAATTGGGGAAGAATGCATTGAATATGATATCATCACGTTTGAGAAAGGTACTAAAAACACAGTTTCATAAGCGATTATGGCATTATTGACACATTCATTTAGATAATTGGAAAAAGCAGAAACTCTTGATTTGACAAGCAGTAATCCAAGACAATACTAATTTACGCATTTCCTATCAAAACTGACACATACGAATTACAATTCTATCAATCTGGTATTTTAGAAGTGAGATACAATTTACACTTGAAATCGGTATCAACCCTTAATGGAAAAATGAATGACAACTCAACATGTCATCCAAGGGGTAAGAAACATGTTCTAAAAATACATTTGCAGGTCTTTGTTGTCACTGCCATGTGAGACCTAACCAAGTAATTTGAAAAATTTCACAATAGTTCTTTCGCTCAGAACGCCCGCTTAAGCATAGCCTTTAAATATCCAAGTGAATTTACAGAATCATGCAAAGCGAGACTATTCCCCTGATTTTAATAATGCCCAGTGAAGCTTCGGTACTTTTCTGTTCGTAATATTCTGTTTATAGCCTTTCAAAGCATCAATTACCTTGATAATAAGTAATACTAGTGATTTTGGAAGTTGGTGGCCAAAATCAGTTAAGCTCCGTTAATTGATTTTTTATCTTCAATTGGCAGTTTTTGATCAAATTTCGACTTGTTCGATCTATTTTTCCAGATTTGACTATATAAACTGTGATGATTCATTTCTACTTCCTTAAGCTCTGCGTGGTCGTTTGCCCCTCAACAGTATCCGTTTCTTCAAGCGATTACGACAAACCTCTTCTTCTTCCTCCCCCCCTTTCTTCTCTCCGGCCTTCCCAATGGCGCTCATTCTGGGCGGAGGCAATCCCCCTTGCTGCTCGCACGGTATGATATCGGGCGATCCATGAGAAAATACCAACAAGAGCCCTCCTACATCTACGACTCCCAGAGAAACATTCATCTCCTCATTGTACCATTTGCTCTACCTCAACCACGGAGAATATCACTCATGCTCTGTTCTCCTGCCCACCTAAGCTTCAGGTCTGGCGTAATATCTATCACTCTTACCTCTCTGTCTCTTCACCTATCTCTGATGTGGATCTCCTTACTCTCCTCCAACAAATCTTACTTGATCCCTCACCCCCTCTTGATCGTGATGCTACTCCTCCTTTCAGTGATTTATCTATTCCTCAACTTTTTGCAACCGCTCTCTTGACAATATGGCAAGCGCATTGGCGTTGGATCTTCGACCAAACCCCGTTCCTAGCTTCAACCGTTCAACTTCGTCTTAATCGCTCTCTTGCTCGCTTGGACGCCGAGTTAACTCTAGATCCGTAAGTATTTAGTTTTTTTTTTTCACTCTTCTTCCATTTCCTTTTCTACATCATTTTTTCTATTTTACATCCGTTCCTACCATCTATATATCCAGTCTTTTCTATCCCTCATAATGACATTTAAAGGACTTAAAATAAAACATGGAGCTCGACTCCCCTACAAAAAAATACTTCCTTAAGCTTTCTTAAAGTACTTTTCGAGGTGCATCTAATGGCGCTATTATTTAAAATGTTCTGAACAAACTTATTGAGTAATATCAAGAAAATTGAACTGAAGTTTTTGCCCAAAATGTTAAAATTTTGCATATGAAGTCCTCACAAACAAGGTTTCCGGGGTTGCCTTGGATCCCTAAAATCATTTTGATCTAATATAGCCATAGTAAAAGTCTTCATTTTCGAGGTGAAAAACGCGATCGTTTGATATCCGATGAAAACCATGAGGGATACCTTATGCTTTTTGGTCGAATTTTGTCCATTTTTTTGAGGTCCCAAAAAAGCTAAGCAAAGGTGTCAGCAAGTAACTGCTAGATGAAAGCAACTGTTTGGTACTATTTCTGCGGTCCAAAACGGCTTCTAGTGCGAGAAATTGCTGCTTAAATGCGCTATGTTTTGCAAATTTTGGATTAGTAAGGAGCAATGCTAGTAGGATGTACCCTCCGTATATACATCACCCTTATGGATGCAGACTTGCAGCATCGTAGAATACCTGAATCCGCAGCTACCAGTTATCCTACGTGATGGTGCAAAGTTAAAATATGAAATTGCAGCACATACCACAGGATAGGTTTAGCGTAAGTGGATTCCCAAAACAATGTGATTTGATCGACAAAGCACAAATGCAATGACCATCGTATGGCTGCTACTCAGGTAATTATTCAACCCACAGCCAAATAGCTGGCAGGAAATTACTCAAATGCCTTCTTTATATCGCGATCATCCAATTGCATGTTCTTCCCAAAGACCAAGAGATCTAGCAAAATCCAATAGTCTCATTTATCTTGATCCCATGTTTGGAATTGATATTTTACACAGGTTTTTATTCTCTTCATACAATGCGATCCGAATCTCCCATCTAAGCCGTTGTTTGTAATTGTATACATCTATACTACATTGAATGGCCGTGAATGGTTTTGTTGTACTGATTATTGCCAAGCAGGAGCACCATACTGTTGTTGAGGTGGGTAAGCCATTGGATATCCAGTAGCACCTCCCATTGGAGGAGGTGGTGGTGGAGGTCGGAAACCACCCACGCCTCCATTGACAGGATAACTTTGCATTATGGGTTGTTGAACAGGAATAGGTGTGTGCGATCCAGCGCCAATAGCCGGTGCCATAGCAGGACCACCAGAATATAATCTATTTGGCATTTGCACATTCTTCTTTGCCTCTGCTGCCAATAATCTCTCTGCTGCAGAACCGTGCTTTTCACCTTTACCGTCCTTCTTGAAAGCATACGACACTGAAATTTGCTTGTTCATCAAATACTGTCCCTCCATAGCATCAATGGCTGCATCAGCAGACTCAAAGTTATCAAAACTAACAAAGCCAAATCCTTTTGCTGCTCCAGTTTCCAAATCTCGTGAAATCTTTGGTGTATTTACAATCATGCCAAAAGCACTGAATGTGTCGTATAAAAGCTTTTCGTCGACTTCAGGGTCCAAGTTACCGATAAACAGTGTTGCTCCCACATCCAAGTTCTTTTTATCTGAGGTTGCCTATACACATATGTCGTTCAATTAGCTAATGCATCTCCAAGACAGCTCCTATAAGACGTTACCTTGTTGACGCGAATGGGCTTACCATACAGTCGAACTTGATTCATGATTTTGATTGCATAATCAGCGTCTTCTTCAGTCAGAAACTCTACAAAACCATAACTTTGATGTGTCTGTGTCACTCTGTCCTTTGGTAAATGTACATTGACTAGATGAAAATCAGTAATGGATTTGGCTCGAGTGATGATGGATGCGACTTACCAACAGGTCCAGCTTGTAACATGAGCTCCCACACAAGAGATTCAGTACATCTTTCATCCAAATTACCGATATATATTGTGGCTTCTTGATTACGTTCTATTTGCTGTGCCATTTTTTCTTGTATTTGATGTAATTTGGAAAGAAAGTGATCCTGCTGGCGAAAAAAAATTGCCAAAACTTTGGTAGGAGAGCAAGCAACGAAATGATGTCACTTGAGCATGATATGGAGTGTACCTTTTTTTGAGGTGTTCTTGGTGGCATCAAGTACAGTATATGTCTAGTCGAGCATTGGCTGCCTGACAAGACCAACTCATTGCAAGGGTAATCACTTGGATTTCAGATTATATTATTACATACAAATTGACAATACCAGTGCAAGATGTTATCCGTTATAGTGATTTTACAACCTGCTAATAATGGCATTAGCGGCTTACTACTTCTTACATGTACCGGCGGTGGTGATTCATGCTTAGATGAGGATGTTTCGGTCGCGATTGCTACAATTTATCAGATCGAATTCTATAAAATGGAGAAAACATTTATCTTCGTTTTCTCACTTTCTTTCGCTTAACCATATCAAACTGCGTTGAAGCTTTTGCTATCCTCCTGAGGAAAATTTCGGTAGGAATCTCAGCACGCAACATCACTGCTTCAATCAAGACGTCAAGGCAATATGTACAGAATTTTCATCTGACTATTGTGGTATTCACCATGAAGAGGTATGCGGTGTGCTTGCGCTCTCCCTGTACTCTCCAATCTCAAGGTAGGAGGCAGCATAAGAAGAAATGAGGTCTTTGCTGGCCCTAAACATCTTTCGAACAAACGGTGCAAAATCTCATGCAAGTCGTCAGCTATTCAGCCCTTTGCAAAGTTTCAACATCAATATCAATGCTGAGACAACTAACCAGCGGATCTCACCACGCGCCAACCTTCCGTTGCTGGATAACATCTTTAGCTGAATTCGACTCAAACCTACTGCAACTTTGTACTGTATTCACAGCTGTCGACTTATCAAACAAGCATTATGGCTACTCAAAATACTCATTGACCAAACAAAGCAGCATAGTATTACAATAGTCCACCTTTGCCGACATTTCAAATCGACCAGACGACATTGATCTATTACTGACGAGTCAAAGACAGCTTTTGACAAAACTGAGAATGACTTGTTCCAGAAATTGCTGGAGCAATTCTCCAAAACAGTAACATTGTCACCTACGAACAGCAGCAGAAGCCTCGCTGTCTTGAATTGAGCTCATCTCTTACCCCAATAGTCTCTGCTTGCTCAAGCGGTATCTCCTGGACAAACTGCAAAATCAAGAAAAACGTTGTGGCCAAGTTACCTGAAATGTTTGGTTGAACCCAGCTTACTAAAACAATATCGGGTATTACACAATGCAACTAATCAAGAGGGTTTCGAATTGGAAGGAGAATCATGACAAGGACAATGACATTTGGGCATGGAACGGCCTTGAATTCACGTATTGTCTACAGCGCAAGAGCACAAGAAAGACACCGTCATCCGGCATTGGCGTAAATTTGGTTGATCATCTATGGTGATACTGTGGAAGCAATAATTGATCAACAAGAGGAATACTAGGTTGATGGATATTACTGTACAGTTGATTGGTGGCAAGCTTATACAGCACACTCTTTTGAACCTTTGAATCTTTTTATCCCCCCATAAATATACTCTTTTCTTCGATCGTGATGTTAGAAGCCAACCCCTTGTCGTAGATTCTGAATATCCGTAGTTTCTGCTTGGCGCATTAACGACGGTGAAGACAATTGCAGGTTGCAGGAGGCCCGAGTCAAATCCAGCGAGTGTAGCTCTCCAGCAACGGAAGGTAGAGACATGGCAAAATCCGCTGGTAACCTGTTTCAGCATCGATACTGACGTTGATGCTTGGTACGATATGTGATCCTCCAGTATTTTTATAAAGTTGTCTAGTTTCTGTTCGTCATAGAAGATTGTAGTATCCTTGAGGTTCATCGACAGCCCCGGTTTCTGGGCCAACAGAGACTTCAAATTTGTTCATGGCGCAAGACATCGTGAAGGGCAGGTTCATGATGTTGGTCCAGAGTCTGTCTCTGTCGGGAGTGAGTGTATGTTTTTCTCGCAGCGGATGTCTTTATTATAGGACTAGCCGATCAATCTCGCTACACTCGATGACATCGCCGCCTTGCGGGCTCTTCCCAAAGACATTCTAAATCAGAGGTAATAACGAAAGCTATTATTGAGACGATGTGAAAGAGAGTTCAAGCTTTATGCAGCATTTGTACACCACATTCTCTGTTCGTATCACATTTTCTAGTATTAGAAATTCCATTCCATTCGCTGAATAAGATCTACAGTGACCTTCTTGAGAAATGTCATTGCTAAAGACATCTTAATAGGGGAAAAATCTCAAAGAAAGCAAAGAAAAAAATGTTTGCATTAAGAAATTGACCTTTCAGTTCCATGATCCCCACTTAATCAGCGTCGTAATCATCATTGTCATCAAAAGAAAGGCATTTAGGTCAGCCAGCAGCAATGCCATCGCCAAAATTGATTCAAGCTCAGCCTTTTTTTGTTTGTTCAGGATTGGACAAATATGTCTTTTTTCGACTTCTTTAATCTATCTTATGATATTCGACTATATAAACTGTGATGATCACCCTACGCTTCCTAATACAGTCCCTGGTGGTAGGGCGAAGTGGTAGAACTCCCGTATGCCAACGGGAGGATCCCGGTTCAAATCCTGGTGAACGCAAGTTGTTTGATTTTTTTGGCGTAGTACTGATGTCCTCGTTTGGTGTTTTGTGCTCTTATCCATTATCTATATTTTGACGATTTCCGCAAGACTGTATTGGCTCTAGGTGTCGCACCTTATTAGTAGTAGATTTCTTTCCCAACTTAATTCAAAAAATATCTTATTCCCCTTCTTTGCAGACATTGGGTCCACCAACAGTCTTTTCTATCCCTCAGCATGACATTTAAAGGACTTTAAATAAAACCTGGAGCTCGACTCCCCTACAAAAAAAAAAAAAAAAAAAAAAAAAAAAAACGCTTCCTAATACATTATTGAAGTACTTTTCAAGGCGCTTCCAGTGATGCTAACTATAATAAATGTTTTGAATGAAATTACTGAGAAATTTGGTAAAATATGAAATGAGGTTTGTAGCGAAAATATCGATATTTTGCATATGAAAGCCTCATAAAAGTGGTTTCAGAAGTTGCTTTGGATCGAGAGAAACATTTTGATTTGATATATACCATAGTAAAAGCCTTCATTTTCAAGGCGAGAAACGCGATCGTTTGATTTCCAATGAAAACCATGAGGGGTACCTCATGCTTTTTGGTCGAATTTTGGTCATGTTTTTTTGGTCCTCAAAAAGTTGAGCAAATGTGTCAGGAAGTTGCTACTACTCAAGTACAATTGTCTGGCGTCATTCTGGTGGCTCATAAAGGTCTACATGTCAAGATATGAAGGCTGGAAAGCTGTCAAATTTGGCTATGCTTTTGCTTTATAGCTTTTATTAACATGGCTTAAATCACATCTTTGGTAGCTATAATTTACTAGAATGGTATTTCCGTAGCCTGTGAATTTTCTAATTTGAATAGAAGGCATATTGATTTTGGTAAAGCTAATTCATGCAAATCTCTCGATGCGCTATGTTGTTGGTAAGCTTATTAGCAATGGAAATGAAACCCCGAAATTGCTGCTTGAATACTATGGTTTTGCACCTACGCTTCGCTACGGTAAAGCCCTCATTAAGATTAATACCACCAAATGTTAGGTTAGATGCTTAGTTGCCATGGTTTTGCACCTTCGCCTTGTTATGGCAAAACCCTCTTATAGTCAATGTTACCACATGTTGAATTAGATGCAATCTCGCTACGCTCGATATCGGCGTCGCCCTGCGGGCTTTGGCTGAATACAATAAAACTGGTTAAATTAATTGTTGTAAAAGGTAAAGAAATAGAGTAGTTTTATTAAGTAGTGTCTGTAAATAGAACTTCAGGATACACCACGTTTTGTGTATGTACTGTATTTTCAGGTAATAGGATGGTCATGCCATTGGTAGATGTTGCTCTTGACATGGCAACATAGAGTTGACCATGAGTAAATACGGGACTCCTGAGGTCCACGGCAACTTTTCTGAGAGATTGACCCTGCGACTTGTTGATGGTCATTGCAAAAGACACTTTGACCGGGAATTGCTTTCTGGTCAAAATGAATGGCAATGTGCCAGGCAATGTGGACAAAGTAAAGCGAGGAATCAACTCGACTGCATCTGACCCTCCAAGGATTTTCACCTTGAGTACATACTGTCCAACTTGGTGTATGTTCAGCCTTGTACCATTGCACAAACCTCTTTCAGGGTTGAGGTTTCTCAAGAGCATGACAGGAAGACCTACTTTCAACTCCAAAACTGCTGGCGGCAGCCCTGAAGGCGAAAGGGTTTGCAAATACTCTGAGGGATAGGCTTGGGTCTCAGTGTTGGTCAGATCAGATTGCACTGTGTCAGCAGAGTACAAATTGACCTTTTCACCAATCACGTTCTCCATCACCTTGCTGTTAATAGCATCGACATTGACATTTTTTGAGCAGAGAATAGCTCTTTTCCTTGAAGAAATCACTATTTTGCAGAGGACGCTGCAGAACATGCTGAGGATAAATATTTTGAGTTAACTGATCAAGGTCTGTCATCTGCTTTGATATAGGACGATCTTGAGTAGCTTTCAGCCGTGATAAGCAGCAGCGCCTCAAAGCCATCTGAGATGATAGCACCAGTGTGTAATTCAGCTATTATGTAAAGGGGATCTGGGTCTAATCGAAAATCCATATTGAGGGCCGTGATCAAATCGTCACTGGCTTCCACAAATACATTTTCTGCCGATCTTGGAAGCTTTGAGTGAGTGATGATGTTGTGCAGCATATAATTGCTCGAGCCGCGTTGGTGGCATTGGCAGTCGATTGCTTCTCCTGAGGCCTTTCTCTGTGCAAAACACATCTGAACACATCTGAAGTGAATTTGTCGCTGAAATTGATTTCCGTTGCCAATTCATCCATTCTTTGCTTTTTCATCAATCTATGCACAACTGTAGGCTCCCCCTTAGTGGCTGATCCAACTATTGACATGGCAAACTTCTCTCAATTGAGAGCCTTGGAGAAAAGATGGACTTGTTCGACATTGTTAGCGAGCGCAAGGTGAGAGCCAGAGATTTTATTAAAATCCTCAGCGAATTTTCGCTTGACGGCTGCTGGCTTGTAATCTTCAATTGGCTTTGTGTTGAGGTTGTGCATTCTCCTAGTGTGGTTGTCAAAAGTTCTATAGTTCTTCAATGGCTGAGAGCTGCAATCCATCAAAGGACAAGTGAAACCCATTCTCATCTGCTGTAACTTTAAAACCATCTGTCGTTTGGAGGAGAGAATCTAGTTAAAAATGAGAACATTCAATATGAGACAAAGGCCACCGTACGTTTTTCGATGATGACTATTTGGCATTATTTTGTGTGTTCTTGCAAGTTGTGCTGGCGCAAGGCCTTGACTGAAGAGACAGTCTTCACATCTACGGCAATTTTAAGACACTGTACCTTCCAAATCATCGTGTAAGTGGTGGACATTTTGTAGTCTTTGCAACGATAAGGGTAGCAGTTGAAGAAACGCGAAGGAGAGCGGAAGAGTACCTCTCAAATATCATGCAACAAGTGACGTCGACCTGGGGAGGGAACAATGAATGAAAAAGCTCAAAGCAAGTTGCATTTTGCCTTCCCTTTTTCATTTTTTCAGCAAAATGACTACATTGTACGCTTTTGGGTCAAATGGCAGTGGTCAACTTGGCATTGGCCATGTAGAAGACACGAATACACCTACACAATGTCTCGGCTTACCAATAGACGATCCTATCATCAAGATCTCTGGAGGAGGCAACCATTCAGCCGTGCTGACAAAACAAGGGCACATCTATATGGCTGGACTATCACAATACGGAGAAGAAGACATGAAGAGACGATCGCAGAAGACGGATCAAGAGAATAGAGAGTATTTACGCTACCAAAGACGATTTGAATGGATGGAATGGAAAGATGTCGTTTGTGGTTGGGCTTTTACCATTGCAGTGTCGAGCGCAGGAAGGTTGTATGGCATAGGCACAAGTCGCTGGAACGAATTAGCAAGGAGTAGCACCGAGGAATTGGTAGAATTGGACACTGGTTTGACAGATATCGTATCTGTGGCGTGTGGATGGCGTCATGCAGTCGCATTGGATGTACATGGACAAGTGTATGGATGGGGATGGGGCAGACATGGACAGCTGGGACCCTCAGAAACACCACCAAAAGACAAGAAAGACGTTCGATCTGTGCAAAAGATCACAATGCCCCAACCTATTGTGCAAATGGCTTGCGGTCATTTACACACATTGCTGAGAGGACAAGATGGCACTGTTTATGCATTCGGATCAAATAAATACAGCCAGTTGGGAAGCACCAACGAGATGAGTCATCACACAGCCTCCTGGATTGATGCTGGCTGGCATCATAGCGCTATTCTGGATAACAGCAGTGTACTACACATATTTGGACGCAATGATCATGGTCAGCTGGGCTGTCAAACATCGCTTTCTCGTGCATTTACGCAGATTGCCTGTGGATCTGAGCATACGCTTGCTATCACCAGAGACACGCATCAAGTGCTAACGTGGGGCTGGGATGAACATGGCAATTGCGCTTCTGACAGAGACTTTACAAGTGAAGCCGTGGTTGTGGATTTACCTGCAAAGGCTCGTATCTTAGGTGCGGGGTGTGCGACATCTTGGATAGGATTATAAATGTGTGTACAACTTCTCACGTAGCCAGATTTCTCTCTTTCTCTTTCTTTTTTTCTTTTTGCTACTTACTGTACATGGTATAAATAAGCCGAAGATGCGGTTTTACACTACTTTGTTATCTCTTAACCGTGGGATTTCTGGCTCTATTCATCCATTGGGAAAGCTTAAAAGATCCCCATCCTGCGGAACTGCAAAGGGCATTACTCATTTTGTATCCACCGCACTAGTAAATAAACCCCCGGTTTCCTCATCTGTTCTTGGCTATCCTTCTTCTCTTCGTTCAGCTTCATATCGCAATTACACTTCGAATCGATTTTATAGTATGACTACTCAACCTCGCTTATTAACAGGTAAGCCGTTGCCCTTGACAATTTATGCATGCATTGATATTGAATGGTATGATTAGTTGGTGTTGGTGCTGTTGGTGCCATCTACTCCTGGAGACTCTCCAAGTCTTGCAATGTCACTGCAGTCTGTCGCTCCAACTACGAAGCTGTAAAGAAGGACGGTTTTGACATTGAATCAGCTAAATTCGGAAAGGACGTATTCCGCCCTGATCAAGGTACAGCAATGCTCTCAACTGTCATGTTACTAAACCACTCAAATTAATGCAATTTTGACTAGTTGCTCGCACTGTCTCTGAGTGTGTCACATCAGAGCCTTTTGACTATATTCTTGTCACATTAAAGGCCTTGCCCGAATGTTACAATGTCGCTGATATCATTGCGCCTGCTGTCACCAAAGACACTACCATCGTCTTGATCCAAAACGGTCTCGGTGTTGAAGAGCCCATTACTGAAAGATTCCCAGACAATCCCATTGTCTCTATTGTTGCATACATTGGTACATCTCAAACGGAACCTGGCAAGATCAAGATGGTTGGCAAGGAGTCCTTGGTTGTAGGAAAGTACCTTGGTGCAAAGAGAGATTCAGACAAGCAACGTGCTGAATTCATTGACCTTTTGAAGAAGGGTGATTGTGAAGTGCAGATTGTTGAGGATGTTGAGAAGGTTCGCTGGCAAAAGTTGTTCTGGAACGCTGCTTTCTCTCCAGTGTGTGCCATGACCGGCATGAATACAACTGAGCTTTTGGCTAATGAAGAAGCCATGAAGGCTGTCAAGAATGTCATGGGTGAAGTCATTGATGCAGCTATTGCCAATGGCTATCAGTTCAACCACGACGAGCAAATGCATGCCATGATCTCCAGAACTGAAGCCACTGCTACCAACTACAAGCCCTCCATGTAAAGTATAGTAGATCTACTGTAACTAGGCCTAAAGACTAACTGTAGGTGCTTTATAGGCAATTGGATAAAGAGCGCAATAGTCCAATGGAAATTGAGGTTATCCTCGGAACACCTTTAAGAAGAGCAAAAGCCAAGGGCTTATCTGTGCCTAATTTGGAGCTGATTCACTCTCTTTGCAGTGCTACAAATGCTTTGATCATGCATCAACAAAGCAAGAAATCCCAATTGTAATTATGGTGGAATAAACGCTTTCCTTATTTATTGAAATTGTGTGACACAATGAAAGGCAGTGTATGTAAATGAACGTAGACTATCGCTCGTACATATCAGCAGTGAGTGTATAGCAGCATTAGGTGCTAATAGACATGTTTCAGCATGAGATTCAGGGCTATTGGCAACACATTTGATCAGAGAGCGCTCGGTCACACAATCATGTTGGCGACAACGAATGATATTTTTGGTGGTGTTACATGTTGTATTAATTTTTTCAACTGAGGGTCGAGAAACCAGACTATTCTTCTTCTTTTTCAACTGAACTCTCTAGACATGGACGCTTTCGAGACATGTTTTCCAAAGAAACGATCGGATATATACCTTCCTGAGGACGATGTAGATTTTGATGAGCCAAATGTCAATAGACTATGCTGCTGCTTCAATTTCAGGGGCAATAATAGACAGGGCTTGATTCAGCTGCCCACAAACAACCGCAACCAGAGAACCATTGACGACTATCTCGACCCAAGATCGCCTGTCAGTATTGAAGCCTTGCTGCAGGAACAAGAGGAAGAGTTGGATCATTACTTTGGTCAAACAGTTGATGAAGACGCATACCATGGGCCTCCAAAAAGATTTGGCCCTCTTGATTTGAATTTTGAGACTACCAACTCGTCCTTTTTCGAGGAAGAAGATGCACAGTTTCTGTCAGAGCATCGTATATCTGCTATTCTAGTGGATCGGCCCAAGGTAAATTACTGATTTATAGCAGATAAAGGGATGAAACTCATCGTTTTGCTGGAGCAGTTGAGCAGCGCACACTTATTCAAGGAGGACACTCCTGTCATGGAACAGGAACTGGTCGATGTGGGGGTACCGACAAAAAGCACAAGCACGGGGAGCATAAGCAGCAGAAGATTTGCTTTCAGAAAGGAAGAGCCAAGCGAAGAGGAAGAGGTGTTTGGCGATATCAAAGCGAGAGAGATTGAAGCCAACACGACAACACAGATACCATCACCATTATCACCGCAAGAACTTACCAGCATCACCAATAAACTCAACCCATATACCACGTCTGCTTCACCCCTATCTACTTCATCACCCACCTCCACTGCTACTTCGGCCTCATTACCATCCATCACCTATACATCAGTGCAACCCATGGAACAGCAGCTAGTCAATGGGAAAGCAAATGGGAGTAGTCAACTTGTATCACCTGTAAACACAGCAGGTTTATCCGGTAGTAACTACAAGATACCCACCAGCTCTCAGAATGGCCCACAACAAAAGCATGCCAACGAGTTCCCGGCCACAACGCTCACAAGAGTGCCCTACCAGCCACTGCCACCGTTACAAATATCGCCTCCTTCTTTCTCTCCCTCAGCATCCGCATCATCAGCATCTCATCATCCACACACTGTGATAAAACCACAAGCATCCATCTCTTCTCTATCATCATCGCACAATCCTGGACGTCGGCCTTCACTCGTTACTACTGCTCAGAGCATTTTAGGAGATAAACTGGATGATTTCACCGAAAAATTGGCCTTTATCAAAAAGAACATTATCATGAGCATGGATAACGATGATGATGAAGACGATGATGGTGATACTTACAACCACTACTACAATGCTGACAAAAGAATTAGCCAAGAGATGCACAGGAAGAGAGCAGCATCTGTTGGAAAAAGGTACGCAAGCTTTTTTGGTTGATGCGAATGGTTTGCTGATAGTGTTGATAGCGATCAAATGAGTCGAACGTCAAGATTGTCCAACAACAGCAGCACTTCTTTACTCACGCCTCCCCCTAGATCATCATCAATTACACAAAACCACTCTAGTACCGAAGAAGAAGAGGATGAGATATTTGATAAGGTAGTTGCTATTAGTAAAAATGTGCGTACCTTTGGAGAAGGTGTTATGGGCAATGGACTTCGTATGTTCAACAACCTGTCTACCCGCATCAAGAATGCTCAGCAACAGTAGCAACTACAACAGTAGCAGCAGCACGTTGAGTTAAACAATAATAATGCACAACTTTAAATTGATAAATAAATAAATCATAGTTTATTGACAAACTTGTCAACTTTATACAGCTCATTTGTAGCTATGCAGTGGTGATAATGTAGTAATTAAGCTTTCCTAAAATGGTCAATCACCGAGAAAACGAGTTTTTGTACCATGGAGAAGCTATACTTAAATACCTTCTCTTTGTACAAACTATCCTCTCTTTTTTTCTTCTCTCTTTCCTATTCGCAAAAAAAAAACATGTATTTGGAAGACAAGGTTGTTATTATTCACGGTGGTACTTCAGGTGTGTGAACCAGCAAACTATGATAGCGTTAAACTTATTAGATGTACCAGGCATTGGGAAGGAGCTATTGTGGACATTGGTATCAAACAGGTGTGTATAACACAATCATTTGCTGTCTGTTTATACACTATTTACATGCGTTACTCGGCATTATATAGAGCCAATGTCATCTTCACGGGCACAAGCAAGCAAAAGGGTCATGATGTGATCGAAGGTTTAGACAATGCATTCAAAGGGAAGAGGTATAGACGCCAGAAAGGACCCTATAAATTAGCTCATTGACTTTTGTGTCACAGACCGCACAATGCATTCTTTTTTAATATGGATATCACAGATTGGAAAGCCCAAGAAGACATTTACGATTTTGCTTATAAACGCTATGGAAAGCCCATTGATATTGTCATCGTCATTGCCGGTATTTTGGATTCCTCTAATCTGGTGAACGATACCGAGCAAGGTGCGTGAACGTGCTGGAGGCACAGACTACATAATTGCTTACAATTCTTTACGCCGTAGATGGTCATTATCGAACATTGGACGTCAATCTTACTGCAGCAGTAAAGGCCAACAGACTTGCCATTCAGTACTTTCTCCGAGAGAAATCACCAGGATGTATCATCAATACATCTTCAGTATACGGGCTGGGTCCAGCTCCATCAAACCCACTGTATGCCGCATCGAAACATGCGGTAAATAGTCATCGATTAGCTGCTACACCACGACAAGCATTAACGCTATCCTATAGATTATTGGATTAACCAAAAGCTACGGAAATCTGCTTCGATCTACAAACATCAGAGTCAATGCCATAGCCCCACATTTTGTAGGCAAGTCTTTATAGTTTGTGTAGGTCATACAGATCAATAAGTGTTCCTTGTAATTAGAGACCCCGTTATTGCCTGGAGAAACCATGAAAGTGGCTAGTGCGTTTGGCATGGTGCCTATGAAGAGTTGTATTGATGCATATCTATATGCAATCGCAGACGACTCTCTCAATGGTAATTACTTTGCTAATTGCACGGATATTGGCTGTACTGATTTTACCCACAATAACAGGTGATATTATCAACGTGTCTCCTTATGGACGATCAATTGAGCCACGCTTCTCAGATCCTGTCATTGAACAATTGGATTCCATGTGCAACAAGCGAAGGGAAGATATATTAGGCGCTATTCTGGCTCATTTTCAGGCCTAGAAAGCTTTCTTCAATCATATGATAACTAGTAGTAATATGTATTTTTATAATAAACAGCTGTGAATATTTTATAGTCTATTAATGAAAGAGGGTTTATTAAATTATGTATGTATTATTCAAAGTGGTATTTTTTTATAATGCAATTAATAAGCAGCACACAATTTGTTGAAATCGCAAGTCAAGAGAGGATTCAAGGCCTTACGGAATTGTTCAATAGGACAAACTTCATTATCACAACCAGGAAATACAATAGCAACTTCATTGTCCAAAACGCGCACAAACTTGTCAGTACTATTCTTGGATGACAAAACCTGGAAAGCAATGTTGTTTGCGAAAAAGTTGAATTCAGACATTTTGAATTTGCGGTTATCGATGACTTGTTGTGTAGAGTTCCAGTGCAAAGTTTCTTTGTCTTTACGAAGACCCAAGAAGGTACGGAAGGGTAATAAGGTCTCAGTGTGGCCAAATTTTAGGTCCAAGCGAGGGTAATCTTCAGTGGTATTGCTGACCGCGAGTTCAATGTTATTCATGACAGTCTTGGCTAAATCACAGGCCATTTCAGTGTTGATATCAGGAATACCATAAGAGTATTTGTAATAGTGTTTAAGATCGTCATAGTATTCCATCTTGAGAAAGTCATCCTTGGTAAAGAGCAAACAGAAGGTGTTGGCATTGTTGTGCATAGTAACCTCAGAACCACAAGCACTGTGCATATCCTTGACATCAGAAGCAGTGATGTTGATGCCCAAATCCTTGGTGAGACGAGCAGCAATAGGGGCCATGTAAGCTTTCTTGAGAGGCTCAATAGCAGCATCGACGAGTCCAGCATTGTCAACCTCCTTTTGCCAACGAGGACAAGACTTGTGGAAAGCAATCAAAGAGTCATTATTTTGGGCATAACTCAATTGAGGAACTGCTAGCATGTTCTTCTTGCCCAAAGCGCCATAACCTTCAAACGTACCCATACAGAAAGCTTGACCAGATTGAGAAGTACGGTTGGACCAAGAAGAATATGCGGTAAATTGAACAACATCGTCATCAATGACAGATTCAATTAGATCAGGGTAACTCTTGGCCAAACGTTTACCGTGTAAGTAATGCTCCAATTGACCGTTTCTATCCAAGGCACCAGCACGGCGAGGCAAGAACTTGTTGTCATAATCAGCAACCCAACCAGTGAGAGTAGCATTCTTACTCTTGGCCAACAAGGCAAGAGCATCATTGATGCCTTCAGTATCGCTATCTTCAGGATAACGAGTGCCATGGCGGATAATGACCTGCATTTGATCCACATGGTACTTTTTGACAATGGGATCCGTTTGAGGGACAGAATTAGATGGATAACCTCCACGAGCGCCCAAATGCTGCTTGATCCAATCAGTGTCAAGAAATCCATTATCAGAAGCACTTTCAGCAGTATTTTTCTTGGCCAATACTTGGGCACTGAGGAGACCGAGCGCAGCGACAGCAGACAGAGTAACACGCATCAGAAAAGCAAAAGGAATGAATTGGCTGGAAGAGTAGTAAAGAGGGGAGGAAACTTTGAATCTAAAGGGCCATTCTTTTATACGTATTTGAGTTAAACGGCATCTTTTTCTGATCCTGTAAATGCGAGCTCACCGTTTCGTTGGGTAACTGCTTTTTTAGTTTCGAACGTTCCATCTATGTCATTTTATAGACAATTGAACCCAAAACCCTCATTTAATTTGTAAGATATATTAAATCCTGGGCTCGTGGTTTAACAACAAATTGTTCATGATTGTATTGCTCCACGAAAATGTAACCGATGATTAAAGTAGATCGTCTATATCCTTCGCAGTAGAGAGAACATCCATTTAGTGAATTGAAACATTTAAAATTGGATGTTTTTTTAGCGTATAAACATCACCAACTGTTAAACGGGTCGCAGTATTAGACATTCAAATAGAGAATTTTTTCCTTAAAAAGGAGAAATCAAAATCTAGATGTGATAGCTTGTAATATCTCGGTAACGCAGAATTTGCATACTGAATTCGCTGTATTCATAGATATATGGAAAACAGGTGCTATTTGATCATCTTGGACACAAAACGTGAGCGTCCCAACCAATGATACAATGGAGCATCGAAGGGAAATATGATGCAGATCCTTCATCAGAACTGAACGTAAACTCTTTCTGAACGTAATTTGTTCCAAACGATTCCTCGGATTCATCAACATTGACCATTGCATGCTGGTACAACACTATCAAAATGGTAGTTTGATCCAGATCTTTTTCATCAGTGAAACGCAGCCATTGCAACACGCACATGGTGATACTGGTGTGGTCTACAAATGTTAAATTCCTGTTATGCTGGCCTTCTCGTTCCTATCCTTCCCCTGGAAAACAAGGTAGAACATGTTAATTAGATAAGCATACAAGTAATATAACATGTGTCAGGAGTTTGAATGTATTGCCAATGTACACAGATGCTGCTAAACTTTTAAAAGACAAGCGATTGCAAATAGTGCAAATGCTATGCTAATATTCACAAGCCTATCTCTCAATTGTGTAGCCTTGCATATATATTATATTACAACAAAACTTGCAAACACTTTGATTGTGAGTTTATAATATCTTAGAAACACACTTATTGATACAATATGATAAAACTTTGATTTGATCCAGACATGTACAGTGATATGTAATATCACTACTGAAACAAAACGGTGCAGATCTTGTTGTTGTTGGATAATCTCCAACAAAATGACATCGTAATCATAATAATTTGGCTAGAGGTGCAGGAAACTCTACCGAGTAATTGATAGAAAAGACATTTGTAAATCTGTCTCGATGTAATGGTCGGCATCTGCTATCAACAAAGGGCAATATAACTGTCAGTTTTTTGAGCCAATGCCATAATAATAAGTTGATACCAACAAGATCCTCAATGCCTACTCAAGCTAGCCTCATAATAACACTTTTATATGATAACTCCCCCTGCAAGAAGAAGTAGTAAAGTGTTGAATAACTATAGTAGTGGCCTAAAACTAGTAGCTTGTGATGTCGCCTTGTAAATGCTGTAACAACATTTTAAGTAACATATTGACAAAAGCAGCAACGTTTGCCCAATTTTTTAATAACAATACTGCTGCTTAAATTTCTCGCAGAAGAGAGAAAAAAAAGAATAAAAGAAACGGAAATTTCAGCAAAAAAGAAAACGGAATTGCTTAAACTGCAATGAAAGTGGCAATCCACTTTCACTTGATTGTCTTGATCCATGTATGGCTGTAAAGAAGGAGGTGATCTTTATTTAAACTGAGCCTTCATGCTCACAAGCTATAGTTGAGCAGATCGAACCTGAGCGACCGCACATACGTATCGACAGGTGCCACGTGGTAGCCACGTGATAGAAAGCAGTAATTGATCAGTAATATATAAATAACAAATGAGAAACGTCGAAATTCAAAATCCGACAGATATAGTGATGGTGTGGCACACACTTCGCTATGACCTTAAGCTTCGCAATCGAAACATCATTGTGCCTATTGTGAAGCTATATCGGATGTTAAAAAAAAAGTATATATGATGAATTGCAATTTTCATGTCTTACACTTAATTGTAGTGGGGAATTAACAAATGCAGCCTTCCTTCTGAACTTTTTTTTTTTTTAGTTTCTTCTCGCTGATGCCACCTATATCATGTTCCTGATACGATAATGATCGCAGCATTTGTCGTTTATATCTTTTTTTGTCATAAATTAGTTTCTAAAAATACAATGTGTAACCTTTCTACAAGATCTATCTGGTGTATAAACCGAGTTTATTCATCGATTTCTAAAGAGAATTTCAAATGATACAGGAACATGTCAAAGGCAACCAATCTCGTTTTTATCTCAGTCTGTCAATTGACCAACCTTGGATCCGCCCGAGCCAAGGTTCAATACTGAAAACCAATGCTGTAGGTAAACGATTACCAGGGCGAGTCTCGGTAAGTCTACACTTCAGCTACATCCCAATTACATAAGAATTACGAGTATCACACAAAAGAAAGCCTTCTGGATAATGGAGATACCCTCAAATGTTAATAGACAACATTTCAAAAGGCGCAACTAATTCTCTAAAATGTTTACCATGAACCAACGATATCCAGCGTAGTAAATTACCACAACTTTTTTTATTACATGTAGAATATAAATAAATTGAAAGGTGATACAAAGACATGGTCAAGAAATATATGTTACGGTTTTCATCGTGCTGTATTGTTGTAATTCTCAGAAGAACGCATAATTTTCTCGCTTTTTGTTCGTAATAACGTGGTTCTTCTGCTAATAGAATTTATGACACCACCACTACTACTGTTTGTATTAGGAGCGCCACCTGGTTGTTGATGCAGGTATACGCCATCTTTGTAATGTTGGCGGTAAAATTCTCGGTCTATAAAAGAAGCAAATGCCAAAATGTCAGTACAGGCCATTGCAAAGGCTTCTTCCTCTCTGTACCTTTTTGTTCGAAATCTGGAGATGTAACTGGTCTACGCTTGGTATATTTCTCAATTCTCCACATTTCTACACTGGACTTGATCTTTTCGATGAATCCCATATTGATTTATAATTTGATTGATGTATATGTTTGAAGGAAAGGAGATGATGCTATGTATGTTTATTAGGCAATTGAAAAGTGAGAAAGATAATGTTTATCTCTCTCTTTAAGTAAGAATGTCGACAAAGGAAAGAAACGGGAAAAGGAGGTCAATAAAAATCTATGAAAAATGAGAAAAAGAAAAAGAAAGAGTAGAATATAACCCCAAGAGAACCACAATTAACTTTTGAGTAACAATGGCTTTGAGGGAGAAAACGATGCTCGCGGTTTTTCAACTTGACAACAACACATTTACGGTTCTTGCTTTCCTTCATTCGATCGAGAAAGTAAGAAATGGCCGAGAAAAGCCAATGGATCACTAGGTCTACGTTTTCTGATATCAGAACGGCTGCAGTATCTCTTTATGATCCCAAATCTTACCGTTCTGATGCCAGTAGCTTCATGCCCTCTAATAATGTTGGTACCACTGTCGCATCGAGGTAAGATCTAGGGGTTGGAGTATCTTCTTGATACGTAAATTCCAATTCCTTTTTTGCGGGTGTAAATGTGTTTACTGCTGCTGATGGTGTTGACGCAGCGGGCGATGATGAGCTGATTTGTGATTCCTGTATGTTGTTTGTGGATCAGTACTCGAGACAAGCAAAAATTTACAGTTGTTTCTTACTTCTTGCTTCACAACATCCGACATAGGTGATGGATGTGGTTGCTCCTGTTGCATTGGAATTGATTCTGTAGGCCTGCTTAAAAGCTGCATAAGTTGGACGTCCAAGTATTTAGCATTATACGTTACGTTGGTTGATTATCTGACATTATCGCGTATATCGAGGAAGGAGAGAGAGAGGAAAAGAATGTGAATTGCAAGTCATTTCAACCAAGAATAAAGCTTTCTATTCAACCTCAGCATGAAATTCTAAATTTTAATATACAAAATGTACAAGCTTATATCTAATAAAGAAAGCTAGCAAACTTGCGCAAGCTTGAATGAATAATACAGTGATCGTTGTGGTTTTTTCAGACATTGGACCAAAATGTGCCAAGACTAGATTGAGAAGTGTAAGATTGTTACACTCGACTATACGGCCCTCCGTGTCATACTCGAAGACTTTTAAAAGACCCAATGCATGCAGTAATTTCAATGCAATGTTTCCCAATGTACCCATAGGCTTCTTATCATTTGGCCGAACCGTGGAGCATTGCAGAAGGCCTTGATCATTCAACCGAGGCATGCGATGGCGAGGACATTCTACTAGCCTGAACAATTGAGGACATGAATAGACAAAATTGAAGATTTGAGGCAAGAAGAACAAGAGCAGTGTCTTGGAGAAATGGCCCAAAATACCAACAACAGCTAATGTCATACCAGCAAAATAGCAGAATGTATCACCAACAAATAGACGGGCAGGAAACCAATTATGCCACAATAGAGCACAGGTTACACCTACAAAGGGGATGATAAAGTAGAGGCTGAATAAATGTGCTTCCACGCTGGCGCGATCAGGATTGTTGAATATGTAGAGCAAATCGTTGCAAATGACAGAGATCCCGATGACAAGAGACTGACCAGCCTCGATACCATTGATGCCAGCTAAAATGTTGATACTATGCGTACAAAATATAATGAGCATAGCCATATACACATAATAAAGCGGCCCTATCCAATTCTTTTAGCTAAATGCTGCTTTGATCCACTTTGCATGCTGTACCTAGGTCGACCAAATCCCCTACATAGGGTCTAAGCTGCACCGGCATCATTACATAAGTTACCCCTTTGTTTGTGTAGTAGAAAATCATCAACGGAATACCTGCAATTGCAGGAAACCACACCTTGTATCTCCATCGTACGTCCAACACATCATCTGCAAATCCCAACAAAATCATTGATTGAATCGCTAAAATGGCTGACAGTATCTCTCCCAGCTTCACAGAGCTGTTAACAATAGAGTTGGAATGAAAGTCTCTTCCATACTTACTTTATTGTAGGGAAATGTTCCTACAGTAGGATCGTCTTCATGAACCAAATTAGCGCCTTCAAACCAGTTAATGAATGGAAAAGGGATAAACAAGAACAAAGTAATGAGGTAGATGATGGCAACTGGTAAACCCATCGTCTCTGGCCTGTTTTGATAGCATTACTATTCCAGTCTACATACATCACAGCAGCTTGTCCTTACAGTAATGGCTTATCTCGTTTCAACAGATCGCGACCAGACAAGTTTGCTTTCAGAAAAGTGTCTCGTAGTTTCGGTAAACAAGAGTGAGCACATAGACCAGCTATAATCGACATGACAATGGATACGGTGAGTGTTGTATGTTCTCCTCTGGATGTGATAGCAGCTGCCAAACTGAGAGCAGACATGACAACCAAAACGATCCCCATGCTGGCGAATTTGTTAAAGAGAAGAAAAGTGCTTGATTAACATTTTGCCACGTACTTATTGAAGCACCGAATGAATTACATGTGTCCTGAAACAGGATTGTATCAGTTGGTATCACCTTGAAAATGCATGACAGTTCGTCGAAAGTTTGTAACAGATCTGGACAATGGATACCTTTATATTGAACAAGAACCTTGATAGGTAGGCTCAGCGTAAATTTGCAAGCCAAGATACATCTGTAGTGAATTAAGTGTTGTAGAGTTGTACATATGAACGAGGCAGTAGGATGTTATAGGCCTTCTGCGTATTACTGATCCTTACTGAATCATTTTCTTAAAGCGTGAGCATCAGCAGATAATGTAGAGAAGTGTATCTGATATGTTTGTTGAACGACGAGGCTACCATGTACAGCCAATTTAAGCTAAATGTACAACGGAACATTTTCAGCCCACAATGTACACCCTGAGCATTGATGAACCAAAAGAAGTGTCATCTATTAGCTGTCTTTTATTGTGAAAATTTCAGGCCAACCTGATTATATACAATCCCATTTCACGAGTCATATCATAACATAATAGATTTATTGTTGGTACACACTTTTGAGGCCACAAAAAGGAAAGAAGTCGACTTTACAAGTATTTCGGTGGACTGGCGTTATTAGATACAAGGCCTCAAAAGAAAGTAGAATGGCTAACAATAGTATTATGTAATTTGTCACCTACTCCCCTATTGACTTCAAAAGGATCTACTATTACCTTCACGATTAAAAGGGCATTGAGCTTGCCCGCTCCACCAGCCGTCGCCAAAACCAATTGATATGCAGCTTATTTTTTCTGTTCAAGATTGGTCATATTTTGTCTTTTTTCGACTTCTTTGAACTACTTTGCCAGATTCGATTATATATAATATGACAATCATCTTATGCTTCCTAATACGTTCTTGGAGTATTTTCCAAGGCACATCCAATGGTCCCAAGTAAGATAGATGTTTCGAACAGATTTATTGAGAAATTTATGAAAATGTGAAATGAGGTTTTTGGCGAAAATGTCGAGATTTTGTATATAAAAGCCTCATAAATAAAGTTTCAGGAGCTGCTTTAGATCGATACAAACATTTTGAATTGATATATACCATAGTAGAAGTCTTTATTTTTGAGGTTCAAAACGCGATCGTTTAATTTTCGAAGAAAACCATGAGGGGTACCTCACGGCTTTTGGTCGAATTTTGGCCATGTTTTTTTGGTTCTCAAAAAGTTGAGCAACGGCGTCATGAAGTTACTGCCACTCGAGTACAATTGTTTGGCGTCATTCTGGTGGCTCAGAAAGGTCTATATGTCAATATATGAAGGCTTGAAAGATGTCAAATTTGGTTATGTATTACTTTATAGAGTTTATTTACACGGCATGAATCACACCTCTGGTAGCTATACTTTTCTGGAAGGGCAGTTCTGCAGCCTGTGCAACTTCTAATCCACGTAGGATGCATACTGAGAACGCATACTGATTTGTCAAAGCTAATTCATACAAATTTTGATGCGTTACATTGTTGGTAAGCCTATTAATAAAGGAAATGAAAAGCTGATTTTGCTGTTTGATTATGGTTTTGCACGTTTGCTTTGTTATGGTAAAACTCTCTTAAGGTCAGTGTTATCAAATGTTGTATTCAAACCGCAATCACTCAATCCATAGCAAAATAGCAGGCAAGGAATTGCTTAAATTGGATGTGTTATATTCTTGGGAGAGGAAACTTTTAATCTCTGATTAGCTACGACAATGCTTTTGTGTTCAAACTTTCTAATATATACGAGTGTTTATTATGCTTTGGGTTGCTCTCTACCTTTGCTTCGCTTCAGTGAGAACGAACCTGCGCAGCGACAGCTCACGCTACCGATTGCCCTTGCGTATCTTGTCATAATACTGTTACATCATTTCCGCCCTTCACTTTCATATAAAAACTCTTCATATTATCTGTGGATCTAATTCTTATGTGATGCTCTACATTCATATACACACAATTACTTCATATACGGGCAAGCAACGTACTGGTTTTTCACTTTTTTAGCCCTTAGTGTTCTTCATACAGCAAAACCTGAGTGCATTTGAGTTGCGTTTTCTTGCGTTCAAGGCCATTTTAGATCGTCAGAATAACGTCAAACAATTGTACTCGAGTGGCAGTAACTTCATGACGTCGTTGCTCAACTTTTTGAGAACCAAAAAAACATGGCCAAAATTCGACCAAAAACCATGAGGTACTCCTCATGGTTTTCTTCGAAAATTAAACGATCGCGTTTTTAACCTTAAAAATAAAGACTTCTACTATGGTATATATCAATTCAAAATGTTTGTATCGATCTAAAGCAGCTCCTGAATCTTTATTTATGAGGCTTTTATATACAAAATCTCGACATTTTCGCCAAAAACCTCATTTCACATTTTCATAAATTTCTCAATAAATCTGTTCAAAACATCTATCTTACTTGGGACCATTAGATGTGCCTTGGAAAATACACCAAGAATGTATTAGGGAGCATAAGATGATTGTCATATTATGTATAATCGAATCTGGCAAAGTAGTTCAAAGAAGTCGAAAAAAGACAAAATATGGCCAATCTTGAACAGAAAAAATAGGCTGCATATCAATTGATTTTTGGCGGGCGTCGCTGCTGCTGGCTTACCCAAATGCCTTTCTGAGTAGATCCAAATCGTTTCGGCAAGCATGCTCATCTGCTTCCGTCGTTCCTCAACGATCGGCTGCCATAGCATCTCCCCAATGGTCGTTTTTCTGGTCTTTGTCCCTGACCATGATCCAAAGAAATGTCGTATATTGATTCATCAACAATTGCATTCCCCATCAGTCTCTATTGAATCTGAGGTTCCCCTCTGTTTACTTGTCCCCCTTGTGCTTTGTCTGTTCCTCAGTTGAAGATTCCACTGACCGCTTTCTTTTTGAATGTCCACCCAAGGCAGCGGTCTGGCAGGGTATTATCTCTGAGTTCCTCTGGCCCACGGTAACCATTGATGATATCCGCCATTCCCTCCTCACTCTCGACTTTTACAATATTCGATATAGTCAGCGGCCTCGTGCTTCCTCCCATCATATAGTCATCATTGCGATGTCTAACATTTGGAAGGCTCACTATCGTCTTATCTTTGATCAAACTTCCTTCGCTCCCGCCGCTGTGCTGAATAGTATCCGACTCGACATCCAAAAAATGATCGACGAAGATCTCATTCATGCCAGCCTATAATAGTCCCTCTTTTAAATTGTTCTCATATTTTGTCTAAACATATATAATATTATCACGGTAAATTGCGCCCGCCGCTTGATTATAGTCCTGCTACTATTGTCTACGCGGAGCAAGTAATAAAAACCTTTTTAAAAAAAATGCCTTTCTGATGATGACAATGATGGTGCCAATGATGATTGCGATGCTGACCAAGTGGAGACCATGTATTTGAAAGAACAATTGCTTAGCCCGTATATATATAGAGCCATCCGAAGCATAAACACAGTCGTATACATGATAAATCTCAAAAAATCTATTCAACAATCTTATACTTTTCGCATTGATGAGTTGAAGGGGAATCATGATGGGCCTACTCATTACTAAGCCGCTAGTAAAACTTTTTCATTTTCCTAAAATTTCTATAGTGGAAAGGCCAGACTCACTCTTTTCAGTAATGTATAATGCATGTGCCGTTGTTTTCTTCACTTTATTGATAATTGTCAAAGAGGTATGTAACCTTTTTTTTTAGCAGAATTTTGTCAGAATCATGTACGTTCGTGAAACGGGACTGTACAATACGCTTTAGATCCTTTTAATGTCTCAAGAAACGCAGGTAATTAGAGTAAATGCTGGCAATATAATTCGTCATTTAGGGCCAAAACTAGCAATCTCCATGCATACACCATGATTTAAGCACTCCTTGTTTGTATAAGATCAAGTTTCTTGGCTATGTTGGCGCTAGTTTCGTTTCTCATTAGGAAATCTTTTGAAATTTAGGCTTTGTACGTCTATCCTATCAAATGTTTTGAGTTACAAATGCAAAACCCGCTTAAATCAACCATTTATTTCTACATTTATTCCCATTAGTTTATGTGGTCATAGTATAGTTTCTTTCTTTACTTGCTATTTGAGGTAAGTTTGACATTCCCCTACTCAAGTGTTTATTGATCTGCCAGCAAATGAACCATCCAAGTCTGCAGGTCGCATCAGATTTCATGCAAGTTCTCCACTTTCAAGATCTGTTAAATCACCGCTACGATTAGATCAGCCATATTTCATATTGAATGTAAGGATATTCGCAGTTAATGATACCAAGATTGAACATAACATCAGTACCGATAGTAGCAAAGCTACTGGAGCTACCCTTAACTCATTTTAAATCATGATAAGCAGTTGGATGCTATTGCCAACAGGGGACATTATGACACAACTCTAAATCAATCATGCTCAGATTAGGTATAGTGCCAAATTTCCTTAGCTCACAAACTTTGCATTTGCAAGATGCTCCCTTTCTTTGTATTTACGTATGATCTTGTTACAGCTTACTTTGCATAACCAACAAATTGACATGTTCCCCGAATAGCATTTCGGTCATGTATTCTTGATTTGCTCAATTGGCCAGATTACATCTAGTTGCCTGAATATACATCGGTTGGTCAAGTTTTATCCAACTAAAGCTTCGGCCTCAGCCCGGAGAGTTTCAAAAGCACATTTTAGACTGAAATCATTCCTCCAAAAATGGATGAACACATCAAAAACCTCTGGAATTTTCGTTTTAACTTTTTTTTTTGTTTTTTTTTGTTTTCTTCTTTTCAACTTTTTTATACTTTTTGTATACATAACAGCAGCATTAGAAAGGGGCTCTATTTTTGAACAGTACTTGCAAAACACAACATCAAATCATGGGACAAACTTTATCGGAACCTATTACAGATAAAAACACAAGCGAGGGCAATGACAAGCGCGTAATGTATGGTGCTTCATGTATGCAAGGCTGGAGAACAAGTAAGCGAACAGACACCTTCTCAATTGAACAAGAAAACTCCAATTCACACACAAACGCATAGGCATGGAGGACTCACATACTACAATTACATCATATGCGGATACCGGGGCAAGCTTCTTTGCTGTTTTTGATGGGCACGGTGGTGAGTGTTCCGTTTAATTTCGAAATTTGGTTGTGTAACTAAAATCATTCAAATCTAGGCGATGCTGTGGCCAAATACAGTGGTACAGAACTCTATAAGAAGATTATGGAATCAGCAGCATTTGATAGAGGCCGATATAGAGATGCTATTCGAATGGGTTATTATGGCATTGATGAGGATCTGAAGAAAGGTAGGATCCGAGCGATACTCAGATGGTTGGCATCTAATCTTTGTGGATCTGTAGATGCTCGATTTGATAATGATAATTCAGGTTGCACTGCAGTTGCCGCATTGCTCACTAAAAGCAACGTCTTGTATGTGAGCAATGCAGGCGATTCAAGAGCTGTCATCAGCACCAAGGACGGTAGAGCGATTCCTCTCACACAAGATCACAAACCAAAGCACCCCAAAGAAGCGCAGCGTATCAAAAATGCAGGAGGTTATGTTGAAAACGGTAGAGTAAATGGAAGTTTGGCACTGTCAAGAGCACTTGGTGATTTCAATTTCAAAAATAATACCCAACTTACACCAGACCATCAAGCAGTGACAGGTGAGGATGAGGAGATTTCTCTCGTTCAGTACTGGCAATTAATCTAATTGTTCCAATTTAGCTGAGCCTGATATCATTGAACATTTATTGACAGATCATGATGAATTTGTGGTGTTGGCTTGTGATGGTATTTGGGATTGTCTGACAAATCAGCAGGTGGTTGATTTTGTGCGCTGTAAATTATGCGAGCGCATGTCGCTGGGGCCCATTTGCGAGGAATTGATGGATTACTGCTTGGCAGAACAGGGAAACATGTCAGGCATTGGATGTGACAATATGACAGTTATCATTGTGGCATTTCTGCGCAAGCGTAAGCCGCAGGAATGGTATGACTGGATGGCCCAAAAGATAAAACCTCAAATGCCGGTTAAAAAAGCCATTTTATTAGCCTCCAATGACGATAAAAAAGCAACCACCACTACATCTTCCACACCCACTACATCGACGACGGCGACAACAACAGCTGCAGGAACAGCAAAAGTTCAAATTGCAAAATAAACATGAGCACTTAGAGAGTTTTCTTTATTATAGTTTCAGAGCATAACGACTGAGCAGTCGAATATTATTCATAAATACTTCAACCATTTGCGTATACTGTGAAGGCTCTTTACGATCGTATTTTGACTTCTCATTCGCTAATATGCAGGCATCAGCAAACTCCAATTCTAATTCATGGCGTACATCAGGGTCCTTATCAGCAGCACCTTTTACTTGGGTTAAATCAAAAGCGATTCCACCATGTTGGTATGAAATGCGATCCTTGTTTCGTTCAAAGACATAATTTGAGTTGGGCTTGGTGCGTGGAAGTTCTCTGTTGATGGATATTCTGAAATCTAACGCTTGATTGGGTGCATGGATGTTTAAATCTGCAACACGCACTTTCTCAATGATGCCATTTGGTACAATCTAGGCCTGAATTTTAGGATTGTGTTGCCAGCCATCTCGTATGGTGCTTCTTTTTTTTTTTTTACCTTTCCAGTTGCGCTTTCTGTAGTCACTCGAAGCTTTTGTCTGCTGTGTGGTATGTCATAGAACTTGTCAGTTTCAATGGTGTGTTTATATTTAATACGCTCTCCCTAAGCATGATTAATGTCTGATTGAAACCAGTATTCTGATCTGATATTTACTCGGTATTCGCGTGCTTGGGTTTTGTTGACCATGTCATTCAAAATCTTGTTGAAATGACGATGTTGTTCCAACGGCATGTTGGATTCAAATCTATACTGTCTCATGTAATCTGAATGTATAACTAGAGCAATTGTCAATGGACGATCATGATTAGACTGATGTTCCTCATTACTTGTTTCGCTTAAAGCGCCCATATTGATTCTTTGATTTGTACGCTTTTCAATCAAAACGCCCAACTTGGCTTCAATCTATTAGCGGACGATTTAATCCATAGCGTCAAGTCGACAACGAAACCCCCCACAAACCTCGACATTCTCGAGTTGACAATGTTCAGCAATGAAATCGGCAATGTATTTAGTAACATCGTCCACAGGCTTGACTCCAAAGATCGAGGGCTCTCGCGCAATCACATTTGTATGTTGTCTTTTGGAGGCAGGAGCATCTATCTCGTCGGCTTTTCTCTTGTTGCCGCTTGACTCCATTTCTTGCTTTAGTGTATTAGTAGAAGAAAGAAATTTTTGTCAACTTTTTGTTGCTAAAAAAACAACAAAAAGCAAGAAGAAAGAGTCACTTCGACAATGGATCATCTTCAATAGTGATCCCAATTCTACAGTGCCGTTTGAACGATTTTACGTGTTTGCATGAATGAAGATGTTGCAATCTTCTACAGCAAAGATGACGCTTACTCAATGAAGAGCCTATGACCCAACTCTTTAAAACAAGACAGTGATCAGTTACCAATAATAGATGTGATGTATAGACATCATTTACATATGCTGATTCTAAAGATCTTAAACACATGTTGATACGAGCAAAGCAGAAGTACGATTACAGCTTCATATATATATATATATATATATATAGCTAGGACAGCTTCCAGACAGGCATCTTTGCTGTCATGAAGGATTTGTCCTGGTAAATAAATGCTTACATCTGTCTTGGTTGTGATGTCGAGAGAGATGGAGCTTGTAGTATTTAACATCTCTCGTGATTTCTGCATAATTCATTGCTCTCTCCAAAGAAATACACATAATTTTATAGATGATTTTCTTATAGACTCGTTTTTGCATAGCATGTACAGTTGCTTCGACATTTGATCCAGCATTTGTAAGTGGTTTCATTGATTCTTGGACAAATCTACCGAGATTTCTAAACATACACGGTTTTCAGGCACATTTTGTAAGGCCAGAATGACAACTAGAGCCAAATGATGTGAGCTATATATCTGGTATTGTAGCAGAATGTGCAAATCATATGTCTTGCGTGCTTAGGAGCAGGAATCAAGAGACGCTGCGTGTTCCAATATGATCGGGAGCACAATTTCTCGAAACCAAAATCAGCCCTTCATCATTATGATTTGATCTTCTGATCAATAAAAGCCCAATACATCAGGTTTCATGGTAAGTAGGATGACAGCAACTTGATCGAGTTGAAAAAAGTATATATTTATATGGAATAAAACGTGAGATGTGTGGGGTTACTTGTGTGAGTCTGTGATGCGTGCCTGTGTCTGTGTGTGCATGTGTAAATAAAGAAAGAGGAAAGATTTATAGATAAAAAGTGGATAAAGGTAAAGGAAATAGAAAAGAAAAGTTATATGTTGTGAGACCATGAGAGAAAGGCTCATTTTTTTAATTTTTTTAATATTTTTTTTACAAAACAGTGCAACCCTTGGACTTCTTCTTCTTTGAAACCATCAATGCAGCTCTTGTTGCATGTTCAAATACCTCACGAACACCTTCACCGGTCTTGGCAGAGCATTCAAGGTACTTGTAAGCACTGATTCTTTGCGCAACCAAAGCACCCTAAAATAAAACGGAAATGTGTTACAAAATAATCATCTTATTTTTTCATGGGAGTTATGTAGAATGAAAATAGGAACTTTTTTGCTCCAAAAGAGAGATAAAGAGGCAAAGAGAAGGGAAGATAAATGTAGTCATGTCATTTGCATTTCGCATTGCTAGAACACTTATATGTATATATATATATATGTATATACAAAAGCACTTGATTACATACAGCCCCTCATCTCCCTCTAAATCTCCTAAAGTAAAGAAATATTTAGTAACAGAAATTTACCTCATCAGAGCCAACAGGCTTTTGGGAGTTTCTTCTGAGCTCTTCAATTGTTGCAGGATCATTTCTCAAATCTTTCTTACAGCCAACCAAAAGAATAGGTAAACCTTGACAGAAATGGAGGACTTCAGAAATCCACTATAAGAGCAAGAAGAGCATGTATTAGTTTAAGGGCAACAAGAAAAAAAAATTAAGGGGTAAAATGATACAAAACCTTTTCTTGAACGTTCTCCAAAGAGTCGGGAGAATCAACAGCAAAACAAATCAAAATAACATGAGAATCAGGGTATGACAAGGGTCGAAGACGATCATAATCCTCTTGGCCTATATGTAGACATGTATATTAGCCAGCTGATAACATACCGATAGAGAGGGCAGAGGACAGAAAAGAGATATACATTACCTGCTGTATCCCATAAAGCCAATTCCACGTGTTTTCCATCAACTTCGACATCAGCTACGTAATTTTCAAATACGGTGGGAACATAAAACTATTTTCTCTATGAGTTGTTTGCAGCAAAAAAGAGCCAAAGGGCGTTATCATATAGTTACCTCAGGGAAGGTACCCTTTGAGAAGACGATCAACAGACAAGTTTTACCACAAGCACCATCACCAACAATAACAAGCTTTCTTCTTATTTCGGCCATATTTCTATCATGAAAAATGAAAATGAAAATGAAAAAAAAAAAAGGAATGAGATAAAGCAAGCACACAAAGATATATAACTGTGATGAAAGACATACCTAGTATTTTAAATGTGTGATTTTATTTTTTGATTAAATAGAAATAGTATATGGGATGTTCAAAAAGAAAAATTAAAAAAGAAAAAAAAAAAAGAAAGAGAAAAAGAGAGAAGAGAGAAGAGAGGGAAAAAGAGAAAATTATAACGAAACCAAGTTTTTTTTGGAGAGATAACCAAAAAAATTTCTTTTTTAGAGGAATCTCCCGCTGTTGGTGTAAAATATCCACTTTCTCTTAAGCAAACACAAGCAAATCAGTGATTTGTACGTCATCAGTAGCATCAGTTTATATCAATGATATGCTGCAAATGTATAAATAGATGGCATCTTTCTACATTGTGGCTTCCAAATGTTGCTTTTTATATAAACATCAAGGCAACGCTTTTGCGGTGCGAGCGCGCGAATACCCTACTCGATTCAATTTAGCCATTAATTTACTGGGATTTAATCCAGCAAATCAACAACAACAACAACAACAACTATGCTTGTTTGTTGCTACTAATAGCAACACAAGGACGATGAAAATTTCCACCCCTTAATTTGAGACCTTGACTTATCACCACAGTAGAAAAAAGTTGTTGCCTAAATCACCCCTTAAACCTTCTCAACATCCCCGTCTCCCTCTTGTTTAATGTTACATCAAATAAAAGAAACCTCCTTACTTTTTCTCTGCAAATAGAGAAAGAACATTGGTATTAATTCAAGATGAATATCAGTTCTTCTTTCCTTCTTTTTGTTCCCACTTCACTCGACCAAGAGCAAGATGGAATTTCTATTTGCTGTAGCTAGAAACGATGTGGAAAAAGTGCGATCCATGTTGCAATCAGGCATTGATGTCAATAGCTCGTTTATTTGGAACTCCAAAGACACCTATTCACCAGTCATCCCTTCGGATATCATCCATCGGCCTGATCTATTGAGCAATTTACAAATCGATCAGAAATATCAATGTAAACCGTTGAACATTGCTGTCCTGGGAGGCCACCCCAACATGGTGCGATTGCTGCTGAGTGCTGGTGCTGATATCAACAACAAGGACGGGCGAGGAAGGTAGTAGCTGTAGATACCATCATTTGACTGACTCCCGTCACTGACGCTCTACTAGAACTGCATTGGTGTGTGCCATCTACGGCTTGGATCTGGATGCATCAAATATCAACACATCCAACCTACATTTGATATCTCAAACCAACCCAAGCCATTTCGACATCATGAAGAATATCTTATTGTGTCATCCCAATCTATATTATGCGACATTGGATGCCCCTCAATATGAGATCAAAGGGATCACTCCTTTATGTTTGGCAAGTTATCTCGGAAAAGCTGATATTTTACAGTTGCTGCTGGAAGATGGAAGAGTCAACGTCGATGGCACTGATAGTAAGAACGCAACTGCTTTGATGTATGCTGGTAAAGTGTTTGTCTTTTGTTTGTTTTGGTCATTTGAAATACTCACACACACACACACATATGTTGCTCAACAGCCAGAGATGGAAATGTACCCATTGTAAAGATGCTACTCGCTTACCATGCCTCGCCTGATATTACGGATAGTCACGGTTGGTCTGCTATCCAGTATGCAGAGAGAAATCCAGAGATTGTCCAATTGTGCGAGGAAGTGCTTCGAATCAAGAGATCAGAGCTTGTAAGTAAATTGTGTGTGGTGCGCATGAATGCACTACTAAGCTAGGAACAGGTAACATCAAACAACTGTACAGTAAATTACCCCATCAACTACGCCAAACTATCTCATCTTCTTTGCACGATCCCCAACTACCCGTCATCATTATCGCATCTCCAGTTTGATACACTGAAAGAAATCGATCATATTGATCCTTCTGCAGCACCCCTTGTACATATAGTTCAGTCTGCATTCCTACAAGCTATTAAAATTCATGACCATCACTCACTTCAAACCTTATTGATGAAATCACCTCCTTTGAACGGCATTCTACACAGTGGACCTCTGCTCATCAATCACCACGATCCCAAGACTGGCCTCACTGCTTTCCACCATGCGATGCGTACCAAGCCATTACCCTCTTTGGATACCATCACCATGTTATTTCAGGCTGGTGCTGATATGAATTCCCAGACCTATTATGGTAGAACGGCACTACATCATTTGGCTAGGTTTGGCATAGATAAAGATGGCCAATCATGGGGTATCCAAAAGAGTAGCAATGGTAAAGACACGGAGGCACAACAGCCAGTACCACCACCACTTCCACCGTCCACACTATCATCGACAGGAGTCAATATCCCTGAACATTTGGCCATGTGTGCATCACTGTTGATTCGTTTTGGTTCGCTCGTAAATATTGCTGATCCAACTGGTAATACGCCACTGCATTTTGCTGCCGAATTTGGCGGTGTCCCTGAAGTACTTGAAGTGCTGATACTTGAGGGCGGTGCGGATTTGAGTCTCAAGAATAAAAAGGGTTTGACCCCTTTGGATGTATGCAAATCAGAGGACATCAAAAGAAGAATGATACAATTGGAATCGGAACGGAAACATGCCAACAAGACGAAATCTGTCATTTCTTCACTGAGTGGCACGATAAGACCTTTTGATTCAGCAAGCGAATACAATCGATCGTCTGTCACTCGCTCAGTATCTCGATCCACGACTGTTGCCCCTGCCAATGCCATCAACGTAAAGTCAAGGATTTCCAAGGTGTCTGCCTCGTTTTTGTTTTGCGGTGATGATAGCAAGCAAAAGCTGCCCATGTCCAAGCAAAAGCAACTGCTGATGGCCACTATCCAGCGCAAAAAGGGCGATGTTAGCTATGAAGAATACTCTGATTTCGAAGTGATACTCAAGGCGTTTTTCGGCTATCAAACCACCTTTACTGACTCTATTGAATCGTCATTGGCATACATTACTGACTCCATCTTGGGCTCTTGGAACATGCAACAGAATGAACACGTCTCTACTATTCAGCAACTGGAGAAGACCATCACACAACTGCGATTTGAGCTTCGTGAAGCACACGAAATGTTTGACTGCACTGATCAGCTGGTTGAGAAGGTCATGATGTCCTTCCGTGAAGAGCTGGAGCAGGTAGAGCAAATACACCAAGCAGATTGGGAGATGTCTGAATTACAGCACGACAAGATTGAGAAGCTGTTTGACGTGTTTGAGCGTATTGATGGGCGTTTCTGTCAGCTGGAACTTGCGCAAGATGATTTGATCGGCCAAATTGAACGACTCAGAAAGGCAGCTGCCAGAAAACAACAGCAACTCAAGATGCAAGTCTGTGAAGAGGAGCCAGCGGATATCAGCCATTGCGTTGCCCATCTGTCTCAGTCATTGCTGATCCTTCAAACGGTGCCTATTGACCAGGTGCTCTATCTGCGTGACGATAGAAACAGGCTCTATCAAGACATGACGGCGGTAGTAGAGCAAGTAGTGCAAGAAATTGAGGTACATTTGGATCAGAACAAGCCAGACGACAAGCACACATTGACACAAGCAAAAGCCTTGGTGCAGGAGCGCTGGCTCCATGTCAAAGAGGTATTGACCAAGACCTATCCCGCTACAGCAGACAAAACCGATGAGCAAATGGCACAGCAACAACCTCACCAGCTGACTCGCTCCATCAGTCAGCCTACTACGGTGCGTCAAAAACACACTATCATGGCCAACATTTACAGCTTTCCCAGAAAAGAAGGAGCAGGCATGGATCACCCCTCACTCAACCAACTCGAGCTGTCGTTTGATATATTGCACTCCAACTTGTATGAAATCCAAAAGGACATTGAAGAGGTGACCGAGCATCTAGAAAAGCTGATGATGAGCAAAAAGAAAATGTACGAACTGTGCCTGTCACTAGAAAAGGAGCTGCACGATCCCGAGAGAACACGCACGGAAGATGAGATCAAGTCAGAGCTGAGCCAACTCATGATATTCACACAACAGCTATTCGACAAGCAACATGCGCTAGACAAGGAGAGAACACAGCTACTGAAGGAATACACTGACATTGAGCAGCAACTGAATACTACACGGGATTCACTCCATAAGGTGCGACCACCTGCTTTATTGCAGGGTCTCTTGGACAGGTTGGATACAGACGAAACTCCCTGTGTTCGTGTGGAAAAGGACTGGAAGGAAGACTCCAATCTAGTGTCAGAGATTGTCATGGATCCACAAGCAGAGGACGATGAAAGCTGTGCTTCCTCTGCCACATCGACTTCACAGCAGCAAGAAATGCAGCTCACTGCACTGCAATCCAAGCAGCTCGGTGCTCAGTGCACATCCAAACTCTCCACCCTATGCTACATTGCAAGACTGGACGCAAGCCTGTACTGTCTCAAGGTGCTTGCTAGCCATGCCATCAGCAAATCCCGTCAGCATTTGTTGCAGGTACAAGCCTCTCTGGGACAAGCCAGCACAGACCTCGATGACACCAGAAACCAAATGACTCAACTGTACGACGATGCAGCTGAAGTAGCGCGTCAAGTGTTTGCTCTCAAGACGGAACTGGAGACGATTGTCAGACATCGAAAAGAAGAGGTTGTCAAAGTGTGGGAGGTTGTCGACGAGGTTTCTGAAGGTGTGGACGCAAAAGCCATCCAATGTCAACAACAGCAACAGCAGGTGCAATCACAGAAACAGCCAAAATCACAGCAAAAGATACCATTGCAAGTGGTGGCAGACCAAGGTGAGAAACAACAGCATCACCAACAGCAAGACCGCATTGAGGAGCAAGATCGTCATCAATGGATTATTCGAGAATTGGAGCAATTGCAACATGTGCATGAAAGCTTGCAGGATGCGATTGACGAGCTAAAGCAAGAACAAGCCATGATAGGTCAAAGTCTGCGACAATTAGCCAGTGTGTTCATTGAGCCTCAAGTGGACAAGTTGGTTGGCCAAGATGAAACGTCTTTGCTGTCTGTTAGTGATCGATTAGCTGAATTAATGGATCGTGTGCGTGATAATGAGATTGGGCTGAGACCTACCTCCATGTCTTTATCTTCTGTCATGCAGCAAGAAACAGAAAAGAATCGTGAGGGAGCAGCCTCAGTGCCAGTAAAATCTAATACGACAGGCGTTGGGTAAGTGTGCATCATCAACATGATTTCTTGTTATCAGTAACTTTTATATACTACTAGTCCTCGCATCCATCCTGCAAACAAGAACACTGCCAACAACAGCAACAACAGACTGTCTCGTTTATCTGCTGCTACAAATCGTTTATCTGCTTCTACCTACAACAGCAACCGCTCCTCGTACTATGTGCGATCTCCCTCAAGCGCTGTGCTGGACAATGCCAATAGCAGCAAACGATTATCTGCAGCAATGAGTATTCGCACTGACAAGAAGCGTATGTCTATCATCTCTGCAACAAGTCTGTCTTCATTGTCCTCTTATCAACAGGAGAGAATGATGGCCAGAGCTTCCAACTTGAGCAGCGTCTTGTCTAAAGTACAGCAGCAAAAGAATTCCAGCAGTAACAAGCAAATTACATCTAGAAAGTAATCCATGCTGAATAAATTTTTATATCTATCTATCAGTTCCAGAGACGCTGGATACCAACATGCGCGTAAGCAGCTTGAATTTTGTCAGAAAATAGCTATCATCGTGTGGCTCATGTAATGTATGCTGGCCCGATCCATTTCCTTATAGAATGGCGAGCTTCAGCTAGTGCAACACAGTTTCAACATAGATCATGGCCCTGAATATCCTCCAGAAAGCATCTAGGACCTGGAATGTGCATTTCAAACGTTGCAGCACGTGTGAATTAGTGAATTCAGCCAGGGTTTGTACAGCAGTTTGGCGAAAGAGCCTCTGTCTCCTTATCCAAATGCCAAAATAGAGCCAAATTTGGTGATTTTAAGCACTAATATCTCGTGTTCCAAGCCGTTTTAAGGGCCCAGATCAACACCAAACAGTTACTTTTGATTGCCTCGTACTTCCTGATGCTTAATCTCGATTTTTTTTTGGGTCATGAAAAATCGATCGAATTTATCAATTTTGGATGTGTAGTAGCAAGGCAAAATTGTCGAAAATTAATCGATCGCATTTTTCACCCTGAAAACGGCGTTTTCTTCTATGGTGTATATTGATACAAAATGATCCCAAAAGTGCAACGCAACACCTGGAAGCATCTGTTTGAACATGTGTTATGCAAAAAATGAACTTTTCGCTCAAAAACTACTTTTCAGTTTTTTTTTATCGTTGCGCCATATTTTTGTTCTAAAAGGTTTGTGAAATCAGCACAATTCGATGCAGCTTGATCAGCTCCATGTAAATGTATTAGAAAATGGGGCGTGATACTCGCGACTTATATAGTCGAATTTGTCAAAAACGTTTAGAAAATTCAAATTAACTTGGTTTGGATTGCAGAAATTCCTACAGCAAAATATATAATTTAAAATCCGCCCACTGCCACTACTACTACTGTTGTATGAGCCCTCTTTGTAGCTTCTTCTTTCACGTTTGTTCGGTAATCTGTATGTCTTGATAGTGTAATTATCTGCATTGATAGACTTGATAAAAAAAAAGGCAATTTGCCTTATTGCATCTCGATGTACCATAAATAAAAAAGAAGGTCAAATCACATATATAATATTAACGCTGCAATGTTGAATTTTATAAAATGGCACTTTATTGTGCCCATAGCAAGTCATGATTACAAGTTATTTTTGTTCGTCGTCAAGAGGCTTGGAACTCAGTGATGGTTTTGTTTTGACCTTGGACATAGAGATAGTCAATGTTGATAGCAGAGTGAAGAAAAGCAGGGTTCTCTTCAAGATAGGGTGTCAAATCCTCGGCAATCTTGTCATTGGGGCCATGAATGACCCTGAAATTGACAGTTTCATAGACACAGTGGACAGGTTGATCAGAGTAAATGACCATGATACGGCCATGATAATTTCCATCAGAGCCATCAAGATTGAGAGGGAAGAAGGTCGACCCGGTCTTGTTTTCCTTGTCATTATACAGAGCTAACAAAAAAAAAAGCAAATTATGGTTAATGGCCAATACGCAACATGATTTATACTTTATGTACTTACGGATGTATTCACCAACAGTGATAAAATTGCGCTGATCTTCGTCCATGATACGGATACGGAATACTTGAAGAGGAATGCTCTTGAGACCCTCGGTATTGACAGACCACTTGACATATTGGTGAGAGCCTGCTTCAAAGGCCAAATCACGAGAGGTAGGGTAATCGATCTGGAAACCTTTGCAGTACTCGGGGTTGACACGAGGAGGATTGTAGCCATACTTCATATGCGCTTCAGGAACGACAGCAGGAGTGGTGGTGTTGGTGGTGGTGTTTGTTGCTACAGCGGCAGCGGATTCCATAGCATGAGAAGGACCAGCAGAGGCAGCAGAGGCAATGACAGTGAGAGTAGCAAGGAGGGTTGAGATCAATTGCATTTCGAGTAGGGGTGTTCGTTTGTTGATAAGATAAAGATGAAAACCCAAGCCTATGTGGTCCTTTTATATACCTTTGCTTGAGTAGCAATCATAATACTTGTCAGATACATGTTTTGTATGTCTCGTTGAGTAGATGCCCCGACTTTAAGGGCTACCAGTGGGCTTGACAGAAGAATGTTGCCAAGACTGCAATGGCCAGCATGTTGTTTATCAGAGTATGCTTGCCATTGAGTTCTATTTAGCAGCTTTATATTGTCAAATTGAACTTTATTACGTAGTAGTAGTTTTGCTTTCATACAGACCTAATTGCACTTTAACGAAGCTTTCAGGCACAAATACATCTTGTTTGTTTTGATACCGCCAAGGCAACTCGAGCACTGCAAAAATAGACCTTTCATGGAAGCATTTGAGATCTGAAAATTAGGTTTTATTTTTGCTTGTGATGTTTCGATCCAAGGGCTGAGCTTAATACATCTGGGCAACCTTTCCCATTTCATATGAAACATCAAGGGATTGGCGTTTATAATGCCTCCCAGCAACATCATTTGTATAAGCAAAAAAGCATACATGTTTGTGTGATAGCAGGTACCACCAAAGCACATTATAAGCTATTGGAGATGAATAGCATGTAGTTTTTATTTCTTTTATTTTATTTTTTTTTACACAATTGGTATTAAGCTACTACCCTAAAGGAGTATCCTTCCACATATTACACTATCACTTTTATAAGCTTCTTTGAATCTTGACAACCTTGACTTGAGTGTACTCTTGAAGAGCATACTTTCCAAGCTCCTTGCCGAAGCCAGATTGCTTATAACCACCAAATGGAGTGGATTGATCAAAGACATCAAAGCAGTTAACCCAAACAGTACCAGCCTGGAGCTCATTGGTGACAGTAATGGCAGTATCCAAGTTGGAGGTATATACACCACCAGCCAAACCGTAATCAGAGTCATTGGCAATCTCAATAGCTTCCTCAATAGTCTTGAAAGTAGCAATGGCTACCACAGGACCAAAGATCTCCTCTTGCATGATACGCATGTTGTTCTTGCAGTGTGTGAAGATGGTAGGCTCAATGTAGTAACCCTTCTCACCCCAACGCTTACCACCAAGAGCCAACTTGGCACCCTCCTCTTGACCAATCTTGATGTAGTTGAGAATCTTGTCGAATTGACTCTTGTTGATTTGAGGGCCCTGGAAGGTTTCTTCATCAAAGGGATCTCCAATCTTGATCTTTTTGGTTTCAGCAATGAAGAGCTCCATGAATTTATCAAATACATCCTCTTGCACGAGAATACGAGAGCCAGCATTGCAGCTTTGGCCGTGGTTGTTGAAGATACCACCATGAGCTTGAACTGCGGCATTGGCTAAATCGGCATCAGCGCAGACAATTTGTGCACTCTTACCACCTAATTCGAGTTGGAGCTTTTTGAGGTTGCTGCTGGCACTGCTCTCCAAAATCTTGCGACCAGTGACAGTAGAACCAGTGAAAGCCATCTTGCTGACACCGGGATGACTACTGAGGTAGCTGCCAGTAGTATGTCCATAACCAGTGATGATGTTAACAACACCCTACAGCTTGAATCAGCACTATGCATTACATATATCACTATAACTGCTACTTACAGGAGGGAATCCAGCTTCCTTGACAAGGTCAGCAAACTTGTACAATGACAATGGCGTGATTTCAGATGTCTTTAACACAACTAGTAGAAGGAAATCAACATCTTGACCGTACAGTAATCTCTCTCATCAGCACTTACTGCAGTTACCAGTGCCCAAGGCAGGAGCCAGCTTCCTATATAGCGCATTAGACTTCAATCACATCTGCAGCCGTACTCTTACTCACCATACGGGCATCATGGTAGGGTAGTTCCATGGGCTTTGTTCAAACAATTAGCAGCATTCTCATAGACGCATAACAGAGCACACTTACACAACAGCACCAACAACACCAAGGGGTTCATGACGAGTATAACACAGCTTGTCAAAAGTCGTATCAATAGTCTTGCCATGAATCTTATCAGCCCAACCAGCGAAATAACGGAAACAGCCAATGGAGTCTGTCACATCGACATCGCGAGCAATAGTGAAAGCCTTACCGTTATCAAGAGCATCCAAAGTAGCAATCTCATCTTTATCACGCTCCATCAAATCAGCAAGCTTGTTGATCAAACGACCACGTTCAGCAGGGGCAGTTTTACGCCATACATTCTTGAAACACTCTTTGGCTGCGTTCACAGCAGCATCGACATCAGATTCATCAGCAGAGTGTACGGAGCAGATGACTTCTTCAGTAGCAGGGTTGATGGTTTCAATCAAAGGACCATGGCCAGGAACAAACTCGTTGTTGATAAAGAGATAAGTGTGGACTATCAGAGACGTATATCAAATCAATTAACCATGGCCGCCTATTCATGCGCAGGTATAGGTGATAGTTACCCTTGATTTCTTGACCGTTGGAAGTCTTTACAGTTTGAATATCTTTTTGAGTCATGGTTGATTGATATTATTTCTACAAATGAGCGAAAAGAAAAGGAAAAGAAGATGACTATGCTATCTCTTTTTATGTTGGATGGTGCAATAGTAGATATTAAGGTTTCGGAGTGCTGGCTGTGGCACCTTTTTATATCAAAGGGGCGTTGCGATTCATGCTTGGAAAAGTATCTGATTGAGTGGAATGTTATATTGTATGAGTCTCGCTACAATCAGATGCGTGCTATATGGTTATATCAAGCAGCTTGCATTAACTCCTATGATAAAATGTATATCCAGGCAGTGGTGTCTTCTAGATGTATACCTTGTTACACCAAACAAGCAGGTTCCTATCACTAGCAGCGCTAATGAGATAGGTGGGAACGCCAAACCTTATTACTCAAGTCTGGTCACTGCCCAAACCAAATAAGGACAGCTTTATATTCATGCGTTTTGGTATTGCTCTACTATTTTACTGCCATGTTAATATACTTTTGCCAATCAATTCGTTTAATACTATGTCAATTGATGGCGCATGTCAAACTGCATGCTACTCTGAAAACTCTTTACAAAGGCCTAGTGTCAGCATCGATCTCTTTATTGGACGTGTGAACAATGGATAGACAAAGATTGTGGTACTATATCTCGAAACATGTAATCCTACATGCCATATTCGTCATAGTATATGCTACATGGGCGGCTAATTTATGCAGATCACACATATTAAGCAGTGAGAAATCTCGTGATGGCGTATTTACATCTAAGAAGGTGTCGCATGTATAATGCTTAATAAACGCCATCCATATTGGCTTCTTTTCAATAAGCATCTATTTAATTATTGGGTTGCATTGATTGATACTTTTGCTGTACTCTATAAACGGGCGGATCTATCTCGCTACGCTCGATGTTGGCGTCGCCCTGGGGGCTCTCGTCAAAGACATTTTAAATCAGATATTATAAAATTTTGGTATATCAAGTAGATTTTAAACAATCAATCATTAGTTTGTAAAAAGGAAGGTTATATCAGAGCCAGGAGGAGGAGAGGAGGTATCTCCCTCAGCATCCTCTTTGCTTACACTGATATCAAACAAAGCCTATTATTGGGATAATGCGAAAGATATTCAAATTTTATGCAGCAATAGTACATCACAATCGCCATTTTCTGATAATAAAATTGTCATATCATTCACTGCTGCTGATACTCAGTGACATAACGCTGATCATGAGTAAATACAGGACTTGTGTAAGATCTACAGCGACTTTTTTGAGATATTGTCATTGCAAAAGACACCTTCATGCAAAACTCCCCAAAAAATTATTTGTGCTAAGCAATTGTTCTTTCAAATATATAATCCCCATTTAATTAGCATCGCAATTGTCATTTCCATCATCATTGTTATCAACAGAAACGCATTTGAGTCAGCCAGCAGCAATGCCACCGCCAAAACTGATTCAAACTCAGATTTTTTTTGTTCAAGATTGGACAGATTTCAACTCTTTTCGACTTCTTTAATCTATTTTATGATATTCGATTTTATAAATTGTGATGATCGCCCTACGCTTCCTAATACATTATTGAAGTACTTTTCAAGGCGCTTCCAATGGTGCTGACTGTAATAAGTGTTTTGACTAAACTTATTGAGAAATTTAATAAAATTGGAAATGAGGTTTTTAGCGAAAATAGCCATATTTTGCATATGAAAGTCTCATAAAAGTGGTTTCAGAAGTTGCATTGGATCGAGAGAAACATTTTGATTCAAGATATACCATAGTAAAAGTCCCCATTTTCAAGGTGAAAAACGCGATCGTTTGATTTTCGATGAAAACCATGAGGGGTACCTCATGCTTTTTGGTCGAATTTTGTTCATGTTTTTTTTGATCCCCAAAAAGTTGAGCAAAAGTGTTAGGACGTTACTACTACTCAAGTACAATTGTTTGGCGTCATTCCGGTGGCTCATAATGGCCTAGATGGCGAGATATGAAGGCTTGAAATCTGTCAAATTTGGTCATGTATTGCTTTATAGAGTTTATCTACACGGCATAAATCACATTTTTGGTAGCTGCAATTTTTACTTCGAATAGGAGACATATTGATTTCGGAAAAGCTGGTTATGCAAATTCTGATGCGTTATGTTGCTGGTAAGCTTATTAACAATGGAAATGAAAATCCGAATTTGCTGCTTAGATACTATGGTCTTGCATATTCGCTTCGCTACAATCAAGCCCTCGTATAGATCAATGCTATAAAATGCTGGGTTGGATGCTTAGCTGTCATAGGTTTGCACCTTTGCTTTGCTACGGTAAAACCCCCCCCCCCCTTTAAACAATGCTATCAAGTGTTGAATTAGGCGCGTTATGTTTTCCCCAAACCCCCCTCCCCGTTACTGGCTTTGCTGGCGGTTTTATTCACCTTGTACGGCCCACAATTCTTTAAAATTTTGAAAGGATATGATTTGTTTGTCTACCTTTTGAATGTTTTACTGTATATAGTGAAGATACACGTTTGAGATTTGATCCAAATAAATTACTGCTTTCTTGTAAATATAACAATAGCCCTGCATTCTTTGCGATCTAATCATCTGTCATTTTGCAGCAGTGCTTCAAGGCATCCTTACCAGTTAAGGAGGTCAATGCATTGGGTGCGACATGCTGGTTCTTCTACGGATGTGTTGAGCGGAGGATTATCCATCTGAAAAAGTAGTCGATTACACTCAAAAATGGGACAACCGTGCATAGTTCGCCATGATGTAGCACTACAATAGTATTAGCTGAGGTGCTTTACTTGGGTAGGCAGGTGTTTTGTCGAGGGAGGGAGCCACCGCGCACCGAAACTACTGAATTGCTTTCAGGATCTACAGCGCCTTGCTACTGAAAGTACCCGTCATTATCGGCAAGTTGCTCAAAGCAGCCGCCAATGCATACGATGCCATGGAATTCATCGTTCTCGTTAATACAATTGGTCTTTGGAGAACCGTATTATAGAAACAAAAGTTCAGAACTGGCGCCATCTCCTTTAGATACGAGCTTGTAGCTAAGGCTAGATATACGGACACTGATTGCTCAGCCTCTAGTCATACTATCGACAATGTGCTCCTCTTAAGCAATTATAAGCCTTGCAAGGTCGATCCCCTCGACGAAACACATATTGCAGAGGACCCTGAAGCTATCATCGTCAGCATAGGCAAGTCATTTTCTGTATGCATTGTTAGTTTCTCAAACTGGATTTCCTCATTACTAGCTTTGATTCGTGCATAGTGAACATGCCGATGATTGCTCTTTTGACAACCAGTGATATAACAAGCAAGCTTTCGCCAAGATCCATCAGAAATTTGGAATAGGAAAGCATCATAAAGTAGGATACAGAAGCTACAGTCCTCTAGTGTTGGGGGTATGAGTCGCCATGAAGCCATTAGAGAAAGGCGTCGTTGTAGATGGAGATAGTATCACATCCAAGACTTTCATCAAGAATCAAGAGCAAGCAGTAATTAGAGCAGGGCACCTACTACACGAATATTGCAAACTTGATGCAAACTACTTGCGGTTCTTGCACTAGCAGCAGATGTATGACAGAGAATCTTTCATGTGAATCCCTTGAACGTTGAAGGTCATCCATCAGTTGAGAAGTTGCGCTGTAGATTTGTAAATAATGAAAATTAGTGCGAGTTGGAGGCTCCACAAGCACAGCAATACATTGTTACGATTAGAGGTAACAAGGAAATTTCCTTGCCTAACCTCGGTTCAAGCTGGGAAATCCAAAATGCAATGATAGTAAAATACGGCCTCTTCCATTAATTGCAGTCAGCACAGAGCATTCACACTTGAGTGCACTGTACACCTTGATTGTATCCACAGAATCTGATTATGCTGACAAACGACTACCATCAATAACCGCATTGCAGAGTGGTTATTATAAGCTATGGACATATTGCGACTCTGCGTCAGAATGAAGATTTATTCGCTTAGATTCAAGTATACATTACAAAATCTATGCGATACCAACAACAAGACAGTTACTTGCTAAGCAAAGAGGGGATATACAATAGAATTTACAGGTTTAAATCAGCAGTTGCCTTCTCAATTTGAGCCTTAGTCTTTTGATTTTGTGATATGGAAGCCTCCACTTGCTGGTTGCATTCAGCAGCTTCAGATTTGATTTCGGGCATGGCATTTGAGAGTTGGATGAATGAGTTGACGAGAGCGCGTGTAGTGCCATCCGCAGCCAGTTGCGTATCCTTGTCCAACTTTCTCGGCGAAAACTCTGAATCATCCCTCTTGTCGCCGTAGAACTCTATAGTTGCATGATCATTGAGTAAACATTACTCAACCTGAGTCATGCGTTATATCTTCTTACCTTGATGCTTTCCAAGCAGGATGTTTTCAGACTGAATAAACTGATCAATGTTGAGGCTTGCTGCGGTAGTGTCCATCACATGCAGATTGTCTATCACTGCTTTGTAGTTGAGCGAGGCATCTGTCTTTTCGGGTTTCGCCTTGAAAATGTTCAATGACATTGTGGTGAAGAGATAGCAAAAAGCCGCAGAAGGGTGGGTTTAGGAAGCCGCATCCCTTTTTAAAGAAATTTTTTTTCCACATCTCTGCTGTTTAGCTCTTTCTCTAAATTATATTACTTTGTATTTGACGTGTTTGATATAAAAGATGCTTGATATCAACTTGCTTTTGGAGGAACGTGGCGGCAACCCTGACATGGTCAGAGAGTCTGAAAAGAGACGTGGTGGAAATGTGGAGCTTGTCGATCAAATCATTGCTGAATACAAGGAATGGACCACCTGTATGTCTCGCATCCTGTGTGTGTGTGTGTGCCTTGAAAGGCTGTGTGTACTAATGACATGTATTAGTCCAATTCACCAGTGATCAAAAGAACAAGGAAGCCAATGCCATCCAAAAGGAGATTGGCAAGAAATTCAAGGCCAAGGAGGATCCCTCTGAATTGGTCGCTCAAAAGAACGCTCTTCAACAAGAGAAGGAAGCCCTTGTTGCTCAAGCCAAAGAGAAGGAAACCTCTTGGAAGAACAAGCTGAACCTTCTTGGTAACATTGTTCACTCCTCTGTGCCTACTTCCATGGATGAGGTAATGATGTGACATGATCCAGGGCATGAAATGGCATGTAAATCTCACAGTGTGTAATTAGGACAACAACGAAGTCATCCGTACCTACTACCACAACGGTGTTGAGCCTGTCAAGAGAACCGACATTATGTCTCACCACGAAGTTCTCTCTCGTTTGGATGGTTATGATCAAGACCGTGGAGCCAAGATTGCTGGTCACCGTGGCTACTTTTTGACTGGCGTGGGTGTTGATCTCAACTTGGCTTTGATCACCTATGGTCTCAACTTCCTTGCTAGATATGGTTACAAGAAATTGCAAACCCCCTTCTTCATGAACAAGGACATGATGGCCAAGACTGCTCAATTGTCTCAATTTGATGAAGAGCTTTACAAGGTAAGATAAGGGAGAGGGTGCATGTGCCTGTAGATCAAAAGAATTGATGGTGTGACATTGCAGGTCTCTGGTGATGGTGAGGACAAGTATCTCATTGCCACCTCTGAGCAACCTATCTCCGCCTTCCACTCGGGTGAATGGTTCGAGAAGCCCTCTGAGCAATTGCCCATCAAGTATGCTGGTTACTCTACCTGTTTCCGTAAGGAAGCTGGTGCTCACGGTAAGGATACCTGGGGTATTTTCCGTGTTCATCAATTTGAAAAGATTGAACAATTCGTCTTGTCTGCTCCCGAGAACTCTTGGGAGATGTTCAACGAGATGATTGAACATTCTGAGGAATTCTTCAAGAGTTTGGGTCTCTCTTACCGTGTTGTTGCCATCGTCTCTGGTGCTTTGAACAACGCTGCTGCCAAAAAGTACGATTTAGAAGCTTGGTTCCCCTTCCAAGGTGAGTATAAGGAACTCGTTTCTTGTTCCAACTGTACCGATTATCAATCCCGTAACTTGGAAATCCGTTGTGGTGTCAAGAAGATGTCTGACCGTGAGAAGAAGTACGTCCACTGTCTCAACTCTACTCTCTGTGCCACTGAAAGAGCTCTTTGTGGTTTATTGGAGAACTGGCAACGTGAAGATGGTTTGGAGATTCCTCCTCCTTTGGTTCCCTACATGGATGGCAAGACCTTCATCCCTTATTCCAAGCCTAGACCCGCTCCCAAGAAATAAATTCAAGGCTCTTTTTCCTTTTTGTTTTTGTCAAATATATTGTAATAAAATAGGTTCTTCTGATACACACATACGATCATAGATATTGAGTAAAATGAAGATGATAGTTTATTCACAAATGATAAATGAACGGAGAGGGAGGGAGGGGGGGGGGGGAGAATGGATTATTCGGCTACACGTTGGAGCATTTTGGACAATGTCTCATGGACCTTGGCAATGTCATCAGCAACTTGGCCTTGGCCTTGATGCTCATAGGCATCATCATTGAGATCCTGCTTGTTGCGATCGTCAATAATACCCTCCTTGTATTGAGCATCAATCTTTTGCAAACGCTCTTGCAAGCCTTGGATATCATTAGAAGTGTATCTGCGATGAGACAATTGCTTGCTTTCACGCAAGATTTCTTGGATTTCGTTGTGAATATGTTCTACATGTAAATGTGATTAAGATATGCTCATCAGATACTTGTATTTGTTGAGACTTACCGAGATCTTTTTGCATAGGCATGTTGAAAGTTAGCTTGATTTAATATTGAATTGATAATATAGATAGAAATCAATGAAGGAAGAGGTTTTTTATATACTCTTAGTCAAGACAAGGGTTTTGAGATGAGCATATGACTTGAGGGGGGGGTTTCTGATTGATTTTGACGTTGATATTAAAGTTGGCATGAAAAACCTTATTTGAAGGGTTTTGTCATGAAACCTTCCCCGATGAGATGTTCACTAGCCATGACATTCAGCGGATAGCACAATCCGAGTCGATGCCATCTTTCGCGAAAGACTTCCAATTGTATCGGACTCGGTCAAGGCTGCACCATATTATGGCATTCTATCGCCCTGTGTCAAGCTTCTAGAATTTCAAAGAAGGGCAGTGGCAGAACTGGCTTATGCAGATAATTGAAACTATTCTTTGACGGATATTTTTTTGGTGTACATTGGCCATTGAAACCAACGCTTGAAGGGTAGGGCTTCGGTGTCAAGTGGCATTCAATACCCTTGAGCGACTTTTTCCAGTGTTTCGATATCTAGTGATTCCACAATTACGTTTTATTAATGCAACTGTAGTAGGAATTTGAGTGCCGATATCAAAATCACAAACCCTCGAAGGGTTTTCAGCATGAGAGATCACGGCAATTGTTTCAACGATGTTTGCGCCAGCAATGTTTCAAAACATTACAACACTGTCTTGGAGGTTTGGGATAGCAAACCCTTTCAAAATAACCCTGACTAACTCCTTCCAATGATTTTTATTGTAAATCTATACAATACATCGCACTAAATCACACAGCTTGGTAAAAGTGGTTCTATCCAATGACTGAAAGAAAGTTAATCCTGAAGCTTTCTCAATGGCTCTCAAATCAACTAGGAAACGGTCAAGAGGTATGGCATGATCGATGGCCTGATTTGGTAGCACAAAGGCTCCTGATGCATAGTCAGTACCATTTGATACCAAGAGAATCTTGAAATAGTGAGTGGGTACAGCGATTGTAGGCCCATTAGCACCAATCATGTCATATTGCATTCTGTATCTATCCTTTGTGTTTGATACTTTGGAGATGACCTTGATAGCACCGTCCTCATCAAATTCAATCTTGGAATCAGCCAAAGCATAAGCCTCAGAGGAAGACGAAGCATGTGTGGTAACCAATTGTGGCAAAAACAGAGGGCCAGAGTAGACGTACACATCAGTGAAATTCTTTGTTAAATCACGACAAAACTGCTCCAAATAGGCCCAATCTTGAGATGAATGCGAGTTAGTTATGCATACTGACACTGCTTCAATTACGTACATTGGCGATTGAATCCAGGGCCGACTTGAGGTGCAATGTTGGTCAACAAGAAGGTCTCATCCATAGCGGTTTGTGAAGAAACAGCGTCCCCTGCAGGAGCCATGTGGCCACGATCGTAGCCGCTATTCGTATAGTCGTTGGTATACACTCTAAACAAGCCTGGTACAGCTTTATCACCGGTAAATCGGGATTTGTCTCGGGATACATTTTGTCCACGGCGTAAACTTTCTGCTGTAAGGTGCTCTCCTACCCAATGAGGGATGCGATCTCTGCGGTTGAACGATGCGGTATATGCGGTTCTTTGGAAAAGATCACTGATAGGACCTGCACATGGAATGAGCATTGTGTGATGGACTCCATCTGGATGCTTACCTGGGTTTCCGAATTTCAGAACATTGTTTGGTGGATCTTGTCTAATATGTAAGTTATTTCCGCTTTGATGATGATTTGTGATGCGAAAAGGGACAACGTTGTACATGAAGAACATGCCTATAAAGAAGCCGCCTGTAAGCCAAAAGTAATGAGACAAGGGTATAGCCATATTGTGCAGGTATCGTAAAGAATGAAAACAAAACAGAAGAGATAAGGGCAGGTTTATCTATTTTGCATTAATTTATAAAGGCACACAAACAACATGCCAATCACGTTACGCCATACAAAACGTTTCATTCTATTCTGTCCAAGCTCAACCCGTATCACGATGGATTGTGTGGGGGAGGATTTGAGCTTATAAAGTTATCAGTGGATCAAAGTTACACACAATATAGATTAATGTCAAATTAAAAAAAGATTTATTTGTTTCTAGAGAGAGAGAGAGAGAGAGAGAGAGTAAGATATTAACAAAAAGCAGTGGAATAGTAGTGCAATTGGTGTTGTGGAGGTAATAATATACAGATAATGAAAGTAGGAATGAGATTGAATGGGTGGTTGCATATGAGAGTAGTAGTAGAAGGGGATGATATTACAAGGTTATTCTATGGTTTTGATTTAATTTAAATGAAGCAAGTGATGCTGCTTTGAAGGTGCGGTATTGTAAGAATGAGATAATTGCATCATGGCAACTACAGCATCCTGTTCAGTGCTTGTGGTTCTTTGTCTCGTTAGTGAAGAGTTAAAGTTACGAATAGGTGGTAATTTGACAGAGGCGTCGAAATCAGGCTTTGCATGCACAGGCATTTGATAGTGGACATGAAGAGGCGGCGAGGATGGAGAAGAGTGGTAAGAGAGAGGAATATAATTTGAGGCGGCAGTAGGGAAGAATTTGTCATAGGATTGTTGAGGAGGAGACAATGGAGGCAGAGAAACACGAGGAGATGAAAAGTGAGTAGCAATTGGGCTTTCATCGCTGCTACAACTTTCTGTACCACTGCTTGTGATACTAGTTCTTCGCTCATAGTAAGAACCGGGTATACTCGTAGCTGGAAGTGGAGGACTTTGAGCCATGAGTTGATTAGGGTTTGCGTTGTGAGAGGTAACATGTAGGGATGCAGATGCTGGAGAGGGAGCGCAGAGGATGTATTGCTCAGTTTGAATCCCTAGCTTTCTTTTGCGAGACACAGCACCGATTGATGTGGCAGCAGCGCTGCTGCTATTAGATACTTGAGCTCTGTTTTCCTTACGTATTCTGATACGGGCACCCTGGTCAGAGAAGGATCTTGATAAAAAGGTAGAATCCAGCATCCCGGGAAACTTCTTTGTAGGGTAAACAACAAAGGGACCAGTGAAGATAGATTGCAGACACACAGCGCCCGTGGTAGTGATTTCAAATAGAGAAAGTTTCAGTCTAAAGCTTCCTTCTACTTTGACAGACAGATCCCCAAAGATAAAGAAGGCCCCGTCTAAAATGACGGCATGTAAGAATGAGGATGAGTTTGTTCGTGTCTCATGTGGATGCTTACCATGATTATCAATGTCTTTCAACTTGTACATGGAGGAAACAGTTTGACCAGACAGAGCATTGTGAGTAGGGGTGTAAATTTCATTATCATCAGATGGATGAGCTAAATTAGCGCACATATAAAAGTAAGAATTTTGATGGAATGCACTATGATACGAATGATTAGAATCAGATAATTTAGGTGAACCATGGGTAGTACATACTCAGTTTGTTGCGGAGTGGCGTTGTTAAGTCTCATTTGGACGATGGGAGGAGGATCTATTGGTCGACGATCTAAGATAAACGAATGAGTACAGATGCGTAACATCGCCAGAGTATGTGCCTCTTACCTCTCTCGTTGTTGGTACTAATACGAGCATGGATTGGCTGTTGACGGTTCAGTAAGGTATATGCACTACAGATGATGGGGGAAAAAAAACATAGATCAGATAAACAAGATCAGATAATTTTTCACGCTTGAAGTAATAACAACCCTGGTAAAGTCGTTATTGATATTTGTTTATTTACCTGGCATTAGATGCAGCATCGGAGCAAGCAGAAACATAATTGTAATTGTTGATTTTAGACATTTGGTATGATTAAATACTTTTAAAGAGTAAATGTGTGCAGATGTAAAAGATAAAAAACCAACAAAAGGAAAAAGTGTAAAGCGAGAAGAGAGAGACAGAGGAAAACTATATAAAAAGCGATGATTTTATATTGGTTTTAGGGAAAAGAAGGAAGAGTTTGTGGAACAGTAAAAAAAGATCTGATAAAAGAAATTTTCAAATTCGCAATACCTGTGTACCTTAAATCGGAGATGCTGCTGAATGGAAACATTTGAATTGGATATCGTCCTTTATATACTAAAGGTTCGTGGATATTTTTGTTGGATTTTGATCATCCGATAGATAAAGAAAGGAGAAAGAACGAGAAAGCAGCTTGTCATTTACACAATGCAATCAACATCAAGAGCTAGTAGTCTTTCAAACTAAACGCTACTAATAAGGTTATTTAGTCATGTATGGGGCCATTGATCTGCCCATCTTCTTCAGCATTGACTGTCCCTTTAAATACATACGTGTTTGATTACCGAGTAGACTTTCAACCCACTTGTAAAAAGATTCAAAATCGGTATGAAATTCAGGTGAGACAACGCAAGAAAAAACTTTTTTCTAATCAGATCTTGTTTCTTTTTAGTATCAGTGTAATCATGCCCTACAGAACAGGAAGCGTCCCTGTTATTAAGTGATACAATGTATGCAATCTCTATAGGAACAATAATCCTCAGTCATTTCTTTTTCTATATAAAATATCAGGAGAAGCCTTTCAAAAGAGCAAGGGTTTCTAGGTCTATAGATTCTACAACAGCCATGGAATCGCAGCAAATTAGTTGGTATCGCAATCCTTAGCCTATTTTCATAATATTATGCGTAATCACTAAAATTCAGCACCAAATCATAGCTCAAGCTACCCCTTGACGAGCCTGGAGCATGTACTTGCGCTGGATATGTACCTAATGTAATTTGCTCGACACGCACTTAATTATAGTCAAGAGCGGAATATGATATCTTGCATACCACAAAGACTGGGGATGCCTGTTGTAAGGCGATCATAAAAGAGTAACGCTATGACACAAGGAGAAGCTCATATCATGCAGGCTTCGTCTCCTGGATTGCAGAATAATCCAATTATCGTGCTCAATGGATAAAGATAACAAGTAAATCATAAAATCTGGTATCACATTATCGATTGTCAGCATCATCAAGCTCTGAAAATCCCCTGGTCTTTTGAATCAGGCTTGCTAACATGCCGTCATGTACAAACATGAAATTATGCAGAATAATTCTCTATCATATGCCGTATTCATCATCAATTTGGCAGCAGTTCATTTTCTGCTAAAATTCATACATGAATGTACTAACTGGGATTGTGGTCCATGTGTCAAATGTCTTGGCTATGAACCGTTTTTTGATCTAGATATATAGACTCTGGTTCAATCTGAATCATTTGGGAAAGGTATAGCTTGTATGACGTGAAAACTTATCAGATCTTTTTGATAATCAGCTGCTGAAAATGTTCATGGTGGAAAACAGCCATACGGTATTTTATGGATACCTATCAATGCGTAATTCAATTTATTCTGCCAACAGAAAATTCTGACTCAATCTGCACTGTATCATTATGCGAATTCAAAAGACTTTCGATTTCTCTCTTTAACTATTGATGATTTAAATAAAAATCGTTACACAACCAACCCACCATACCAGATGAAACATTTTAGTATTACCTCCACTTTAAACTTGTTGCTCGTTAGTGCGCGCCCTATCTTGAATGAGCTGACAAATAGATTATATTTTCCGTGCGATTAGTAAATTTTGTTAAATAAAAGAGGAGCTTTCAATAGCGTTTACAAGATTGTCTGTATTCAGAAAAAGTAGATAGAAAAACTCAGAATATCTTTGGGTTAGGAATGTGTATGGCCGTGAAGCACACGTTTTCTTTTTGACGTTTTGTTTCCCATCATATTATATAGAAATTAAAGTCTCTAAATCCTTTGCCATCAATTGTGATGATAAGACACTTTAAATGCGATTTGGTGGACACAAATTCACTCAGCAGTCTTGTCAATTGATCAACCTTCTCTTTGTTCTTTTCCTAAATAAAAGCTTCTCCTTAACAATCAATCAATTAGATAGTGGCCCAAGCTAAATTCTCTCTATATAACTGAGCTGGCAGAAAAAGGGAGCCGACAATCTATTTTATAAAAGTTACCAGGACGTGTCATACCAAAAATTTTGAGATCTACACCAGAAGATGATCTTTCAATTCGAAATTACTTCGTTTCTGAAAATAGTATGGTAGAAACTTTAGTCGATTGGCGCTGCTAACTAGGTACGTTCCTGCAATATATGCCGGCTATCCTATAGTAGCAAAATCTGACATTAACGAAGAGCTTAGCAGGAGCATGTATACTGATGAATTCGGAGGATGAGACGAACGAAACTATCGTCTTAACACTACCAAATAGTCAACATTTTGGCCATTAAAGGACAGTTATAACGCTGGCGCAGTTATTCCTGGATTGCTATTAAACTTGATTTTATGCAAAATAACAAATAATGAAAACTGTACATGTAATCCTCCACAATTTATATTCTTGTTTATTAAAAGTGCCCACAGAAAGGGTGCATGCGCTTTGAAAGAGTTTGTATTTACATCGATTGTAGAATAATCTCGCTATAGCAGCGAGAGCGTTTATTTACAACCCATAGTAATAGTGATTCCATATGTTGGTATTCTCGCACATAAATGGTGGTTGAACCTTTGATACCATGGTATATAAATACGTAATACCTTGTCAGGGCTTTAATGTATCAAAATCCTGCTTAAGCTTAATGCACCTGACGTCTTTTTGGGTTAGATTTAGTTATTGCGTGAACAAAGCTTACTTTGGGTATACTTCAGGTGATATAATAGCGATAGTTTTTGCACTCACTTGAAAATGTTTGATACAAAGATGCAGCCAGTATTTGGCTAATAACATCATCATGTGCTGGCACCACAGGTAATTGTTTTGATCAAATCAAGCTTGGATGAGGCCTGATTGATTTATCAGAAATAAATTATTTATAAAAAAGAGTATGAAATTAATCAGGTAAAGGATATCGTTTATTACATTGAAAATAAGAGGGTTTATATACTATTCGAATTGAGGGATTTGATGTGAGGATAAGGTATTAGATGGGTTGATTTGGGTGATAGGATAATAGATTGGATCTATTATCCTGAACATGCCATGATATGGATCGTAACTGAATCCTGTTTCATGTCAAAGTTTATGATCTGATGTGATCGGTGCTTGAACTGCTTGCTTCTACACATTTGGAGATCCGGTTTAGAAATGATACATCACTGATGACTCATAAAGAGTTTGATTTCTTGACCGTCAAGCATGGCAAAAGCTCGATCTGAAAAAAATGGAAGCTTAATAAAATTGAACAAAAAAATCAAACCAAATGCCTGAATAGGTGCCAGTTGATTGCAAAAAGGGAAATAGCAGAAGATCAATAATATACAACTAAGAATTTAGTCTTCCCGCCACAAAACTTCACTTTTATGTAGAATCCACTTATATAACTTTGATTATGCTGTTAGCCAATTATGTTAATAGTTATAATTGGCATAAGTTACCCAGAAATTTCAGAAGTAGACCAAGAACTAAAGTGTGGAAATATAATATAATACAAACACCACATTAGTTATAATACGGTAGAAACAACAGCTAATAGGTCGAAAACGGATTATCAAATTTCAAACCCAGATCTCTGAGTTTTATTTGATTTGAAATCCCGATATTGCCCTCTAAACGATGGTGCAATTGAAACTTATGTGTTGTGCCAGAAGGGCTACAACTGTCTATAAAGATTAAGGTATTCTTGATGGGTAGATATGTCTGTGTTGTGCAACAACATGGACAAGCTATGATAAGTGAAGTGCATCTCAGCTATCTAAATACTGAGGTTCACCAGATGTGATAAGCGTTGTACAAGATAAATTGCTACTTTGGCATTCAGAACTTAGTATATATAGAATAACTCTTGTCTTCATCAATAAATCTTTGATTTTTGTGTCTGATCTTATTCGAATAAGTCTTTTCTTGTTTTTATAATATCGAACATTTTTTATAAGCTACAAATAATAATCCTTTTATTCTTTGTGCTTAACATTATGTAAGTAGCATGGTTGTTGAGAAAAGGGAGATTTTAGAAGATAGTTCATTTTGAATAGGTGCTGCTAGTAAAAAATTTTAAATTACTATGCAGTGAAATCAGGTTTAAATAGATTTCACAAAAAAAAATAAAGCAAAGGTAAAATACAATAGAAATCAACTGTATTTTATTTTGTGTATAAAATGAACTGAAGATCCTGGAATTGAGTAAAAAAAAGAAGAGTATTTATACATTTGCATCTGGCTTGTAGGATTAGTGATGATAGAGAGCAATAGGTGCTGCTATTGCGATATCTGGCAAATGTTGTTGATGTTTGATTTAAAGTGGTAATCAATGCAGGAGCACTGGCCATAAGGGTCGATTTGAGTAACCTTGATGGGCTTGGGTGAGCTATCGTCATAGCATGATTTAATGTAACCTTGATGGTTTAAAGTGTGATGTTTGTTATTGAAGCATGGAATCCTTTATCTGGGATATTGTGCAACTATGGCAGCAGGGCATAGTTGTCATATTTGAATATGCTTGTTATTGATTTAATTCTATTTGGATAAAGATACCATCACCTATTACGACCATCATGGGTGTGATTGAATACACTGTGATCAGGAGTGATTCATTCACACGATGTGCGATATAAGCGTGTATCTTTACTTTAGTATTTTTAAATGGGTTTTTGATGTACATTTGAGCGCTTTCATTAATAGATCCAAATAGCATGAATTTGAATGAGTGCTATTTGATGAACTTTGGTTTTCAATTAAGTTGCGTTTGGGTGGCTATTTCATTACATACTATATGAATGTGAGATGTATGTATAGTAAAAGTTGTAGAAGAAACTTTTTTTGACTAGGACATGT